ATCTCGTGAATCGTTTGGAAGACATTTTGTTTCATTTTGACTTTGAGGCTTTTGTCTGTATTTTAAATTCACCTAACATTGACCTTCCGGTAGCCCCGGAAGTAAAAGTCCAACGACTTCACATACACGACAAAAGTATGTATCAATTCATAATCTATCTGATGACAAAACACAAACAAGATGTTGGTTCAACCAAGATGTTGGTTGAACATTTAAAATTTCGTCGAAAAATGTAAACAAAAGCAGTGACTTTGGATGCCAAATGTGTGCGTAATTAGAGTAATGTTGACCAAAAGAGTGTTTGTATTAGATTTGAAAGCATTTTAATGAAATACGTAAACATAATAAAATACTGCTTTTGAACAACAATGGGCAAACAATTGTAAAGCGCCCTTTTGTAATACCGCAACAATATATTCCTGGTAAATTTTTGGAAAAATTGGCCTGCGGTATGGAAAAAGGGGCAGATGTGCTGTTGGTCCTGAGAAGACTCAAAATACCACGGGCCAAAAAATTTATGACAAGTTTCAATTAGTACCTTTTCGAAATCTTTTGTTATTATTTTTACTCCTTTTTCACTTTGTCCTCGTTTGTTCTTGATTTTCAGGAAAGCCAGGAAGTTTGGTCACTCGATATGCATAGGAAATATTTAAGGTTATGATGTAGATAAAATGTCATTTGTAGAGCCATATATTCAAGGTAATCTTCGGCGAGTTCGATGTTGGTGAATCTTCATTTTAGTGAATGCAAAAATTAAATCTGACTGGGTACGTTATCACAACTTCTTCGTTGCAAATGTTGACGTGCAAAATGTTCCTCACCTTGCTGGTTGTCAGTACCCGGGCATCGATCCTCTCGGCTTGGCATGGCTGATTTCAGCCACAGACGTTTGTCGAATTTCTCCCCGGGAGCTGGCGGCGGCACGGGACCGAAGTGCAGCGTCCTCATCTCGCTCTCGACGTAACCCAAGTTTACTTTAAACAACAAAATCACGGAAAAAACTTTCTCATTGATATGCACTGAACTAATTACGCGGCATTCTAAGTTCCTCACCCATCCATATGTAGGGCCTATACGTTTGAGTGGCAGTTTTGTTTCCATCTCGAGGGGGCACATTTATAACTGCCATGAAGGGCACTTTTGTCGGCCTGGGAAAATGGGGGGGGGGGGGGGGGGAGGAGGCAAAGGCTCTTCCCCCGATTCCACTGCCCCCACTGGATGTAACATTCCCCAATTCCTTCGCGAACATTTTCAATTGTCCCCCTCCTCTTGAAAATCATACAGTTGTTAGGTTCAAAGTAAGATAAATGATTTTTTTTAACTTTTATTTTTTTATTTTGTCCTTCCCTGCGGTGTTTTACATGCAATGGTTCAAATAAAACGATGCCCAGTAACGCAACTGTATATGAGCCCTACGTAGTACGCTTGGTATATAGAAGGAACATTAGCACCTACCGATTAAATGGAAAAAAAAAACCTGTTGGTGAATATAGGGTTGGTCGCAAATACAGTGTAAAATTATTCCACCAGAAATGCTTTTGATCGACAGAAAACAATAATTGAAGGTGGCTTTAAAACAAAACCATTTACCCGCGAGTACACTTTTTACTTGTGTTAGCAATCAAAACCAGTCACGAGATCCCACAATTTGTGCACACACTTTCTCGTTTTCGCAAATGTACAGCAACCACTGAGATTTAACTTCAATAGGTTAGATGTAATGCACTTACATTATGAACACCTAGTACGTAAGATTTTGAAAACTTGTGTTGCTTCGCATGAAAAAAAAATTACGAAAAGAAAAGATCCCATTGCCTTTAAGGCCCCCCACGGCAGACTCACCATAGACAGTTGTAGTGAGTGTAATGACAGTCCAGGGCAGATACATACTGCTTCTCTTTTCTGCTTTCTGCTCGCACTCTTTAAATTCTGGTAGCAGTCTCTTCTGATGTTACGCTGCTGCGAAGTTAACACGGACTGACAGTGAGAATTGTTTTGCCGGTGATGTCGCAGCCACTATTCGACTCTCAAAAAAACAGCCAAAGACCAATTTTAAAACTGGCCTTATGCGCAAAATTATACTGCAGCCAGTTTCAAGGGTGCGTAATTTCCAATCGTTGCCCAATTATTCGGATACTCCCACCACTTACATATAATCGATACATTCACTCAGCGCAAGCGCAGTTCAGTTCTGTTTAATATGCCAACCGGCCTCAATTAGGAAATATTTTGAAAGTATAGGGCAAATATTGCCATCATTACAAATAGTCTGACAACGTGGCTCAACAGTTTGCGAATGAAGGGTCGCGAGGTAGGTAGACCAAGTAACCATTTTTTTGCAAGAAGAAAATATAATCGATAATTTCGCATGGCGCAAGCGTAGTTCATTTAACAGAAATTCGTCGGAAATAACTTGGCCTTGGCTTGTTGTTCACGGTTCGTGATAAACAAAACCTACATAATTCAAAAGCGATACACAGCTACAGCAGGAATATATGTTTTGCTATTGCTAGATAAAATAAAGACATGTTTTCATAAAACTACGTTAAAGACTGCCAGAAAAAAAAGCTTTTTCAAGTACAGTTATGTCAGGGTTTTGTTTCACCCTTTTAGTCCTCCCTTTCTTGTCCTTTTCAATTCTTTTCCGTCTTCTTTCATTCCTTTTTATTCTTTGGGGAGGGGGCAATTGCTGCCCCTCCCATGTCCTCACGAGTGCCCTGAGAACGAGGTCGATTTGGTTACTAGGTCAGTCAGAGGTCAATAGGCTGGGCCGATTTTTGGCTGCAGATTTTTTTCAAAGAGAGTATTTTATAAGGAAGGAGTTTTGTCTTTAAGTGTTTAAACTGTAGCCTGAATACATTACTGATTTTTTGGTCATGTTTTGCACATAACCAACTAATACAAGTAACACCTTGAAGATCCCCACTTCTCAAGGTTTTGCAGTCACTGGAGCAAAAATTTGGATTAGTTTTTTTGCCCAGCTTAGAGTAACACGTTCGCTTCCTGTTTTTAAGACTGAACTGTTTAATTACTCATGTTAACAATTTTAATACTTCTAGTATTGTTAGGTTTTTTTTTTTTTACATCTACCAGTTATTGTGTTCGTTTTAAAATATTGTTTAATTGGTATTTGTTTTCGGTTTTTGAATAATGTTTGAGTATACTTCTTGTGTTCTTGTTTTACTTTATTCTTTTCAAACGTCTTAATTTTTTTTAAGGGATATACGTTTGTTCTTTTATTTTCAATCAAATGACCTTTTCTTCCCCTTTGGCTTGTAATTTGTTTCAACTGATAATTCTCGGCGAACTCTGATTTCTTGAGCTTCACGGGTGTCTGTCACTAGAATCATCTGTCGCTCTTACAGAAATGCCTCTGGACTGCATCAAGATTCACACGCTCGGATGCAACGGTTATGTAAAACCGTCCAGTTTTTGCGTGTGGTAGATGGCCGCTTTTTAACCACCAATCAGGAATGAGGACAAAGATCTGTATGCATACGAAATGCCCAATCAGCTTTTAGTCAATGTCGTTTTTTAAAACCATTTTGAACCATGTCTGGATAAAGAAGTGAAATCTTCTTTCAGGCAGCAAAAAATTGATAACGTAGAAATTTTTTTTTTTTTATAGCGAAACGTCCATTGGTTGCACTGAACTTTCATTCTGATAAAGGCAAAATTGTGATATCCAATAAAATGAGCTGGCATTCGCATAAAATAATTGACAGGATAGTGGTGCCACCCCGTTTAGAAATGTAATACATTTTCTGCCAACACCTGTGGAAGAGATCTGGCCGAAAACAGAGAGAAAACCGACTGTAATTAATATGCTTGATATAAACGATATACATGTACTGTACCGCCAATCAAAATTAAAGGGCTCATGCAATGTATTTGTTTATGCTATCCTCGAAAATGTAGCTTTGTGTCGATGTTTCATTTAACTTTATTTACAATTTTCGAGATGTGAACAAACGTGTGATGTTATTTCAGGCAGACACTTCAATGATTCAGCCCTCCAACTTAAATTGTAGAATCTGTCGCCGCCACTGCACCAGTCACTGCCTTTGTAAAAGAAGAGAAATACATAGCTACATAAAGCAGAATAAAATTCTATCCCCACACCGGCTTTTTTTCTTTGAAGGTTTAAAAAAGGATGATCGTTTAATTTTCGAAATCCGTTCCCCTATGTTCCAGTTGTGCCAATTTATTGCGATGGCCAATAAAATGAGTTGTGATTCCAAGAAATGATTGACAGGTAAGTGGCACAGTAGCACCGCCACTAACACTTTACGACACTTTCTGCCGACACCTATCCGTTACTTCTCCATAGTGATCGGCCGAAAACAGACAGAAAACCGACTGTAATTTATGATGCACCAATCGCTTGGCCGGTTTTAGCGAAACATGATTCGACATGCGGCACTAGCGACCATCTGTTCCATAGAATAAGACACACTGCACAATTGAAATAAGATGCCAGATCACCCTCTTTTTGTGTCATTTTAACGTAGTACCTAGTTACAATAAATGCACACAGGTTTGATATTGCACAAGAAAACGCGCCAAAACAAGTCTCCAATGCCACGGATCTAGATTTGATTTGTCATTGCTTGGCTCAAAGACAGGGACAGCGGAACCCGGGGGGGGGGGGGGGCAGGGAGGGCAATTACCCCCTCCCGATTTTTCAAGGCCCCAAAAAGTGCCCCTCTCGCGGTTATAAATGTGCCCCCTCGATATTAAAAAATAAAACTACCCCTCAAACGCTCACATAAAAGCATATGATCGTGCTACAAATAAAATTGTCTCCCGTCTCGTAATGGAAAACTGCCAACTGACACTGAACTGACCATGTTAAGAATATAATTTTAAAAGGGATGTTTATTTTGTCACGATTTTGCACAACCCCTTTTCAAGAGTGGAAGAGGCCGTTCGCACTCGGTTCAGAGATTTCTCCGCCCTCCCCTGACTTGAACCGAGCTACTTAAAAGAATTGTGTTTGGTGCCGTTGTGGCGCTTTTGTTTAGTACACATCCAGTTGAATGCAACAAGTGCATTTTCGCCTCCTGATTTTTGGTTTTTAAGTCCGTTTTAAGCTCAAATGTAAGCTTTGTATAAACGTGGCCAGATTTGATAATGTCAACTGCATTGGAAGAAAAAAAAGGTCTTGGTTATTGAATGTGTTCATGATTGACGATATAACTTGTACGAAATTACAACAGCCGAATTAATCTGCGAAAAAAACCGGGAAATTCACACTTTCATGTTAAAAGTGACGAAGACAGTGATGTACGTCTAACATGGCGATACAAGTCATACAACCATGTCATGGTATGTTTCTTACTGTCTGTTTCATTTTCTTCCTCAATTTCCAGATTAACCAGAATGAAGGTTTACATGTGCCTGGTTTTCCTGATGTTCGTTGGATATACCTGGAGTTTAAGTCACAGTAAGTTAAATCGTGTAAAGTTCCGCGATAATATATATGACATCCTCGACTCTTTGCATTCTTCTATCATTAATAACAGTTCAAGCATGTTTAAATAGGAAGACAACAAGATAACTCTGATTGAAATGAATCTAATGAGTCCAAATTCCAAAATGCGAAATGTTGATGTTTTGTTCTCATCTTACAAGATGTTTTGTTCTTATTACCTTGTTATTGTTGGAATAAACGTGCGTCCATTACTTTGTGGGTGTTCACTCCGTCTGTGGTCCACAATGTGGTACACTGACTGAATGAGTGGAATGAATTACATGATTAAATTGATTGAATCGAACGAAACGAAGATCGAAGATTAGAACGAGGAACTGCTCATGGGGCAGTACTTCTTATACATAAGAAATACTTTAAAAAGGGAAACCTATAGTCGTGTGTTGTTTTCCTTGATTCTCAGAACAATGGCTATGAAGGAGTAATAACACCTTAAAACAACGATCTAGTAACCACTTGGTTGTACTGAGGACGTTTCAATGCCAAATGTGAAGGTCATTCTACTCTGTATAAAACAACACATGGCAGTCACATTGTGTGGGTGTATACGAACAGGTGGAAAAGCAATGAATAATGCATTACAATCGTTATGCAGGAATGACCGTTAACACGTTTAAAAGTAACAGTGAGGAGTAAAGGCTAATTAACTAAAAAACTAAGACGAAATTACGAATATATGATTTAAGAACGGATAACCTGAATACGCTACAACTCTTAATAATATTTCTATGGATTTGAATAAAATTACAATTCGAGTTTGAACTGACTTTTTTTTTATCAAGACAATGATAAACGTTGGTAAGTGAATGACTCTTGAAGAATGCATTAATTAGTTTTTTATATACATATATATATTGGTAATTTTATCCTCACAGATATTTCTGTAAGGTTCACTTACATGCAAGTTGGTTTTTATTTCAGCTGAATCTTGCGGCGGCTTGAATTCGTGCGGAAAATACAAGGATTGTGTGGGTGGTTTATGCAGAGCTACTGCTGGATCAGGACAAGGTGAATATTTGAAGCTTAATTGGGTGGACTTGGAAGGACGTTTTCAGTTGGATTTAGTACCAGATACCGAGGAATGATGTTATTTTTCTCGCAAATGTCAATGTCATTTTAATACACAAAAGCTTTCTTATTCACGCAGTTGTTCCCATTCAGTAAGGCTTTTTCTTTGTATCGATAGATTAAATTTCTTTTTGTGCACAGCTTTTTTTTGGGTCACTTTATGCTTCCGTCCACGAAATGCGGACCGCCCTCTGCATTTATCACTTAAAATCATGTTCATATCCTATTGTTTGTTTGTCTTCATGCCAGGTTGTCCTATTTTTGTTTTAAGCCCGTTTTAAGACAATCAAAATAACCAGGGGCGGATCCAGACATTTTCGCGGGGGGGGGGAGGTTTAATCGGCAAAAAAATCTGAAAAAATACACTTTTTTTCTCCGGACACTTGTCCTCCGTAAAAGGGGGGGGGGGGGGGGGGGGGGGGACGGTATCATACTTCATGTTCAAATCCGACGATTATTAACTACATCACGGAAAAATGTACATATGAAAGCTGGCTCTGTAAGTATTTTGTCCAAGGCGGACATTATTGCTAACAAAAAGTATTTTTGGTGTCAGAGCAGGGGCGGGTTTGCATGTTTTCCAAGATTTTGAAACCAGACTTGTATTCGAGTCACGAAACATCGAGTCCAAGTCCGAGTCCGAGTCACATTCTCGAGTCCAAGTCCGAGTCCCGAGTCCTCCAGGTCGAGTCCGAGTCCGAGTCACGAGTCACAAAGGTCGGGTCCAAGTCACGAGTCACCTCTAACATTGTATTGGAAAAACGTACATTTTAGGGAATTCAGAGATTCAGAGTCACCTTTGATATAGTAAAAGGTGGCGATCGAAGTATGACGTAGTTCCGGTTTTCTCCTCTATTTTCCTCTTGCAGAACTTGCATTCTGCCCTTGATCTTTCATTGGCATTTCTCTTGAAGTTAAGATACCCGAAATGGACAATTTTTGGAGTGGATGCCATCATGATCTACGTTGCAACTTGCATGTAACGTTACCGAAACGGGCATATCAGCAGACTATTCATATCGCGTTATCGCGATGCGACAGCAATACACGTGAGAACGACAGTACGTCTGACAAGAAAAGTCTGGTACCTTACCCAATCAATCTTGCACCAATGCAGTATTACGTGCGGACGGCGGGGTACAAGTTTCGTTACATTGATTTCTTTAATCAATATATCGGTAACCGGCCACGGCCACGGTCACGGCCACGCACGCACCCCATCGAGCGCCCTGTACATGTATTGTACAGTAAAGAAAACGATCGACTTACGTATGTTCGCGTGTGCAGTGCGGTAATTTCCGTCGAGTCACAAGTCAGTTCGAGTCCAAGTCCGACTCCGTAGCCCCGAGTCCGAGTCCGAGTCGTAGTCAAAGTGACTCGAGTCCGAGTCCGAGTCATTAAAAATGTGACTCGAGTCGGACTCGAGTCCGAGTCCGAGTCACGAGTCATAAAGTCTGAGATTTTCTATGGAAAAATATTTTTTTGACAGAGCTGGGGGGGGGGGGGGTTGACACCCCCCCCCTCTGGATCCGCGCCTGCTAACCCTGAAAATTCAAAAAAATGAATCTAATGAGTCAAAAATACAAATGAAAACATGACGTGTTGTACGTAGGATTTGAAACTTTGCATGGAAAGAATGTAATGTAGGTTGGGTTTGCCCTAATGGGGTTTGAGAAGTTATGAAAGCAGAATTATTTATGGTTATGAAAAGTACTTGTTGGTTGTGAAACTCGACGTCCCGCTCACTGCAGTGGCGTAGCAAGGTCAAATTCGTTTGAAAAGGGCACTTGCACATCCGTGCTAAAATGGTCACTTGGCCTCCGTAAAATCAAAAAGCGGGTGGGGGGGGGGGGGGGGGGGGGGGGGGCTAGTAGCATTTATCAAAAACCGACGATCAACACACTAATGGACAACATATGGTGATTTTCAGGGCAATAGATGCGCGAAACCCAAAGGCAAACCTAACGGCCGCTGGCACAAATAAGGCCGCGATTGTTTTAAAAAAGGGCACTTTTAAAAAAGGACACTTTTTAACAAAAGAAGGCACTCTTTACAAATATTGTGCGGGAAGGAGGTAAGCGCTAGAGAATAAAGGGCATTTGAATGGAAAAGGGCAATCTTTGCAAAATATTTGGGGAGGAGTAAATCCCCCCCCCCCCCCCGCCGGCTACGCCTATGCTCAGTATGCTCCGATCGTCTTCAGGAAAAAAATACGAAAAAAATGTTGTGTTCTTATTGCCTCGTTATTCTGTGAATACATGTGGGTCGGTTAATGACCTCAACTCTAAATAATTCTGCTTTCAATGGATTTGATTAAAACGAATCACCAATTGAGTTTGAACCGAGATTTTTTTTTCATAAACACAAATTTGGAAAGCTGTTCTCGGTGGAAATGTGTAATTATTCTTTCTGATAATTATTCATCCACGATAGTAAACGTGGACAGTCTCTAAAGCTTCCTTCGACAGTTTAACAACACAAGTATTCCTGTTTACTCATGATGTTGGTTTGATTTCAGATGAAGGTTTATGCTTTTCTGACGATGATTGTGGGAAACACGAGCTATGTAACTCTGGCGAGTGCAGACCCAAGCTACACTGATGACCAACGTGAATGGATTGAACCATGGTAAGTCCATCGCTGTTGGTTTTTCGAAGGTTTCTTCCATTTTTTCTCAAGTAGGTGCTTGGGTGTCCCGAGGTAGGGGAGGGGCGGTGTGGGGGGGGGGGGGGGCAAAAAGCCCGGGGGGGGGGGGGTGAAAAAAAGAGAGTGAAAAAAAAACGAGGTGCGAAGTCATATTGCTGTTAATTTAAGGCACATTTTGCAACATGGGAGTTCACAGGGGTGACAACTGTCAATGGAGCTGGGATGGGCAAATGTCCCCCTGCCCACCCTCCATAAAATGATAAATTGAGAATGTGCGAGAGAAAGTACAAGAATTTTGAGAGTTTTGCCTGGCGACGCCCATGGGTAGGCGCAGTGTTAGAAAACCACTTTTTTTCACGAGTTTTAATTTCATGCATAATAATCATATCAACAACTTCTTGTGTCTAAATGTTTTAGTGCCCGAAGTGTCTCTCCATTGTCCTGGTAGAAGTCATGACACATGTATTCGTCGTTTTTCCTTGTTTGTATCTCGAAACAGATCGACCGTGGTTAACCGAGAGCAAGGCTTTAGATTTGCCGTTTGGTTCAGTATTCTTCATCTCTATCATTAAGAGTTGCTCTTTTATTATTAGTATTATTATTTTTATTATTCTTATTTTTTTATATTTATGTCCCCGTTCAGAAAGCTGGGATAGACAGCATTCTGAGGGCGATCATTACATTTGCATTCAAGAACGTGCATCAGAATTAGATACATCCCGTCTACCGCATCGTCACAACTACGGCTGGGACTGTGCCAACTATAATAGTTGGGACTAGGTGGTGTGTCCCAACTTTAATTGGGACCGTCAATGCCCCATCCACAGATGGGGCACTAACTAAATAATTGGAGCGTGCAGATACGGTTCTATAATACAGTACATATTTTGATTGAACACACGTTTGTTTAGCAATGAAAAAAGAGCACTTCATTAATCTTTTATAGTCTGTTGTTTAAAATACTCAGCCATGTATAGGCTACATCATAATTGTAAACTTAGGTACAAAAACCTCAGATATGCTTTCGCGATGCAATGTATTCTTATATCAGGTATACGTTGACTTTATACAAAAACTTTAAACTTACTCAAAAAACCCTTGACATTATTCGTTTTAATTGAACGTAGGCTATCTTCTTATTTCTTTTCATCCTTTGATGCTTCCTCTTTCGTAAACGAACGGTGAGTGATATAAATTGAGCTATTTGGTAAAATAAAGGGACTCTTGCAAAAAAAATTGTCAGTGCTCATGAATTCTCAGTCTCTGCAAAAGTCATCCATGTTCCTTGATTTTGTTCTCAAACCCTTGCCTCGTTACTTGCATAATTGAAAAAAAGAAGAATATTTAAAGAGCGATCGTGAACGGTAACGGGGATGCCCTCTTCATACACACAACGTAATCTTCTACTGCTCGGACGTCACTATGCATGTGCACGTAATAAACAACTTGGGTAATATCCTGTGGTTGATTAAAGTCCATAAGACGACTATATTCTTATACACTATCTTTTAAAGGAGTTTCTATTAACGGATAAAATAGATGGACCTGTATCTGAGGTGAAGGTTGGAACGACGATCGAAATAGGAACTGAGTTTCTTTCGAGAATTCTCCCTCTTGAGGGGGTGACCCAGTCTTAATTTGACATGGTTTTGTTAAAACTCTCTCTGAAATTAAAACCCCGTTGTTAGATGTTTACTGCCAAGCACTTAGGCCACCTCAAGATTGTTCGGATTTCAACGTGAATTCCGACTTCCTTCCTATATGGATGACTTCCTGTCCATTTTGTTGAACGTTCGGGGACGATGCATTCGGACGAATGAAGCTTTTAAACGGCCCAAGAGAACTGGAGCACGCTACAATTAATACGGTAAAGCGTCCCAATGGCGCCATTCTCCCATCAAAATGGCACAAAATCCAGTTAATACATTCAGAAGAGTATGTTGGTGACAATGGGATTCCCACAGGGTAACGTACATTTTACACGGGGCCATTTCTATGCATGCATTCAATGCACTCTCAATAATACGGAAAACCTCGACAAGGGCGAAACAATGATTGCGTCGGCAGCCTTTTAAGGTATTCCGCCCCCTTGTGACAGCATAACGCTTCGATCCCTCTGCCTGGTGCGCGTACGGTGCGCATTAAACGTGCACCAGGGATGGAAGCCAACTTGCCTTTTACAACCAAGTATGTAATTAGCATAATACGCATGCGCGATACATGTGAAATCATTTCTGAGGTGATGTTAGATAACTTTATTACAAGATCGAAGTGAAACTGTGGCCTTGTGTTTTATGCTGTGTTTTTGGCAGGGAGTGGGGCTATAATTGGACGCCCTGAGGTCCGAATCCATGTAGGCAATCTCATTTTTCCTTTCGTTGACATTTTTTTTTAACTTCAGATTTAGGCTTTAAAGAATTGTTCCATTCCGGAAAAAAGCTTACGCATGCGCTTATGGTCAGCTCCATACTTGGTTACAAAAAAGCAAGAAATTGTAACCGGAGAGCACGTGGTTTCCCATACCTCATGAAAGGAAAATTGCAATTAAGACTTAAAGCCCGTTGAATCCAACAAAATGTATATGGGGATTTGATAATGGTATTTATAACCAGAAAGTACTAGCATTCATCACTTATGGTTCTGCCTGACGAGTCCAACTATTCGACAGAAGCCGCCGCCTCGTGTACACACCAACATTTCAGACCATTTTCCTTCACCAAGAAAACATTGAAGGCTTCAGATTATACCTAATAAAGAAATGGGTACTTGTGATTTGACGACCAGTATTTACGCACTTGTTTTTCACTTGGTGATGATGATGCTGGGGGTTCCTGGTAACTGCCTCATCCTGCGGGTGTATTTGAGCAAGCAGCGTAAGACCAGCACCCATGTTCTCATCATGGGCTTGGCCTGGGCCGATCTCCTGGCCACCGCATTTCAGATCTTCAGGATCCCCCGCAACTGTCTGTTCGTCGAGCAGACACCGCTGGTATACAACAGCTTTACAAACTATTTCCTGTACACTGCCGTCGGCACCTCAGCCCTGCTAACGAGCGTCATTGCGTTTGATCGCTACGACTGCGTCTGCCGGCCGCACCACCGTCTTTTCAGCCGTAAGAGGGCGATGATAGCCGTGGCGTGCTGCTTGGCTACTGACGCCACCGTCAATTCGCCACTCATCCTGGAAGTCTTCTTTCCCTCTGGCCTCACGTCAGTGATCATACTGACGTTCCAGATCTTTGCCTATCTCTCTGTAATTGGGCTGATGATTGTGTGTTACGGCAAGGTTTACACCACCATACGCAAGCACGTCAAAGTTGGCGTTGCAAGCAGCATCAGTGGACGTGTTCCAGACAGTTCAGCACAACAATCAACACAGATTGTATCCTGCTACACATCCGAGGCCAACAGTATCACACTGCAATGCAAACCTACCGCACCCCGTCAGCTGAGTTGTCTCCTTCATCTACAAGCAAAGAAGCCAAAGGAGAAGAAAGCAATCCTGGATCCTCGGACGAACCCACTACCCACATCAGAGATGCATCCCAGGCTCCACGTGGACCCGCACAGGCGGGAAACACTCTGCAGCAACCAGCCACCAAGCTCGAGAGGAAAACCACCAGGATGTTGCTGATAACCGGCGTGGTGTTCCTGATATCCTGGCTGCCTTACTGGGTGGAGGTCATCCTCAGCCTCTCAGACCTACAGCGATCTAATAGCGCCATCTCGCCCACCACTTGGCTTGTGGTGAACTTAGCCTCGTACTGTGTGTACATCAACCACGTCGTCAACCCGATCATTTACGGATTGGCAAACAGGCGCTTTCGAGAAGAATGCCAAAAGGAACTGAGAAAATTACGATGTTGGTAAAAACCATTCCGTTAGACATCACACTGCAGAAAATCTGTGTTTAGCAATTCCACACTATTCTAAACATACACATTTTCGTTACATACGTAGTGTGGACATTCTTTTGTTTTCGCGTAGTTAAGAAAAACCTGTGAAAAAAGTCATTTTACTCGCACTGTGAAACTCTGTCAACCCAATTTTTTTCTATTAGTCCTTTTAATGTTGGTCTTCATTTTGCCACTGATAAACCTAAACCTCTTTTGTTCGGAAGTCCACACAGTGAATGTAATGCTAGTACACTTGTTTGCTATATATGCACATGTTTAAAAACTGAACATGTTTAGGGTATAACATGGGTAGTGTTTGGCAATTGAACATTGATAATTAGGAATTGACACATGTTTAGCGTCTAAATATGTTAATACTCCCCTGTACATATAGTGATAACAAGATTGTGTTTAAGGCCAAAAAAAAATATTCGGTCTCTGGTCAGACCAAAGTTCCGGAATTGACGCGGCGACACGGTTTCTTTTTTTTCTTTTTTTGTTTTCTTTAAGCTTGGGTTGTACAGACAAGGTGGGGTACTATTTTGCCATTTTGGTGTCCTCATGTACATTGGTGTCCTCCATAATTTGCCTTGGTGCTTTCGATAATTTGCCTTGGTGCAATTTCCCATTCCTTGGTGCTCTTTGGTAAAACAAATTAAGAGGTGCAGAAATAGAGGGCGCTGTTGGAGCTACCGCGGAACATTTTGGGAAAAAAAAGATCGACGCGCATGATTAAAATCGACGCGCGCGCTGACCAGAGACCGACTTATTATTTTTGTTGGCCTTATAGCCACAGTTTTTTAGAGTGCCCCAGTCGTTAGTCCAATTTCTATGCCACATGCCACCCGTGACGTCATGCCGACAGGCAACAAGCAGGCAAAAACAGCCCCAAGAATCTGTCTTCTGATTTTTTGTGTGTCGTCACTGGAAAAAGGTCAACACTTTTGAAACGACTATATTTTCAAGAGGTACACATGCAGTGCCAAGAATTGTTTTCTGAAAGTCGACATCATATAACCACAACATCATATTCATCGACAGTTATGAAAATGCTCCCTACGGCCCCGACTAAGTCTATGTAATTGCGAGCAACTATTTCGCATGCAATTAAGGATTGCTGCATCCAATGTTCGCAACCCAATGTACAGGGTAAGACAGAATTATCTGAACCAAAATTAAAGAAAATATCAAAAATATGTAGCAGTTATCAAAACAAGTGCAATTGAGATGTTATACCTAGAGTTTATATCTCTGGATCTTTTCTGAACCATTCTCTTAGTTTGAGAAATTATTCGCCCATGGTGTTTCCGCAAACCTTACATTTATTCGTATCTCCACCATGCAATCTCACTTGCAATTGAGATATGTTATAGGCAAGTATTTTGGAAATAATTTGGTTAAAGTTGTATGTATAACCATTACACCATTTTGAAGAAAAGCGCACGCTAACAAACGCTCTTACCACGATTCCATAGTTCAACAAATTTATAGAAATCGCGCACTGATGTGACTTTGTTTTAAAATGCACCCTTTTATTCTCCATCACATACCCAGTTTTAGCTAAATGTGTTTCATAGGTGTACATGTAGTTTCACAAGCCATATTTGTTCTTCTGCCTCCTTATCAAGGAAATGCAGTGTTATTTGTTCTCTAGATACCTGACTTGGAAACATATGGAAAGAATTCTAGCGTGAGTTTCTGCATCTCGAAGCTTGCTCGTAGCTATCAGGCTGCCATTGCTCCACCACAGTAGTATTATGCCGATTTAGCATACTGCAATAATTTGCGGTGATTTTGCGCTCATGACTTAACTTTTTCGCAGTACATTTGACAGGAGAGAATTATAATAGGTGAAAAGTTGGGGAACTTCGAGAAGCTTTGTGAAAACGTCATGTGACCCGTGGATATTTTGAGGTCAAATGAATTGATGAAGAGGACAGGCTGAAACTCTTAAAGATGTGAGTTTATTCTGGAAAAATGAAGAGATAAAGGAGGGAGAATTACTTGACTGCTCTGACTGACTGCAGAATGAATTATAAATATATACAAATTCCATTTTAACAAATGTACAATGATCATGTAAACTTTGTAAAGTTCGTGATAAGGCCGGGCTTGTTCTTATTAAATCGGCAAAGAGAAGTAGCATAAGGCAATGTAAAATCCACGATTTCAACCAAACAGATTAATTTATACCAAAAGATAAATGGTGACTAAGGGATGGCTCGAGTCTATGGTTTGGGGGCGCTCCCCGCTAAAAGATCGATAACGACCGCCATCTTGAAAATAATCCTAAATCCAATACGAACCAATTAAACCGTCGCTCTGTTATATTCTCCTAAACACTAAATGTCAATATAGTATTATAGTAAATAGATAATATTTACACAGATCTAGGAAGAAAGACTGATTGTTTCTTTTTTTCTTTTTGCTATTTGTAGTTGTTCGGATTTAAGTTCAAAGTTTGCAGAAAGCCAATTAAAGCAAGCTTCTAATGTAACCCTCTGAGGATTTCATACGTGACACGAATGAATGTGCTACGGGCTCCATGCAAACCAAACAGAAAAGTAAATTAATGTACTTCTCTAAATCAACTAACATTCAACTCAACACTTCTCCTGTTCTGTCTTGATGGCACCTCGATCAATCAAGTACATTCAACGAAGTTTCTCGGTGTCATCGCTGACGATAAGCAGTCAATAAAACTATCTCTCGTAACACAGGAGTTCTCTCTAAACTCCGTGCTTTTGTTACCTCAATACTGTAATATAGTCTGGGCTCGGTGTAGCAGCAATAAACTCAATTCTCTTACGGTCATCCAGAAACCAGCTATCAGAATTTGCAGTCTCTCTCAACCTCGTGATCACACCGCACCTCTCTTTGCTAAATTAAACACTCTTTCTCTATGTGACATTAATGATCTTCAAACTGGAGTATTTATGTATAAACGTACTAATAATCTACTCTCTCTCACATTTTCCTATTGTTTCACGTCCGTTAGCGGCACTTCCACCACTGCACTAGATCTTAAAAAAACTGTACTCTTACACTCGCACATCTTTCTCGATTAACACCCTTCGCTAGGACTGTACAAACTATTGACTACTTTTCGCTTCAGTATACTGCTTAATGTTCTTATTTAATTCTTCTGAATGCAGTGTTTTTATATAATATATGAAGGCCTTCCGTGACGAGCTTTTGCTTTCTGTGAATTGGCCTCCATACATTTGTTTAATTATTCTGTGTCCATTTTCTCTGCAATGTATGGAATTAAAATGTCTATTGAATTGAAATCGAAACAGAGAACAATAAATTCGTAGTCCGGAATCAGAACAGATCGCGTTCAATGAAGAAATACTTTCAATTACACCGTTACTATCCTAAACCTACTTGGAGCTCAGCTTTTTCACTTAGCTGTAAATCAAGTCAGAAACTCAACCAAATAGGTGGACACTGACAAAATGTAATTGTTTCGCAAAAGATGATTTTGGAAGTGTTTTCTCTCACTTCTTCGAGACGATAACTTCGAACGGTTTGGGCTCGTTGGCAAACGACCCCAGATCCATGTTCAGTTGCAGGAGCGACTCGCTCTCCCTGCCGGGCACCTTGGCGAAGGAGTAGCGGCCGAAGAGCCAGCAGAACACGAGGAAGATCTCACCCTTGGCGAAGTTCTCTCCGATACAGGAGCGACGGCCGATGCTGAAGGGCACGAAGCTGGCCGGGGGCTTGATCATATGCGTCCCGCTCTCGTCAAGAAAACGCTCTGTAATCATATGCGTTTCAAGACTTTGTTCGTTTCCAATAATACAATAATACTACCACTCAAAACCCAAACAAGAATGTTCAAAACGTCACATGTGCAAGTTAAAGCACAGTGAATGTTATACTATTCGAGAAAATAGTGGAAAAGCAGGCACAACCTTTTGATTTTTTTATCTCAAACAATGAGTCAACTGACTGATAGTTGGTAATCACCGACATTTCTTGATTATTTTCTTCTAAACGACAGCAAACCAGACGGAATAATTTCATGGGATATTTGACACCAGCATGATATGTAATCCAATTTAGCTTTCTGATAAAAAAGTAGGTTACTTTTGGGATAAATGCAAATGACCCTGACACTAAAAATGGACGTGATTTAATGTGCAGAAGGGTTGGGTGGCAGATTCGAATCTAATATAGCAGACTACAGAGTGTATAACAGTTATCCTTGCGTGTAGTTCACTTTACAGCTAATAAGCCATTTGCGAGTGACCTATACCCTTTGGGATTACATTTGAAAAAAAAAACCTCTGGTACGCTGACTTGCTTGGATTGGCATATTTTAACTTTGAATTCTCCAGATCAAAGACACTGTTGCTAATCACATGATTCGGGGCAAGCTCTTGCATAGTTACGTAAGAGACACTCAGCACCAATACATTGTTCACAATGTGTGAGAATGGCACAAAGACAGCAGACCATTCCGGAGCTGGGGTTGCTTGCATAAGGCTTTCCCGAATCACGTGATAAAATAGTAACGGTCTCTTTGGTCAGGAGAATGCAAAGTTAAAACGTGCAAGGAATTAGAGTCAGCATTCCAGATTTTATTCAAATAACTCGCAAATGGCTTATTCGTACTCAAGTATTTTATGTGGCATGTTTATCGCACAACTCCTAGCGAGTAATTCAGATTCGGAAGTTCCCTTTACCTGGTTTGAACTGGTGCGGTTCGTCCCAATGACGCTGGTCAAAATGCACTCCCTTTAAGTTGAGCAAAACCATTGTATCCTTAGGAATCGTGAAACCACCTACCAAAAGAACAAAAAGATAGAGTATATAAAAGAGCCATTTTGTCTTGAATTTTTTTTGTGGCGCTCATCAAACGCCTTCCCTATTAAAGATCATTAAAGGAAGACTGAAGTGTACCCAAACCTTTAAAATGTTGGATTTTCCTGTATTTATAGCTGGATGTAAAATCGGGATATATTTTTTGTCCTCAAGTATCGGGTGCACATGCAGGCACCAGACTATTCCTCATTTGCATACGTGTTCATAAAATCTTGCACATGCAAATGATCCAATACCAGGGTGAGAGAGCAAGTAGTGTGGGCGCGTACTGCTCGACACCCTGGGGACGAAGTTCCCTGTGTGGATAATTGCCTGGTTGACAAAAATGTATTTAGACAGTAACCACAATTCTTCTTATCAGTTTTAAAACATATTTACATGTTGCAGGCTGAACATTTTTAGCATGAAGAGATTATCAATAAATCGTTCAGAATTGTGTTTACTCGCTAAAGACATTATTTTTTTTGTAGGGCAGGCAATAGGGCCTATCCTCCAAGAGGCAATTAGGCTATACCTTTAGCTTTGTCCCAATGCCTAAAATTGAGATCTTAGTCCAAGGATCAATTTGACCCTTCTCGGAAAATTACTCGTAACTCTGTCAAAATATTTCAGATTTGGACGTTTGATGTCTCATTTTAAAGTGGAAAGTCATATCTTTCAAGCATACCTATATTATCTATGTTGGTTACACATTGTGCGTCTGGCATTCCGTTATACGATGTTTGCATTTTTTGACACACACTGTACTTGGAAATGTAAACAAACGGGTTTTTCAACATCCTTTCCGTAATGTAGGGCGCGGGACTAAAACGGACTTGCTTTGACCCGGATGATTTTGACACAATATTTTAGTGATCTCCGGACGAACGTGAACCTTTCAGTTATCGAGTAACCGGTTTCGGCGATCCGACATTTGAAATTCGCATTTCAAATCAACAGCGCTGGTTGTTTTTATTAATCGATTACCGTTTAACGAATACTCACGAAAGGTTGTGTCTTTGGTGACCGATTTGGGCAACCCGATGACCGACACCGATCCGTAACGGTTGACCTCCATCAAAGTAGCCTCGGTGTAGGGCATAGAGCCTCGGTCTGAAAGACTCGGCAGGCGGTCTTGACCTATGACCTCGTCTATCTCCTTGGTAACACGCTCCAGGATTTCAGGATGTTCAATCATGATTGCAATGGCCCAGTAGAGTGTGGGAATAGTCGTACCAGTACCAGCTGTTTGGGAAAACAATTACACAATATAGACCATGATACAAACCCACGGCAAATCGTTTGACAGGTCCGGATGTCCATGAACTTTCAGGTTTTTTTAGACGAGATGATGCTTATCATAAAAAAAAAATTGCATGGATTAAATTTACCCAAGAAAGGGTGAAACCTGCAACTACCCAAAATCGGGTTGTTATATAACCAAGTGATTGGGTTAGAATTTCCGTTAGGTTCAAGAAAAAGTTGTAGTCATACCAGACCAAGTTAAATGTGTTCTTGTATGACCGTAGCTGCAGTGTTCATCCTTACTTGGGTAAAATCAACCCGGGCAATTTTCAGTGTACTAGACAGTACACATTATTTGACCTGATTTTTTTGGTGATGTATTGTTTAATTTTTGATGCTGCTCATGTTTAAATTTTCTGTATAAGTTTTATAATGACTCCTTCTCTGAATACTTTTTTTTCCACTGAACCTCAACTTTATAGCCTTTTCCTCCATGTGTTTACATTTCGGACAATCCGATTTCACATTTCTGACAAGTAACACAATATTCTATCAGTACATGGACTTACATTCGTTTAAGGCCCATATTCACAAGATGGTAATTTTAGATCGTGTTCATTGAATCCATCGCACGCATTGCACACTCATGAATGGGAACGTATCCGACTACTGAATGTTTTTGTTGTGTTTGCCAGTTCCTAAATCTTCTGCATTTGGGCACAAAAAAAGGAAACTTGACAATATCTGTGATAACCTCCGCTGCATCCGTCATCTTCAAACTCTTCTTTAGATTAACGAACATGACTGTATGACTCATTTCGCTCGCGCTTCTTTGTGACCAAAGCGACTGGTTTTTACATCCATATGGCTAGTCTTTACCTCCAAACATATCGTTCACCGTTTGAATGACCCTCACGTCCGTCAGAAACTCGGCCTTCGATCCCGTCTCCTCTGCATCCTCTTTCTGGGCGGCGATCAGAGAATCAAACAAATCTCGAATGTTGTCTTGGTAACAGACAAAAAGAAAGAAAGGAATTAAGGGAACCAATTTTGAACTCGTACAAGGCAGGTAGATATATATGTACATGTAGGCCGTTATCGACACAATCTTGCAAGACCATACCCTAATATGATTGAATGGAAGTTTCTCATTTCGTGCTATCTGTTGATGTTGTTTAGGAGGCTATTTTTTTAAATATGAGTTTTGTGTTTCCACGCAACTTTGTATTAGCACTTAAACGGACGCAAGTACATTTTTGTGAGCAAAAACCTACGGTTGTGAAAAATCAGATCTAAGGAATTTTGAGGCCGTATGTTATGTCTGCGATAAGGGCTGATAATACAAACAAAATTCAAACCGAAATTGTAATGTGTCAAAATTGAGGCATAGGTTCAATTCAGGGGAGATAATTAGGGGCGCATGGATCTTACTTTCTATTATGTTCCAACCCACACACATGAAATTAATGGAAACAGGTGCAGATTCATACAATATTATACAGATTATAACTGTTAATAAAGAGTATCAACGTACTTTAATTGCGTAATTATTCGCGTAAAATTTGACCATGAGGAATTGCCCAAAATACGAGGCGGTTTTTCCATTTTGATAAGTAATTGGTAAATACATTGAGTTTGTAAAAACAAAAAACATAGTTCCTCCAATTGTGTCAACCATTACTCTGAAAGGGCTACTAATTTGCTCATTTTAAGGTGCTGTATGTCCATACTTGGATCGAAAGTGTCGCGATGGCCTTTGAACTCTTTGTAGACGAATTCCAAGCCCTTGTCGACCAACTCCTTCAGTTGTTTCTCCCGTGACGTCAGAGGCAGGCACTTGAGACTGTGGATGAAGTCGCGGGGAAGCCCGCCCCCAAGGACTTGCTGCAATTCCTTGTTGAGTGCAAACCATTCGGTCAGGAGGGGGTCGTCGAAATCGTAACTGTATGACAAAAAAAGGGGGAGGGTGCAAGTATTACTACACCTCATAAATATTCATGATCAAATTGGAGCTCGTCATTGGCCGATTCCACCGCGCGTCCGGGAAGTACGCGCCCAGGTGACGTCATCCCGGTGATTATCCATCGCCGTGCGGTATTTTAATTTTTTTTGGTTGCGCCAAAAATTCCCTCGGATCCTGCCTCATAGAACATGCAGTCTGTGGCATGTAATTTTTACGGAACCAGCCTTTTGTTGTAGTCCTTGGCCTTGTAACTACTGCAGTAAACAAACATTAAAGATTGTTGGCACCAGACTATTTCATTGACTGACGAAGATCTTGAAAATCTTGTGCTGAATAAAGATGCAAACTCCACGAAGAACGTTATCGACAAGGCAGTGAGGCTACTAAATAGGCAGTGAAGCTGCTAAGTATTTATGAGGTGAAGTAAAAAAAAATACGGCATGGTTTGTTTCTGACAAATAATTGGAATTACTGGTTCCTTGGTGTAAGTCAGCTTGACTACCTCCCTCCGCAGAAACTGACCTTCACCTCGGGACCATTAATTCCCACTAATTCCCTTTCTTTAAGTAGGAAATAGAGCCTAAGTACAAGCGTGCAGTGACACGTGAAAGCAAATCTCTCTTTGTAATGAATTCGTGTACCAATGGAAACTCAATGTTTCGGACAGTATGTTTTACTGATCTTCGGGAGTCTCTCATATTGGCTCCCCCTTACGTAAAGCAGACCCAAAAGAATCACAAATTCCAACTTCCCCCAAAAAGGAGAAAGTGGTTAAAGAACAAATGTTGAACTTAATGATTTCGTTAGGATTTCTAACTTCTGGCTTTGTGAGGCAATGATGGTCGTACAAATGGTCTCGGGTTCCTTTTTTCAGAGAGACAGACAGACAGACAGACAGAAAAGCACCAAGCCAGACAAACAAAACGACACAAGATCGCCGTGCTGTTAATACCCCTTTCCATAGCACATGTTGGCCAGCACGATGTAGATGAATCGATCGATGACGTCTTTAAGATCCAAGGCTTTGCCCACCGACCGGTCTAGTACCTTGGCTACGCCGGGAAGCACACCGTGCACAAGCTTGTCAAGCTTATCGCCACTTGCAAAGTGTCTGAAGAATAAATGAAACAAAGCTGCATATTATACCAATGATCACAAATATAGTTGAAAATACAATTGGCAATATTTGAATGTAATTTTCTTAATTAGCACTTTCATTAAAAAAAATTCGACTATAGCATCGCTGCAGTGGCGTAACTTTCGGGTCGGGGCCGGGGCGGGGCGGGCTCCCCCCTCCCAAATGTCCGTTCCGCCACTCCCCGTAGTCTGGTTCCCAGACCAAAAGATTCTGACTATTCCTGATGAATCTTAGGTCCGGTAGCCTCCGGTAATACATTGTATTACAATCTACGTCACGTGACTAAAACGGGAGGAATTCCTCCTTTTCCCGAAAATTTCCGAAGTTTGCCGAAGTCGTTTCGTCGACAATCGGATAGCACCCGAGTATTTCCGAGTACATAATATAGGTTTAATTAACTGCTAATTGCTGGTTAATTTTATTTTAAATGAGGTGATAATTAATATTCATTGCTTTCATTTAGAAAACTTGAAATTCAACGACGATTTTGTGCACCAAATATACTCGGATCGTATGGGCGAACTTTTTGCTGCGTCATGTACAATTTTGAATTTGACGACTGTTACCGAGATTTTTCAAAACTCAGTCTTCATTCGGCTCCGCCTGCTAACAGTGCTATTTGGGTGCCTAATTTTGAAGATTCCAGATCATTATTAGTCAATGTTATCTTACAGAAACATCAAACTGTATTATCATAACTGTATGATATTACGAAGCAAAATGATTTATTTAAAAATTTGATCAGAATATTAAAAGCAAGCTACAAGCGATAAAGCGAAATCGGAAACGAAGCCGAGCTTTGAAAAAGGGCCATCAATGTCGTCATGTTTATTTTTAGCCACGGAGGCTGCCTGACCTAAGATTCACCTACTCCTAGTCAGAATCTTTTGGTCTGGGAACCAGATTACCACTCCCCGGTGCCCCTTAAAATATCGAACTGAACAAAAACATATATATCAATTAAGTTCACTGCCCCCAAACCCGGAAAAATGTGTACACCCCAGGTGCGTTTTCTAACCTGAGTGCGGCGTTGCCGATTTTCCGATGGAGTTGCCAATCAGGACCGTAGTCAGTAAACGCGATGTCTTGAAATCCCTCTGTTGCAATTTGTGCTGTTGGAATGATATGCAAGTCAGAAACAAAGCTTAATTCAGCCCAAGATGCCATGAAGTAGTCCATGCAATAGACCTTCTATGATATGCGAGCAAATTCGGCAATGAATTATGCAAAACAAGACTGCGTCTTGACCTCAAGATTCTGACCATTCACCGCGTCTTCCGTAACCCGATGTTGTATTGCAAAAACATGCCAGCCAAATTGACCAATCAACAGCCTAGTCCACATTTCTGATCGAAGAGACGTCGCAAGTTTTAAAGTCGACTACGATTGGTTGGCGTGCAGAGTCGCACAAAATTTGCATTGCTCAGATACACGTTGGATACGGAGAGCGCTTAGTTGGACAACGGCTGATACTCAGACTAGCCACGAAGCGGCTATATACTCCAGAGTGCATTCGCCTTTATCGTGCACTTCCACTCAGCGCGGATACGGATAGGTGTATTTCAGTATTTCAGACTCCATGGGCCCATCTTTGTCTAAAGGTAAATATTGAAAGAACCCATTAAATATTGAAGTAAAATTAGGTTAGCCAAGTTGGTTGTGCATATCTGTAGATGTGACGATTTTCAGGTCAGGACAAAAACAGCACATACAAAACTATCACGTGCACTTGAACATTGTTCATGCAATCAAAAGGAAGATGGAAATACTAGTTCAGTCTAAAGGTTTCGCACGTCTGTGCTAACTTCAGAGCAAGAAGTTTTCCTTCATCTCGTTAGTATGTATGACTTTGCACCCAATAGGCTGGATTGCTCATCCAGGGAAAAATCGTCAAATCTTTATGCGCGTATACGCAGTTGTAATACCAGGTACTGGCTAGTAATAGGTAATGAAAATCGGTCATTCGTTTTCGTCTGAATTTGAATGCACGTCTTTAATCCCATTTCAATTCAACGAAACTTCAATCGTTTTCATTGACCGTGCATTCGGTTTTGAGAAACATTACAATGAAACGCGTGTTCAGAGCGCGCGATTCTCAAATTCAGACGAAAATGAATGACCGATTTTCAGATCTGAATGAACATTTAGGAAATTGACCGAGAAAACCTATATTATTGCGTGTGTTAAGCTGTTTAATTCTTTCATTACTTGTGTAGAGATTGGGGCGTCCTGCGAAGGCGATTGGTTGCTTGATGAGAGCCTCACGGATGTCTTCAATATCGTTCAGAACGATCACCCAGAAGCTGCCGAGTTTCAAGGAAAATATGCGGCCATACTGCTCCGCTAGACGCCCGAAGATGTGGTAGATCGGTTCAGACGACCTAAAAGCTTTTTAAAAAAGGAGACACAGGAAATTAGACTTTAATAAGACGCAAATCGATGTAAGACTAAATTTTATAATTAATTTTGTAATAGCGCCCTCGATACCATCAAACCACCATGACGGCTGGAACATCTTTCTTCTGCATGCTGGTGAAGTTATTTACGCATGCGTGAAACATGTCACGTGACTGAAGTTACATATGAATATTTTTGAAATAACGTTATGGATGGCCGATCTTTGTCATAGTCTGGTTCCCAGACCAAAAGATTCTGACTATTCCTGAATGAATCTTAGGTCAGGTAGCCTCCGGTAAAATACATTGTATTACAATTTACGTCACGTGACTGAAACGGGAGGAATTCCTCCTTTTTCCGAAAATGTCCGAAGTTTGCCGAGTTTATTTCGTCGACAATCGGATAGCGCCTGAGTATTTCCGAGTATATAATATAGGTTTAATTAACTGCTAATTGCTTATTAAAAACTTTTTTTAAAAATGACTTGATAATTAATATTCATTGCTTTCAATAAGAAAACTTGAAATTCAACGACGATTTTGTGCATCAAGTATACTCGGATCGTATGGGTGAGTTTTGAATTTGACGACCGTTACCGAGATTTTCCAAAACTCGGTTTTCATTCGGCTCCGCCTGCTAACAGTGCTATTTGGGTGCCTAATTTTGAAGATTCCAGATCAACATTAGTCAATGTTATCTTACAGAAATATCAAAACTGTATTATCATAATTGTATGATATTACGAAGCAAGTGGTTTCTTTGCAAATTTTATTCGTTAGATGTGTCCAGTTGTTTTTATTGGCAAATTGTATATTTTATACAATATATCAATTTTATGTTTTTCAGTTTAAAAATTTCATTTTTCTTTGTTTTTAAAGGGGGTGCATATATATTGGGGGTCCTGATATATTTTCAATTCTTTCGGTCAATGTCTCTATGGGTTGGTAATTTGTATGTGTATAATATTTGTATATGTATATAATGTGTGTATTTTTTGGATACTAGTTGTTCTATTTTACTATTTTTATCTTTGACATTTTTATTCCTTGTATCGACTTTTTCAAACATTTTAACGTTACAGTTACTTTTTTTTATATATAAAATGCTATAGAATTAGTTTATTTTTTTAAACTTGTAAAGCGCCTTGAGCGTCTTTTTTTAGACGGATTTTGGCGCTATATAAATGTTCTCTATTATTATTATTATTTTTATTATTATAAGTGATAAAACGAAATTGGAAACGAAGCCAAGCTTTGAAAAAGGACTGTCAAAGTCGTCATGTTTATTTTTAGGCCACGGAGGCTGCCTGACCTACAAACGTGAGCGTCGGGAATAATTGTCAGGTCTAGGGAACCAGACAAATCTCTGTCAGGGATCGTGGCAGCATGGTGGCCTGCTACGCTTGGTCACTGGTCACAATAGTCGCAATGCTGCAGATACATTGCTGGCCTCGACCGAGTACCAGAAATTACTTTTTGTTTTTCATAGTTGTGAATTTCCTTTCCTAAATTGTGTTCTACTTGTAAAAAATATGTACTTCACTTGTTTTGTTTATTAGCCTAATACAAAAAAGTAATAGCCCTGGGGGATTTTTTTCAACGGTAGTTCGAGAACCATTCCGTTACCAAGTGACGCATGTGCATTATGGTCATGGACAATAACTCGTTGCAGAAAAAATAATAGTCGGTGGCTTGAGCGCGCTTGCCAGAAATAAAGGACCGGCTGCATAATTGGGGGAAGCAATTCCAGTCTTGAATCAAGGTTACCTCACGATCATTGCGTGTCTAACGAACAAAAGCATGAGTGCGACGACCCCTCGCGTGTTGAACAACAGTCAACCATTACAATGGACCGTAAACTAGCACAATGTCCTTCGATTGGTGATTACTTGTCATTGAAAAGTTGCGTGCTAAAACTTGTAACTTGTCACGCGATGTGCATAATATTGAACGACACGCACGAACTTGTTAGGTTTTCTAATTCCAAGTACAAGTAGGCTCTATATGTTTGTACAATTTTTTTTAAAGTTCTCTTTACAAAGTTTGCCACAATTTATTAAGATCAAAATGAACGCATCTGAAATAGTTTGGTAAATGATTTTCCACTGTTTATGGTTAGTTTACAACATGATTGTAGGTTGTGCGCTTATAATCAAAACATTGATGGTTCTGTTTATGATCTGTGATGCCACAGTCTATATTCTTAAGTATGATCATGGAGTATTCCTCCATGGTATGATCTGATCTGATCGTCTTCAAGGAAAGTGTCCTGAACGAGCTTAAGACATTTAGGCCTACGTTCATTAAGTTAATTATTCACTTAACGTTCTACTTGTTTACTTGGTACTTAGTTGGTGGTCCTCCGAAATATTTTATCTAGGGAATTTAAACTGGAGGCGTGGCAATGTGCTGCGGCCACTGCCAGAAACACCGGGGCGAACCCCTTACATCGTTACATAGACAAGTGTTACTGGGTTCTTCAACGTGCATTACACAACACACGGGACCTAAGGCTTTACCGAAAGATGGAGACGAAGCAATAGTGGTAAAGTGCCTTGCTCAAGCCTAGAGCACAAGCACCATGTTCCCACGGCCAGGATTCGAATCCGTGTACCACGGCACACGAGTCGAACACCGTAACCATTGGACCACAGCACCCCACAGTTCTCGTGAGAACCTTTTTGCAACTCCGTAAAGATATGCTATTAAGCGATCGTTAATGATGATTACATCGTTATCAATCAAGCATATCATCTTAACTACTAGCGCTTTGTGAAAAACAAATATGAGACTAAACATATGATTATGGTGGTCGACTTAACTCACTGAGTACATTTCCGATGATAGGGAGTGCAGGGGGTCCTGGAGGGAACCCAGTCGGCCTCCGTGTGTTCTGATACAGAAGAATTACCACCAAAGTGACTAGAAAGAGCAACAATGTGCCCGCGTTTTCGGCAATCAGCTCAGCAACAGCCATGTTGAGTCTCTGAACTTCAGTCTGCTTTTTAGCAAGCCAATTTTCACATACAACCACTATCAACAGGAATTATCACTGCACTAAATGCGACCTATCGTCCTTGAAACGGTGTCGTATGAAATTTGGACTCCTGCGTACGGTGGCCGTGGAGGGACATCAACTATTTACTTTACAACAACCACAATTTTACAGGGCATGAATTGCTTTCACAAATTTTGCAATTTTGTTGTGACATACTTTACTCGCCTTCACCCGCTGTGACCCTTGTTCGAATCCCTCCTGGGCCAAAATATGGATTGGGTTTTCAGTCCCTGCCTGATTCGGTGGGTTATCCCCAGAATATTCTCCTGGTTTTCTTCCCACCCTCTAAAACTGTGATTTCTTCCCATTGTCTGCTCTCTACAGGTTTCTTCAGGCTTGTGAGCTAGTGCCTAGGGCGCTTTTGATGACTCATTGGTTTCATTACCAGAGATAAATAAATAATAATAAAACTATCGTGATTTTCTCTTCGCAAATCGTCTTACATGACGAAGGGACAGAAAGTTGTGATACTTCAATTATAACTGGAAGATAGCAAGAGGAAAAGATTTAAACAAACCAAAATCGAGACGGGGGCCAGATATACCACCACCAGACTGACAGCTTACGACAACACATGACTGTTACTCGTCGTTTTCTGGCTCTGTAGCTTTGTAAAATCAGAACGAGACAAGAGGTAAGCCACAAGTAGAAACTTTCGATAAACGTCAGCTTCCCCCTTCCGAATCTGCCCCCCGAGAAGTACAGGGCGAGTAAAATAAAAAACCCGAAACCCAAATGTCGGGACTATTGTTTCATTGAAGTTATAGCCAGGCATGCAACTGGGAAATCACAAAAAAGAGGAAATTCAAATTTTTTCCCAGACTTTGTACACTATTTTTCTATTTTCAATGGCACACATGGGAAGTAAAAAAAAGACGAAATCAGCTGATCCGAGGAAAAGTTACATGCCTGTATAGCACTTTCAAAATCTAGGACATAAAAGCCCAATTCAAAAGTTTTCTTTTAGTACAAAAATCTAGGCGGCCTCCAAAAAGGAAGCGGACGGGGACGGGAATATGTTATTATTTTTTTACTTCGCCTATTAAATGTGTAGTCATAGTCAGTCAGAATAACACTAGAGTGGGGTTCGATTCCGAACTAATGGCTTTTTAATGACATCTCGGTTGATATTCATGTTGATTCACTGACTGTCCTTTCGGGAAAGTATTTATAAAATAAAAGGGCCAAACTAAGGTTTTTTTTTTAATATTATGATTCGTGATTGGTTTGGTTTGTTTGTGTTTTTGGCGTACTGTAGTGTAGACGGTAAGGGCAAATAAAGAAAAATATGTTTCTCGTCCGGGTTTTTGAAAAAAAGGAGGAAGGGGAGGGGCTTTTTTATTTATTATTTTTTAAAATTTTTTCAAGATGACCGCCATTTAAAAAATTTCCTGCAACCGTTGGTGTTTCCACCGTTCAAAGACACTTTTAACATGAAAAACAAGTTGGACAAGAGAACTGAACATATTTACAGTGTCATTTAGAGTTGCATTGGTCTACAATGAACAGTTTTAGATGCATTTGCTTGGACCGCCGAATTGAGGACTTTTTCGTTGTTTTTTTTTACTGCATTTTTCAAAAATAAAAAATCCAGGCGGCCTCCAAAAAGGAAGCGGACGGGGACGGGAATATGTTATTTGTTTTACTTCGCCTAATGTGTAGTCATAGTCAGTCAGAATAACACTAGAGTGGGGTTCGATTCCGAACTAATGGTTTTTAACGACATTTCGGTTGATATTCATGTTGATTCACTGACTGTCCTTTCGGGAAAGTATTTATTTAACCCTAAAGGGGCCGGGTTATTTTGACCATCTCTCAGCCGGTGGGGGGCGGATTCCGCCCCCCCCCCCCTAAGATCTCGGCCATCGAGTAACGAAAAATTTTGAAACTCGGCACATGCATAGAGCAACTCTTCCTAAACATACACAAGAAATGTCATGACTATAGGTCAAAGGGTTTTGGAATTATGGCTAATTAATTATTCATATGTACGAATGGCAATTTTTTTTAGAGGCTATCACGGAAAATGTTGAGGGGGGGGGGCGGATTCCGCCCCCCGGCCCCTTTAGGGTTAATAAAAGGGCCAAACTAAGGTTTTGTTTTTTTAATATTATGGTTCGTGATTGGTTTGGTTTGTTTGTGTTACAGAATGTGGATGTCGCAGTAGTTAATTGCAGCCAGAAGATTTATACAGAACATCATTCGTCTACATAATTGAATGAAGTTTTGGAAACGCTTCGTTGAAAGGAAAGTGATCTATTCCGGGAGCATGAATCTAAGCAATTTTTTTAACATAAAGGTTATTATTTAACCTTTCATACTTTTGCTGCTTAATATTTTGGTTTTATACTGCCCGGCTCAGATCAAAAAGAGCATTACGTCTGTTCTTCGTTTTTACGTTTTGTGCTTCGTTTCTCTCTTTTTAAATGTTGATTTAGTACTCCAGTCTTGCTACAATTCTAAAGTCAATGCAGATAACAAAAAGAATATAAATGGAGTGAACTGCAAAAAGTTAAATTCAGTTGCTATGATTTGTTTTAGTTAATATTGCAAAACATGTGAAAAACTTTTTAAAAAAAAGACACAGACTGCAAGGATAGTGACACCAGACATGAAACACATTCTGAATGATTTATCAATGATTCCCTTTAACAAACTGCAAATGTTTTATATTGATTTTCCACGTCGTCTATATTAAATGGAAAAAAAATCCAAATAAATGTGCATGTAGATTCTAAATTAAATTTAATAAAAACTATTTATTACTGAATGCATGAACCACCTGCCACAGTCTGCCTCGGAATGTAACGGGAAAATGCTCTGCCTTAAACCCAAGGGCGACTACTGATTACCGATAAAATGAATGTATTTCTATTTTTTTTAGCCGTCACTGTTATCACCTTTGATCTACATCCTTCACTAATGCCAGACTTATCTTGAAATAGAGATACCTCTTTTATTGTCAGTTCTCGCACTATTTCATTTATGCACCTATCCTTTGAAGTAAAACTAAAAACAAAAACACTAATTGAGAACAAATAATCTGTCTTCTGATTTTTTTTGCCCTTACTGGAAAAAGGTCGACACTTTTGAAACGACTATATTTTCAAGAGGTACACATGCAGTGCCAAGAATTGTTTTCTGAAAGTCGACATCATATAACCACAACATCATATTCATCGACAGTTATGAAGTGCTCCCTACGGCCCCGACTAAGTCTATATAATTGTAAGCAACTATTTCGCATGCAATTAAGGATTGCTGCATCCAATGTTCGCAACCCAATGTACAGGGTGAGACAGAATTATCTGGACCAAAATTAAAGAAAATATCAAAAATATGTAGCAGTTATCAAAACGAGTGCAATTGAGATGTTATACCTAGAGTTTATTTCTCTGGATCTTTTCTGAACCATTCTCTTAGTTTGAGAATTTATTCGCCCATGGTGTTTCCGCAAACCTTACATTTATTCGTATCTCCACCATGCAATCTCACTTGCAATTGAGATATGTTATAGGCAAGTATTTTGGAAATAATTTGGTTCAAGTTGTATGTATAACCATTGCACCATTTTGAAGAAAAGCGCACGCTAACAAACGCTCTTACCACGATTCCACAGTTCAACAAATTTATTGAAATCGCGCACTGATGTGACTTTGTTTAAAATGCACCCTTTTATTCTCCATCTCATACCCAGTTTTAGCTAAACATGTTTCATAGGTGTACATGTAGTTTCACAAGCTATGTTTGTTCTTCTGTCTCCTTATCAAGGAAATGCAGTGTTATTTGTTCTCTAGAAACCAGACTTGAAAACATATGGAAAGAATTCTAGCGTGAGTTTCTGCATCTTGAAGCTTGCTCGTAGCTATCAGGCTGCCATTGCTCCACTACAGTTTATTTGCCGATTTAGCATACTGCAATAATTTGCGGTGATTTTGTGCTGATGACTTAACTTTTGTGCAGTACATTTGACAGGAGAAAATTATAAGAGGTGAAAAGTTGAGGAACTTCGAGAAGCTTTATGAAAACGTCATGTGACCCGTGGATATTTTGAGGTCAAATGAATTGATGAAGAGGACAGGCTTAAACTCTTAAAGATGTGAGTTTATTCTGGAAAAATGAAGAGATAAAGGAGGGAGAATTACTTGACTGCTCTGACTGACTGCAGAATGAATTATAAATATATACAAATTTCATTTAACAAATGTACAATGATCATGTAAACTTTGTAAAATTCGTCATAAGGCCGGGCTTTCGTTCTTATTAAATCGGCAAAGAGAAGTAGCATAAGGCAATGTAAAATTCACGATTTCAACCAAACAGATTAATTTACACCAAAAAGATAAGTGGTGACTAAGGGATGGCTCAAGTCTATGGTTTACGTCATCCAGAAACGAGCTATCAGAATTTGCAGTCTCTCTCAACCTCGTGATCACACCGCACCTCTCTTTGCTAAATTAAACACTCTTTCTCTATGTGACATTAATAATAATCTTCAAACTGGAGTATTTATGTATAAACATACTAATAATATACTTCCTCTCACATTTTCCTATTGTTTCACGTCCGTTAGCGGCACTCACCACCACTGCACTAGATCTTAAAAAAACTGTACATCTTTCTCGATTAACACCCTTCGCTAGGACTGTACAAACTATTGACTACTTTTCGCTTCAATATACTGCTTAATGTTCTTATTTAATTCTTCTGAATGCAGTGTTTTTATATAATATATGAAGGCCTTCCGTGACGAGCTTTTGCTTTCTTTGAATTGGCCTCCATACATTTGTTTAATTATTCTGTGTCCATTTTCTCTGCACTGTATGGAATTAAATGTCTATTGAATTGAAATCGAAAGAGAGAACAATAAATTCGTAGTCGCGAATCAGAACAGATCGCGTTCAATGAAGAAATACTTTCAATTACACCGTTACTATCCTAAACTACTTGGAGCTCAGCTTTTTCACTTAGCTGTAAATCAAGTCAGAAACTCAACCAATAGGTGGACACTGACAAAATGTAATTGTTTCGCCAAATATGATTTTGGAAGTGTTTTCTCTCACTTCTTTGAGACGATAACTTCGAACGGTTTGGGCTCGTTGGCAAACGACCCCAGATCCATGTTCAGTTGCAGGAGCGACTCGCTCTCCCTGCCGGGCACCTTGGCGAAGGAGTAGCGGCCGAAGAGCCAGCAGAACAAGAGGAAGATCTCACCCTTGGCGAAGTTCTCTCCGATACAGGAGCGACGGCCGATGCTGAAGGGCACGAAGCTGGCCGGGGGCTTGATCATTAGAGTCCCGCTCTCGTCCAAAAAACGCTCTGTAATCATATGCGTTTCAAGACTTTGTTCGGTTTCCAATAATACAATAATAATACCACTCAAAACGTCACATGTGCAAGTTAAAGCACAGTGAATGTTATACTATTCGAGAAAATAGTGAAAAAGCAGGCACAACCTTTTGATATTTTTATCTCAAACAATGAGTCAACTGACTGATAGTTGGTAATCACCGACATTTCTTGATTATTTTCTTCTAAATGACAGCAAACCAGACGGAATAATTTCATGGGATATTTGACACCAGCACGATATGTAATCCAATTTAGCTTTCTGATAATTCAGTAGGTTACTTTTGGGATAAATGCAAATGACCCTGACACTAAAAATGGACGTGATTTAATGTGCAGAAGGGTTGGGTGGCAGATTCGAATCTAATATAGCAGACTACGGAGTGTATAACAGTTATCCTTACGTGTAGTTCACTTAACAGCTAATAAGCCATTTGCGAGTGACCTATACCCTTTGGGATTAAATTTGGAGAAAAAAATCCCTCTGGTACGCTGACTTGCTTAGAATACTGGCACATTTTTAACTTTGAATTCTCCAGACCAAAGACACTGTTGCTAACCACTTGACTCGGGGCAAGCTCTTGCATAGTTACGTAAGAGACACTCAGCACCAATACATTGTTCGCAATGGGTGAGAATGGCACAAAGACACCAGACCATTCCGGAGCTGGGGTTGCTTGCATAAGGCTTACCCGAATCTCGCCATATAATAGTAACGGTTTCCTTGTACTTGGTACTTGGTACTTGTTTGGTTTCCTCCTGAAACATCCTCTAGGGATCTTGACTAGGAGGTCACGGGGAGGTGTCGGCACCTAGGTCTCGGTCATGATGTGGTTGCAGTAGTTGTCCCTAAAGGTCTTGTGCGTCAAAGAGTCAGTGATGTGTTGGGGCATGTCATTCCATAATTTAATTGTCCTTGGAAAAAATGAGTTCTTGAATACAGTTGAGGATGTTTGCACTATGTTAAATTGGTTGTTGTTCCCCCTCCTGGATCTCTGTGTGTTTGGTTGAAGATAGTCTGAAGCATCAATGTCAATTGTGTGAGTGATGATCTTGTACAGTTGAGTCATCTGGTGGGTTTCCCTTCTATCAGTTAACTTCTCCCATCCAAGAGACGATAACATGTTGGAGACACTACTCTGTCTGGCGTAACCTCCATGAACGAAGCGTGCAGCTCTGCACTGAATATTCTCTATCGCAGACTGATGACTGATTGTATAAGGGTTCCATGCTGCTACACCATGTTGCTCACAAGTGTGAAATATAACCTTTCCTTTACATTTTTAGAGCTCATGTAGAAATTTCGTCTGATGAAGTCGAGGACTCTCGTTGCCTTGGTAACAGCATGCTGCGTCTAATTTTCCCATCCCAAGTCATGTTGGATTTGTATGTCCAGGTACGTGAATTCCTTAGTTGCTACAAGACCCACTCCATCCATCTCATAGGCAGGTTCACCAGGGTTGCGTTTTTGAGAGACTGGCATCGATTTACATTTGCTCGCATTAAATCGCATACCCCACATAGTAGCCAATGAGGTTGTCTAGGTCAGCCTGCAGCAATTTCTCATCTTCATTGGTGTTGATCTGATGATATATGAGGCAGTCGTCGGCAAATAGCAACGGAGTGGTCAGGAGAATGCAAAGTTAAAACGTGCAAAGCATTAGGGTCAGCATTCCAGATTTTATTCAAATAACTCGCAAATGGCTTATTCGTACTCAAGTGTTTTATGTGGCATTTTTATCGCACAACCCCTAGCGAGTTATTCAGATTCGGAAGTTCCCTTTACCTGGTTTGAACTGGTGCGGTTCGTCCCAATGACGCTGGTCAAAATGCACTGCCTTTATGTTGAGCAAAACCATTGTATCCTTAGGGATCGTGAAACCACCTACCAAAAGAACAAAAAGATTAGACTTCCCTATTATAGATCATTAAAGGAAGACTAAAGTGTACCCAAACCTTTAAAATGTTCGATTTTCCTGTATTTATAGCTGGATGTAAAATCGGGTTTTTTTTGTCTTCAAGTATTGGGTGCACATGCAGGCACCAGACTATTCCTCATTTGCATACGTGTTCATAAAATCTTGTACATGCAAATGATCCAATACCAGGGTGAGAGAGCAAGTAGTGTGGGCGCGTACTGCTCGACACCCTGGGGACGAAGTTCCCTGTGTGGATAATTGCCTGGTTGACAAAAACTGTATTTAGATTGTAACCACAATTCTAAACACTTCCTTCCTATCAGTTTAAAAACATATTTACATGTTGCAGGCTGAACATTCTTAGCATGAGGTGATTATCAATAAATCGTTTAGAATTGTGTTTACTCGCTAAAGACATTATTTTTTTTTAAGGGCAGGCAAATATCCTCGAAGAGGCAATTAGGCTACCTTTAGCTTTGTCCCAATGCCTAAAATTGAGAACTTAGTCCAAGGGTCAATTTGACCTTTCTCGGAAAATTACTCGTAAATCTGTCAAAATATTTCAGATTTGGACGTTTGATGTCTCATTTTAAAGTGGAAAGACATATATTTCAAGCATACCTATATTAACTATGTTGGTTACACATTGTGCGTCTGGCATTCCTTTATACGATGTTTGCATTTTTTGACACACACTGTACTTGGAAATGTAAACAAACGGGTTTTTCAACATCCTTTCCGTAATGTAGGGCGCGGGACTAAAACGGATTTGCTTTGACCCGGATTATTTTGACGCAACATTTTAGTGATCTCCGGACGAACGTGAACCTTTCAGTTATCGAGTAATTGAAATTCGGATTTCAAATCAACAGCGCTGGTTGTTATTATTAATCGATTACCGTTTATCGAATACTCACGAAAGGTTGTGTCTTTGGTGACCGATTTGGGCAACCCGATGATCGACACCGATCCGTAACGGTTGACCTCCATCAAAGTAGCCTCGGTATAGGGCATAGAGCCTCGGTCTGAAAGACTCGGCAGGCGGTCTTGACCTATGACCTCGTCTATCTCCTTGGTAACACGCTCCAGGATTTCAGGATGTTCAATCATGATTGCAATGGCCCAGTAGAGCGTGGGAATAGTCGTACCAGTACCAGCTGTTTTGGAAAACAATTACACAATATAGACCATGATACAAACCCACGGCAAATCGTTTGACAGGTCAATGAACTTTCAGTTTTTTGGATGAGATGATGCATATAGTTGTAGCAAGATTCGACTAGATCTATAGGCCTACATTGAAAAAATTGCCTGGATTAAATTTACCCAAGAAAGGGTGAAACCTGCAACTACCCAAAATCGGGTTGTTATATAACCAAGTGATTGGGTTAGAATTTCCGTTAAGTTCAAGCAAAAGTTGTAGTCATACATGACCAAGTTAAATGCGTTCTTGTATGACCGCAGCTGCAGTGTTCATCCTTTCTTGGGTAAAATTAACCCGGGCAATTTTCCAGTGTACTAGACAGTACACATTATTTGACCGGATTTTTTTGGGGTGATGTATTGTTTAATTTTTGATGCTGCTGATGTTTAAATTTTCTGTAAAAGTTTTATAATGACTCCTTCTTTGAATACTTTTTTCCCACTGAACCTCAACTTTATAGCCTTTCCCCCACGTTTTTACATTTCGGACTATCCGATTTCAAATTTCTGACAAGTAGCACATTATTCTATCAGCACATGGACTTACATTCGTTTATGGCCCATATTCACAAGATGGTCATTTTAGATCGTGTTCATTGGGAAGCTATCCGACTACTGAATGTTTTTGTCGTGTTTGCCAGTTCCTAAATCTTCTCCATTTGGGCACACAAAACGTAAACTGGACAATATCTTTAATAACCTCGGCTGCATCCATCATCTTCAAACTCTTCTTTAGATTAACGAACATGACTGTATGACTCATTTCGCTCGCGCTTCTTTGTGACCAAAGCGACTGGTTTTTACATCCATATGGCTAGTCTTTACCTCCAAACATATCGTTCACCGTTTGAATGACCCTCACGTCCGTCAGAAACTCGGCCTTGGATCCCGTCTCCTCTGCATCCTCTTTCTGGGCGGCGATCAGAGAATCAAACAAATCTCGAATGTTGTCTTGTTAACAGACAAAAAGAAAGAAAGGAATTGAGGGAACCAATTTTGAACTCGTACAAGGCAGGTAGATACATGCATGCCGTTGTCGAAACATTCTTGCAAGACCATACCCTTATATGATTGAATGGAAGTTTCTAATTTCGTGCTATCTGTTGATGTTGTTTTGAAGGCTATTTAAAAAAAATAGTTTTGTGTTCCCACGCAACTTTGTGTTAGCACTTAAACGGACGCAAGTACATTTTTGTGAGCAAAAACCTACGGTTGTTGTGGAAAATCAGATCTAAGGAATTTTGAGCACGTATGTTATGTCTGCGATAAGGGCTGATAATACAAACAAAATTCAAACCTAACTTTTAATGTGTCAAATTTGCGGCATAGGTTCGAGTCAGGGGAGATAATTAGGGGCGCATGGATCTTACTTTCTATTATGTTCCAACCCACACACATGAAATTAATGAAAACAGGTGCAGATTCATACAATATTATACAGATTATAACTGTTAATAAAGAGTATAAACGTACTTCAATTGTTTAATTATTCACGTAAAATTTGACCATGAGGAATTACCCAAAATACGAGGGCGGTTTTTCCATTTTGATATAAAAGTAATTGGTAAATACATTGAGTTTGTAAAAACCAAAAACATAGTTCCCCCAATTGTGTCAACCATTACTCTGAAAGGGCTACTAATTTGCTCATTTTTAAGGTGCTGTATGTCCATACTTGGATCGAAAGTGTCGCGATGGCCTTTGAACTCTTTGTAGACGAATTCCAAGCTCTTGTCGACCAACTCCTTCCATTGTTTCTCCCGTGACGTCAGAGGCAGGCACTTGAGACTGTGGATGAAGTCGCGGGGAAGCCCGCCCCCAAGGACTTGCTGCCCTTCCTTGTTGAGTGCAAACCATTCGGTCAGGAGGGGGTCGTCGAAATCGTAACTGTATGACAAAAAAGGGGGAGGGTGCAAGTATTACTACACCTCATAAATATTCATGATCAAATTGGAGCGCGTCATTGGCCGATTCCACCGCGCGTCCGGGAAGTACGCGCCCAGGTGACGTCATCCCGGTGATTATCCAGCTCGCCGCCGTGCGGTATTTTTTTTTTGGTTGCACCAAACATTCCCTTGGAAACTGCCTCGTAGAACATGCAGTCTGTAGCATGTAATCTTTACGGAACCAGCCTTTTGTTGTAGTCCTTGGCCTTGTAACTACTGCAGTAAACAAACATTAAAGATTGTTGGCACCAGACTATTTCATTGACTGACGAAGATCTTGAATATCTTGTGCTGAATAAAGATGCAAACTCCACCAAGAACGTTATCGACAAGGCAGTGAGGCCACTAAAAAGGCAGTGAAGCTGCTAAGTATTTATGAGGTGAAGTAAAACTAATACGGCATGGTTTGTTTCTGACAAATAGTTGGAATTACTGGTTCCTTGGTGTAGGTCAGCTTGACTACCTCCCTCGGCAGAAGCTGACCTTCACCTCGGGACCATTACTTCCCACTAATTCCCATCAAACTATGCTGTATTTGTAAAATACTGACCTTTCGTATAAAAATAATAATAATTCAAACACTTCAATAATTCTTTCTTTAAGTAGGAAATAAGGCCCAAGTACAAACGTGCAGTGACATGTGCGGAAAGGAAATCTCTCTTTGTAATGAATTCGCGTACCAATGGAAACTCAATGTTTTGGACAGTATGTTTTACTGATCTTCGGGAGTCTCTCATATTGGCTCCCCTTACGTATTAAAGCAGACCCCAAAGAATCACAAATTCCAACTTCCCCCCAAAAGGAGAAAGTGGTTAAAGAACAAATGATGAACGTAATGATTTTGTTAGGGTTTCTAAACTTTGTGAGGCAATGACGGTGGTCTCGGGTTCCTTTTTTTCAGAAAGACAGACAGACAGACAGACAGAAAAGCACCAAGCCAGACAAACAAAACGACACAAGATCACCGTGCTGTTAATACTACCTCTTTCCATAGCACATGTTGGCCAGCACGATGTAGACGAATCGATCGATGACGTTTTTAAGATCCAAGGCTTTGCCCACCGACTGGTCTAGTACCTTGGCTACGCCGGGAAGAACACCATGCACGAGCTTGTCAAGCTTATCGCCACTTGCAAAATGTCTAAAGAATAAATGAAACAAAGCTGCACATTATACCAATGATCACAAATATAGTTGGAAATACAATTAGCAATATTTGAATGTAGGTTTCTTAATTAATTAGCACTTTCATTAAAAAGACTAGCCTAAAACAATTCACTTCGACTACAGCACCGCTGCAGTGGCGTAACTTGTTTTTGGGGGCGGGGCGGGGCACGCCCCTCCCAAATGTCCTTCCCCCACTCCCCGGTGCCCCTTAACACATTAAATTGAACAAAAACATATAGATCAATTTACTTCATTGTCCCTACCTCCCCCCACCCCCCGAAAAATGTGTACACCTCAGGTGCATTTTCTAACCTGAGTGCGGCGTTGCCGATTTTCCGATGGATTTGCCAATCAGGACCGTAGTCAGTAAACGCGATGTCATTAAATCCCTCTGTCAAAATTTGTGCTGTTGGAATAAAATGCAAGTCAGAAACAAAGTTTGATAAGCCCAAGATGCCATGAAGTAGTCCATGGAATTGACCTTCTATGATATGCGAGCAAATTCAGCGATGAATTATGCAAAACAAGACTGCGTCTTGACCTCGAGATTCTGACCATTCACCGCGTCTTCCGTAACCCGTTGTTGTATTGCAAAAACAAGTCAGCCAAATTGACCAATCAACAGCCTAGTCCACATTTCTGATCGGAGTGACGTCACAAGTTTGAAAGTCGACTACGATTGATTGACGTGCAGAGTGGCAAAAATTTGCATTGCTCAGATATATCACACGTTGGATACGGAGAGCGCTTAGTTGGACAACGGCTGATACTCAGACTAGCCACGAAGCGGCTATATATTCCAGAGTGTATTCGCCTTTATCGTGCACTTCCACTCAGCGCGGATACGGATAGGTGTATTTCAGTATTTCAGACTCCATGGGCCCATCTTTGTCTAAAGGTAAATATTGAAAGAACCCATTAAATATTGAAGTAAAATTAGGTTAGCCAAGTTGGTTGTGCATATCTGTAGATGTGACGATTTTCAGGTCAGGACAAAAACAGCACATACAAAACTATCACGTGCACTTGAACATTGTTCATGCAATCAAAAGCAAGATGGAAATACTAGTTCAGTCTAAAGGTTTCGCAATTCTGTGCTAACTTCAGAGCAAGAACCTTTCCTTCATCTCGTTAGTATGTATGACTTTGCACCCTTAGGCTGGATTGCTCATCCAGGGAAAAATCGTCAAATCTTTATCCTCGTACCCGCAGTTGTAATACCAAGTACTGGCTAGTAATAGGTAATGAGAATCGGTCATTCATTTTCGTCTGAATTTGAATGCACGTCTTTATTCCCATTTCAATTCAACGAAACTGCAATCGTTTTCATTAACCGTGCATTCGGTTTTGAGAAACATTACAATGAAACGCGTGTTCAGAGCGCGCGATTCTCAAATTCAGACGAAAATGAATGACCGATTTTCAGAACTGAATGAACATTTTAGGAAATTGACCGAGAAAACCTATATTATTGCGTGTGTTAATCTTTTTTATTCTTTCATTACTTGTGTAGAGATTGGGGCGTCCTGCGAAGGCGATTGGTTGCTTGATGAGAGCCTCACGGATGTCTTCAATATCGTTCAGAACGATCACCCAGAAGCTGCCGAGTTTCAAGGAAAATATGCGGCCATACTGCTCCGCTAGACGCCCGAAGATGTGGTAGATCGGTTCAGACGACCTAAAAGCTTAAAAAAAAAAAAGGAGACACAGGAAATTAGACTTTAATAAGACGCAAATCGATGTAAGACTAAATTTGATAATTAATTTTGTAATAGCGCCCTCGATACCATCATACCACCACGACGGCTGGAACGTTTTTCTTCTGCATGCTGGTGAAGTTATTTACGCATGCGTGAAACATGTCACGTGACTGAAGTTACATATGAATATTTTTGAAATAACGTTATAGATGGCCCATCTCTGTCATAGTCTGGTTCCCAGACCAAAATATTCTGACTATTCCTGAATGAATCTTAGGTCAGGTAGCCTCCGGTAATACATTGTATTACAATTTACGTCACGTGACTAAAACGGGAGCAATTCCTCCTTTTTTCGAAAATGTCCGAAGTTTGCCGAGTTTATTTCGCTGACAATCGGATAGCGCCTGAGTATTTCCGAGTATAATATAGGTTTAATTAACTGCTAATTGCTTATTAATTTTTTTTTTTTAATTAGTTGATAATTAATATTCATTGCTTTCAATAAGAAAACTTGAAATTCAAAGGCGATATTGTGCATCAAGTATACTCGGATCGTATGGGTGATTTTTGAATTGGACGACCGTTACCGAGATTTTCCAAAACTCGGTCTTCATTCGGCTCCGCCTGCTAACTGTGCTATTTGAGTGCCTAATTCTGAAGATTCCAGATCAACATTACTCAATGTTATCTTACAGAAATATCAAACTATATTATCATAACTGTATGATATTACGAAGCAAGTGATTTATTTACAAATTTGATCAGAACATTAAAAGCTGTTAGTGATAAAGCAAAATCGAAAACGAAGCTAAGCTTTAAAAAAGGGCCGTCAATGTTGTCATGTTTATTTTCAGCCAAGGAGGCTGCCTGACCTACAATTTAGACGTGAGCGTCGGGAATAATTGTCATGTCTAGGGAACCAGACTAATCTCTGTCAGGGATCGTGGCAGCATGGTGGCCTGCTACGCTTGGTCACTGGTCACAATGGTCGCAGTGCTGCAGATACGTTGCCGGCCTCGACCGAGTACCAACAATTATTTCTTGTTTTTCCTAGTTTATTAATAGCCCTGGGGGATTTTTTTCAACGGAAGTACGAGAACCATTCCGTTACGAAGTGACGCATGCGCATTATGGTCATGGACTATAACTGGTTGCAGAAAAAAAATAATAGCAGTTGGCTTGAGCGCGCTTGCCAGAAATAGGGTTGCAGACCAGTAAATCGGTCCGAAATTGCCTACGCCCGCCAAATCACGATTTGCATGCCCTCAAAATCTTCAGTATGTGAGCATGCTGTGGGCCATGAACTGGAGGGTTTGTAAAAAAATATGGGTGGAAGCCGTGCACAGGACTGTGAGCTTGTAGTTCCGTTCAATTTGGATGAAATTGGGGCCCCTTAAAGCGCTCTATTTTTGCACTAGATTGTAGGCATCGTTTTTTTCAAAATGGCGATGGGCTTCAGGACTATGTTCAGGGGTGATCATCTTCGAATGGAAATTTCTTCTAAAAGTCATCAGTTGACCCCCCAAAAATGATGAAATAAGCTTTAATTTGATGTGTGTCTGGAACACCTTGGAGAGTTGTGAGTATTTTTCCCGAATTTCTGAAGTGGGAGCATTTACCATTGGGGTCTATGGAAGTTTGTTTACTGGTCTGTAACCATAAAGGACCGGGTGCATAATTCGGGGGGAACCAAACCCAGTCTTGAATCAAGGCTACCTCGTGATCATTGCGGGGTGCAGTGAACTAATTCAAGTGAGAATTTCTACGCGAGCTGATTACATAAAAAGTGACCCCACAGTTTCTTTTGAAAACGGAGACCGTTTGGCTTTAAAAACGGTGGAATTGTGTAAATGTAGCCAAGGATCAACTCCCTGGTTTTCGGGCTTCCATCTAAGGGCAGGCTGGATAAAATTACGGTTGAAAAAATGGGTCCTATTTGCCTGAGAAAGTGGAAGGATGCCACTTGTAAAGCGGCTACATGCAGGCTTGGGAACTATCACTTTTCGGAAGGTGATTTTGTTTTGGTGTGAATATTTTAAAATGTAATCGGCTAATCTACCCAAAATTGAAAAGAAATGAAAAGATGAAGTACAAGACAATAATTTAATTTTTGTTTGAGAAACCCCAGTGATGTCGGCTTGCATTTTATTTGGCCCTGAACTTTGTTGATTTTACACTGTTTTCAATGGGGCTTGAATTGGTTCAGTGCACCCTTGCGTGTCTAGCCAACAAAAGCAAGAGTGCGACGACCCCTCGCGTGTTGAACAACAATCAACCATTACAATGGACTGTACGATAAGCACAATGTCCTTCGATTACTAGAGTGAAAAGGTGACGTGCTGAAAACTTGTAACTTGTCACGCAATGTGCATAATATTGAACGACACCGACGAACGTTTTGGGTTTTCTAATTCCAAGTTCAAGTAGGCTCTATATGTTATTGTAATTTTGTAAAAAAAATTTTTTAAAGTTCTCTTTTCAAAGTTTGCCACAATTTATCAAGATCAAAATGAACGCATTTGGTAAATGATTTTCCACTTTTTATAATTAGTTTACAACAGGATTGACGTATGTTGTGCTCACTATAATCAAAACATTGATCATTCTGTTTATGATCTGTGATGCCACAGTCTATTCTTAAGTACGATCTGATCCAGGGGCGTAGCACAGTAATTTTTATCGGGGGGGGGGGTAATTTTTTTTGAAAAGGGCACTTGTACATCCGTTGTGAAATGTAGACAGGTTTTTTTCTCCGGAAACTTGGCCTCCGTTAAATCAAAAAGCGGAGGGGTGGGGTTGCTGGCACCATCTGTCGATGGGGCCGCTGTTCAAAACCGACAATTATGCACACAAAGGGCCAATATATGGTGCTTTTCAGGGCGATACATGTGCGAAATTCTGAAAAAGGCACCCAAAACGGCAGATGCCACAAAAAGGGCACCACTTCTTTTTTGAAAAGGGCACTTGTTCAGAACCACTTTTTTCCAACTTCCTAAAGATATATTATTAAGCGATCGTTAATGATAATTACATCGTTATCAATAAAGCATATCATCTTTACCACTAGTGCTTTGTTAAAAAAAAATTGTCGAGACTAAAATATGATTATGGTGGTTGACTTAACTTACTGAGTACATTTCCGATGATAGGGAGTGCAGGGGGTCCTGGAGGGAACCCAGTCGGCCTCCGTGTGTTCTGATACAGAAGAATAACCACCAAAGTGACTAGAAAGAGCAACAATGTGCCCGCGTTTTCGGTAATCAGCTCAGCAACAGCCATGTTGAGTCTCTTAACTTCAGTCTGCTTTTTAGCAAGCCAATTGTCGCATACAACCACTATCAACAGGAATTATCACTGCACTAAATGCGACCTATCGTCCTTGAAACGGTGTCGTGTGAAATTTGGACTCCTGCGTACGGTGGCCGTGGAGGGACATCAACTATTAACTTTACTTTACAACCGCAATTTTACAGGGCATGAATTGCTTTCACAAATTTCGCAATTTTGTTGTGACATACTTTACTCGCCTTCACCCGCTGTGACCCTTGTTTGAATCCCTCCTGGACCAACAACATGTGGATTGAGGCTGATTCCGTCGGTTATTCCCAGAATATTCTTCCTCCCACCTTTATAACTGTCATTTCTTCTCATTGTCTGCTCTCTACAGCTTTCTTCAGGCTTGTGATCTATTGCCTAGGGCGCTTTTGATGATTCTTTGGCTTCATTACCAGAGATAAATAAATAATAATGAAAACTATCGTGATTTTCTCTTCGCAAAGCGCCTTACATGACGAAGGGACAGAAAGTTGTGATACTTCAACTATAACTGGAAGCTAGCAAGAGGAATAGCAGAAAAGCAGATTTTACGTTGTTGTAACATGCATTTTTTCACTTTTCTACTTTCTACTACCTGAAATGCAGGTTGAACGTTTTCTGAAAATGCATTTTTCCACTTTTTTTGCTTTTCCGCTACCAGAAAAGCAGATTATACTTTTCCTCCGTATGCTGCCGGCCGAAAAGTGGCCATCTGCTTTTATCCATTCTGAAAAGCAGAAAATGGATTGAACATTTTGGCAACAACTGTGCATTCTACTTTTCTGCTTTTTGGATACCGGAAAAGCAGATTTTACTTAGGTGGCCGAAATGTGGCCATCTGCTTTTTGCCTTTCAGAAAAGCAGAAAAGTGGATCAAACGTTTGACAAGTGTGCATTCTTGTTTTCTGCTTTATGGATACCGGAAAAGCAGATTTTACTTTGGCGTATAGGCTGCCGAAAAATGGCCATTTACTTTTTTGCTTTCAACAGACAGTGAACGTCGCGCGTCCGATGTTTGCCTGAAGTCAGAAGAGTTTCCGTTGAAATCCCACAAAGAAGGCATGCGTGAAGACCTTCCAATAGACTTCCAGGGAAACATCGGAATCTTTTCATTAATTCTTTATTTTTTGTCACCACATTATCTCGTATAACCATAGTTTGTACATTATTTTGTTAAAACATATTGAAGATACATAATTATGGTAGGGGATCCCCAAAAAGCACTGCTTGTCGAGTAGGGATCCCCTGACATGAATTTTTCATTACAAAACAATCATTATACGTGTATAAGGGGCGCGGCTACCTTGCAAGCAGCGACAGACCAAATTAAACCAATGAGAAACGACACATTTGCGTGTACTGTACTGATGGGAATCATCCGTATATCAAGCACCAATCGTGGACCAATCGCATGGTGTCGAAAATGCGAGGCGGTTAAGGCGGCATCTCAAAAGAAAACCGGCGGGGTTTACAGCTAACACGCATCCCGGTAGACTTCCAGGGGAAACATTGGAATCTTTACAAAATGATAGGGTGGAATCCACCAGAAAGGCAAAAATAGGAACCAAAATGTTCCTGGTGTTTTGAAGGCCAAAAAGCTGATGGCCACTTTTCGGCCACCTTAAGCAAAAACAAGAATGCATCTTGTAAAAACGTTAATTCACTTTTCTGCTTTTTCAAAAGGAGAAAAGCAGATGATCACTTTTCGGTAAAATCTGCTTTTCCGGTGTCCAAAAAGCAGAAAAGTAGAATGCACAGTTGTTGCCAAACGTTCGATCCACTTTTCTGCTTTCATAAAGGAGAAAAGCAGATGGCCACTTTCGGCCGCCAGCAAACGGAGGAAAAGTACAATCTGCTTTTCTGGTAGCGGAAAAGCTTAAAAGTAGGCACGTACGCCCCCACATGTTATTTGAGTTAGTCGAGGGATGGTTCAAATGTCGTCGCGGTCACCGGTCATGGCTCCCTGATCTCGTGGACAATTGTACTTTTTGCCCCCCCCCCCTCCCAAAGATGGCACCCTATGGAATTCAAGGCTTGATCTGGATGGTTCACACATCATTTTGCTGAAAATACAATGTTTTCCCCTTTTTGATATCCTGAGAAAACCTATAGTAAGTATCATAGACAAAAACCACACACACACAAAAGCACGCAAGAATGAACATATTCTTGACTTTCAATATATCTTTTTAATATATTCAATTCCATGATTTAAGAATAATTCTCAGCTCATTATATTAAGAATATTCCAAGCATACACACCTCCAATTCTGTTATAGCCAGCCATTGTATTTCTTTAAGACGAGAAACGACAAGATAAAACAGGCTAAAAACCAAAGTACGTGTAACAAGTCTACCAACAACAGTAGCTACGTAAAGGTCACCGAGGGTTAAGCACTAACCCTTCCTTCATCATTATATAAACCAGCCTAACCAGGTTTGGTAGAATGACCTCGCGATTAGAGGTCGACACGTGACTAATTCCAACTTTTTAAACTGACTGACCGCGATGCAACCCTTGTGCTACATGTAATAGCCTTGACGTCGAATGTAATCATTTCAGATTTTAACACAAAGGATGCAATATGTGGATTCAAGTCTGCATGTCAAAATAAAATTCATGTCAATGCATGTACTGTGTACAATCTGTACTTTACCCAACATGATAGTAGCCCCCATCTCCCTATACCCTATTCACACCCTAGACTATTGTTACCTAACGCATCCCCTAGATATCTCAATAGAATTCCTGAGATTCTGGTAAGACAATGACCGACATAAAAACGCGTGCAATGCGTTATAATTATGCTGAAAGTTCTTACATGAACGATATGGAAAAGAACGCGTTCCTTTTCTTCCTCATGGTAAATTAACGTGTTTTGAGGATTCCTACCCCACCCCAGATCCGAAACATCAATTCTCAATAAGCCTCTGTACTGATGACGTCACACTTTGTTTAAATGTGCACTTTCCTATAGAGCCAGTGGGGTCCACGGTCCCCTCAGCACCATAGGAAAGCACACACGTAAACAAATTATGACGTCATTAGTACAGAGACTTATTCTGTTAGTTTTGTTAACAACTTTGTCAGGTACGAGAGCTGGTAGCCCCCCCCCCCCCAAAATAAAAAATAATGGCTAAGCCAAAAAAAAACACCACATGTGCATATTTGCACAAAGCAACAAATACAGCGGTTAATACGTTACTGCTTAGTGCTTAGCATAAAAGCATCTCAAGCTCGGTTAATAGACCCCGCCCCCTTGATCTGACGTCACATCTGAGGAGGGGTATTTGTTCCTCTATGAGGGCGCTCTGTGCATGGGGTCTATTTGTATCCTCGGCAACTGTGCCTGAAGGTTCTTGTCTCCACAGGTTGAAGACCTCATACGGGTGACTTTCTTTTTTTTAATCTACACTCTTCATTTGCTTTATACATTTATAACATGTTAACTCTTCATACAGTTACAATGCCTTATGAAAGATACAGGGAAAAAACACGACACATTACTGGAAAATTTGTACACTTACGGAAAAAAAGAAACAAATCTGTAAAATTGCGAAACATTACACCGATTTCTTTTTACTTGTTAACGCGAACTCAAATGCACCAACTGATTAAAAAAATATGTTACAAATACGAATAAGTATTCTTCGATCGGTTAAGCCAATAAAGTAAACCCTCAAATCAGTAAGCTGCAGCTTTGCATCCTGTCATTATCAACCAGATAAAACCAACTAGTTAGGTACTGGTTAAAATAACCTCATCACAAGTTACTAAAAGATTTACTTGTTAACCAGTTCAAACTCATATACCAGACAACGGCCATGCATGAACCGTTTTATACAGATATTACAACAGCTGATAAAGACCAGGTATCAACAAAAAAAAGTCACAAATAAAAGTGGCTGGTTAACGATAATAAAAACTTGTTAAAACTTGTTAACTGAGATTTATCAAAGAAACACTGCTTGATACGATTGGTACACTACAACAGCACTGTTTATATAGTTGGAAGCCATAATTATAGCACAGGGCACAGTGTCAAGGAGCTGATTTATCAGCCCCCTCAAAATGCTCAGCACGCTCCCTTCAAGTGTCACCAGTAACAATTCACAAGCAGACGGTGACTTGGAATTGAGGCTAGTCAACATTTTCTTGGGCAACACACCTTTCTGCCAAGCATCACTTCTACAATTACATTTGGCTGGCTTTGTTTCATTTTTTTTGTAAATACATTTGTTATAGACAAACATCAAACTAAGTTACATTTAATAAATTTCGAATGGTTCTTGCATATATCTATTACTTCAAACACCTTTTAAACTTTTTCGGACTATCCAAAGTTTTATTTAAAAAAAAAAAGCCTTGTAACCATCCGTCATCGTTGATAAAAAAGAGTGTATGAGAAGAATATTGAAATGCACATATAACCCACAATACAACACGCAACAGATCTTTAATGAACATTTTATGGGCGACAGAAAATGATTTAAAACATCTGTCTTTTTATGGCACACACTTGAAATCTCGTCGTCCAGGATAGCCTACGTGGTTTTCAGACGCTGGTCCAAAAAAGCCAAACATACTGGTGTTTTTTTTTTAAAAGCCAAATTAAATTTTTTTTTTTTACCAAATAAGTATGTGACATAATCACAATCATAAGCACATGGTATCCAGTCGGGAGTATAACTCGATGAATAAAAAAATTCCAGCCCCTTGATGGAATATAACGCTTAAAGGTTTTCCCGGCCAATTTCCTGAAATGTTCATTCACTTCTAAAAATCGGTCGTTCGTTTTCGTCTGAATATGAATGCACGTCTTTAATCCCATTTCCGTTCCATGAAAGTTCAATCGTTTTCATTGTCTGTGCAGTCGGTTCTGAGAAACAGACGGCCAATTACGTTACCTGCGAATTCATTTACGCAAGCATACCTTTTCGCGCAGAGTTCTGGCATACAATTTCGTGAATGTGCTCATTCAAAATAGCAGATAAGATAACAGAACATTAAACTGAAAGTGAAATAGAATGGTCCAGCTTTGAAATCGCCCTCTAAAAGCGAAAAGAAGTCTTGTAAACGAATCTGAATAAACATGAACGATAGTTGCTGCTCAATCACTTAATTGATTGAACCGAAATGGATTCGAATACTCTGGTTGCGAAAATGAAACGCGTGTTCAGAGCGATTCTCAAATTCAGACAAAAATGAATGACCGATTTTCATAAGCGAATGAGCATTTTAGGAAATTGGCCGGGAAACCTATATGTTTTTTGCTTAGACGAGTTCAGTTCAAAACCACTGCATAACAATAGATTGATTGCATTGAGCAGCCATCTTTGAAGGGTGTTTTGTTATTCATTAACAATGAATGCGCTAGAGGTCTACTTATGCGTGTCCCTGTTGAACAAAAGCACATACCTCCAAGATGGCTGCAGTGCAAATGGTCTATATGTGGATCTATTCTTTCTTCTGCTATAAAGCACATTAGTTTATAGCACTTTGGACGATAAGGTTGATATTGTATATTAGAAACTACCAAATGACACTGTTTTATCTTGCAACCAAATTTGGTAAAGGTGTTTTGTGATAATATCAACAGCATGCCAAAGCATGCTTCTTCTTAGTGCTGGTACAACATGAAAGCTAAACTAATATTCAGAAAGTCATGTTGAGGACATCGGACGTTTAACACTGTTTCAAAGGGACTCTAATCACTAGCGGAAAACAAACAGCACTAGACCCAAGTTTAACAACTTCACCTTTTTGTCTCAGAAATTTCAGCCATTACCAGAACAAAAAGGATCTAATGAAACACATAGACCTATCTTACAAGTTCAAAATATGACGGAACAAAAATCAACTTTAGACAGGCATAAGGACATGGAAGCTAGTTGTTACTCAATCACAGTCTGCAGAGCTAATACTGTCATCTTAAATACACTTCATTCACAAATTCAGATGTACTAAATAGTTGCAATCTTCACATCTGATTCTTTGATAAAAAAAAACACCATCCCGTCACATGCATAATAGTTTACTGTTGTAAGAATTATACACATACATGTACTTTACAATCGTTCCTACTGTTGTTTTGTTTTTATTACTGACCAAATATTAATAAGCAAGAACTCTTTTTTGTTGACTGAGGGTTAAATACTCACATATCTCATTGGCTATTGGTGGTACGGCGATTTGCAGCTTCATTCTAACTTTGCGTGGATCTCTAAGCTATATTTTTGAAGCTCTTTTTGGAAAAAGTCTGAAAATGCTTAAATTCTACATAAGCTTGGGCATCAGCGCCCCCCCCCCCCTTGGGCCGCTGAAACCCGCCCCCCCCCCCTCTTTTGGGGACCGCCCCTTTGGAAACCTTCTAGATCCGCCTGTGATTACCATGTAGGTTGCTAAGCTACAGCATATATCGTACACAAGAATCCATTCAATTGACCAAAGCTTGCCAGTAGAGCCTCTGTTTGAACTTTTCCTAGCCAAGGTCCCACGTACAGGCCATGAAACTTGTCTTTAAACTCTTGATTTTATCACGAGATTAAGTATGGAGGTAACATACTCCCAGAAATGCGTATTACCCATATGCATACCTTGATTTTGTTTATTTACATAAGATACTGTAAGATTTTCTATGTTATGTTCAGAGACTCTTTATTAGTGCCCATTGAAGAATGCCTCATCGTTATATTGAATAAGATTTTTAATGAAATATTTATGAATGTTATTTCGCTTGCATTCATCTTTGATGTGTAATCTCTGCAGCAAAGACACTTCGAATTCACACAAGCTTACTTTGTAAGCGTGTCATTAAATATGCGCGGTTCCTCTACATGTGATAAATACTGGGTACATTTTTGATTGATTTTTTGTACAGTTATTCCTACAGCAAAAAAACGTACTTTAATAGGATCTTACAGGTTTACCTCAGATTAGATTAGAAGTAAGTTAACCTTATTAAAAGAAAAACAAATGCATGCTGAGGGCAAGCTGTTCTTCAAACGTCTGCGCTAGTAAGAAGGAGGTTGTGGGTTCGAGTCCCATCAGGGCAAGCTAGTGAGTTGGGAGAATAAATACATGAGGCTTGCCCATCTGAAACCAATGTCTTTTTGGGCAGACTTGAGCCACTCCTAATACTTTTTAGTTCAACGCAACTCAAGAACCCCGGTTAATGTTGAATTCCCCGTGCTATTTTCAAGTATCATGCCGAATATTACATTCCTCTTCTAAATTGATGTATTTCTAACAATTCAAACGTTATTCACCTTTTGAATGATACATCGCCTGAACAAAAATCTGCCCAAAATTAGTTTTTGAATTATTATTACTTTACAAGATTCAAATTTCTTGCGGCCTAACGATAATAAGCCTCTGTACTAATGATGATGTCACACTTTGTTACTTGTACGCTTTTCTACTGGGTACGAAACCGTCATTCCCACCGGGCTCTCATAAGAAAGCACGCATGTAAACAAAGCATGACATCATCAGTACAGAGGCATATTCCATTCTCGGAGGGTTGGTTGGTTCCTGCCCCACATTCAGTATTGATAATGTGAGGACCGAGAACCATGATTTATAATCCATGTTTTCCATCTTTCTCCATGATTTCCAAAGCTTACAACTCAAGTTTTGTCCAAGCTGGCCCAAAACTTGACCCAACTTTTAGCTGTGTCTTCATAAAAACTGAGCTACACTGTACAACTTATTCCTCAATGGGAGATAAAAGAAGCGAGATAAAAATCACCCTACCTCATGTTAATAGACAATTTAGTAATCTGTGTTGTACAATTTTCCTGATTCGTTCATCTGTGCAACGATGTGTGAGACATAGCCAGCGACATCAACCTCCTGTCGTTCATATCTCTTGATGAATGGGTGCTCCTGGTAACATAAGAAGAAATTGACGATATGGAGACAAAGTCTTATTCACTATCAGTGAATGAATAAAATAAAAACATTTCCTTATAGTTTTTGTATCTATGAGCTTTTGTAAGCAACTTTCAAGACACATGACCATTTGCTTTAAATATAACTCCCTAGCATGATTTACTAGGAACCATACCCATCCTGGCAAATTCCAACACCATATGGGAAACTGCACACACGTATATCTGACTTTGATTCTGGAGGTTTGCCAACCCAATGTAAAAGGGGTACTGTACCCATCCTGACAGATTCCAACAAAACATGCCGTAGGGGTTTGATGGGTTGAGTTCTGTTATGGTTAAAGGACACAATTTCTTGACATCTTAAGTAAGGATGCACGACACCTAATCTGTTGAAATTTTAGCTCAGATCAGTGGCTACAGAGAAAATAGAGAAAACTTTGCACACGTTTTTTGGTCTCATCAAGTAGATTCCATTGCTAGTTCCATGCAGGTACACGTTTTCAATGCCATCTTCAATGACTGTTTTCTTCTGAACGATACCATTTTCAGGGTGTTTGGGATGGGCCTATATCTTCACTTTGAGCCAGTTTTTTTCCTCATTAAATCGGTAAGTACGTTTACAGGCAATTTCTAATGTTCCATTGTGTTGTATGTGCATATGTAGTTTGCGTTACCGTGACAAGATCTACATACCACATGATGCAAAACATTAACTTATTTAATCTGTATCAGGTGACAATTGGACCAGGCACGAGAGTGAATTTCAATGCAAAAAAACCCCCAGGAAACTTGTGCAAAAACAGAAAAACAAATGTGAAATCAGACAAAAAAGCCCCAAAACAGGCTCAAAATAAATAAAAACACAGAAATTTGGGCAACCAAAAAACCCCAGGAATTCCTGCTTAAACAGGAAGATTCTCATGCCTGATTGAACTTCTGAGATTTTTAAACTCTATTATAATGCAACTTTTAACAATGATAAAGATTTGGCACATTTACTGTTATACATAAACATAACTTTGTAGTATCCTTTGCAAACTCTTTTTGTAACACTCACCAGTAGTCTGTTGTACTTTGGTCTGTCGTCTTCCAGCTTTTTTAGACTGCAAAATGAAAACATGTGCATCAAAGATTGAAATAAAACAAAGGGTTATATGTCTGGCTTCAAGACTGTTGAAACCACCATCCTCAAAACAGACTGGGGTTGCAAGAAAAGCTGCTTAGTCTTCAGCTGTTTTACTGGTGAATCATATCATAATAGCAATATTTGTGAGGTGTTCTGGTAAAATGAGATGGATTTTGGCAGAGGTCAAAATGAGATTTTGCAGGAAAGAGATTAAAATTCTCCTTACAATACTGTTTGTTGCACTGCAATCGGACATTTTGTTGACAAGAACTTGCTGTTTGGAATTCACATTTATTGATGTGTAGTAACAGTACAATACTGAGACAGAGGCCTTTAAAGTTTCAAGTTTTGAAGTCATGAAATTTAGTGTTGAGCCTGATGAAGGAGAGATAAGTCATGTTTAACCTAGTGAATTATCGTGACAAGAGTTAATTAAAACAGAAGGGAACATTTCACTAACAATATGCACTGAATGCCATTTTGGCTGCTACAGAAAAATTGTCTCATTCCTGATGAACAGGTGTAATAATTGTGTAATAATTGATGAACAGGTGTAATAATGAACAGGTGTAATAATGAACAGGTGTAATAATGAACAGGTGTAATAATAAAAGTGCTTTGAAACCTTAGAAGCACCACATTATTTTGTTGGCATCAGTAGGATTAGGTGAAATGAATCTACAACTCACCAGTTGCTGACTAAGTCTGTGAATTCAGCAGAGAATTGCATATCTGGCGTACTGACCAGCCGCGGTGGGGGACCCTTGACTACCTGAGCCAGCTGATCAAAGACGCTGTTCCACTTGGGGTAGGGGAATCTGCCCGTGGCCAGCTCAATCTGAGAGCAAATTAAAACTCACACTAAGTACAGTATATTTTCAATATCACTAGGGCTCGCTTTAGATGCATGCCACTGCCGTGCCGAATTAAATTAATTGGACTATTTTTGAATTCGGCACGGCGATAGCATGACAATTAGCACCATTTGGCTTGACAAAATGAGTTAGGCACGCCACCATTCTGTCATGTCTGTACAGCCACATGGCTGCTGCGCCATCGTCATTCCAAATGGCAGTGGCACACCACTGTCCTAAACGCTGCGCCATTGCAGTGGCCAACTCAATTCAATTAGAAGTTGGGGCAAACATTTTAAGAATGCGAATGCTCACAATTCGCTCTTTCCACGCTCCGCCATTGGGCCTGCACAGCCTCGATCTGGCAACTTTACGCACTAAAAATAGCTGGTTCAGTGATCTGAACCCCGACAGGGGAATCACTGAACCGGTCATATGTATTGTGTAAAGTTGCCAGATCGAGGCTCTGCATGCCCATGGCGGAAGTGTGAAAAGAGCGAATTCCCTCTCTCACGTTCGCATCACAGGGAGAAAAATTGGCGCAAATAATTTGATCGCAGTGGAAGTTCATTAAACTGCTTGAGTTGCTTTAACCTGGCCAGTTACTTCAGATTCAGTAAGGTTCGACCATTAAGTTCGGCATTTAGAGCAAACTGTAGTGCTGTAGATGAGCTACTGCCGCACTCATATCAATTAAGTTCAGCGCATCAGTAGCACGGCGTCTAGTACGGGCCTAACACAATGGGGTCCACATTGTTTACGGACTGCTAGCTCAATCTGCGACACAATTACATCTTAAGCATTACATCCACATATGTATATTGGCAATTGTGCTGAAATCTTTCAACAGACAGTCCGAGTACATATTGGACAGCTGGTCAACAAACCACGCTGTAACCATTCTCATACAGAAAGACAAACTTACTAATGTGATGCCGAGACTCCAGACGTCCGATCTGACATCATACCCTCCTTTGGAGACATATGGATCTATTCTCTCCGGCTGGAAAAAAAACAAAAAAAACAGACCCTACTACAAGGAGCAAGTTTGATTGAGGACTATTCGTCGACTAGTGGTTGTCTTGTGATATAACTTATGCCTGCACACTAATAGCTACGTGTAAACATCTCTATTCAAGTGATGGCCAAAACGTCATTTCAAAACTACATGGTCCGGGCTCGTCTCCATTCACATCTGGAATAAGTCCCGGACAAGTTGCGGATGTTGTATTGGGTAGAAGTTGCAAGATTCTGCACAACTTCCCCGCAATCTTGCCGCAATGAAGTTATCAGCATTGGTTAGTCAGGCAGTTGCTAATCAAAATTTCCCCGGAACATGTCCGGGGCAAATGCAGAGCTTTTTCCGGACAAAGTGAATGATTCTACCCGCAACTTGTCAGGAACTCGTCCAGGATATGAATTGGGACGGGCCATAAACAGGGATGTGATTATAAACCTAGTAAGGTTGGTCATGAATAACCCCCTAGACTAGGGGTTTGAGTGAAGTTAGATGAAGCATGATTAGCTGTATTTTATTGATCGAACTTGTTAAAAGATTCCTCCACTTACTGCCATGTAGGGTTTGCATCCTGCATCTCGTGTCTTGGCAATGGAGTCTACTAGCTGCCCACTGATACCAAAATCACACAGCTTGATGTTGCCTTTGGTGTCGAGGAGAATATTTGACGGCTTCACGTCTGGAATGCGAAACAAAAACCAAAAAACAAAACGTTCAAAAGATTTTCCTTTAATCATTTTGTCGACTGGAGTGAGATCAGAGTATTGGTATATTTGATGAGAAATTCTTTCCAAATTTTTCCTTTACATGAATTTCGATCATAAAGGATCTATTGCTCACGTTACAAACACAAAGAGCACTTTCTCCAGAAGGTGGCATGGCACCTACAATGTAGCTAAAACATAGAATGGGGAAATCCAAAAACTTAGTTTGAGAAACATTTGTGTATAGAACAACACAAAGTGTGCATTGAAATAAATGGTGCTGGCGTGTAACCCAAACAGTCCTGAATCCTCCAATTTCAATACGATTTTGCACACCCCCCAGGGAGTTAGGGTTACCCTTCTGCAGTCTGAACAGTCACAGACAGTCAAAAAATCACTCCTCTTCCCCTGCCATGCCTTTTACACAGGCTAGTCACCAACAGTCGGATCATATTTCAAGCAAGCACTGTGACTAGCCAAATTCAGTCATCAGACAGGAGTAGACAAGTGGTAGGCACAGTTGGCTTATCAATCACCTACAGTCAAAGCAAAGCTGTATCAAGTTACATAAACAGTCACAGCCAGTCAATCCTGCTTTGTGTTGGCTGGGAGCTCTTAACTGTTCAAAACAGTCACTTGATTGATTTGGACTGAAAGGACAACTTGGGACTGAGTGTATGTTTGCATATGAGGGTTAAGGTTTGCTCTACTGATAACAAACAACATACACTCTTTGAATCTGTGGAGAAATTCCACGGCTGATTAGGATTCGATTCCGCCATCCTCCCACTTAAAAGTTTGCTTACTTTCAATCGGGAGTAACTCTACATGTATCTCACCTCTGTGGATGATTGTGAGCTCATCCTTCAGGTAATTCAGTGCTGTGACGGTCTGTGGAGTCAATTCAAGAATGAGATTTAATCAGGGAATCGTGATTACAAAATCGATCATGCAAAACTGATACAAAAGTGATTGCAAAATCAGTGTTAGAAAGAGCATCGATCAAGCAAACCAACCAACTGTCACTGTCTTTCTCATTACTAAACCCTCAACCCCTCAACCTTCAAGATCCTTTTAGATCCTTCAAAATTCATAGAAAAAATTCACAGGATAACTCAATCTCCCCAGGCATTTTTTCTTTGGAAACTTTCTGAATCCAGTTCTGAAACAATGAGAGCGAACAATGCCACAGTTGTATCCTTCTGCATTCGGGGACCACAGACTCTGAGGCAGTTTGGCCTTGAGACTTTTGACCTGATGGATCTTGCTACACTGGGCAGGCTTGTCATTTTGACAAGTGTTGCATGTTTTTGCATTTGGCAGGGTTTCTAGCCAAAATAACCTGGGTTAGGGTTCATTCAAACATATGACCTGTGCAGAAATTTTGGGAGCCCCTCGGCATTGGCATCTTACTTGGTTAGACAGACAGAGTGAAGGACAGACAGTTCAAGGAGCGGATGCTACTCACCGAGACAGTGATCTTGCCTAAGATTGGTTCTGGGATGCGGCTCTTCAAATCGTCACACACAAATTTGTAGAATTTATCTAATGAGGTATCCATCAGTTCCATACATATCCAGCAATCACCCTACGGAACATCAATGGTAATTGGGACCAATAAAAAGTTAGAAATTACAGTCATTACGCACTATGCGGTTTTTTTTTATTGGCAAAAAGAAAGAAAGAAAAGAAACCCAAGCTACTTTGATATTTTTTGGCCAATTTGCTGACCTCAAAACATTTCATTGCCATATTTGCCCCCCAAAAATAAAATTAAGTGTATTTTGAAATAAACAATCTTCCGTATGCATTTTGTGTGTGTTTTATTGGTTGAAATAATTAAACGGGTTAATTAAACATACTTTATCATTAAATGTATTCTAAACTGAAAAAAAGTCAGTGTGAAAGACTGAAAAACAAAAAAGTTAAAAAAATCCTTATTTCCTACCTACCTACCTAGAGAATTTCTAGGGCATTACCTTAAACATACAATTTTGTTTTGGCCTTACATGCAAACATGAGAATGTTTACATGCAAATGACTTGCCCTTATGTTATGGCTATGCTAACACAAGACACCTCCTCGCTATAAACCAAAGCAGAAAATTACGTGTCAAGGGCAAAAGCGTTTCACAGGTTGGCAAGGAATTGAGATTGCGCACTCTCATAGACCAGGGTTAGCACAGACTTTTTTGAGCTAGAACTTTAAGCACAGAACGGATCATAAACAGAACCATTTATGAAATTGGGAACTAATTTCCTTCAAAATCCTCAACTTATGCAAAGAGCATTTTGGAAGATTTGAGGTTAGGGCAGTGGTGCACCAAGAGATTGTCAATTTTATTATTTTTGGTAATTTTTAGTCTCACGATTTGACCTGGTGATATGTACATGTATGTGGCCTATTTTCGAGTAGTATAATAGGGTGGCACCACCGTAATGTAAGTGGCACCACCACCGTCAAAATAGCCCCCCCCCCCCACCCCGAAAAAAAAGAAACATTCCTCTGCAAAAAATTTTGGGCAACATTTTTAGAAAAATATTAAACTTCTTAAAATTGTGAAACAAAATTTGTGTGACACCCCCCCCCCCCCAAAAGCCAAGTCCTGGGTGCGCCACTGGGTTAGGGTCAAGTCGGAATTGTTTAGCGATGTGCCCTCACCTCCTTGAAGAGTGCTCCGTAGAATTTGATGATGCATGGACAATGGTTGCTCCTCTTTACGACATCCAGATCCATGAGTAGCTGCTTCTGTTCCTTCTCATCCACAGTTGACCGGATTCGCTGTAAGAAACGAACAAGGTTTGCTGTGGATGTACATACATCCTGTGGCACTGTGTCAAGTTAAGGTGTTTGCAACCTCATCCCCATGGCATTGAGCAGCACGCTCCCACTAACTGCTCTCTCACCCGGCACTTAATCATTAACATGTTCAAAAACTTGCACATTATAATTAGGTGGGGAATAGTCTGGTGCCAAGCCAAGCTTTAAATCACTGCTTGAATTTTGAATGTGGTGTCCAGGGTTCAGACGGAATCAATCTGTTGTGGCATGAGATTGGGAATCAAATATTTTCAAAGTTGTAAATTTATAATCTTACCCATCTAACATGCAGTATTACACTATATATGATTATAAGCAAAAAGGAAAAACAAGGGGGGGGGGGGGTTGTTTAACCTTAAAAAGAAGGAAAGTGAACTTTATAGTTTAACAAACAATCAGGATTTACACCTTCAACCTTCAGGAAACTGTATCAGTGCTCTATCAATTGAGCTATCCAGCCCTACATTGGCAGTCTCACAATTTGTAATTGAACAATTTCTTACTAGTCTATGAAAAAAAAAGAGATTGTCTTCACATACAACAATATTTTATCATTCAGAAGACGAGGGGATCAAAAACCATTTCATTAAAAAGAAACACCGCTAGTGAGCAGCTACTTTGTTTTACCTTTCAAGGAAAATACACCAAAGTCAAGAGTCAGGTTACACTAATACCTTGACTGCCATGATGGTATTGCTTTGCGAGTGCCACATCTTACTAACAGAGCCAAACGCCCCACGCCCAATTTCTCCTCTGTCTTCCAGATCCTCGGATGTGAAGTCATACGTCTGTAAACCAAAATACATAAAAGGGACTACTATCAATACCATCTGAGTTCCATCTCAAAAAATAGATTCCTTAAAATTGTTTTTTTCTAGCAATACAAAAGTTAGTCACTTTTGAGTGAGTTATTGAATTACTACTTTACAATAAGCCTCTGTACTGATGACGTCACACTTTGTCTACATGTACACTTGCGGTCCACTGAGCACTATAGGAAAGCACACACGTAAACGAAGTGTGATGTCATCAGTACAGAGGCTTATTTTGAATTATTGGCTGCCAGATTATTAGCTGCAAGACAATAATTCCGTTCTCATGCCGTAGGCTAGTTCCCTTTCAAAAATCAGTATCGAGAATGTGTGGAGGAGCAGGAGCCAGTCTGCTGGCAAAGCGGATCTGTTTGTGCCAGAAACAACAACCCTTTTTTCCCAGAGCTTTGCAGATGTTCAAAAATGGGAAAACTATTTTGGTTGGAATAAATCGTACAAGTTGAAAACTGACCCTAACCCCCTAAGAGTTCATTTGGAGTACAGTACCACATACTACAAAGTACTACAAAAATTATGTATGCAGGTACCCAAATACTAGAAAATACTGTGAGTGCTGTGCTCACTTATATGGTGAAGTATTTCATACTACAGTTTACTACTAGTAGTATTTGTAGCTTTAGGTGAGGTAAGGGTAAATAAATAAAAAAAAAAATAAAAAAAAAAATCAATTTTGTTAAAGGGAAGATACAACATTTGCAAACTGGATTTACTGGATTGTTAGGGAATGACAGTCTAAAGCATCCTGTAAAATCGTAGCTACTGGTGTGCTGACATTTTGAAGAAAAATTGTATTTTTTCAACGCTGGTTGGCCGACCAGCATTGGAGAAAACTGGCTTTTTTTTCTCAAAAACTGCTCCTAATTTTTCAAATTTAGTTATTCCGCATTTTGTTTGCAATCGATTACACACCTGTGAAGGAGTACAAGCCTGCTAGACTGATTCTCTGACCTTACAATTCCCCAAAGTCTATAAACTGCTCTGTTTCATCTTAAGTGGGGTCAGGGAATTAGACTACAAGAACATGATTGGTTTTCTTGGTTTTTCCAGCATCTAAGGACCCAAAACGTGGAACAAATCAGTGTAACAATATTTGCTATAACATACTAATTCTCCAAATCAATTTATTTCTGTAAATTGCAGCAAAAGCAAATGATGTACATTCCCTTTAAAGAGCACAGGGAACGCAACTTTAAAGGTAGAATCTGTGGATGGAACTACCAAAATATTTCTGTCTGATACCTTTTTCAGACACGGGTCCTGGAGTCACGCCAGACCAAAATGGATTTAGAGTCAATCTAGTCAACAAAATAGGCTTTGGTTTCAGACAGGCAACATTTATGAGTAAATTTATGAGTAAATACAATCTTTCAATAACTGGCACATGTAGTTGCTCCTAACTGCTTCCAACCAGGGATATTGGTCGAGTCCATCACTGCAAGTCCATCACAAGTCCTCCAGTCCCAATTCAACTCACAGGCTATTCAAATGAGCTTTGACAAAGGCATTCCTTTGTTATTGTTCAGTGTTACTTGTGACTGGACTTGAAAGACTTGTGATTTACTTGTGATGGACTTGTGATGGACTCGACGACGTCCCTGTGTCCAACAGTGAACTTGATTCGAACCTCAGAATTAATTTGGCTGGGCCCGTCTCTGCATTGGGTTGAACTCTCTGCTTCTACTCTTGCACTTGAAAGTGAAAACACTGTGTTATCACAGGGTGCACTTGGGTATTGTGTGCCTGGATGGAAATCAATTTCTTTCTATGCTAGTTGACTATATAGACGATAAGAATTGGATGTTTTTGTCACTTGATGCCAACTTTCAGCAAATGGTTCGATCTGTTCTGCACTGCATGTTAATCCCTTGAAAATGTAAAATGGTTTAAAAGTGCTGATGAATACTGTTTAATGTGGGCCAAATAACGTGCAAAAGAGGCTTAAATGTGTGGGTAGCCTGGCATGACGTCACAGCACATGGACTATATAAACTGAAGGGAAAGTTCTTTCATTTTCAGCTGATAAATCTTACCTCAACAGCTGATATGCTCAGCTTGCCTATGGAGTCCAGGCTACGCGAACGCATTCTGTCTCTGTAACAGAAACAAATAAGAAACATATGTTGGATAAGGGTCTTTCTGAGCTGTATTAACCCTAACCTTCCCAAAACGTCCAAAATCCTCTTTGCAAAATCATGAAAATGGAGGATTTTGCAGGATTGAGGCTATATGGCAAACGTGCGTGGTTGATTTTGGAGGATGCACTGTGTCAAGGTCCTAGGCCAGTTCTTGTGTTATTTATGCTCAGCCATGCATAAATTTGGGCCCATGTTATACTTGAAATCCTCCGCAGTGCCCCAGGATGTCTCTGCTTCTGCCTCAACATACTGACAGTGATTGCTGGAAGGATTTTGCAGGATTGAGGCAGTGGTCACCCCTCCAAGGACCACATTCAAGAACTAACGGAGGATTTTGCAGGATTGAGGCTGTAAGCCATTTTTACAGGGAGGCAGTTGGAGGATTTTGTAGGATTGAGGTTACATCCTAGCAAAAATGCCTACATGTAGGGAGTTAGGGTTATATAGCTCTTTTAAAAATGTGACAAAAAGGTGTTAGATGTAAAGGTTCTACTGGTGATAATACTACACATGCAATACATAATGTACAACTCAAAACCCTGACTGTCCGCAAGTGCTAAAACATACTAAATTATACATTGAATGAGTTCCAAATACTGTCTTAATGTCGCAGGTACCTCTGTAAACTATAACACTTCCACTTTCACTAATAAAATATACTTTGCATGTGTGTACATGCATGACTCTGCTTTTACACACATGTCTATTTTAGTTTCACATTTCATTTCTCACTGAACAAAAATTTCAATGAGTACGTTTCTATGGAAATAGTGAGGAAGTAGTTGAAATTTAAAAAAATTGTGCTGATTTCACATGAATCAGGAATTCTAAAAGGAAAACTGCACTTTTAACCGTCACGTCAGTGCAACAAGGTCGTATCTCCTAAAATGGCATAAACGCAAAAACGTGAGTTTTAGAATGCAAAAAGGTTGTATCTCTCTTAAAATAACCCACATGTACATGTACACGCAAAGTCAATGGACGCCGACATGCGACCTTTTTTGCAGAATTCAAAACTAGATGTTTATGGCAAAAATGTGTGGCTGATTTTGGAGCATGCACTGTGTCAAGATCTTGGACCGGACTTTATGTTATTTGAAATCTTCCACACTGCTCTAGGATGTCACTGGCTCTGCCTCAACACATTGACGTTGATTGCTGTCACCCCTCTAAGAAGTAACACAGGATTTTGCAGGATTGAGGCTGTATGCAATTTTTACATGGCGGCAAATAGAGGATTTTGCAGGATTTAAGAGGCATCCTAGCAAAAATGCCTATGGAGTTAGGGTCATGAACGTTTGTAATTTGTGGTTTAGCAATTTCCCACAGTGTCTGTCATTGGCAACTGCTACCACACTACGTGTGAATATCTCAGGCTGTGAAGGTACAACAATTTAGGAAAAGACGCTCACGCTGCACACACAGATCCTGCTGGCTAGCCCCAGCTAGTGACCTTTGATCTTTACTTCACGAACTTTCTAAAGTTTGCAGTATGGAGTGCCTAAATTAACAGAATAGTTTTTTAACGCTTCATCTGGTCTCACCAGGATTTCAATTCAGGATAAGTGAAATTGAAAATGGTGGATTTAGGCAAATCTTTAGGTACAGGAAACGTTATTGTGGGAAGGTTCAAATGATACCTTCCCATGTGGCACACAGTTTCCTCCCTTGTTTTCCAGTTAATGTTAGGGAAGGGCCATCAAGGTACGCCTTGTAAGACTATTTTTATACAGCTTTTTATTTAGCAAATATGATTAAATGGTTACCCACTTGTATTTGCAGTACCCGCTGCTATGTACATCAGATTCGAACCAGCCAACCCGTTAGCTCGGTGGTCGAGTGGTAAGACATCTGCACTAGAAAGCAGGAGGTCGTGGGTTCGAGTCCCGCCCGAGTGATTTTTTCTAACTTTCACTCGGGAGGTAACACACTGAGTATACACTGTTTATACGTCGGTGAAGGGCAAAAAACCTACTTTGGTCTACTTGTATTTGTGTGAACTTAAACGATTATAAAATTCATAAATTTGGTGAATTAAAAGTCACAGCAGGTTTGTACAATAAGGCCCGGTTCACTCTCAGCGCGAATGCCAATACGAATGCAAAGCACATTGTGACGTCACACCAATTTTGTGATGTAATTTCCCAAATATTGGACACATTTCCACTCCGGGCGAATTTTGCTGCAAATGTTTTATGACGCCACATTTGATTTGCATTTGCATTCTGGTCAGACCAAAAAAAAAAATACATCTGCTTCTGATAACATGGCATTTGAAAATAGGGTAGGTAGGTAGGCAATTTTTTTTGGCGTACGATCATACCTAGGTGTCTGCGTTGTATTCAAGGGTAAAAGGTTTTACCCTTGATGGTTTTCGGGGGTTTTCCCTCACTTTTACCAAAAAGCAAATTATGGAAGGGGCTGTCAAACTAGGGAAGATAGGGTAACCGGAAGCAGAATAATAATATTTTTTTGGCCTCAAGCTTAAAGCGGCTTTGAGAGTTCACTTACAGATGTGACTCGTATCTTTGATTGCTGCTGCCACCATTGCTACTTTGTGTACTGTGCGTGCTACTGATGCTGGAATTACTGGGGCTGGTTACCAGACTTAGTCTGCTTGATGACATCCCAACATGCATTTCTTCGTTGCCGTCACTGTCATTTTGAGGGGGGATGCGGGTGAAGTCTAGTTTCAGCACGCGTTTTGATTTGGAATCATCTGAAAATTAAAAAAATAAAATAATGTAAATTATGAAATAGCACTGCAATGGAGCTTGTCAGGAAGGAAACAAATAGTATAAATATTGGCAGATGAAGGTGGCAAATGTGAGAGCTGCTTTCTTCATGTATTCCATCTGTTCCGTCTGAATGACGGAAACAAGAACAGGGTCCGGGAATCAGACCTAGGCCTAATGCGATTTCAGTCTCTACTTCACTTTATAGCAAACTCCTCCAGAGCCACCAATCAGACAGAAAAGATGAAATATTCTGCCATTAAATGCAGGATTTAATTTACAGCTCAATAAAGGAAGAAAACTCGTACTCCTAGGGAAAAAAGAAAGATTTCCAAAAAAAATTCTAAATGTAGACATCACTTTTTTTAACAAATAAAATGCAACGGCTGTTTCTTGTTCTATAGATTCTCCCAGACTTTATGGTTGTGCACTACTATCGGTTGAGAGATTGTACAGGAAAGAGCCGTCACATTGCAATTCGCATGCTGGAGTGACAAGATCGATTTGCATAACAGACGTCACAGCTTTGGGGTTATTGTTTCTTACAAAAAAAAAGACATGAATCAATGAGGGACCAGTTCACTTACCACTATCAAACATCGCTATCAGAATTCACGAACATAAATTATGCATATAAGCCAACTGGCAAACAGTGCGGGTCATTATGTGACATCACAATCGCGCGGCATGCATCGATAAGGGATTCCCCCTTGTTCTGAAGCTTCTCATTGGTAAACAACGGTCACACGATGTACTACGAAATTATTTTCCAATTTTCTATAATCGATACTACGGATTTACCGTTTACTGCATTGAAATTGGTCACCTCTATGCCGCGTTATCGGCACTTTCTCATAAGCATACACGTAAGCTTTTGCACGATTCTGTGCCAAAGTGCCGTGTTTTCGTGAGTGTTATGTTCGTCTTTCTTCAAATGGTGTACTGTTAAAGAATTTATTCATGAAATGCACTATTTTTGTGGGTGAAGTTGAAAGTCTTAGCGACGATTTGGTGCAAAGGTTGACAACATGCACTTCCATTAACACCCCTGCATGACCGATACGCAAAAATATGTGGTCGTAAAAGTATGCAAAACTATATGTCTAGATGTCTATGACTGCACTATGTGCATGACGTGTGCGTGGGAGGGGGGGGAGGGGGGAACAATGCTCATTATCATTCACGACTTTGACCCAAGCAGTTGACCTTGCTATTGTGCATGCTCACAACACAGGGCTCGATTTACCCGGTGCACGCATGCACCAGTGCATGTAGATTTTTGCTTGTGCACGTAGCTTTTTAACTGAGCATGCACAACGTGCATGTAACTTTTTTAGCCACCAAAATACTCATTTCATGCATATATTTACCAGTGAGTGAGAATAAGAATAAAGTTTGTTGAATGTTTGACCAGATAGTGTACAAACGTGTTATTTCTTTTATAAATCCATAAATATTCCTCGCACCATGCTCGCACATTCGCAGCAGATTCAGAGTACGAGTATCAAGATCTCGACGTACGTCCTGCAACCTCCTCCGATCATGCATGTGATTTACCACGTGATACATGCTGCGGATAATTTGGTATCGCACTGACGCTCCGGGCATTCCTTATGTCCGGATCATAAGTGCGAATCCAAATTATTAGGTGCGTTTACCACGTGGTCTCGTTATTGGCCAATCATATGCGCCACATGAAGCAGACGGGTAGCTCGGAGGGCTCCGATAATTTTGCACGCAAATGACCCTGGGTACTTGTCCAGGATCATTTGTCAGGGTCACTTGTCAGGTTAAAATCTGATTTCTACACGTCCGAATGGGTCTTCATCGACGGCAAATTTCGTCGAAATGACATCCTGAACACGCGGGAAGGCAAATTTAGATTTCTAGGCGAGTACTGAACATATGTACGAAATTATGTATGGCGGATCGATTTCGCCATGTTAGGCTTGAGCATGATAGAGTAAAAAAGGCTATGTACTGTACTGTCTGTCGAAAGTTCGATACATTTCAAAGAGAAAGAATGCCTTCAGAGCTAGAGAAGCAGACGGGTGTAAGTCAATTATGGTGCATGTGGGTTTTTCTTGGTGCATGTAGGTTTTTTGGTCTACATGCACCAGTGCATGCCACTTTTTTTTTGTAAATCGAGCCCTGTCACAACACGATAGGAGTCGGGAACTAGGGCAGCTTTTATGAGCAGAAACCAGTTCTTGAAAGCTAGTTCCCGACTCCCTATCATTGTTCGAAATGCACTTGTGTTTACAAACGAGATCCAGTCTACTCATTGTCATAATGCATCGTGCTCGGTAACGTAATCGCACTTGGGATAGGGGGACCATTGAATGAACGCTGGGCATGACCACATCGCATTGTTCAAACACGAGTCGGAAATTTAACGTGTTTAAGATCGCGAGGGAAGCTCTTGGAATTGAATGGGAAATTTCACTTTTCATCCGGATCGTAAATAAACTTTAGTACCTCGATCTTAATCATCGATCTCTGCTTGTACCAGGGGTGTGAGTGACCACTGATAAAAATAGCTGAAAACAGCTGAAAAAGGTGTAAAAAAAGCTGAACTTTGGAAATCTCCTATACTTTTGTACACAGTAAGTTAGGGAAAAAGCTGAAATCCAAAACAAAAAAAGCTGAAATCAGCTTTAAAGCTGAGATTTCACACCCCTGTTGTAGGCCTACCTCAGGTTGCGTATCTTGTAATTTGGAGGCCGTTTTGAGGGTGAAATCTGATGTTTTTGTTGGCTAATGTTGGGGTTTTGGGTCAGCACGGTCAGTCATGTCAGTGTGAGCGTTGTGTTTCACGGCATATGCAGATCTACTTGGACCGTACTATCGCCAGACCATGTCTGCATGTCCGAATGTAAAAAGGCGATAAGTTGGGTCCAAGTTACTCGGACTACATACATGTAGTAATAGTAGCCTAAGTGGTGTATACACAATTTACATGTACATAAAACTACATGTACAACAACATTGATCATGATTGACCATGTTCAATGTTGACGAATAAAAAAAGCCTATCCATCAATCATGTCCATCAGGCATCACTCAGTTCACAAAGTGCCAAACTAAAGATTTTTCACAACATGAAAGGCATCCTTTTCAAATTTATTATTACTGACTATTTGCCTTAGTATAACATCAATATGGGACACAATATCTTTCCGATAAATTGTCACAAATTGTTGATTAAATTTACGATAAAAGGGCGAAAGTTATGACTCACCGTTCCCTCCGCGGAACGCCATTTTGGATGACTGATACATCAGTCAGCTGAGGTCACTCACATAGAACATAGACTTCGCTTCAAGTCTTTCATGTTGAGTATCGATCATTGAAAGTGTCTGTTCAGTACGAATGTGTAGCACCGGACCACACAGAGCGCAGTGACGACTAGAAGCTAGTTTACTTTCATTCTTTTTCGCCAGTGACGTTTTCATGGCGGTGATAAGTGCGCCCTCTCTCGTCTGGGACAGCAGTTTTCGATAATGGGTGGGGCAATATAAAATGCAAAATGAATGTAGCAAAATAAAACCTGTTTCGTCCAAACAAAAAACCCAGTTTATTGTGTATTCTGACTGTTTGGAACAACAAAGAATATGACACAGAAAACTTGTTTCAACAACAGTACTGTCGACAACATGTAGTACACAATATCTTCATAATCAACCCTAAGATTTGAGGCTTTGCGTGGTATCGGTATCGTTCTGGTTTGCGGTAACACCATGTGGTAACGATTACTGCTTAGAAGATATTTAGTTATGAAAAAAACTTGTCCTGCTTATTATCAACTTTCGCTAAGTAGTTTTTGTTCTGATAAGAACAGTCCTGCTTTTTAAGTTCTAAAAGAACCGTCTTTGGTCTCAACGTTTCGACTATAGCCTGCTCTAACCTCGTCCCCAGTGCTCACTTTATTTCCAACCACGTTTCCAATAGTAAGCCCTGGATGGGAAAGTTTCTTCCTGTATCCTGATTCGATACCGCAATTGGCTAGTAATGGATTTTTATCGTGTACTTGGTGCTATTATTCACAACGTGCAGTACGTGTTTTCGCGATCATTCGTCCACGCCTTCTCGAAAATACTAATTTTCTTTCCAATTTGCTCATATTAATATGAAATATGATACTGCATGTTGTCTCGATAAGATCGTAACAGATTAATTAAATAAATTTTGTTTTCGTAACCCACGCTGTGCTCGCGCTGCGACGAATCATTTACCCCAGACACCGCATACAAGAACGAACGATAATGTAACGCACATGCAGGCACCAGACTATTCCTCATTTGCATACGTGTTCAAAAATCTTGCACATGCAAATGATCCAATACCAGGGTGAGAGAGCAGGCAGTGATGGGCGCGTACTGCTCGACACCCTGGGTCGAGGTTGCCTTCGTGTTTATTTTAAAGAGAAGACCTTTTTTCCCTAATTAACCTTCTATACCCAAGGTACTTTACTTGCAGGCAAGTTTTATGGATACACGTGCAATATTTTAATGCAGAAATACAATGAAAGGGAACACACAACATTTAGCTTGTGCTTTAATTTTCACAAATGGGTGGATTTGGGGTGAGTATTTTATAGCAAATATTGATACACTGACTTGTTGGACGTTTTGTGTTCGTAGATGCTGGAAAAACCAAGAAAAGCAACCATGTTTTTGTAGTCTGGTTCCCGGACCCAACTTAAGATGAAACAGATCACTTTATAGACGTCGGGGAATTGTAAGGTCAGGAAACCAGTCTAGCTTGCTTGTACCCGTTCATAGTTGTGTAATCGATTGCAAACAAAATGCGAACTTTAAGCTAAATCTTGTAAGTTTGGTTGGGGCATTATTTGAAAAAGCCAGTTTTGATACAAAAATATCACTTTAATGACTGCACACTAGATGCCATGATTTCACAGGATAGACAGTCATTCACTAACAGTCCAGTAAGGTATTTCATAATAATCTGGTGGTTCTGTTGTTTGATGTTTGCAAATGCTGTATATTCCCTTTTAAGTAAATAAGATGTTTTCCCCCCAAAAATCGAAACACTACTATAATCTGTATTGGTTATATCATTCTCTACAGGAGCCCCTTCAAAATGAAAAAGAGCGAAAGCAAAATAGAACGACCATTAATAAATAAAAACAAATATTGAGAACGTTTTAATTATTGAAAATATTCATTTTAACTGAAAAAAAACCCGCCGTTGAAACCCTTCACCTCTTCTCAAGCCATTACATGCTAAGGAGATCTTGATTTTAATAAAGTAACTGTGTTTATTTTCGGATCTGAAATGTGCGCTGACGTCTAGACGAATTTCGACAGGTCGACGACGGGAATCTGGTCCGAGTCACAAAACACACGAGAGTTATCCAAGCCATCCAGCACAACCGCTCTCTTGTGAGGCCAGGTACCAGACCGACTATATTCGTAGAAGGAGTCGTACAACCTGAGGTGGTGCATACAAATTAAAGGTATTTCATTAATGACAACAGTAGAAACCTTGCATAGAGCGCCCTCTTGAGCACAGGATTTGTTATTTTAAATTCAGTGATATGAAAGTAAAAGTGTCTAATTATGTTATCACCGACGAACAAAGATCAATCTGTCATGTTCTGTGTTTGGACCGTTGACAATGTCAATTGTGCACGTTTGGGGCGCAATATACAAAGGGAAAAGAATGCAAAGTGCGCCTATATAGCTTGCTTCAGAAATCCAGTGTTAAATGTAACAGAAAACCAAGTAGTAACAAGTTTGTAAAATGTATCAGTAAAGGCTACATATTATGGTCGGGATGTCCCATAAGAAGATGTCTTGATTTAAGCCGTGTAGACTAGGAATTGCAGTTATTATAACTGCGGTGTCCCGTGATAGCACAGCAATCGCGAATGCCAAACATTTCTGGGGAGATTATTTGCCCATAGAGTTTCGAGCCGTTGTCTGTATTCAACAGACAAATGGTATGGTAAAGGACTTTGAAAAACCGTGCAAAGGTTTCCATGGAACCACAGCCGTGCTTGATTTTCACATGCTTCCCCTGCATTTCTGGGTTTAATTCTTGGCTAAGCTCACCCTCTCTTTGCTTCAGAGGAATCACCGTGTTGCCGGGCGTAAACCTCCTCGAGATCGACCTGTCCAGCCTGATAATTATTCGATTTGATGAAGATGAAGGGCTGTATCTTCCGCAGTCCCTCCACATTGTCGCACATAAGTCGTGCCGCGGTAGCCTTCTTAATCTCCTGAATCTGATCTATAAAGTGAAATAAAGTGAACCAAAGGAAGAGACAAAAACTTTAAGCAAATTGGGATTCCAAAACGACACTATTTTGTGAAAGACACTGTAGTGAAGGCCAGGATGCTAACACAAGCTGACACAATACGTGAACGACACCACGAAGTAACACCGGTGTCATATGAAAATCCGACTCCTATGAAAATCGGACCCCTTTTCGCTATTATTGGTAAAGCTCTCACACGTGACAGGTCACTCTCCCATAATGATCCTAAAAATTGCATCTTATCGTACCTACGCATGCACATTACTACCAATGAGTCCACATTTCATGGAGTCGGATATTCACGCTACACCGGAGTGGACTTGAGTTCACACTACGCGCGCGTATTTTACAGAACCGAGTGATTTCCGTTTCCACGAAGTACGCCACCCATCTTTATTTCACCAGTTTCAAGGCCTTTATTCATTTGTTTGTAATCCTACAAAAATACGGATTAATTACATTCCCGTCAAACGTTCTCAAACGTTTTTATCGAAATGGTATTTCCGTATGAGTGTTGTGGCTTGTGAAAACGAAAATCGTTCGCGCCAGTGTCCGATGTGCGCGCGTCCACTTGGTTGTTACTTCGTGAAACCAACATTTTCCATGAAGCGAACGTAACATGCATAATCTTCAAATCAATGAGGGAGCTTCGTGTTGTGTGCACCCGTTGCCTTTATAATAGGATTATAATACAGAGTAATTTACGGGAACAACTTCCATTTTTGATGTGGCATTGCAACTCACACTAACGCCGTACGCGTTTTTAAAGACGAGGCGTACGCGCATTTTGACATTCCTATTGGTCAAAGGAGCTCGGAGTGGGTGCGTACTACCTGAGCGCGACTCAGGCGAATCTGGTGTCAGTGCCACCTCGGAAAATGGTTTTAAATGAATTGGTCCACAAAAAGGACTATTGTGCGGAGAAAAGTGGTTCAGGAGGATCTGCTATTCTTATTCGGAAATGATAAGAGATCAACTACCTAGCTCTGATTATTTCCCGATTCAATTTATCTGATACAAAAAGTAACGCGGTACATGTCCATTTCAAGTCACGTAAATCCTCGTCAAGTCATGAATAATGAAGACATACCTTTTCCATCTTTCGTGCCTTTCGCCTAGATGGATTTGTGCTTTGATGTTAGACAGTATCTTACTAAAACTCTAAAGAGAGCGTTACAAAGCACTACATTTAATACAAACATGATGATTATGTCATTCGATAAAACCTATTCCGTACCTGGAGTGAACTGCTCCGAGTTCTCATAAAAGAAACGATCGCCGAATTTGATTCGATGGAACTGATCGGCAAAGATGCAAGCAAGAAACGGTCCGACCAGGGTGTTGGGAAGATGGGTCTCAAGCACCGAGCCTACGAATGCATCTACATCCTTCACGTCACTGATGATGCAATGCCATATTTGGGAGAGTGGAGGTCAACAATTAACAATGGGTGATAATCATCAGGGATTATAATGTTACCGTCTTAAACTAGAACTAGTTTACCTATGCATAAGATGGGATTTTGCATCGGGGTGATGCAAATCATATTAGGTTTTGCCATTCACCGATGTATGAATAGCCAATAAGGTGCCAGCTGCTATGTACATCAGATTCGAACTAGCCAACCCGTTATCTCGGTGGTCGAGTGGTGAGACATCTGTACTAGAAAGCAGGAGGTCGTGGGTTCGAGTCCCACCCGAGTGATCATTTCAAACTTTCACTCGGGACGTAATACATTGAGTATACAGTGTTTATACGTCGGTGAAGGGCAAAACCCAATTTCATTTAGAAATTTACTTTCCATATTTACGAAGTGGCCATTCTCTCCGAAGTAATACATTGCACACGAGAAGGATAATCACTTGAAAAGCCAACGCCCAAAATATAAGCTTTTAATATAAAACCCCTGGCCACCAAATGAAGAAAATGCGACGCCGAAGGCACAATTGAAACACCATACTTTTGGTAAATTTTGGGGTACATTTCCTCCTTCTGGATACCGTCCAACCACTACACAAAATGTCGTCCACCTTGTTCGGAAAAGATGTTGTACAGCGCCAGTGCGAGTACACAATGTCAGTGTTGCAAGAAGTCTTGCATACAAGTCTTGCATGAAATCGATCAAAATGATAGTTAATATAAACCCCTAAGCTGGTAGAAAGTAGGTATTGGTAATTGGTACTCCCTAGGAGGATAGGAAAAACATGCAAGTGCACAATAAGCTCTGGCCTTTTTGCAAGAAGTCTCGCATGACAGGCTTGCATGACAGGCTTGCATGACAGGCTTGCATGAAGTTGATCAAAATGATCCCTGCCAGAGCATAAAATGAAATCGATCACATCGATCCCTTCAAAGAGCGGAAAAATGCGAGGCCAATGGCACATAATGAAAGACCATACTTTGGGTCAATTTTGGGGGGACAGACAGACTGGACGACCGACCGACCACCAAGGGACATGTAGAAGCTCCTGCGACAGCTTATATATAACGGAATTGGCTCCTACGGAACACTGAATCGATTTATAGTAGCTCACTGGATCAGTAACCCGTCCAGATGTCATGATAGGTCTCGTGAAATTATACACTTTTCAATATTTTTGAAGATATTTTTCAATAGCCTAATAAAAATATGACAACTTTGAAGAAATTGTCAAAATGAGATTTTACTGGAATATGAAAAGTTCCCGATTCATTTGATCGTTATGCCAAGCACGGACAGTACAGTTTATAAGGTTTACATACCTGTATGCTTTCTGGAGGCCTCGGAGATCATCCCACGGCATGACGCCATCATCAATAAGGTCTTGAAAACTATTGATTTCACCCAGGCCGCAGAAATCCTTCCTGATGGTGGTATAGCTCGGCAAGCCGTGGTCTCTACCTCGTTGGATATCTATTGACACCAGGTCAAACCCATCACTGCGAAAAAACATACCAAAAACTGAGTTCGGCTGATGTTTTTTTTATGTCATTATGACTGATTTTGTTTGTATTGCTGAAAGTATGGCCTCATTGAGCTCGCAAGTGCGCTGTGTAACCTAAAGCCAGCCTCAGGTCGACCTGCGATTTGCTAGCACCACGACGGAACTGTTGGCATCAAGCAGAAAAACAATACTCAGGTCACAAAACTGAGAAATCGTGTGATTCTCGTGAAACAAGCGGCATCCCGACGCAAAATAATCTCAACCATGCTCATGTCACCCAAGACGCGACGATCCACCACGATTCCACCGTAGAGACAGTCATGTCACAGTCAATCGGCGACTGAAATGTTCCCGACGGTCGTAGCTCAGACGCAGCTTGATCCTGAAAGGTCAGTCGCCGACTGATCTGAGTCGTCGCAAGGTCGACCTGAGGGTGGCTTAACGGCGAGAGCCACGCCACCGGTTTGCACGTGTTTTTCAAATGAGGTATTGAAGATGGGCTCCATGAGCCTTGATCGTTTCACGTCCACACCACATTGAAGTACTTTGATGTATATCATTCATGTCACATATAGGCCTATATTTTATTTCTAGACTGGAAGTGACTGAATATTCAGAAAACGGGTACAAGGAATTTGTGAATAAGCTTATTTGAGATAATTATGACGGACATAATAAGGGGGCGCGAAAGGCGCACCCAAGCAAGTAACGTCTCAAAGAGACCAGTCCTAATTGCCCATACTTCAAATTCTTTTAAAAATACTCAAAACTTTCACAGGTGTTCAGGATCCACAGAAAAGAATGATGTCAACATGTCTTTCATTTCCGTTCAATTTTTGGTGCGACTTTTTGAGATATTCTTACACAAAGAAGACCGGACCAAAGAACGAATGATATTTCCCAAACTGGAAAAGTAGCCATTTTGAAAAGGATCCCTTGACAACATGGCTATATAGCGCCACTTTCGGACCCAATTGCATCCAAAATGCTCAGATTTAAAGCCCCAAGCCCAGGCAAGAGGTGCAGTGCCATACATATGCGTTCATCCTCCCCCCCCCCCAAATTTAATGGCTCTCGAAACCCTCTAATAAAGAATTTTGAATGTATAACTTTTATTCATGAGCGCGGCGGACGGGTTTTTTGGGCCTATTTAATAAAGTTTATCCTGGGCTGTTGCTCACTCAGTGTACTTACCCTTCCACTTCCGGGTCACCAAAAAGATTATTGACGAGGGCGTCCGAGAAACGCCTATCCACGTTGTACATACTCTGCACCGTCATGCCTCTCAGTATGGAGTCGACAGCGCCATCAGGGATGGACTCGTCGAACATGAACGATGCGTTGAAGAACGCCTCACTCATGGGAATCCGAGGAAGTTTGCGCATATAATTCTTGGTTGCGCGTACGTAGTGAAACGGGACTTGCGTGTGTCCGAAGCGGAAGGCAGCCGCAGCGAATAGGTTGGATACGGATGCGTCTACGTCCGGGTCGTACTCGTACGGTGCGTTTGGTGAAAGGTTCTTAGATGTGTACAACTCCTCTCCGATGATCAACGGTAGGTACTCGTTGAAGATGATATGCTGCCACTTTGCTCCCAGAATCTTACGCGCCTTCTGGTAGACCTCTTCGGCGGGCAGCAAAGGGTCAAGCCTGCGGAGTTCTTCGGCAATGCGGTTGTGTTCTCGTAAGAAGAGCGTTTGGAGTGCGGTTATACCGGGCTGTTCCGCAGCGCGGTGGTCGCCGGCCTTACCGCACCAGATTCCCGCTGCCTCGTCCACTCCAGCACACCCTTTCAAATCTTTGTCCGGTGGCAGTAACTCTCGGCCCGTCATTTTATCGGTGAGGTGTTTCATCGATCCGGACTCTGCGGTAGAAGGCATGAATGATCTTTCCTTAGAAGAGGCTTTTTGTGGAAGACGTTCAAGGCTGAATTCGCTCAAGGTATGTGGTAACAACAAATAAGATTCAAAGACGGGCACAAGGGTCTGTTAGCCCTGTACTCAAAGAGCACACCTGGGTCGGTGCGATAGAGGAACGTGTCACGCAAGATCTAATCTGACGGCATCAACAAGGGATGCAAGTTGGCAATGCTTTTGGGGATTTGGCCTTCATCAAGGTTGTATCAATAAACGCTGTATGCTCAGTGCTGGCCGAGCCAGCTCGGGTGGGACTCGAACCCACGACTTCCTGCATTCTAGTACAGACGTCTTAACTTCTCGACCACCGAGCTAGAGGAGTCAAGAATCCGGTTCGAATCTGTATAGCAGCAGGTACCGCAAAGAATGATTGGTGGTGGTAGGTGTGTTGCTTTTTGTTGATGTAAGTATAACAAAGGGCCCAGGTGATGCCAGATAAATTCATATCTTGTCAATGATTTAAATCGTGTCAAAGAAGGAAATGTTGTTATGAAAAGATCACTGATCACCATACATGCGTGCTGTAGGCTATCAGCTTCGGTCCAAAAATTTGGCCACTGGTATCAAATGATTGAAAAGAGCAATGTTCATAGCGATTTTTGGCAATACACATCTAGAATTGGAAAATGTGCGATAGCTTTGTAGTGTGAGCGTTGGCAGTTTTTTTGGTGTTATAACTTTTAATTTTTTTTTCAAAATGGCCGCCAATATGCTTGAACAGGATTAATAATATGTGGTTACAAGCATTGTTTTGGCTGCCATTATTTTGTTTTTTAAAGTGATAGCACCCAAAAAGCTGCCACTGCTTCAATGCTATCATTTATTTTCCAACTACAGGGGTGCATATAATATACCTTGCCAAAAATCACATTAACCATTATTCCCCTCATTTGATACCGATCCCCCGGCTGATGGCCTACTATGCATGCTTTATGTTTCGGACTTTTGATCAAGCGTACACAATATTGTAGGCTAAAGTAGGCTTTGTGATTAATAACAACAAAAAAATAATAAAAAACACAGCTCGCTTCTCGACTAGATTTTAGATATTTCTGGTCGAATGCAATGACGCCCCGAGGCCCCGACGAAAGAAAAATATCTCCGTTGACGTCTTGTTTAACCAGCCCACTAAAGTCCCAGTCACCATTCACGGTCGGAGTTACGAATATCCACGGTTTACTAAGAATCAATCGATCACGATGAACCATCGAGATTCGTGGAGAAATCGACTTTCTAAGAATGCACTACGGTTTCAGGACGGATAGCCACGACTGTCCTAAGGTTTCTCTTCGAGTACACCACGGTTTGTCAATTATATAGACGGATTGGTGAAGAATCTTGACAGTATTACTAAGAATAATGACGTTAAGAATAATGACGATTGTCTGCGATTGGGCCACGGGTGACCAAGGTTCTACTACGAATAAAGCATACGTATTCGTATTACAACCTTAGCAGAATCCTAGCATATCCGGGCATATCCGTAGGACATTTGTATCGAAATCATAGAGATTTCTACCACGACTGAGCTACGAATCTCAAAGAATATGTACGAATAGCCACGACTACGAATTAGTACGGTTGTCCTACAGATGTCCCACAGTTGCACTACGGATTGATTTTTATGGCAATTCACCACTGAACAGTTTAAAGATTTTGCAGCCCCTCCACCTCCACGAATACCCAAGGAAGATGACGGATAACCGGACCACGGAGGTACTAAGGATGAACACGGTACTCCCGGAGGTTTATCACGAATTTTAAATAGTGGATATCCGGAGCCCCAAACTGTGAATGTGTGACTAGGGCTTATTACCAAGCAACCAACCAACCTCCCAATCGTACACAACTGGAGCCTATTCTACGGCACTGGCTCATCGGAAACTGGGATAAGCACTGAGTAACAACCTGTGTAATTTAATGTTCTTTCTTAATGATTTTTGCTGTGTACTTTCATGTGTTGTTGTGAAAAACTTAGTAGCTCCGGTGTAAAGAACATTGACTCGGGGAATGACCGGGACACACTTAAGACACTATACACAGAAGGTTATTTACTAAATCGACCAACGAAAAAAGGCTTTTATCGCCACTTTACTAAATTTTCTAATTAACTTTCACTTTTTTTCGGCGTCAACCAATTTCCAGAGGCTAAATTCTGATGGTAGTTTAGGTGAGCTATTGTAATGAATTTTAGCCAGCGGCTGGGTAGCTTGTGCTTGCCGGTAATTTAACAAGCTGTTAATTCCTGACGTTTCTATCGTAAAAGAAGTAAAATACATTAACTCGGGAAAAACGGAATATTCATCGAGTATACAAAATTCCATCTGAAAGAGTAATTATAGGCCCACTCTTTCACTTTTAAGCTGTAATTTGAGTGCCAGGACAATACTGACATGGGATACTTGATGATAATTGCTATAGCTCGTGATACGTGAACTTCTGGAGTTGAACCATTGACTTTTATACGTTGGTCAAGGACTAAACCCAACTATAGAAAAGCTGCGAGCGTTGTTCTGCATTGCAGCGTCATCAGGAAAAATATTATATGAAATTGTGCTTGCAAAGACGAGTCTTAGGCAAAGTAGCACTATATTTCATTTTCATCGGTTCCCACTTTGGTTCGTGAAAATTGGGCAGACCGGAGGAAGAATGCTACCATTAACACTCAAAATGTAACAGTTTACCGGCGAAGGTTTACATGATCCAGTGGTCGGAAAATATCCGCTTTGACAAAACATGGCAAACAATTCTCCCTAAAGCCCTTAGGTTTCCATATGGTCGTGAGGGACGCTGACAAGCACGCAAAAAGGTGAACACGCAGACTGCCGGGTATATATGACGGTTCGTGACGTCATCCCACCAACAAACAATGAAAATAAGTGGCGTCCAGATCTTTGCAACTTTCCTGTACAAATATTTTTGGACGGTTTTAAACTGTATAATAAGGCTGTCCTGACCCTTCACTTATACACTGCAATAGGTTCCAAACGTCTGACGTCAAAGTATCACGTGACCACGCGGTTCCCAGCGTTCCACCATTGCGGTGGGCAAGCGTTTGGTTACCATGTCGTGCGTTATAAAGTAGAAAGTAGGGATTGCTTTCACGTGTAAAACCGCGAATTCCTTATTATTGGCATAACGGGCACTATACCTGTGTCGCATACGGTCATACATAATCGTAACGACCCAGCATTGGGTACTGGCTAAATGTTTTCAGGACAATGAAAACGATTGAATTTTCGTTGAATTGAAATGGGATTAAAGACGTACATTCATATTCAGACAAAAATGAACGACTGATTTTTAGAAGTGAATGAACATTTCAGGAAATTGGCCAAAATGATTGAATTTTCGTTGAATTGAAATGGGATTAAAGACGTACATTCATATTGAGACAAAAATGAAAGACTGACTTTTAGAAGTGAATAAACATTTCAGGAAATTGGCCGGGAAAACATCTGATCGTTTGGAAATGTAGGCGATGAAACGTTTCCATGCATCTGCTTTGCATTGTGGATCCCGCCTGCAACGCTCTCTGCGTCTCACAATTCTATTTGGTAAATTATTTCCTTATAGCCTAATGTATGTGCGGAAGATTATAATGCTTATGAAAAAGGTACCAGTGCGGTAAAAATTAGTTTTTAGGCCTACGTACCATCCTTCAGTTCAGCTGCCAAAGCGTCATCAGAACCATAGACGAAGGACGCGTCTAGATACGACGTAATGAAATTGGTTTGTTGACGAACTCCCATGGAATCCACTTCATATTTTGATCTGCGAATGTTGAAGCAAGGTTGCTTGCCGCCAAATACTGGGTCTGACTCGTCGATCATGATGGGGAAACACTCGCCCTCCTCCGAGCAATCTGAACAGTCAACTGTGGTGCAGAAAGGGTATAAAAAAAAGGGGGGGGGGTAATTATACATAAGTATCCATAAAAGCAAGGAAACTAATTCATAGTCTGTTAGAAACTGGAAACCAAACCAAAGTCATTATCTGAAAAAAAAAAATCGCCAGGTCAATTAATAATATACTGAAATAGTGTAAAACAACACAGCGGACGTCGAATTCAAACTCATGAATATCGCAGACAACTATCACCTGGAAGGCGATTAAACCAAATCGCACGAGAACTAAGTAATCAGCGAATATCGATACTCGTGGACAGACTTACTATTAACTTCAATTGGCCTATTTGTATACACAAAATCTAGCAAATGGCTAGTTTGAAGAGTACTCTGACTTCATAGGACGAAAGCAATGTTCAGCGATGGACATAACCATGCGGGATGCAATACAAGTACACAAAGCCAGGTGGGATTGAAATATAATTTACGCTGGTCATTCTATAAGGGTCCAAAGTGACATATTTCTTGTTCCTATTGTTAACTTTGTAATTTGCCATTCAAGTAACCATAAGAATGACTTCCAACGATTTTTTATTTGTTGGGTAGGTATCTTGCTGTTCATCACAATCACTCTCGAGGAAGATTTATAAGAATTATCAAATTGCATATATGCTAGATGTAACAGGAGCAAGAAAAAAGTCTGACACATGTAGCAAACACTATAATCCAAACCCTTGCACACAACTTCCATTTATAATATTAGTCCTCGCAACACATATACCAAGCATACATTGCAGAGATCTTTAAGGTACCTGTTTTGGCCCCAAATAGATATACATGAGTAAATATCTCGTGTATTCGTTGTTACTAAATTAAAAAAAAATCCCCAAAATCCTCAAAGATTGCTGCCGAGAGTGAATGGTCTATACTTTACCTTGTGGGGAATGGCTTGCCGACACGTCGTGATCCGCTAGCTGTCCAATATTCATCCCCATCTGAGTGAAATCTCTGACCATTCTACGGTGGGTGTTGAAGACAGTTCGGCTGACATCACGGGCGTTGGGTAACGGTCCGCCACTCACTGACAACGTGCGTGGCTCAGACAGTCCTAAGGGATTAAGAGGAGTATTTCTGTACCACTTTTCACATTACATAGTAATGTTGCTCTCCCCGTGCTATTTTCGAAACAAGATATTTTTAAAAATGCTTTGTGTTATGTGATGTAAAAGCTGTTCCTTTTTTGCTTAAGATATTAAACAAGAAAAATCCGTCCACGTTAAATTAGGCAGAAATGAATTCACAAAATGTTCGGCCCGACGGTGGCCCAATTCGGGTATTTTTTGTGTGCCTTAACAGAGGCGCAACATTAGTTGGACTCGAAAACCTAGAGCGTTGCAGATACTCAAAATCGATAATAAGACAATTTCATTGATAAAACATACAATGCCGATACAGTGCAGTGGAAATGAAACATCATTGGCCATTGTGCCATTTACAAATTCCTTATGCCCAAGCCAGTGTGATGTCCACGCTGTTTCCTTTTTAAACATTTTAAAGAACACTTTTATCAAAAAAATGTTCTATCGTATGTCGCTATAATGTTAACCACACGGTGTTATCGAGGATATTGTGTTGGTGGTTTTCTTTCGGGACTTACCGTCGTCATAAGCATTGATCTCCGGGATCCGTTTCTGTGCTGTGCCCGCGGACCCTTGAGTCGACTTTGCGACATTGTTGCAAGTACCGTCTATCGTGCGGTACCCGTATGGGGTCGTATCGCATGTCTCTTCTTCACCAAGGATTTCCCGGATTTGCAAGATCCGTTTCTCCAATTCCCCAGCCGATAACCTACAACAATTGCGAATCTGTATTAAACACTTGTAAATGGCACATGAACTCGTCAAACGGCTCAGCCTCTATTCACAATAATTATAGAGGTATCGATAACAATGAGAACCATTATGGCTATAATACAATAATTATAAGACGTTAGATTTGGTGCGCGTATACGGGATATGTACGCAACACGGAAAAGTTACAAGTTATATATCAACGTTTGGACTTGAAGGAGCTTGCATGAATGCAAGTAGTACCGTAGTCGGATCTGTCTGATATGCGAATCCCTTGTTTGACGTGTAACTAATCAATCAATCAATCAACTGCAGGTGTTGGTTAAACCATATCCACTTCTTGGCTGCAACGCCTGGGAAAATACCAAAAATTATCAAACATGGCCCCCAGCAATAACCCTGACTTAGGCCCAACCAAATTCTTCAAAAAGTCCCAATGTCTATTTCACGTCTTAATGAAAATCATTTGATATTGCCGATATCTCGTTACAGGAATTTGACTTACAATTGACGGAAGGCGCCCTCACTGTCTTCCAGCTTCCTCAGGTACATCTCAAGTTTCCTTTTGTTCACAGGCGATCGTTTACGGCTGTTGAACTGGCCCAACAAGACATCTGGAGTTCGATCTATAGTTGTTTGTGAAAGGGGCATTGTTTCCTATCAGGGAGTTTTACAGAAAAGTGCAGGTGTTGCGTATAAAACACCATTACACCTACATCTTTTTTTTTTATAGCAATGACCACGAACAGGTAAAATCGCCAAAAGAAAGTCTAGTGGTAGACTGCCTCAGATACATCAAAGCGAACATGGTGCTCAATATCAATGTCAGAATGAAGAATTTTTTTTTTTCATTTGAAAAAAACAAAACAAGACCACAATTTTTCTTCTGAGAGCCAGCGGTAAAACTGTCAAGGCAATTCAATCGTTAAGTTTGAGTTAATGGATGGTCATGGTTGAAGCATGATAATAAACACGTTTCACCCCAATTTTTATTACCTATAAAATACTCAATAAATGGGAAACATAAATTTGACACCCCATTTATTTTGTTTCAATGTGAGAGAAGAGGCAAAACGTTCGTGACGGTATCGGCTGGTGACCAGCAAATACTTTAATGAGCAAATATTTGGACGAAACAACAGGTATTTCATCATATTGAAGATTATGATCGAAGATTTGTTTCCTTGACACCTACCTTTGTTTTCATCGTCAGTCGATCGTTTGCTGTTGAAGTCGCTCAACAAGACATCCGGGTTCCGATCTTGGGTTAAAAGAGAAACGAAATTGAACCACGAGAGCAGAATCAAAAGTTAAATAAAGTCAGGACTTTGATGGTTTGACGAAGTTTGCTGTGATAAAAAAAAGAGAAAATCAATTTAACTCGAAGCGGGCGGGGTCCGTACCTAAAACATAAATTATGAAAGACAAAAAGGATTCAAAACGGTCTTTTTGGTACCGGTACCAACTTAAAGTTCTCGAACAGTTATTGTCTTATACATATCACAATAAAATTCTCTTTCAAAAAAAGCTTAACACTTTTTACTTCTCAAAATATATAGAAGTCCCTGCATGGAATCTCTTTGCAAACCGAAATACTTAGAAATGCACGGAATATTTTCCCCCTTTGGCAGCATAGGTTGTTGCGCGTCTACAACAAATCTACTTGGTATAATTATGACGACAGTTGTCAGGACAGTGTTTCTTTTTATAAAAACAAAATACAAACCATTTGAGTAAGTTGCGGTATTTTCATCTCTGAGGAGAAGATCCTCCAAATCTTCCAGACTTTTCAGGTCCTCGTTCAATAACGTACAACAAACAGATGAAGCCAGGAGCACTATCAAAAGTAGCCTGAGAGAAACATTATTTAAAACCAATAATAAAGTGTATCAATCAGCAGGAACGGACCGCTATACCAACATTTACCCAACTCTAGATATACTAATTTTTTTGGTTTTTAAAGTAAATCCACCAAGTAAAAGGTGGAAATATTTATTGTGATACTATCTTTTGTGATTCCCTAACTGCTTCGGAAATGTCCAAAATAACCAACAGGAATGTGTCTTCCGAGATCACCATCTCTTCAGGAATGCTCTAATGTCAAAGGCTTCCTTTCCCCCCGAAATATAGACACTTTAAAAGAGCCGTTGACTTGGCAGGAATATTTTGAAAATCTCACCTGATCATTGTGAAAGTTGCCCAAAGAGCTACTTCTCTAGATGCAAAAATTCAACCACAACTGTATGACTTTTACGCTACAGTACGACTAGCACCGCTATCTGACTATGGTATCTGTTATGAACTGGGATCCACGCTGTAAAAAGCAACTGGTCATTCAATTTTCATGAAACACATCCGTGTTTTCAACAACATTTCTCATTGGAGGAGGTATCATTCGTTAATCCATGAGTGTGGTTTACAAACAAAGTTTCAGCATCCAATCAGATTTCGACTGCACTATAATCCCATACCATTTCAAAAGGGCGATTTTCATTGGCCATTCGCATGTATGGTCACGTCGTGTGTTTTTGACATAAAAACAATTGGCCATTCCCATGCATGGTCACGTCGTGTGTTTTTGACATTGAGATCCCGACCCACAGTCTGTCTGTCTACTGAAAAGTTCATAAAAATATTGTATTTATTTAACAATTACTCCATTAGTAAAAGTATCATTTTTCATGCTGTTCTTTAATTAAATTTAAAAGTGAGGGTTTATTTTTCCCAGACCTTGACACGGCGGAATTAATACTTGCGCTGTAATTACCGTTTTAGCATATTATAACTCACGCTATGGTGTATAACACGGTTTTAAGCAATAGCGTTGGAATTCAATTCAATTCAATACAACATTTATTTCTATTTAACCAAAAAACAAAATACAATTCATTTGCATGGCCATTGAGGGAAATCAAGATAAAGGATGTAGATGTACAGGAAAAACAAGTAAGGAAATATATTAAAGAAAATGCAATTAGTTAATTAGCCTTAGCTTGTCAATGACAGGTGCTGAAAGATAGAACTCAGAAGCAATCAATTAAAGCAAAACAAACAAACAAACAAACACCCCCAACAAACAAACAAACACCCCAACAGCCCCAACAAACAAACAAACAAACATTATACAGTATTAACAATCATAAAAACTATATACTCAGAAAATATGAAGCAAATAAAAAGGTATTGAATAAACAATACAGCAATAAAATCAATACCTAAAAAAATTGGAATACAGAACGGCAAGGAGAAGATTTAAATACATAAATAAAAAAAAGTACAGGCTAAATTATAAAGAAAAAAAAACCAGGGTGGAATAGAGGCAAACTTAAAAAAAAAAGCTTGCATGGAAAACATGGGAAAAAAAGTTGTGCTGGTAAAAAGGCAGGTAGAGATTATTACGTGACCTATTGTGTTTGTTGCAATGCAGTTTGCTATCAAATGTTCATCGTCATCTGCGTAGTCTTTGACCTAAAGGCGAAAGTATGTAGCGAATAGGGCTATACTAGATATACCCTATGGCTCAGAGACATGGCGAACCACAAAAAAGATAATGAAGAAGATCCAAACATTTGCAAACAAGTGTCTGCGAAGAATCCTCCGCATTTACTGGCAGCAACATGTCTCAAACCAGGAACTATGGAGGAGAGCTCAACAAACCCCAATTGAGGAAGAAATCCTGAAGCGCAAATGGAGGTGGATCAGCCACACTCTAAGGAAGCCGATCTCAAGCATCACCAGACAAGCCTTGACTTGGAATCCACACAGGAAAAGAAATAGAGGAAGACCAAATAACACCTGGCAGCGAGACACAATGGCTGATGCGAGACAGATGGGATACAGCTGGAAGGAACTGGAAAAGCTAGCAAAGAACAGACCAAGACGGAGGAGCTTTGTTGATGGCCTATGTGCCACTAGGCATCATCAAGGCATTAAGCAAGTAAGTAATGTAGCGAATAAATACAAACAAGCTTTTTCTGGCTCGTCATATTCCCAGTGCTGGTAAGCAAAAACAATGATCGGCCTATATAGTAAGGACTAGTATCGAAATAGTTGACTGTAGAGGGCAATAGCATGAATAGTAGCAAAATTTTCAGTCTTTTTGTATTCTCCTAATCTCCCTATACCTAGACTTTTGTTATTTAACACATTCCCCTAGATATCTCAAAAGATTTCCTGAGATTCTGGTAACACAGTAACCAACACAAAAGAGGGGGGGGGGGGGTGTCCCTCTGTCACATATGGTGCTACATTATGTCGAACTTAGCTGGCCTCAAATAAAAATGGACCCGGACATTTGGCCTGTTCCAGCTGGTTTAAAGACTATTACCGTATGCGATAAATTAAAGATGGCATTGTGGTATAATTGCATTGACAAAAGCGATCCGACTTTCACAGATGGTGACGCGATTCCAGTTGTCAGCGTCAATGGAATCGAGGAGTATCCATTCTGTGACTGAAATTATCTCTGTCGTCATCTGGACAAATTAATGGTGGCAGTTTTCGGATAGCAGTTCGTGTCATCATGATAAACACTTGTGTTTCTGTAACATGAGAAATGCGACACAACAGACCTCAATAGTCAATATCATGGACTGGGTTAGTCGTTTGGGTTTGGCGAAGCTAGCCTTTCGCCAAGTCCATCGTGGCTTAACTTGTCGGCATTAGATAAACCCGCGATGAATAAAAAAGAATTGTCGGATAATATTTATGCTACATTTATGCTATGCGCCCTCTACTGTTCGTCTACTATTATGCCAGTCCTGTAGTACAGGTCGATCAGATATTGTGTTTTTTCTTAATATATACCAGCACTTGGAATATGATCAGAAAACAATCGCGTTTGTGTTTAATAGGCGCTTTCTCCTTTTGGTCACAAATAAAGATGTAGCTTCTATATTAAACTGAATTACAGCAACATATTAGATCCCTATTATGATTGAGAATGATGCGTTTCACGTCACAGCATGAACTTCTCGCATACACTATAAATGTAGCCTTGGTCAAGGCTCTCGTCGTTAATCATCCGTACCATAATGGTCCGTAGCCGGTAAACAATCAGCGGCATATCCTCGCTAGCGCTATGCATGCGGTGCATTAAAAATACAGCGCGAACAGCGACCTCATGCGGCCACTATTTTATGCAAATCAGTTGGAGACGATTGTTTTCAACTGATTTGCATAACAATAGTGGCCGCATGAGGTATAGGAGACAAGCAAGGTTGTGGTTCTATTGAAACCTTAATAAGGTTCTTATTTCACTGTCTATATTTAAAGCAAAGAATGAATTCAAAGGGACAACACCGCCAATGCTTGTTGAATTCAAACAAGGCTAGAAATTCAAGGTCTAGACAAAAACTGAGGGCGCTCTATACCAATAAATTCTGGGCCGCTTTTGGGCACTCAAACACGTACTCAGTATTGCTGAGCTTTCACAGGTGACCCCTCAGTTATGGCCGAATAATCGTGCCGGCCGCGTTTTGTTCTGTAGGTTAGTTTAAGCCTAGTTTCCATATCGGGTTCAACTTCGCCGATCGTCCGCAAGATAGTTTGCGTCTGTCTGCGTTGTTGGTGACATCTCCGGATAAAATGTTTTCATATGCCTGTTTATAGGAATTTAAGTCCGAGAACCATTCCGTTACCAACTGACGCATGTGCATTATGGTCAATGACTACACTTGGTTGCAGAGAAAATTGCCGCTCATATACACCTGTAACATAGTGGTCATCCACTCGACCATACCCTTTGCTGATAAAAAAAAATTAATGTACTGAATTCCTTAATATTCGGTTTTGTGTTACATTTTACACTGAATTTCTGAAGCTAAATTGGCGCACTTTGCATTCATTTTCCTTTAATACCGGCGTCTTATATAGCGCACGTATCTATCAACAATTAGGTACTCAAGGCGCTGGTAATTATGTATATTTTTAAAGACAGGTCAATGAAGTTGATGAGGAATAATTATGACACCCATTATGTAGCACCTTTGTAAGGGTTTACAAGGTGCTGCGGTGCATATTGCAGCCACTACCAGAAACGCCGAGGCAAACCCCTTCTCTTAGCGACAAGTGCTACTGGGTTCTTTATAACGTGCATTACACAACACACGGGATCTACGGCTTTAAGTCCCATCAGAAGGACGAAGCAATAATGGTAAAGTGCCTTGCTCAAGAGCACAAGCACCATGTTCCCCGTCAGGATTCGAACCCATGTACCACGGCACACGAGTCGAACACCGTAACCATTGCACCACAGCACCCCACCATTGCATACGCGCTCTCAAGCGTTCACAAATGCAATATTGTTTTATCAACGGTTCAAACACTATTAATAGACTGGTCGTTGTTCCTCTATAAATAATAAAAGTTGATACTTGTGCTTTCATATCACTGAATTTTAATAACAAAAACGTGTCCTCAATCCTGTCCTCAATGAGGGCGCTCTCTGCAAGGTGTCTACTGTCGTTAATGAAGTACCCTTTTTAAGCTCTGACAGGAGCTTCTACATGTTACTTGGTCGGCCGGTCGATCGGTCGGTCTGTCTGTCTGTCAAAATTGACAAAAATAAGTCCCCTAAGTTTCCATATAACTATAACTACCAAAGTTTAATTAAACAAAAATGTTTTAAATACAATTCGGAAAGATTTTTTTTATGAAAAATTTGTAAATGGAGGCAAAATATGCGCAGTAATGTTAGAGTCACGTGGTACTTATATTAAATCGCTAGAAATCTAGGTATAAATCTAAAGTATGGTGTTCCATAAATTACGTGCCATCGTCGTCGCATTTTTAGGCGTCACATTTTTAAGCTCCGGCAGGGATCGTTTTGATAGATTACATGCAAGACTTTCATGCAAGACGGCCAGAGCTTATTGTGCACTCGCACTCAAGGGCGGATTCAGGGGGGCCAACAGGGGCCATGGTCCCCCCCCCCCAAAAAAAGAAAACCGAACCCATTTTTTTTCTTTAAGTGACGTCGCAATAAAGGCAGGCACTGCGTACACCACCATCTTTTCCTCAAAATAATTTAGTTAAAGTGGTCAAAAATTGCCTCAGATCGCACCACAGAGCATCTAGAATCCAAAAAATTTCCCGAACCCCTCGCCGTAATTTTTTTGACCCATTTTTTGGGGGACCCATATTTTATTTGCCCCCCCCCCAAAAAAAATGTGTTCTTGATCCTCCCTTGCTTGCACTTGTTTTTCTATGACAGGTTGTTCGACTCTCTCTACGAGCATAGTCGGTTTGGTACCTGGCCTTACAAGAGAGCGGTTGTGCTGGATGGCTTGGATAATGCTCGTATGGAATGTGCATCGGACAAGATTCCAGTCGTCGACCTGTCGAAATTCGTCTAGAGACCCGCAACCATTTCAGATCCAAAATTAAGGAGTGGCTAGCAAACCGTTAGGTTCTGACGATGATGGAAAGAGAACGGTTGAAAGATGTTATTTTTCATGGGTTACAGATTTTGCCTTATATTAGTTTGCACAATTAAAATGTTCAATGTATTTCTTATTTTAAGGTCGGTGTGGGAGCACTGTCAGAGACTGTCGTGAATAACACAGGTTTGAGGAGGTTATCTGTCAACTTTGGTGTTGGGTTTAGATTTAGTTTTCGTTAAATGATTTCTCAACCATAAAGCACATTAAGATAATCGTAAAGGCACTGCTTATACGCTGAGTGAATGCGTTTACATTTAATATTAGAAATACCATCAACTTGGGTATTTAGGGTAGGTCAGAATTTTTTTTAGAAGAACTACGCGACTAGAGGTGCTAATAATTATTCTTACTTTTACGGAGATTAATTTGAGCTATTATTCAACTTCACTGACCTTCGGCTCGGGTAATTATCAACATCCAGACTCCAACCGGTCTTAAACAGAGTGTTTAATACCCCCCAAGCACATTTTATTTCCTTATTTAAAGTCCATTTTTGGGGACGGGCTGGGGAGGGGTGGTACATCGGACTATTGGAGGCGCATATAGTCAGTGATAGTGTGCCTACGTGTGCCTACATTGGCATGCGCATAATTTATAGTGTGCCTACATTTGAGACCTTATGGTACAAAAATAAATATTTCTTTTCAAAGGCTGTGTTTTATTAAGGTCGAGGAAAGATTAAAAAAAATATGTAATCTCGTCTTTAAGGGATTAAGGATGGATGATCATAGTGAAACGATAACATTCCTGCAATGGTTTTTATGTCGATTGTTTGGAGGATAGCCAGAAGAAAATGTGAATTAATTTTTATCTATTGATCAGATCAATTTTGGAGAATTGAAATTCAGACTGTATCAATTATTCAAAGTAACATTCCTGCATAAAGTAAAGAAAAACAAGTTTTGAATAATTATTATCAGTATTATTATTATTATTATTATTTATTTGGCATTAAAAAACACATGCAAACAACAAACATTCACAAAATATAAAAAAAAAAAAATGAAAGCAGGGGCATATGCCCGGAATTAAAAAAGTTTACCTGAATACTGTGGCCCGAAGGCCTTCAATTCCAATACCTCTGGCTACACAAAAAAATATATAAATCTAGAAAAATCTATAAAAATGTATTAACAATAAACACATATATTAAAAATGGCAGAGGTGTAAATGCTAAAAAGTTAATGTCTCCGTTAAACAAAAATAGATTTGATTATCCCAATGTTAACATTAAAATACCACGATGAGATAATACAAGATGAAAATAACCCCACCCACTCCCCCCCCCCCCCAGAAAAAAAATAGTCCAGCAAAAGGAAGGGGGAATAAAGGTCCCCCCATTAAAAAAAATAATATAATATTGAATACTGAAAGGGCGGACATGCAGATCACAAGAAGTCATTGTCCCAGGAAGATAAAGATGTTCGTATACAGCTATAGGGCTGCTAATGCTTGAACAAATTCCTTTTCTCAAAAACAGAAGGGGGAAAACATACAAAAACTGCAAGCAAAAATTGCAAACAAAACGTATCCCCGTCAATTAACATCAATCTTTTCACAAGCGCGCAATTCCTTTTCCCTTTATACTGCCCGACCTTGGCAACAATATGGTGGAAATACGTCCTAGCTTTTATTGCTTCATCCGCAGTGGTTACTAACAATTGAGGCAAAACCAATTTTGTCTTCAAATTAATTATTTTTTCTTCATGGTTTCATCTTTGCATTTAAATAGCCAAATTAAGGCCATTCAGGAAAATATGTTTGACAATATAGCCCGCATGTTTGTTGAAGGTCTTGCGAGAAATTAACCTAATTACATGTACTTGTATTTAGACCTACTAGTGCAGTACCCGTCTAAAATGTGCATGTTCGGGAAGCGCAAATTGCTTTTGGTGTTGGTTGCTTGCTTGCAGAGTTTTGGAGAACTGCTGCAAACAACGCACGCGATTCAATGATGTTGTTTTTACAGGTTGAACGCACACTCACGTCAAAGTTTGTGCCAAGTTCGAAGTTGTTTGGGCGAGTGGTTCTCGAAAAAGCTGCCTAAAATAGTGCAGATATTCACCCCTACTGGACAATGGTATCGCCCTGCAGTAAGTTTGCTCCGTTGACCGCCTACAATGGTCGCTCAGTCGACTGCAAAAGTAATGTGCCCGTGCAGCCACCACGTAGGTGTACATACGGAAACATGGTATGCAGTGCTATTCACCCATACTGGACAATATGGTATCGCCCTACAGTTCAATTCAATTCAATTCAATTCAATTTATTTATTCGTCATGTGAGACACATGAAATTTGTTTTCCTATTGTACAGCAGTAAAATATTTAAAAATACACTCATTACAAAAAGGTGATACCAAGAACCAACAATAGCAATTGCACAGTAAGAAAACAAAACAAATACAAAATATCAAATGAAAAACAGCCTATGGACAACATGCTGAACCCCCCCCCCCCCCCCCCCCCCCATCTAAAACCTTGGCGAAGTGGAAGAAACACAATCCAGATGACATACAGGGCACACCAAACAACAAACAATTTGTTATTAAATCAAAAGTTAAACGGATAAAATATTATAACTTGTAATTGACAAGGTATACAAATAAATAAATAAAAACAATAGATTCGTATACATTTAAAAAATGTATAAAGGTGGAAACAGAAAACCAGGTGCCGTACAGGGCATAAAACCCATTTATCTACTAAATGTACAGTTAAAATTGTATATGGCATGGGGTAAAAAAGAATGTTTAAACCTATTCGTTTTAAGGCTTAGTTGACGAATTCTACCCGATTTAGTAGTGACAATCAATGGGTTAAGAGGGTGAGTATTGTCAGACAAAATACAATTGAACTCATGAGACTATTTTGTAACAACTTCTGAAGTCCTTCAGTATCATCACCAATAATCCTGCCAGCATGTTTCACAATACGTTCTAGTTTCTTACGGTTATTAACAGTGAGAGAGTTAAACCATAATCCTGCCAGCATGTTTCATAATACGTTCTAGTTTCTTACGGTCATTAACAGTGAGAGAGTTAAACCAAGCGATAGCACAGAAAGTAAGAACTGATTGGATTGTACTCTGATAAAACAGTTTTAAAACCCTGATATTTACATGAAAAGATTTCAGTTTCCTTACGAAGTGTAACCGTTGATTGGCTTTTTTGTAAACTTTTGTGGTGTTAGAATTCCAGTTTAGCTGACTATCAACCACAGTACCAAGGTACTTGTATTCGTCTACTACATCAACAGACACATCGTTCAGTATAATGGGTTGCAAAGTTTGTTTGTTCTTTTGAAAATTAAAAACCATTTCTTTAGTTTTTTGCACATTGATAATTAAGTGATTTTCAACACACCAATTCACAAACCGATCAATGTTGTTTCTATAGTCCAATTCATCATTGTCAGTAATCAATCCTGTCAATACAGTATCATCAGCATATTTGAGTCAATTTGTACATTGAAGTCACTTGTAAATAAGGAGAACAAAAGGGGCGCTAAAACACAACCTTTGGGAACCCCTGTACTGACATGTGTAATATCGGAGCTAACACCGGTTGCTCTGACCCTCTGTGATCGTTGGAGTAGAAAGTCATTTATCCAAAGGGAAATGTGTGGGTTAACATTCAAATGCTGCAATTTGTGTAGGAGAGCCTGTGGTAATAGTGTTAAATGCAGAGGAGAAATCAATAAAAAGTGCACGAGCATAAGACTTACAGGTATCAAGATGACTATAAATGTTTTGTAACAATGTTATTATTGCATCATCCACGCCACGGTGCACACGATATGCAAACTGGAAAGGGTCTGCTGCTTCACGTGTTTCATCAAGCAGGAAAGAGCACGTGCGTGATGCCCGTACTCTTTGCATTGTTTGCGTCCGTATTGAGCACGGGCGCTTTAGCTTTACATGACGTAAACAATTGAAAAGGACTGCGCGTGTTCTAGGTATATAATCTGCCACGTTGAGGCTAAAAAAATATGCTGCTTTTTTGCAGCTTTTTCGAGAACCGCTCGTCCAAACAACTTCAAACTTGGCACTGCACATTCTGAGATAATCGACGGACAGACAGACAGACAGACAGCCAGGCAGACAGACAGAGATTCCTGGAATTATAGTAAGGATTGGCGCCGTATTGTCATAATTACTATAAAAAAGAGCTATTTGCCAACCACTTGTCCTCCAACATACGAGTTCGTTGATTGGGCAATACGATTGCTATCTGATACGACTAACTAGGTGATTGGTGTTTGGTTTGATGACACCTTTCGCATTATGCTCATCAGTGCTTTAAATCTTGTCAAACGGAGCTTATACGTGAATCGACATCAATCTGGTATCACGATTTGACTGACGTAGCTGCGAGTTATACAGGTCTTCACAATGTCCAAGTAAGATTTCTCTTAGTCACAAATTTCATCTTCTGAATTTTTCCTTTTTTTCGGACAGTAAGATAAGGCATACTTGCATTATTTTGTCGTGTATTCTGATGTGTATGACTACACCTCAACTTGAATTGGTTAATTTTTAACCATTTCTTTTGGTAATGAAACACAATGGCACTGTATTTCAGAATATCGAAGAAGTCTATATCGGGAGAAGACGGTGATGTAAATAATATTCAGTCTTATAGGTGTGAGGAACACGCCGGGAGTTTATTCCAGGAAAAACCCACGGAATTGGAATCTTGGCATGAAGAAAGATATCACACAACTTGAAAAAGTATAAAGAAGAACAACCAAATTGGCTCAAGGATTTCGACATCTCTCGTACAACAGTTCTCGTACTCCAGGAGCTGAAGCTGTACAGCCTTTGAATATAGAAGTCTACGAGGACCACATTGAAACATAGAATTACTGAATGGTTTTGAGAGGGTAGACCAGACCAGGCTCTTTATTACCTTAGCAACAAGGCTGACACAAGAGGACGCATCTAGAAGCTCCTGAAGATATTCGGACTCGGGCCACAGCGGTGGACGGTGAAGAAATTACCACTGTGAAACCTGCCTCGTCGTATTGCGAAGCTAAAACAACATTCATTTAAATTCACACTGTATTTCCCTCAAAATCTAAATTTCAATTTGCCATCGTTTACATTTTTGCAGGCTTCTGTTGTTGGTTTTGCTGGCATCCGTTGCCTCCTGCATCTTGCTGGATGAGGACATTAAGAGCTTGGAAGATTTGGAAGATCTACTGCTTCGAGATGAAAACAAGCGAGAATACTCGGACAAGACGGAAGGTATGCGACCTTAACTTAGAATTGGTACAAATAATTAACTCTATCTGATTTGATGTAAATTTAATAAAGTAATGTGTTATTTCATTTTTTACAAATAAAAAGAACAAAGGTGACGTGGTATATCAAAACAAGGCGGAATTGGGCAGAGCTATACGAATAGAGAAACAATTGCAAAATGACATGGGGTAATTTTCGGCGATTTTAACATTTTTATTTAAATTTGTGATGCTACTATGATGTTTAAAAAGTTATGTAAAAGTTTCAAACTTAGATTTGACGCTTTGTTCAAGATTTTATTCTAAAATGACGCAAAATTAGTATGACATTTCGGACAGTTCGATTTCAAAAATTAATAACTTCACATTGGAATAACCAATTTAAAAAAAAAACAAAGCGGCGTTTGAAAGAACAAGGTAAATATCTTACTAATATTGCAATAACTGCTGCTGCACAATTTTAATGTGTTTTTAGATGGGGTTACGATCGAGTATAAGCTTTATGTGGCCTCTCTGGGCTCCCATATATTTTGCACTAAATTTAGTCGGACACCATTTGAAGTCATAAGCCGACATTTATAGAAACAAAAAGAAGAAAAAAACAAGCCGAGTCGCCGCACCACGTTTGGGGCAAGCTCCATATCAGAAAAAGAAGGATTTTTTGGGGCCATAAGCTCAAAATGTTTCTTTTTTTCACTCACTAACAAACATATATGATCCTAAAGTGAGTAGCACGTTTTGATCGTCATATCCTTGTTATCGGTGTCAAAAGAATGACCGAAACAACTTTTTAATTCAATTAACTACTATAACAACATTAATACATGTATATTAACCTAGCAGCCTGTTGTGTAAACTGTTGTTTACACAACTTGTGTAAACTGTTGTTTACACAACTTGTTCAATATTTTTACACAACTGGTTGCTAGGTTCATACAGTACACAACCGAAATAACAGTGTATACCTCTAACAGTGTATACCTCGCTAACTGATTAGCGTTGAAACACGTATGAGATAAACTGCACAATGGTTTTGCTGAAAATATTAAGGTAGACGTGTCAGATGGGACAACGATCTGCCGCTGTCGTATCACTTTAAAGACACATGGGATCATGTGCATTAATTCAAAAAGTAACCTGCCCAATCATTATCAAAAACCTTACTTGGATTAAAGATTGTACTGGCGCTTAACACCCCGTGAAATTATTCCAGAACATTGAGTAGAAATCAAGAAATGCAGGTGATATCCAAAAATTAGTCACTTGACTGATTTTTGGAAATGAATAGTTATACAGACGGAATCGTGTTTCGTCATGAAAAGTTTATGAATGTTTTTTTGTGCTGTTTTCCCAAACACTGCAACATCCACTGAGCTGAAACCTCACCAAGTTAGGTTTTGAACATTTTTCTTTACATTTTAGTGGTGTTGTTAATGGAAAAGGAAAGAAAATGCATGAACGACAAATGGTCCTATAATGCCTAGGCCTATATTGTTCAACTAACAAGCGGCAAGATTGACTTCTTGTGATTGGCTGTTTATGACAGGACGAACACCTTTCGGCCTGTGGACTCAATTCAACAGTGCCAGAGGATCTCCTACGAACAGAAGACGACTCCAGAGGTTCCTTAGAATGCTCCAGAAAAAACGCGGTCCGTTCTCGAGAATGTAAGTTAATATGAGGAGTAGTTTCGGTCGCCCTGTGTAACATTCGAACCTGGGAGTATATGAGCTGAAAGGCGGGAAAACGCTGCACCATTGCGGATTGTGGGCGGGGAGTGGCAGTTGCTTGAAACCACTTCCTCTTCCTTAGATCGATATAATTGTAACAAAAGACGCCTTGTTTTGTCTAAAATGGGCCACTTTACAAACCCGCAAAAACTCTGATATATCCCTCTATCATTACCAAAACTTCACCAGCAATGCCATCGCTTAAACCACGGCTTCGCGCCAAAAACGAACTAACCTGACGGAACTGCCATTGTTTTCCAGATAGTATTCTTCTGCATCGATAATGATCCAGATTTACAATTCTTAAATGCAGGCTTTCAGCCGAGGACATCCAACGTCGCATCTCTCAAATTAGGACCATCTTAGGAAGGACAGAAGCATGCGTTACTACGGCCGCGTACCGGACGCTTGACGGGACTTGTAACAACATCGCCCAGGTAGACCAGGGATCAATCGACACAACACTGACACGAGTGACGCCAATTGCGTACGAGGATGGTGAGGAAAGGACGATCGGGGCGTGCATGAAATGTTGTACATTGTGTTTAAGAAGTGCACTGGCAAGAAGCCCGAGAAAAGAGTTATGTGGTGGTTTGGGGCCCGGTTCCAACAACGGTATAAAGACCCACACACATGAACTTATTCAAAAACAATCAGATTATTGTTGAAGAAAACAACTACAAGATTATAGAAAACAGACAAAAGGACAAAATTCACAAACAAGCAAACAGGACTGTGAAAGGCTGCCCACGAGAGGGCGTACGTGTCACTCCAACAGAGTTAATTTCTTCTTTTGACAATAGTTTTTGCTTCACAAGACATTGAAGGTTTTCTACGGGAATCGTGCTATGTTAAACATTCGTGCATTAATGATTTAGTTGATTTTTGTTTTGTTCAGGATTCTCCGAACCTCGGACACAGTCCGTAGTTGACGGGGAAGCGCTGCCCAGCGCACGAGACGTATCTCGTGCCGTGTTCGATAACGGACAAGCGGTCATCAGAGAGCTGACCGCACTGACCATGCACTTTGGACAGTTGACTGACCACGACCTGACCGCAGTACACAGCCAAAGTGGAGGTAAGACTCGCAAGTATTATAGACTTCATGCACAAGCACTCCCTCAACGGTTACAAAGGGAGAGTTGGGGAGACCACTGGGAAAGACATTTGCACGCATTGTTGACGGCGCATAGGATATTTTACATTTTCAGAAACTTCAGAGAAAACTTGGGTCTCGTAATTAAACTGCATGGATTCAGTTGCTAACGCACATACAAAATGTGCTCCAAAGAACATGTTTTCCAAACCATCTTCAACGGTTGGTTTTGTTTCCGACTGATGTCATTTCTTGAGGACTAATTACACCAGGTATTTAAGTACAATCCCTTTATTCACTTTGAGCAAAGTTTTTTCTCATTATATCGGTAGGTTCATTTTCGGTAATCACAAATGTTTCGACTGCCTTTCATTAACTGCAGTATTACCCCTGTTATGTCCAATTTTACTGAGCATGGCGCGGGCTCTTCTTTTTTTCATGTCATCTAAATACATTTTGAACTTGTCTATTCATAGAGAAAAAATGTGTCTCCTCACGATGCCCTCCCTCGTAAGCTTTCAGCCTTAAACAATAGCATTTCCAGATAAAGTTAACGTTGTTTACTACCAGATTGGTTATTAACTAACAGTTCAATGCCACGCATTGGGGAGGTATTAGTGATAAGCGAAGATATTTGTTATATTCTACTGATACAAACAACATAAAATAATGATGAGCATAATATATCTTTTTTTTACCTGCAAAACTGTATACATATTTTCCAACCGAAGTGGAGTGGTAAATAAACCCCACCCACCCCCACACCCAGCCCCAAACTCCAAGTATACCAAAGAATAATCTTGTTCTAATCAGGCGTTGCCTTCTTTCCATGACAGTTGACTGTTCAGATTGCTCGGTAGAGGGCGAGTGTTTCTCCATTCCAATCGATGCGTCAGACCCCGTGTTTGGCGGCGTCCAATCCTGCTTCCAGTTCGTCAGGTCTAGTTTCGAGACGGACTCAGCTGGTGTCCGACAGCACGTGAACTCCATTACTACCTACTTAGATGCGTCATTCGTCTACGGTTCCGATGACGCGACCGCCAGCGAATTGGCAGATGGTAAGCATGGTATAAATTGTTGTTAGGGCAGCTTGACTGAAGGCTGTTTTATGTACGCTAACACAAACTTCTAACGTTACCGCATGTTACACGTACCTATAACTCAAGGTGCGCGGGAAATAGATACTAGTGTAAGACCGAAATTTAGACTGTCCCTGAGCACACATACTACCATTCCCGCAACAGGTGTTCCACATTACACCCCAAGGTCTTACGTCACTCTTTTCCAAGCAATACACCCACAGCATACCAAGACTGTGATTTAACCCTTGTACAGGGGAAAGTGACCTCATAAGGGTACTCCCCCAGACTGACTATTACGTCAGTCCATGGTCAGTCTACCTTTACTCAGAAATGATGTCATGAAAGTTATGTTCTCTTTATATGACATCATCTCCTATTTTCACTCAAAGTTGCCCCTCAGAAATTGTATAAAAGGTCCACGCTTTCCCACTTCAGGCAACTCTTCAGAACCTCTGTCTTCTGTCTCCAACTTCTGTATTCTAGTACCCAGCCATACCCATAAGCTGATGCAGCCGTATGGTCTGAGGTTATAGTTCTGTACATACACAATACCGGTAGAATATTGAGTTCTTGAAAATAAACCAGTTTTCCATATAGCCGAGCTCATAGTCATTACCAGTGTGTCTTTGTATAGTCTTCGTAGTCATCTCTTCATCCTGATCTTAGCCACAGCTACCCTATCCTAACATATAGCATAGTCAAACAAACCAAAGACTATAGTCAAATCTATATGTTACACTAGTCTTCGCTCAAGAGCGGTTTTAAACCATGCTCCCATAGGAAAGTGAACGTATACTCCAAACTTTTTCTTAAAAAAAAGATCTCAGACGGCATTTAAATGCAGCTGGCCGGTATCAGGCCCTGCCACTTTTGTTTCGGTATGGGTTCAGATAGTACATTGATTTTTCTTCACAGTGAAAGAGGATAGAGGCCAGGGCAATGGTACGGAATTAGTGCACAAAAAAGTAGTCACGTTTTCAATCAGATTGCGACCAGTCACCTTGCCTTAATGGCCAGAACAACTGACCAGTGACCTTAATTATCATTTCGATGGACTAATTTCCGGACTACAGACAATTGACGTGAGGTCAATGATTCAAAAACTCATGAGCAATGAATAGTTAACGCTGCGGGTACCCTCGTTTTATAAATTGCCCTTTTTCATCTCCGATTAAACCCCCCCCCCCAAAAAAAAAAAAAAAAAATTAAACAGAACTGTAAGCTTGTATATAAAATGTTTACACGAAAAATTAAAAATGTAATTTTTAATTTGATCATCATGCTTGCAGTATTTGAGATAAGAAATAGAATGGAGATATATTTCAACAAAATGAAATGATTTGCAACCAGTGCTAGAATAAGGCTAACCCTAACTCAAACGTCTTCTAGAGTCAGAACAGCCTCCCTGAAATATACTATTAAGTAAAAAAATAAACTAAGAGCCATCCAACTATAATTTCCTCTTAACACACAAATATATGCTAGTCTACATGTATAATTATAATAGCCCCTGGCCGTGGCGGAGCCGACCATGGTCTATTATACGTAAACAAATTCGGCGATTAATTATGCAACTAGACTGCGTATGACCTAGAGAAACTGACCAATCAGCAGGCGACTTCTATACACGCGTAATTCGAGCTGCCCGCGTGGGTGAACATCACGCCCACGATGAGTAGCATTTTTTGTACAGGTTCTTGTATCACAAAAACGCGGCATCGAAATTGACCAATCACAATCTTAGTCCCGATTTCGGAATAAATGATATCAGGCGTTAATACGTTATACATGAGACTTGGCTCCGTGGATAAAAGGGTGATACTCATATTTGCAAGGTGAACCCCCCCCCCCAAAAAAAAGCAGCCCTTAAACATTTGCCTTTAAAAAATATTTAGATTTTTATGTTTTTGGTATCAGATTAAAACTGAGAGCTTTTTCTTTCTATACTGAAAAAAATCATAAAAATAGCACTTTGGGTTAATGAAAAACTGCCAATTGTGTAAAAGTAGTCATTTTTCATTAGCTTTGTGTGTTTCACATTAGGAGCTCCATGTGGTTGTAAGCCAATTTGTGGCTTTTTATACATTTCATTTTTACGAATATTTATCAACGATAATTTCACTGCAGATGCTGGTTTCATGGAGCATCAGACAGACAGCGTGACGGGCCGCGAGCTGCTGCCACCAGATGAAGACCTGGCTGGATGCGCCGGAGTCGACGCATCAGCAGGAATCTACTGCGGTAAGGCCGGTGACGGACGGGCCGCTGAGCAGCCAGGCCTCACGTCCCTACACACCCTCTTCTTACGAGAACACAACCGCATTGCAGCACAACTCCTCAATCTGGACCCCTCTCTGAGCGCCTATGATGTCTACCAGAAGGCCCGTAGGATCGTGGGTGCTGAGTGGCAGCATATCATGTACAACGAGCACCTACCGTTGATCATCGGAGAGAAGTTGTACAGGTCTGCGGGACTCTCACCCGACGCTCCGTACGCGTACGACCCCGCCGTAGATGCGACCATTTCTAATGTCTTCGCAGCGGCTGCTTACCGCTTCGGCCACACTCTAGTGCCGTTCGACATAACTCGTGCGACAAGCAATTACAAGCCTACCATAACGAAGATTAAACTCTCGGAGGCGTTCTTCAACGCCACCTACATGTACGACGAGTCGATCCCTGACGGCGCTGTCGACTCCATCCTCCGAGGTATGACCATTCAGAACTCGCAGGTGGTGGATGGGCATTTCTCGGACGCCCTCATGGATAACCTGTTCGGTGACCCCGATGTGGTTGGGTAAGTGGTTCGAATCGAAGCTAAGGCGCGCGTAACGTCGTTTGACGCAGGCTTAAGTCCATCTTAGTTAAAGTCTGTAAAGTCTCGGCTCAGATTTGACCCGGAATAAGAGTTCTATTTGATCTGATACACTGGATGACCGCATAATCAGAGGAAACGTTGGTAACCAAGCGTCTCCTAGAACCCTTGAATTCGTTGCTTCCACACACTCCAAACAAACGTGACACACCGACATCAGACAGACCGACGGACAGACAGATAGACAGCGTAGGATATTTTAATATAGAATAAGTAAAGGCAAATGTTCAAAATGCAGTATTTCCACTGGAAAAAAATGTGGAGAACGACGACAACCTGAGGTCTTAATGCATAAAAAAACAGGATGACATAATATATAAAAACAGCTTTATATCCATTTATTGGTTTGTTTTCAGAGATGGTTTCGACCTCACGGCACTGAATATTCAACGAGCACGTGACCACGGTATCCCCAGCTACACCACCATCAGGACGGATTTCTGTGGCTTTGATGACGTCACCAGCTTCAAGGAACTTGCTGATCAGGACATCATGAGGCGACCAGACGTCCAGAATCTACGGGATATTTACGGGTAAAACTTGTCTGCAAGGTCATGCCACACACAATTTACGGGCAACTTGTTCCAGATATCCTCAACAAAGAAAACCACAGATATTTTGATTTCTTGAAATTGATCTGAGGGATTTCCACAAAAGGTTGGGACAAAATGTACTTTTGTCTTCCCGATGGCCCCTTTAACTTGCAATGAATTTAATTGGTTGCAACTAAGTTGGCAGTGAAAATTGCCTCGTGTGATATAATCTTGAACTCGGTATAAATTAGGCCATAATTATGAACGAGTTACTTCATATGACCTACAAAGGCGCGAATCTTAACCTTTTACGGGTTGTCATTACAAAAAATACATAATGTCGGACTTGGCATTATAGCGAGAACAAGTTGAGTGAATGTGGGTATTGACGTTTCGTCATTAGGAAAAATGTTATCACCGTACAACAGACACTCAGACAGATTAAAACAAGATTAATCAATTTGTTATAGTACTATTTAATAACAACGACATATACATGTACTTTAATAAACTGAACCCACATGACATTTGGAGAACGACAGATGCTTATTGAATGAAATACGAGACTGCATTTGTGTGCTGTTGATACACGTTAAGATCTTTTCTAATTGACTCTTATTATACCAGAATTACCGGCAGTTTTTTTAACCAAGTATAGTATCCATGATTTTTCTTAATGCATGTTGGAACGTCTTGAGGTTTCTTCGATATTTTACTCTCAAATTCTATCAACAGGGATGTGAGGGACATAGATGCTTTCGTCGGCCTCGTCCTTGAGAAAACCCTTACCAACACCCTGGTCGGACCGACCTTGGCTTGCATCTTCGCCGATCAGTTCCACCGACTCAAATTCGGCGATCGTTTCTTCTATCTGAACTCGGACCAGTTCACTACAGGTACGGATAGCCAAGCCCTGAGTCCTATCGTAAATGTTAGCATTTACAATGTATAGGCTATCTTTCATTTGGTACAGCTAGTAACATTTACTACAGATAATTTTCGATGCTTTAAATGAGCTGTTAAAACAATTAGAAAATATTTCGCTAAAGAAACAAAGACTTTAAATTATAAAGCTTGGCAAAAACGTTTGAATCAACGTATTCAATTTTAAAGAAACAGTTTCCTCCGCATTCAAACCTCTAAATAGGGTCAAAAAGCTCTTCTCATACTACCTGCACTCAGATTCATGTGTAAACTCTGTGTGTGTTTTCCTATATCATTTCGTTTGAATTCTTGTGTAATTTATAGCTGAGATTAACGAGATCAAGAAGGCCACAATGGCAAGATTGCTGTGCGACAATGTCGAGGGAGTCCGAAGAATCCAGCCGTATACGTTCATCCAGGCCCAAAACTTCCAGAGTCTAGCGGATAAAGGGTAGGTATAGGGGGAAATAATTATAGCTAAAATCCCCCCAAACTAAAACCAACACCCAAACCAAAAATCAAATATCAAGTCACGCCGAACCAAACAGTATTTGGAACGAGTCAAGAGCGATGATCGAGTAGTTCCGAAAAAAGACAACACTCGATATTTTTTTACGAACAGTTTGGTACTGTGTAATCCTGACAAGCTAGTTCTAAAACGGCTAACAACAGTAAGGTTACCCGAATACCATCCTAAGTAAAGATTTGATTCAAACATAATAGGAATAAAAAGTATCTAAGAAACTCGGCAAAACAGACATTTTTCGCAAAGACAAATTTCTTGTTAAATTGACAAATTTCTTGTCCAATTGACACGAGCTGAAAAAAGTGATACAAAGCTGGCATCAAACTTATATGAAGAATCCTTAAGAATTTTAACTCGACCGATTTAATATAGATGAAAATGTCTTCATGATCTTTCTAGATACGATTCATTCTACGAGTACAGCAGGTCTAGTACCTGGCCTCATCAGCGTGCTACTGTGCTGGATGGCTTGGATAACAGACGCGCAACTTGCACTAAGGCCGCAGGCAAGATACCCTTCGTCGACATCTCCCAGTTTATCTAAACTCATGATCTTGATTCTTAATTTATCTTCATCTCCTTCTTATTTTTAAGTCGATAGACATTTGAAGGGTTTGCGGGTATCGAAGTCTATATATCTAAAACATATATTTAAAGAAACTGTTAATGTAATGCAGGAATCAAACATGCATTACAAAAAGAATTCACTACACTTTAGAGTGAAATTGATTAATCTAAAGAAGGTGTGGTGTCTTGGAAACATCCTCTTAAAGTTGATTCAATATGAGCCTCTTTCTCGAAAAAATAAGAATAAAAATAATATTTTAGTTTTAGCGAATGTAACCGGACAGCACAAAATGTAGTCACTTTAAGTTTTTCAATAGAAATTAGACGAACATTTAGAAAAACAGTATGGTGAAAGTTTCTTTCAATTATTTGTTGTGGCCCTTAATCTTGTTTTTCTTTAGTTAGTACTTTTCTAATTTTAATAAATTGTTTCGTAGTCTTTAGTTTTATTCATCTCGATCGGTAGGTGTGTTAAATACACGCCTGGCATGGTATTACATGTGTGTACTCAAGTCACTGGCCAAGTGTTTATAGTTTTTATTTTCGAATCGTTTTCCACTTGATTTCCGAATATAAGGAATAATTATTGTGTAGCATTCTTTGGCGACATTAGCCACTTTGATCCTGAATTTTAATAGGTTTACAAAGCATGATTTTAAATACCATCGTATAATTGGTTACAAATTATCATGGGCGTCGCCAGGATGGGGCGGGGGGGGGGCGCTTGCCTACTCCTGGAAAAGCAAAAAGAAAAAGAAAAAAGACAAGGTGCGAAATCATGTTGCTGTTAATTTAATGCACGTTTAACAACATTGGCGTCCGCAAGAGTGGTGGTGTGGGCGAACTCCCTCCGCCCATCCTCGAAAAATTATCAATTTAGAATATTTGCCGGCCCCCCTCCAGAAAAATCTCGGCGACGCCCATGGTTACAATTTAGTCACTACTAAAATTATTTTAAATCCTTGAGCTTTCTTAAGAGTACATGCAATGCTGACAGTATGACAAACATGTGTCTTTTTACGTTTCAGCATGCATGTCTTCCTATTGAGAAGCATATTTAGAGCCTACCACATTTTCCGTAGAGGGTTCATGACGTTAATTTTACGTATAGGAAAATATTAAGTGCAACTTTATACTCCTCCTCATTGTATGACAATTATTGACATCCCTTTTGATTAATTTGATTGAAAAGTGCACCTTGTTAACACTTAACATTTTTAGGACAACTGAGGGTGATGTTGCTGTGATGTCATTTCAGGAAGACGCTGTTCAGTTTATGGATTTTCTGTTCAAATTGTGAACACAAACATTTGATAATTGAAAACATTTGTGAGAGAAGATTGCCTGTTGGCTTATTGCCATGTACTGACACAACAACGAATCACCAAAGAAAAGACCGTCATTTGTTGGCAGCTAAATATCCCAAATTCTGGCAGCTTTTGGTGCTGTCATAGCTATAACATCGAACTTTTCACCTAAATGATATCACTTGGCTCATGAATATGTAAAGTCGCATTAGCATAAAACCGAAAAAGGCAACAAAACACCCTTGCAAATGGCAAAATGGAACTTGAAAATAAGGTTAAATGGAACACAAAGGTGCTTTTTGAAGGATTGCATTGGGAACAACATTAGGCCTACATGGGCCCTTTAATTATATCAAACTACGGAAAGTTGTGATATAAATCTTGAGATATTATTCTGAACACAACCAAAGTGTTTAACTTGTTCATTAATTTGTCTCTTTATCCAAGGGGTTTCGTTAAAAAGTGCTGTTATCGATTCTATATAAGTGGTTTAATTAATTAGCTTATCCTCAACAATAAAAAGCTCTTTATTAATTGCGGTCTACGAAGGAAAATGCAATCGAAAATGTTCCTTTGGAAACACTGCAAAACGTGTAAAACCACAATCGATTGTGTGCACATGTTCATCGACATCCGTATTTGTTCTGGCCAATAAGCAATCCTGTAACGGAATAAGACACACGACTATAAAACACAAGATTCGATTCGGCCATTTCAGTACATTCCCTCAAACCATCGAGGTTATAACATCACCCCAGTACACTTGACAAGAAGATCTGTACACGTGCGAAACTGTCGATGAGATTGTGACCAAAATGGCTGTCTGGTACTTGAAGTTAACCAGGTAGGAGGTTTGTTTTCTATTTTTTTGTTAAAAGATGTACAATGAATCTTATTCAGCTGGGTTTTTTTTTTAATTGAGAAACAACTTCATCACGAGGTAGACGGACATTTATTACAATGGGATATCATTGTCTAAAAAAACTTTGGCCATTTTTTTTAATTTTAAGCAAGCACCCCGCTGTAAATGGGTATAGAAACGTATCAGTCAATTTAAGGCCCACGGATCCAAGGGCGGATCCAGAACACAATTTTTTTGGGGGGGGGGGCAAAAAAAAATTTGGTCCCCCCAAAAAGTGGGTCTAAAAAATTACGGCGTGGGGTTCGGGGCCCGCTTAAGGGCCCCGAATTTTTTTTGGATTCTAGATGCTCTGTGGTGCGATCTGAGGCAATTTCTGACCAATTTCACCAATTTTTTTTGAGGAAAAGATGGTGGTGTACTCATTGCCTGCCTTTATTGCGATGTCACATTAATAAAAAAAAAAATGGTTTCGTTTTTTTTGGGGGGGGGGGCCATGGCCCCCTTTGGCCCCCCCCTGGATCCGCCCTTGCACGGATCACTCGTACTTGCCAAAGAAATACCAAAAACTTGTACAAAAATATTGAAATTGTAAACTCACTCAAAGTAATTATACATGCTGGTTGAAGTTTCAGTGGGATAAATTCACATGACATGCCATCATTGTTTTAGAACCAAAAAGCTGCGACTGAGATATTGTACATTACATATTTTTTGCCAGTTTCTGGTTGTTGCTTCTTGCGATAATCCCTTCCATCGAGATGGATATTCTCAGTGAGGATCTTGGAGAACTAGAAGAACTCGAAGATCTACTTCTATCCGAAGACAAAATCAAGGCCTACTCGGATCCTCACAAAGGTACGACAAAGGGTTAGCCCCATAGGTTAGATTTTCACTGTTTCTCCTTATTGGACAGGGATTTGAAATGTTCTAATTGTGTAGGCCTATTTTTTCTTCTTTTTCAAACAACATTAGTGATGACTGTTTTAATGAAAATGTGTGAATTTCCTACGTTATACAAATCCTTCAACTGTTGCTCAGTGAAACATGTTTCGTTAATGTGCCGATCAAATACACACAAACGCATACATCTTTGTTTAAAAGGGAGTGTTTCACAAGTCCTTGGACTTCTTACAACTTCCTTATAACTTCTCTGCTTTTCATTTATCTTTGTTACTTATCTTTATCATTTACTTTTATGTTTTGTTTATCTATTAAGTTACGTACTTTATATGTTTTCATTATGAAGTTATGAAATAAACTAGATTGATTGAAAATACGGGTTTATTGGAAGAAATCACAACTAAAATAGTTTGGCCTAATTTATCATTGTGAAGGTCGTGATGCCGACGCCCTCTTGCGTCAGTTCAACAGCGCTAAGCAGTCACCAGAAGCTCGAGGTAAACTCCGAGGATTTAAGACAGAACTTCAGAAAGATGGAAACCTCTTCTCAAAAGTGTAAGTTCCATAAAAACCAAACAAACATAAGATTACTATTTTGATACAGTTTCTGAAAACCGAACTATGAAAAAAAAACACCTAATCTGCACTTTGCAACCCACAAGGGGCGTACATCCTGGGGGATGGGGTATAAAGCTTCCCCACTTTTGACCGGGGGGGGGGCTATTGAATCACCCCCACACTTTTTCGTGATGAATTTTGTTTCGGATTTCGAGGTATTTTTCGAAAATCCCCAAAACATAATGTATTCAAAAGCACTGAAAAGTGGAGAAACAAAGTACAAAAGCTTTAAAAATGCGCCTTTTTGATAAAGCGCGAGTGTACCTATTGATACACATTTATATCCTGAAGAGCGCCCATAACTCAGTGTAATGTGGTATTCAGCCACCCCCGGCTTTTCCACGGCCGGGAAATGTTTGGATTGAGGTCATCCCCCATTCCCCACTCGCCGGCACAGATTTCAACGCTACTGCAACCCATCTCCCCCGACCCAACAAAAAATGCATGAACACAATAGTGCGTGGTATTTAAAAGTATCTAAAAAAATTAAAAATCTTGGTCCGACTTTAAAACGTACATGTAATAATTCTTCAAAATAATGTTGCATTGTTGTACGAGCTGCAGTAACCAAATTGAAGCAGGAATTCCTTTGCAATGTAAATTAACTTCAGAGTAAATATTTTAATGTATACTGAATACATAAGGCGGTACCCTTATTGTGCATATAACTATAAAACAATAATAAACATACCAAACATGTTACATCTGATGATGTTCGTCCATCAGTGTTGATGATGTTACATCACACTCTATTTATCTGCTCTATCTCACTGTACTTCTACACTTTATTTATTTCATACTTTACAATCATTCCTTCTTCTCATCTCAGGCTTTCTCAAGATGAAACCGAGGCGCACCTTACATCCATAGATAACGTCTTAAATTCATGCACGCCAGCCACGAGCCCTGAATACCGACGAATGGACGGTACTTGCAACAACCTGGCCAAGCCCGAGCAAGGTGCAGCAGAATCGCCCATCATACGAGTAGTCAGGAATGCGTATGAAGACGGTGAGTCTAATCGGTATCGATTAGCGAAGAATCGATTCTCAATCAGCATGTCAACGAAAAAGAAATTTTCGAATATTAATTACTTTCGTTAACAACTATTGATTATGATATCCCATTTGTCAACGATGCCACGTTCTCGTGAAACGTTTGATTCAGAGATAATGAGTAAATAGAGGCTGGTTACGTGCAGTAAGTAGAGTCTGGTGCCCCATGTAAAGCGAATGTCTGCTAACATCAAATAAAGTTAAATTGTTCCTGAAGACAATATTTTTTTTATTTCTCCACCACTAATTCTTCATAGAATCACCACTTTCAACTTAAAAGGGAATATTCTCAAAGTTCTACATTCAATTTTCCATGGTTGACTTTGTCGCGTTCAAGGTTTCAAGTCTGACTTTCCTGATATATAATCACGTAACTTAACTTGCACACGCTTAAGCAACTTCGTGGAGTTATAGTTAATTACTCGGCTAATGACGTAAGCGAAAAATCTCAGTTATAAGTAGCAAAAAAATGTGCCTATAATCACCTTATAATCACCTATTAGTTTGCCTTATATGTGCATGAGTGAACCATTAGTAAGGATTGTGTTCTATGCGGCTACAGGGTCAAGTTGTGCAAAATGTCTTTGCTATTTACGTTGTCGGAGCACAAAATTTACGTAAAATGTCTTTGCTATAACGTTGTGAGCACAAAGTAGTGATCTAAGGCGAAAATGACTTAGAAGAGACATGCAATTTAACTTAGGGCCCCTAGAGTAACCGACAGTGTTACATCATCTTTACAGGACTCTCTGCTCCCCGTACCCTGTCCGTGACCGGCCGGCCGCTGCCCAGCGCACGGGAGATCTCCCGTCGAGTGTTTGACAACAACACCGACATGGAAGACGGTCAAAGCTATGACTATACATCATTGGGAATCCACATTGGCCAACTCACTGATCACGACATCACTGCAGTGCACGGCACAAATGGTATGAGAACTTTTAAGGTTGTGACTTGTTAGGGACGTAAACTCGGCAAGCGTCGGCTTCTTGAATAGGTTCTTATAAAGTAGACCCATTGCGCGGAGCGCCATTACGGTATAGGTATTATAACTGTGTGAGCAGCCCTTTATGGTTTATTTTGATGAAAACAGCGTTTAATTACCGTAAGAATCATATAACTAAAGGGGCTTAACCATCATTTTACGGTACACAGTTGACTGTCCAGATTGCTCGGTAGAGGGCGAGTGTTTCTCCATCCTGATCGACGAGTCAGACCCCGTATTTGGCGGCGTCCAACCCTGCCTTACTTTCCGGAGGTCCGCTCATTTCAACGACACTTCGGGTGTCCGGCAGCACACCAACTCCATCACTGCGTACATGGATGCGTCATTCGTCTACGGCTCGGATGACGTCACTGCGGACGATCTTGCAGACGGTAACGCACAATCTATGGTGTCCTTCCTAGTTGATTCGACAAACAAAATAAGTTTTCCAAAAGGCCTACTAAGTCTAAACGTTGTGTTCTTACTTGGATGGTCACAAAATTATGCAGGTCATTTCATTTTCACTGTCATGTAATTGATCACAATGGATACCAAATAAGATAAATATAAGAGGAATGATTGTATCATAAATACAAAACATGACAAATCCAATTTGAGCGCTACAAAACATAGTATAGAGCTAAAGTCACAAGGAAAGAAATGGGGACTTGGAGTAATCAGAATTAAATAGGCGAATTTAAAATCACTGAAGCCTTTTGAATCACATTTTTGGTACACTACATTCCACCAGAGATGTATGGTAATAAACATGTTATTCATCAGGAAATACAAATGAATTTCTCTCCCATGCTTCTTCTAGAAGTCTCTTTGACTTTTGTTTTATGAATCAGCTGATGGTTCTCTGAGACACCTGACTGACCATGTGACATACCGAGACCTACTGCCACCTGATGAGCACCTTGCACAGTGCGCCGGAGTGAACGAGTCATCCAATATCTTCTGTTGCAAAGCTGGAGATAGTCGTGCAGCGGAGCAGCCCGGACTCACGGCCCTGCACACGCTGTTTATGCGAGAGCACAACCGTATTGCGGCAGAGCTCCGCGTCGTACGACCGTCTCTAACGCCCGTAGAGGTCTACCAGTCTGCCCGCAAGATCGTGATTGCTGAATGGCAACACATCTCCTTCAACGAGTACGTGCCGCAGATTGTCGGAGACGAGCTGTACAATGCTAAGAAACTGTCTCCGACCGCGCCGTACGCGTACGACCCCGACGTAGACGCATCCATCGCCAACGTGTTTGCTGCGGCTGCCTTCCGCTTCGGACATACGGAGATACCGGATTACATCATACGAGCCACCAAGAATTTTCGGTTGAACCTGCCGATTATATGGATGCGGGAAGCTTTCTTCAACGCTTCGTATATGTTTGATGAGCGTATCTGCGACGGCGCAGTAGATTCCATTCTCCGGGGTATGGCAGTTCAAGACTTGCCATTGGTCGATGGGCATCTGACGTCAGCAATCACTGACAACTTATTTGGAGACCCGGATGTCAAGGGGTAAGCTTCACGTATATTGTGACTTTTGTTCTAATTCTCGCTTTTTATGCACTAAGCCTATCACCAAACTGTCGAAGTCGACAAATTCGACAAATTCAGAATCGTGAAATGTCACTGACAGCAGATATAGTACATTATGTAGATAGTGGCAGAAGTAACAGGCCAAGTATGCCTAGGCCTACAACGCTGGCTTAGTAACAGATTATTAATTTTGTTGAGTTATACGAGTTGTTTCTTTTTCTTCAGAGATGGATTCGATCTTGCTTCGTTGAATATTCAACGGGGGCGTGACCACGGATTGCCTAGCTACACGACCATCAGGACAAAGTTGTGTGGATTTGATGACGTCACTAGCTATTCTGATCTGCGTGGTATCATAAGCAACAGTAATTTGGATAAACTCATCAGTGTCTATGGGTAAAGCTGAATAATGCTTATTAATTTCAGAAACAAAGTAAAAGTACATTTTATGATAATGCACATAAAAAAATATTTAAAATGTTGTTTGGAAATGAACCAGGATAAAATGATGACCATAATTTGCAGCGTGATTAACTAATAGTAATAATGGAATTGTGAAACATATAAAATACAACAGGTATAATTATTTAGATTGTATACTTATATTTACAAATCGGAAACTAAAATTGTGTTCAACGTGGATTCCTTTTCCTCATTTTTTTCACAGGAATGATGGTGTCAAGGACGTGGATGCATTTGTTGGGTTCATCCTAGAGGAGCATCTACCAAACGCCCTGGTCGGACCGACCCTGGCTTGCATCTTCGCCGATCAGTTCCACCGACTCAAATTCGGCGATCGTTTCTTCTATCAGAACCCAGATCACTTCACCCAAGGTACGCTTCAACGATAAAACTCGCCAGGAAAACAATGAGAGATTTTTGCAAACATGCCAGGGAAGGCCACTCAATTTTGTTATGGTGTACACGCACGTTTTCAAAATACATGTATTGTTGAATTACAGTAATGAATAAATCGTTGTTGTTTATAAATTATATGCACTAGTGAATAGCTGTCTTTTTGACATTGAGAAGAGTCCTATACCAGTACCGAACCATTGGGCCCGCTAGGGTTTTTATATGAGGAAAATATATTGTGACATTCTTTCAGTAGGGACTGATTGGAAACTTGTTATTCGGCATAGGTACCATTTCATAAGTTCCATATAATTTGGTATTCCTTTTGTCTGATGACATTCTTCATTGTGGGAAGTGTGGCCTAGCGGTAAGGGTTCGTGACTCATGATCAGAGGGTCAGGGGTTCGAATCCAGCTGCCGGCCATACGTTGTGTCCTTGAACAAGGCACTTAATCCCCACTTGCCTCTCTCCACCCAGGAGTATAAATGGGTACCAGCATTAGCTGGTACCCATTAGTAACCTGCGATGGACTGGCATCCTGTCCAAGGGGAATAGAAATATTCTCAGTCGTTTCATGCCAAGGAAACCGGAGATAAACGCCGGACTGATGGGCCATATAGGCTCGTGACAGACTTTACTTTGTCTGATGACATTCTTTATAAAAGTGAGACATTAAGTCTTGGTTCCCAACATTAATATGAGCATGCGCATTGGAGCTTCAAGAGGGTCTAGACAAGGACCACCACGATAAAATCGTCAACTTTTTGCGGTACATTTTTTTTGGTATTTGTGTTCGAAATTGAATCGTGTACACATCCGAGACGGATTTGGACAATTTGGAGATTAAATCTCGTCTTTTACCATAGCCCAAATGGATGAGATAGCCAAGGCTAGCATGGCTAGGCTGATGTGCGACAACGTGGAAGCGGTCACCAATATTCAACCGTTCGTGCTCATCGCCAGCAAGAACTACCAGACTACGGGTGATGATGAGACACAAAATGGAGAACGACGAAAGAGGTGGGCCTACAGTTTAAGCCTATCTGTTTAAACAATTTTCAGTGGTACATACTGACTGACACGTGGGAAATTGGTAGTATAATGTCTATTTATTTTGGTTCTTATTTTGGCAGATCCTTTAATTCCTTCTACGAGTACAGCAGGTCTGGTACCTGGCCTCATCAGAGGCCAACCATACTGGATGGTTTGGATAACAGCAGAGTCAACTGCACACTGACTGATCAGATACCAGTTGTTGATATCACTCAATTCATCTGATCGGCACAATTTCACACATATGTAACCCTTTCCAATTCTTAATTTTTTAAAACCAAATATGTGTCAAAGCCGTACCAAGATTAAATATCATATAATATAAAGGTTAATATTTCCAACAAAAGGACTTGAACTTGATAAGCAGTGTTTCTGAAGTTGCCTGTTTATTATCTGTTTCAAAGTACATGTACTTTAAATTAAATCCAATAAAAGTAAGTGTTTTAGTCATTTGCGTCCATACTTACATAGAACAACTCGCATTGATGATTACCAACAGTGGTAGTTTGGGTTTGGAATATATAAACCACAATTTACAAAATCATTGTAACAGGTTGAAAATTTATATATATCATAAATCTCATAAAGGCTCCAAAAAGATAAAGTAATTTTATGGAATTGTGTGCAATCACAAGTACTTGATTAATCTGCGCAGATTAATTAATGTATTATTAAAATACTATTAGTGGACCAAACAAGGATTTCCAAAATTAGTTAATACACTGTCCCACACAACAAGCTACACAAATATCAGCTTTCTGGAAGTATGGCGAACACAATAGCAGGGTGCTATGTGAAGTGGGTAAATTTGGGTATTTACAAAAAGAGTTCAGCCCACTCCAAAGCACGCCCTTGTATTGTGTCCGCCATACTTCAAAACGGCTGATGGGTGCTGAACAACAACGACTTCCATTTTCAGTACTTAATTTTTTTCGCTAGTTGGGAGAACATTTCAACAATTTTGTATGGAATAAGCCATTTGCGAGTTAAATTTAAATAACATCTGGTATGCTGACTTGCTCATAATGCTTGGCACATTACTTCGAATTCTCCAGACCAAAGAGACTGTTACTATATCACATGATTTGGGGCAAGCCTCATGCCAGCAACCTCTAGCTCAAGAATGGTCTGGTGTCAGGCATGGATTCCAAGGGGAAGGGTATATTTGGGGAGTCGACCCTCCCCCCCCCCCCTGTTCTGACACCCAAAAACTATATACATTTGTATGTATATAGAACAATGAGAGGAGTGCTGTGTCTGCAGGTAAAGCTACAGGTTGTGGGTTCGAGTCCAGCCTGCGGCTATGGTGCGTGTGCCCTTGGGCAAGGCACTTTGTCACTCATTGCTTCTCTCCACCCAGGAGTAAATGGGTACCTGTGAGGGCAGAGATGGTTATTGTGATTGATTCTAGCTTCCTTGTGCCTAACAGGCTGCATCGAGCTGTATACTCCCCAGGGAGCCGAGATGGTATTTGAAATGTTTAATTGGCCCAAATGATCAAGGGTAATAATAATGTAAAGCGCTTTGATCTTAGTCAAAAAGAGCTCTATAAGAACCCATAATTATTATTATCTCCCAAAGGGTATAGGTTGCTCATAAATGGCCTATTAGAGTGTTTGAAAGCAGTTTCAACAAAACTGTTAGCTTGTAAAACACACCTTTCCATTTTTGGTTTTAAAGATACATCATTATTACCCTGCTCATATCAGCTTCGTAACAGTTTGTCCTTGAAGTCTTTGGAATTTAAAAAAAATGTAATACAAGGTACTGATTGGTAAACAAGAAAGACAATTTCTCCCAAAAAAATAATAAATTGTGACTGGCTCCATAAAAGAAGGGTATTATGTTGCAAAACACGTGAAATTGAGTTATATACATGGTTGGAAAGCTCACAATGTAAGCTTTAATTTGGTATATAATAGAGCTCAATAGCCCCTCCCGTTCTGGAGATATGACATATTTGCATATTAATTACTTCCTTGGAGTTCAAATTACACAACTGAGAAAACAGGCTTTGAAATAGTTGGCTTAGTTGTAAAACAACCGAATGATGAATGGCTGTTTTTCCCATTATGTTAATCAAAATCAACATTTTTGTGAAATAAACCTGAAACTGTAGGTATTAAACCTGTCATTCATTACAAAAAGTGAAGAAAAACAAAACATTTTGACGAAATCTTCACCTTCTCAATGATGAGCGGACCATTACACAATAATACACAGCGCGACTTAATACCCTTTTTTGTGGAGCCGGTCACAATTATCTCTTTTCATCAGTACATAGAATCTAAGCCCCAAAGCTGTAAAAGGAAACATTAACTCCACGATAACCTGTTAGCAAAGCTCCTTAACAGGTCTGTCCTTGATGTCTCCCAGGAACAGCGTGCTGAAGATGTCATCGAAGAACTCCTTCCGATGCCAACAAGCTCTCTCACAGTCCGGCATAAAGTTACACTCCAGCAAGACCGGCTGCATGACTTTCTTCCCTGTAACGACAAAAACAAAATGTTATCAGATCAATTACGTTAAGTAAACATACATTTATTGGGCACATTACTTTGTGTTGGAAAGGAAATTTAATTGAAAGGCTGATAACAATTTTGTACATTGAAACTGCTAAATCCCTAGGTTTAGTGGAATAGCATGCTTTATTATTTGTCATCGGGATGATTTTTGGCCCCAGAACACCATTTTTGAAAAAAGACAAGATGTATCTGCCATATTTTAAAATTAAGTAAAACACCACCACTTTCCAACTCATTTGAGAGTCATTTGTATAATATTTGTACGATACTTCTGATCATAACTTCATATTTTGTCACACTCTGAGGCCCCGCCACAGAGCAATATTTGCTACGAAAACAGGTCGTGTACAGCGATCAAGTTCAAGTTAAAAAAACGGTGTGTACAAAACCAACGGGAACCACTGACGTCTATACACGTCCACCGCCGGCGACTCAGGGAATGCTGGACGATTTAACTAATTACCAGCCCCAGCGAATGCACATTGCCAGATCATGTTTACATATTCTCTGGCATGAACTGGTTAAAAGTACACAGGATCATTTGCTCTTCCTACATTTTTTAGTTTGAAAAAATAAATAAAATATAGTCAAAATTTAAAGGGTGCATAAGGCCAAAAAAAAAAGCCTCCGGTTTCTGGTATGGAGCTTGCCCAAAAAGTGGTGCGGCGACGCGGCTTTTTTTTTTCTTTACCTGATTTTTTTGCTTCAAATGTCGGCTGATGATTGCAAATGGTGCCCGACCAAACTTAGTGCAAATATATGGGAGTCCAGACCATAACCAATATAAAAACACGTTAAAATTGTGCAGCAGCAGGATTCCAGTCAAACCAGTGAGTTTGGCGGTTTTGAGACATCATCTTTCATTGAAAAAAAACCTTTTTCATTTTGCCGACGCGCATGGCTACAGCGACGCGCGCGCATACCAGAAACTGGAGACTTTTTTGGGGGCCTAATAACTAACCTGTTGAAATTTTAGCTCAATTGTTACTATACACTTTTAGAGGAAACGAAGAAAGTATATGCAACATTTTTTGGGATATCCAAAGCATATTTTAGCATGATATGCAGTACAAACATGGCCCTTGACCGTGGACAATGAGTGATCGCTCTAAATGATGACACACTTACCTGTGTCATCAGTGTCCCATTTCAGCATGATATCCAGTGCATACACTGCCCTTGACCATGGACAATGAGTGATCCCTCGAGGCGGTGGTTTGGACACTGCCGCCTGGAAGAACTCACGAATCATATCGTGAATGCTGGCCTCGACTTCGTCCCAATCAAAGTCAGGATTCTGCTTGTTGAAGTGACCTGGAAACTCATGCCATAGCATCTGATCAAAAACAGTGATGATAATAACAGTAAAATACAAAGAATGTGTTAACATTATTAACTGCCCGAAGATTGATCAAATAAGAAACGAAGGGTACTTGGTAAAATTGACTTGGTACAATTATATTATATACTCATTCTAGATATAAACAAAGAACTTGACTGGAGTGGGGTGTGAACTTTTGACCTGCAGATTACTGTACTGGAACCACTGATCTCTATATAAAGACTGGATAGCGGATAAAGAGCTGCACAATGAATGAATTTGACGCCATATTGGCGAGACCAGTGAGACCGGCTGGTGATCTACAAAGGACAAGTTGCCGTCTTTATAGACAGCATGATTTCTTTTGTAACATCGCGGTTCACTTGACTTATATTTTGACCACCACCACCTACCCACGGTTTACAATTTTTCTAACGTCGTGGTTTACTTTTTTTTAATACCGCAGTTCACTTTTTCGGCGTTTTGGAAATAATAATCACTACCGAAATATGTCCTTTTTTAGAACATCATAATACCTGTACGTGACCAAAATGCGCGTCAAGTCTTGATACAGCGCGCGCTGTATATACGCGTAGAACGTTTGTATTATACACGGCCATCTTCGTGAGACCAGGGCGAATTGGTCAATATGCAAAGTCTACTGTGAGACTGGTGTATGGATATCCGCTACCCAGTCTTTATATAGAGATCAGTGACTGGAACTCTACTAAGCTTTCCAGCCCTGTGTTGGCAGATTTTTTTCTAATCTAGTCAGATTCTAATTACTTTGGACACCATCTGACATTTTTGGGTGCAGTTCAAATCGGACTTTCTTGGACGCTATTGGACAAAAGGTGGCTGTATTCCTTGCCGCATATTTGCCAACACACATACAAGATTTGGCAGACTGGCAATGTTTTAAAGTGGCAAACTTCAGAACGTTTCCAAATCCGAGAATATTCTCACCTGGAAGAAGTTTTCCCCTGGTTCCTCCGTGGCATAGTTCATGACGGTGAAATGCTTGTTGTAGTCGTCCAGATTGTCCAACGAAAAAGGCCTGTAATATAAATAAGAGAAAAATTCTAAAACATCTTTCCTGAGAAATAATACAAATGAGCTTGGAATTTTAAACAGGGTGAAATATGTTCAAAGTTTTAAAGTGAAACCTGGCGATCTAACTAAGAGTTGATTTCTGAACATCTAAAGTTTACGTGCATGGAAGTTCGTTTCTGTCCCCTTATTATATCAATTAAATAAAAGATACCTTTTTGAGACTTTGGTTACAGAGCTCCTGATACGAGCTCTGTAACCAAAGTCTCAAAAAGGTATCTTTTATTTAAATAATCTAAAGTTTTGATTATAAAATGCAACTTGTGATTGTTGCAGTTTTTTATTCCGTCTGTTTTCCTAAGTCTTCTAACTATCACAAACATCTACACATAATCACTGCCACTATTATATAGTATACTAACTACAGTAAACACTCTTGTAATTCAAATTTGTGCAAAGAAAAAAGTCACCACATTTCTAGCCAACTCCTGACAATCATTTCCATGTTTGGACTCACTTGTTTGCGAATCGAAGCCAGAAAATCTTGTAGGCGTAAACTTTGAGAGGTTTGACTGACGTGAACATCACAACGTAGCGGATATCAAACTTGACTGGACCGATGCCATCACGGACAAAGAGAACCGGATCAGTCAGGTACTCACACGCAACCTGCATAAAGTCAAGCATACTCACGGGGTACAATACTTGGTTCTCTCGCCATTATTGTCTAGTTCCCTGAACCACGTGAAATTCAAAATTCACTTTAGAGAGATGTAGGGAGACACTGACTGATTAACTGATTGATCAACAATTTTTACTGTTTGACTGATAAGACTCACCTTAGGTATATCTGTTTCTGTCTGTCGGATGATCTGATTGAGATTGTTGGTTACCGTGGTATCCAAACCTCTCGCCAGATTAAATGGCTTACAGATCCATATATTGAGTGCTCCTCTGAAATAACACGAAAGGGGAAATTTAATCTCAAATGTAATCAAGCAATTTAGAACTCTCTACAAGGAAACGAAATGACAGATTTAGAATCATATAGCTCGGCAAGTAAAATTGTTCACAATGGGAATGACCCAAAGATCGTTTGTTTATAGTTTACTGCATAAAACCAAAGGTGAAAGCAAATGAGCATTTTCTCTGTCTTCATACTAAGAACAACCTGTTGTATTGTAGCTAAAAAGATGCTCTTTTAATGAATTTGAAAAGTTAAAAAAAGCAACAATTTCCCAATTCCTGAGGTTTTCAGAGAATTGGCAATGCATGCACAATATGCCCAAGAAGTACTTGCTTTTTCTGTTGCTGCTGGAAGTACGACACAAACTGGGGCAGGTTGTTCCAGAGGTCATAGGTCACCGGCAGCCATTTTGGACAACAGCTCGCCCCTGATTGGTGCTTTCCTGATTCTCTGGACGTGAGTGCTAGCATATCCTTGGTAACAATCAATTTCTCTCCGGGGAACTGATTGACATACTGGTGAGTCTCATTGGAAAGCTTTCTGTGACAACATTTGTGGTAAAATACAATTTTATTGTTTTTTTTCCCTAGATAATTTTCTTTACCAGTTAATTGAAATCTTAGCCTTTTCCCCCCCACGATTTTCAGTAAACTTTAATAGCTCTCCCAGGTCCTTCAATGTAAATCAAAAAGTTAGCCAATTTGCTTCAGGATTTTTTTGGCCAAAAATTCAATATTTGAGAAAAGGCAAGCCAAACGCTACATATACTGATTCGCAAGAGTCATTTCAACAGTATTTGTACCATATTTTCTTGCTGAAACCTCATATTTTTCAACACTCTGAGGTGTGCAATGAAGCGTAAATTGTAGAATAGGCCATACATGCATGACGGCCAATTCAAGATCAACACACGGTCCTCCTCCACAGTCTTCACGACTTTGTGTGTGTGTACAAACGACATGAGGGATTAGCGTGTTCAGACATCACCCTGAGGTGAGTCGAGGCAATCTCTATGTTTTAACCAATCAGCTGTGCCTGTGTATAAAAACAGCCAGTGCATGTTAACACGTCCTCCAACGCAAACTGGTTAAGAAGGATTTAGTGGGATTGAGGACTGAGCACCCAAAAACCTTTCATTCTACATAGGACACATACACCTTTAACCTTCCTGGTCTTCTGCATATCACAGCCAAAACTTAGCAAAACCACTTTTGCCCACATAATTAACACCCACACTTTCAAATTCCTTTGAGGTAATCTTCTGTGGAGTATGGATTACGCTTCAAATCCCTGCACAATTGTTTTTCAAATGACCTGAAGGGATTTAATGGGTTTTACATATTGCTCTGAATATTGACTTCCCACTGAGTGCACACATAACACCTCCGTTCATAGCTTCTAATGTTGGTTGTCATATTATTCCTGAACAATTGGAACTTTGAAAATTTAATAAAAGTTCCTAGCAAAATGCCTAGGTTGTTTATCTTCCTACTAACCCTCCTACTGTTTAAAGAGTCACAGACAGTCAGAAATTCCATCTACTTCCCCTGCCATGCCTTTTACACAGGCTTCTAGTCACAAACAGTCAGATCATATTTCAAGCAAGCACTGTGATTAGTCAAATTCAGCCAACAGACAAAAGCAGGCATGTGGTAGGCACAGCTGACTTATCAAATACCTACAGTCAAAGCACAGCTATATCAAGTTACATAATCAGTAGGAACCAGTCAATCCTGCTTTATGTAGGCTGGGAGCTCTTAACTGTTGAAAACCGTCACTTGACTGATTTTGACTGAAAGGACAACTTGGCACAGAATGTATGTTTACACAGGAGGGTTACTAGGGCTAACTTTTGGAATTTCCAAATCTCAGTTCCACCCCAAGAATTCAAACTTATAGGACCAAACCTGAAATCTCTGAAGGAACTTTCCAGAAACAGGACATCCGCGTCTTCTTCCTTGTCCACAAACTCAAACTGCGGATGGTGCAAGTTGGCAAGCGTCTGCTTATGATCGCTGTAAACCTTGAGTTTTCCGGTGACATCGCGTAGGACAGGACTCTCCCCGACCTCTGGGTTGGTGTTATTACAGACGCGGGTCATGTAGTCCAGGTCGGGTTCGGGCTGCTCGGGGCTTATATGGGTCAGGTCGTTTGGTTGCCATGGCAACAGACGAACCTGACGCAACAGCGGGTCTTGGAGTGGGAATGCGTAGTCCACTGTGACGTCATCTGTAACCAAAAGTTCAAGGTAAAAACAACGGAACTTGATGCATCATGAACTTCAATATTGATTTTTGGCGACATTGTCTTGGTTTCGAGAAAGTGGTCACAAATGTAAGATTTCAACATTGCAGAATTTAACATTGCATCTGACGTCATGTCTGAGGGAAGGTCTGTTCCTCTGCCATACCCATGAGAAGACACACTGTTCTTTCACTGTCACTGAATTTAGTAAACAAAAACCTGGCCTGAGTGAGGGTGCATCATGCAAAGAGTCTATATTATTTGGAACACTTTGTGGAACATTTTTCTTCTTAGAATGCTCAAATGAAACAGGAATTTCATGAGGAAAACTGATGTTTGCCAAATATGTTTCCCCCCAGTTTGTTATGTACTTACCACCGTACTCTAGATCTTGGAGTGGAAAGAGTAATGAGTATGCAATCTGTTCAGGAATATAGAAGAAGGGTACCAGTCTACAGCTTGGGGTATCGTCATGACGTATTCGAGAACCAAACTCATCTAGTATGTACCACATTGGCTGCCTGTCTTCTGCTTTCAGGCCCTACAACAAATACAGAAATCAAGTATTACTAAGCCAGTAGAAGGAAAATGAAAATGGTTTTCACCTAGAAACTGTGTTTATTTCAGAATAAAATGTTCAGTTTGTTGAAGAACACATGGGGAGTATCAATGAATGCTCTTTTTTTTTTTACAAGAGTAGGCCCATATCTTTAAAGGCATAAAAGAGCATTTGCTTTTTCTGCATTATGTTCATTTCCAATAATAACACCGCTCAAAATCCAAAGAAGAATCCTCAATACCTACATGTAACCTTCATAGGGCCCAATTTCAAGGCGCTGCTAAGCACAAAAATTTGCTTAGCACAAAAAAAGTCTGGCTTATAAAAGCAGGTTACCAGACAAAACTTAATGTGATTTTCATGCTCAGCAAACAACAGCTGAATACTAATCACGAGCAATATACATCACGTAAAGTTTTGGCTGGTAACCTGCTTTCATAAGCCAGACTTTTTTAGTGCTAAGCAAACTTTTGTGTTAAACCAGCGCCGTGAAATTGGCCCCTGTTGAAGTTTCAGATCTGTGGATATTTCACTTTTTGAGAAAACAATGAAAAAGCATGCATGCTCTTTTGATCACAAAGCATGATTTCATCCATAGCACTCTTTATATCAAAAAATATGCCAATCAACCGACGGTTGGAAATCACCTACATTTCTTGATTTCTTCTAAATGACAACAAGCCAGATGGAATAATTTCACAGGGTGTTTAGTACCCGCATGAATTTAAATCCAAGTAAGCTTTTTGATAATAATTTGGAAGGTTACTTTTGGAATAAATGCAAATGATCTCATGCTTTTAAGTCCTACCTGTGCGTTCATGCTGTAAGTGCGGCTGTACTTCCACGACTCTGCGAGAACTTTGTTGATGCATTCGTCCCGGTCCTGTCCCTCGGTTTGAGTAATGCCCATCAAATTCATCATCCGAGACAAAAGGCCTGGTACCTGCTGTAGCTGCATTCTGGCTTCAATGAAGCGGTACGTCCAGGCATGGTCTATGAGATAGATACTAGACGGAATTGAAAAAAAAAATAAATACTGGTGTTTGATATTGCAATAAACTTTTCACTGAAAATATTGTGACTGATTTTATAGTTATTCAAGTTAAATATGCTTTTTCTTAAACAATATATTTTTCTGTTGCACGCGTGCAACTCCTGAATTGTTTTTTTTTTTTTTAGTTTGGGTCACATTTGCGCCTCTTAACACCAAAAGATTTGCCTGAATTAGTATAAATTTTAATAAAATAAGGAAATTTCCTTGGAAGTGGAAGTACTGAGTTGGCTTGGCCTGCAAACAGGGATTTAAATGGCCCTTTTTATCCCTCACTCCCTACAGGGTAGGCACTTTTACTGGGATGCAACCTCAATCCTGCAAAATCCTCAAACTTCCGCCATGTAAAAATTGCATACAGCCTCAATCCTGCAAAATTCTCCAGCAATCACTGTCAATATGTTGAGGCAGAGCCAGTGACATCCTGGAGCAGTGCGGACGATTTCAAGTATAATGTTGGTCTAAATTTATGCACAGCTGAGCATAAACATTAAAAGTTTCATAACTCTCAGGAGTACAATGGTGCATAAGTGTTCAGCGATGTGTATTTCAGAAGATATTTGGAATTAAATCCACCAGGCATGACCGGTGGAGCACCCCATCGTGTGTTTAGCCAACCCTGGAATTGAGCTGTAATGGCCGCAACGGTATAACTTTCAGACCAATATTTACAGAGGGCCATTTACAGCCCTGTTTGTAGAGCTATGAGTTGGCCTGCTTTGTGTTACTCATTCATGAGTCAGTCTGCTGCACACCTGTCTTCATTAGACGCATCAATGCCTTCCTCATCACTGACAACCACCCTCAACTTTGGAGGAACAGCTTCAGTCGCCGTCTCCGCCTCCCCACTGTCCCCGCCCCCAGTTTTATCTCCTTCGTTCTTGGCATCTTCCTCTTCCAAGTATGTAAGCATAAACCTCTGCCCAGCATCAAACAACTGCAAGACAAACACGATGCTTAATTCAAACATTTACTGCTTGATTAAGGCCAGGTAAAAAAATACCACTTTCTCGTCCCCACACGCTTCTTTTTTTGTGCCCGCCTCCTTCATGTCCTTTGTTGTTGTTGTAATTTATACATTTGCCAAGTGCTGCAACTGATCCTCAAAGTTCAGTTCAGTTCGGTTGCAGTTCGATTTTTTTTCTCCGAACTCCGGTTCGGTTCCGCTTCGGAAGTGCATACATAATGTACATGTCCATGGTACCATCATGTATGTATTGGGCTACAATGAAAAGCATATAGCCTGTTCCCCTGTTCGAACAAACACGTGTGTACCTAGCCCCATAAATGTGGCCTATTTACTGGACTGCCTCCGTAAACATAGGCCACACATCCACATGTACAAAAATCGTGTCGACGGAGCCAAATTTTGATTTTCACATTTAGGCTTAGTTTGTAGGGTTTTTTTGCTTTAGAAGCATACTCACCCTCTTTATAGGCTAATCAGAAAGTGCTGCCTTTTTCAGATGTATATTTTTCGTGAAATTTCCAGATTCATTTTTACACGTTTGCGTATCAAAATTTCAACATGAAATTTCACAAAAATTAGACATCTGAAAAAGGCAGCACTTTCTGATTAGCCTGTAAAGAGGGTGAGTATGCTTCTAAAGCAAAAAAAACCTACAAACTAAGCCTAAATGTGAAAATCAAAATTTGGCTCCGTCGACACGATTTTTGTACATGTGGATGTGTGGCCTATGTTTACGGAGGCAGTCCAGTAAATAGGCCACATTTATGGGGCTAGTGTGTACCATGCACATCTGACAGATATGGTCATCGCAATTTCCACATGATTTGCCATATATTTTGAGCATTGTCAACTGTCTTTTTATTCGTTTCCAACGAAATTGTAGCTTTTTACTCAGCCTTACTAGTTTTAGTTACAATTTCATCTCGATTTATAAAGTCTAGCTAGGACTTATCATGCACTCAATGGGTAAAGAATATTGCAACCTGACGCTGCTTTTTTCTTCACAAATCATCTCCATGAAGGTCTCTCAATGCAAAAATAATAATGAGACAAGAATCTGGGACTGAGAACCATTTCCAATTTTGTTAGGAAATAGGGCCTTCTTACTCTTAGAAAATTGTCTTGACTCTCCATGGTAATCCTTACTTTTAGGACACCTCTATTTTGTACGAGTTCTGTTCAAAACTGACTTTTGCAGATGACTGTCCAGTACCAAAGTGACTTTTGCAGGCTAAAGAAGTCTTTTTTCTTCAGACACACTCATGTTAGTTATAATTTTGAAAGCACTTTCAAAGAAAATGCGACTTTCCTACCTTTTTTTGCAGTTCGCCATCTTGCTTTTTATATTTATTTTCTGTTTGTCATCGTCGTCTTTAACCCCTCATAAATCAAAACCCTGCCCTCTTTCTACAAAATCAAACCTGCTGATATTCAAGAGGTCTCATTGCCAAATGTTCAAATGTGTCAATAAATATCAGAATGTCACTTTTGAGTGTCATTTAGTCAGTTGTTTTGGTGAGTCTTTTAACCTTATATAGGAAAGGGGTCCTAAAAGTAAGGATTACCCTCTCCATAGACTTTGTACACAACTGCTGAAGTAGCGTCAGGTTGCAACTTTCTTTCCCTCAATAGTTCTCAGTTCGACTTTGTAAAATTGCAAAGTTACAAAGAGAGTTATGACACTTCAATATGAATCTCCTCGTAATGATAAGAAAATATTACGTCGCACAAGTGAATGGAAAAGAAACTTATTTCCGACACTTTTATCTTCAGACTTGACACAACCAAAAAACTACCTGATTTTCAAGTTTGTTGTATATACTGTGCCAGAACGTTTCCGGTACTCCTGATATCTCAAGCTGGCTTTTGTGAATCGCTACAAAATCGCTAAAATCAGTTTTTCCCCGCCCGTTCTCCATCCTTGCACTGCAACTACTGCGGTCGCGTGACATTTAAATCACATGCGTAAGGTAGCACGTGCTAAAGTTCCTAGTGTTCAAACGCGCTAACCAAAGCGGCAAAAAAAGATTCAGGATAGGGGCCCGTCTAAATCTGGACTATTAACTGAACTCTTGAGGGCGCACTTTAGCAGGGCCAGAAAAACACATCTTGACATAGCTAAAAAGTAATTCTAGTCATCTGGAGCACTACAGTTTCGAGTAAAAATATTTCATTGTTATGGCTGATAGTCCAGGACGTCCAGATGGAACAGATGATGAAGATCAGGACGTACTGATCGGAGAGGAACCCGGTGCAAGGTGAAGTTTTTTATCATAAATTTCCCTGAACTTCTGAAGTAACTGACGTGAAGTCTTTTACAGTTTCACTTTATTTCATGACTTTCTCTGTTTCAGCTTCTTTTCTTTCATAAACATAATCATAGAAAGCTTGCACAGGGCGCCCTCACTGTGGACAGGTGACAGGTACATGTAGTTGTTTCTTTATGATAGCATGAGTAGATGTGTTTCACTTTTTTTCGTTGTTTCCTTATTTAAATAAGAAAAAAAAACCCTGTCCACAGTGTGAGCTTTCTTTTTTTGTTATGACTAAATCAGTGAACAGAAGTACATGTGTTGTGCCCATTCTTGAAAATCACGCATTCTCGAGAATGGGCATGCACATTCTTGAGAATGTGCAACTGGATCCTTGCTCAATCTTGCAAAAAATAACTCTTCCAGATTGAGCGCACATTCTCGAGAATGCGCGACAAGATAACGGTCTTGTCGATGCCGAGCACCGGCTGCGCTTGGCAAGTCAAGCTGAATCCTCGTTCACTGATTCTCAATAATTATACTGTTGCAACGCAAGGCGCTGAAAAGTAGAGTGGATATGATAAGTAAAGGCGTATTAATATGGGGGGGGGGGACCGGGAAAATATAAGAGACATAATAATACTAGTGCAAAGAATTCTGATTTTTGGGATAATAAAAGCCGGGGGGGGGGGGACGTGAGAATGAAGAATGTGAAGAATGAGAATGAATACTGCGACATCCCATAGTGCTAATGCTATTTCCCATTTAAATTGCCACCAATTTATTGTTCACATCCCATCCCACCATAACATCGCAGAGCTGGATTCTATCTAGTCAAAAGAGCAATTTTGGCAGCTTCTGGACATCGTTTTTTTTTTCGTGGCACGCATATGATACATGCAGGGACTTGTAACTTGTCTAGCCCTAAACAAAGCACTTCCCAGACTAGTTCCCAGTCCTCCGTTATTACAAAACTTCCCATAGTGGGCAGAAAAAAGCAATAATAACAGGTTTAATTTGATTCAAATTATCGTAGTTATACGAGTACAGAAGCATAGCACATTTTCTTTCCTCTTTATATGAATTGTTTCCCTTTTAACCGCTATACAATTCATTTAACATAATTATGTCGTGCAATGTTTGTTAAGATTGGGCAAAATTCATAAATTGTGCACGTGATATTCCCACCCAATCTTAAGAATGAGCGCTCATTCTTAAGAACGCGTGCTCGTTCTTAAGAATGGGCGCTCATTCTTAAGAATGCGCGCCCATTCTCGAGAATGTGCATGCCCATTCTCGAGAATGCGTGATTTTCAAGAATGGGCACAACACATGTAATTAGGAATGGAATATTGTATTCTTTCCATTAGCCCCACTAGTGTGGCCGTCGGTATGCTGCGCTGTTCAGCGCAGCATACCGACGGCCACACTAGTGGGGCTATCTTTCCATTTGCCAAAAAAAGTATAATAATTTGTTAAAAATAATTAAATATATCGTCCATGTACCTGTTTTCGAGGCATCAAGTTTTTGAGGACCTTATTATTGTAGTGATGCACACGCGCAGATTCATCATGTTCATACCTTACTACCAGTTGATTAGTTGTGTGTGCGGTAGGTGTTCCACCACCAGCCCAAAACATATGGAAGCCGAAGGCCATGTCGGTGTTTTTCTGTTGCTTGAAATAAATCCTTACACCCTCAAACCGAGGATAAATAAAGTTCTTGAAATAAATATTGGATGTGTTGAATTTGAGTATTGTTTTTGAACGAACGTCTTTAATTTGAGGAAATGACACAAAAGCAGTATTTTATGAAAACGTCTGTTTTTTCCCCTCTAGTGTCCATCCGATGTTAGCGACGGAGGATTCCTACGAGGAGCTGGATTATGACCTCAACATTGAAGCACCAATCACAGAGCAGCGTGAGCGCCTCGCCAGCGGCACTATCGCGAGCATTGTTGAGGAGCACACTGGCCCCGCCTCCGCAGAGGAAGTGGGCACGGAAGCAACAGAGTTAGAGGTAGCCATGGAAACATATCAATCATAAAAAAAGTTTTTGTTGTTGTAAACGTCAAATATACTGCCAAATGAAAAACCAGTTATATTCCTGACAAATGCCGGAGAAGTTCTGTTTATGTATTTTTTATATTCCATAATCACAGAATGATGTGGAAAGGAGTAGTCTAGAGGGCGACTTAAGCAATCTACAAATATCAGAAGAGGTGACGCAACGCAGGGCAGACACGGTGCCGGACCGGCAGGATGTACCAAATGACACCGATGAGGAGGTGCTACAGAACAGAGAAGCTGGGCAGAGGGAGATCAAAGATGAAGGTAGGTCAGACAAGAGGCAGGGTCCGAATTACTTGGATATGGCTAGACATAAACACGGCAGGTCTGGGGGAAGTGGCTGCAGCGGCTTCCATAGGAGTGTGTGTGATTTTCAGCCGTAGCCAATTAGTTCGGACACGGCCTGACTCTTTTATCCTTGCCAGTCAGCTGGAGCTGTTATGCCCCACTATGGCGGTGGCCCCAACTATAGGTGGGACAGGCCCAACAGTAGTTGGGGAATGCCTAACTTTAGTTAGGACGATCCATCCTAACTGTAGGTGAGATCGTCCCAACTATAGTCGGCATGATACCGTAGTTGGGGCGAAACAGACATATCAATGGATTCTTTGCACAGTATACCCTCAACGTTTACAAAGGAAGAGTTGGGAGAGACCACTGGCTCTGCCGACGGCACCAACCACGTGATGATGCTACGGGTTTGTCCATATTCAGTATAAAATTAGTCATGTGGACTTGCTGCCACTCTTGCAGGAACCCACAGTCTGGATTCACTGTGCTACTGTGGACACTTGTTGTGTTCCCTTCTTTTGTTCCTATTGTTTGAACGTATTCCTAACATATCCCATAAGGTTTGTGCATGAAAACCTTTTGAGGACTTGGGAATAGGTCCTCTGGTTGATGGGCTGTGTTCAGGAACAAGAGAGGGCGCTTTTTTACCACTTTCAAGAGTCCAGTGGGCAGGACACACCCCTTGTGCTCACAAATGGGCACACATACATGTATAGCCTGAAGTACACACAGCTTAATTTGTTCACAAAGCTCTAGCATCTTTGCGTGAGCATCAGGCATCGTCAGCAATGCGTTGGAATGTCCCTCCCAGTGATCTCCCCCAACTCTCCCTTTCTTACCGTTGAGGGGGTACTTGTGCAGTCACATTGCTAGGACACGAAAGTCTTACGAGTGATCACAAGATGTCATCCGCTGTTTATCCACGGAGTCCGTATTGACAAATATTGTAAGTGTCTGGATAACTCTTGTATATTTTCTGCAACAGATATCCACAGTAGTGTTTGGCGGGACCACAAGAAACACGTGTTTATCCTCAGTGAGGCCGGCAAGCCAATCTACTCAAGGTAAAGATTTTGAGCCTGGGTCACTGAGATGTAAGGGCCCGTCTCAGTTCATATCCAGGACGAGTTCCGGACAAGTTCCAGACATTGTATCGAGTATAAGTTACGGGATTCAGAACAACTTCTGCCCAATCTTCCCGCAGTGAAGTTATCAGTATTGATGGGTCAAGCAGTTGCTAATGAACATTTTCCGGGAACATGTCCAAGACAATTGCAGAGCTTCTTCCGGACATGGATCTACCCTCAACTTGTCTAGAACTCGTCGTTCCAGATGTGAATTGAGACGGCCCCTAAGGAAATTTTTACAAGAACCAACCTGATTTGGTAGGCAGACGGGAAATACGATGCCTACAAATGAGAGAGTAACTAAACCGAGAGATTATCTATCATGTGATGTCTGATTCTCGCCGTTTCGTTTTGCAGGTATGGGAATGAAGACAAGTTGGTGTCGCTAATGGGAGTCATGCAGGCGCTGATTTCCTTTGTTCAAGACGGAAAAAACAACCTCAGGTGAGATACAAAATTCCTTGAATGCTGACATTGCGTGCTCCCATGTATGCAAGTACTGTGCGATCGGTATTCCTTGCCATTCGTTTCGGGCAGTGTGACATTGTCACTTTTTAAATTTGCAACTTTCAAACTACATCCTTTTTCATAAACCATTGTCAATGTTGGACGATTTACAGTCTTTGGTAGCAAACAGGGTATCAAAATGTAGCTAAAAACATTCCCCAAAGTTCTATGTAAATAACATTATCACAAGACGATCGGATTCAAAATTATGACTGCTCCAATGAGTGGGGACGTCCATTACAAGCCCCAAACCCACTCAAAGAGCTACTAGTGAACAGTGATGGGCTCTAGGGTTTCGTGGCCGTGTATCACAAAAGCACACTGAGCAGTGCGGTAGAAGTACGTGCTGTACATGACCTAATCTGAAAGCATCCACAACGGACTTCTAACAGAATGTGGAACCACTTGGTCAAGGACGGGATGATAAGCCCAGATGTTGCAATTATACCTCTACTACTCCAAGCTTTATAAGAAAAAATCGCGAGGTCGCTCAGGTAGGACTCACACCAACAATCTCCTGCTTAGGGAATGTCTCAAAAGTCATAACGTTCTCATTCCACATGGAATGTTCCTTTTAGGAACACTGTGTGTTCCAACAGGCCATTCCCAAATGCATGTTGCCAAATGGAACAGGCGATGTTCCCCGTTGGAACATTCCAAGCGTTCCGACTTTTGAGACGTTCCCTTAATACTTCTGCAGCATTCGGAGCCACTTTTCTACTGAGCTTGCTGACTAGTTCAAATCCAAATTGATGGCTTCTTACTTTGTTGCCTCAAATCTTTTTGTTCCATTGAAGTTGGGGTTTAATTCTAAGTTACATCTTTACCCCACAGGTCTATTGTAGCTGGCGGTCGCACGTTTGTCTTCTTGGTCCGACCGCCCCTCATACTGGTCGCAGTGTGCAGGACCCACGAATCACAGCAGCAACTGCTGCTACAATTAACCTACGTCTACAACCAGGTACTGAGCGTGCTTACTTACTCCCAACTCAGCCGAGTCCTGGAGACGAGGAAGAACTACGACCTGAGGAGGCTTTTAGGAGGTATGTCATTTATCAGCAACAATGAACATTCTGAGTGTTTCTTTTTTTATTTGTTATTTATTCTGATTGGTACATAAGTACTATTCTTAAAGCTCCCAGATTTCAATGGATATGATTCAAGGGAGGAAGTGTTAGGTTTAGTAGTGGGAGGCAAACTCCTGTATTGTCCCCAGAGCCCATGCTATCAGTTAGGGTTGAAAGAGCTGAAGCCACTTGAAGGAACCAGACTAGAGTCACTAGAGTCAATTAGACCGAAGTATGCAGATCTTGCAAGAAAAGTTAGGAACATGGAATTAAAAATGTTAGGAATTATGGGGATCAGGTTTTCCACTAAAGCAGTAATTTCCGTCTACAACTTCTTTGGAAATAAGTTGAAACACTTTTGTGGGCTATCCCAGCCAATTGCTGAATAATCATAATTAATAAAATTACAAGCCTACTTTCATTCATTAGAAAAGCTGTCAATTTTTAACATTTCAGTGATTCTTCTTTTTTTTTTAAATTTGAAGTAAATCAAACCCAATAATGGTACATTTTCATATTTCTATGCCCTAGTTCATAAAATGGGAAGTAGCATTACTGTTGGTGTTGGACACTGAAGTGCCATTTTCGCTATGTACTTAGCTCAGGGGCATTCCTCTAGCATTAATATGATCCAAATTTGTAAATATTCGGTTAAAAATTGGTTGCACATACACCGTACAACTTGCAAACAGAAACCAGAGCACATACAGGGCTTGTCTTTTCCATGGTTTTCGTGAGTAAGCCAAACCACTTAATTCTCCTTTAAAGGGAAAATACAACATTTGCAAACATCAAAAAATAAAACTACCAAATCATTTTGAAATAAATTGCTGGACTGTTAGTGAATGACAGTGTAAAGCATCCTGTAAAATCATGGCACCTGGTATACTGTCATTTTCAAGAAAAGTGGTATTTTTGTATCAATTTCCAACGCTGATCGGCCGATCAGCGTTGGAAAAAACTGGCTTTTTTTCAAATACTGGCCCCAATTGACCATCGCACTTGTTTGCAATCGATTACAAACCTATGAACGGGTACGAGCCAGCTAGACTGGTTCCCTGACCTTACAATTCCCCAATGTATGTAAACTGCTCTGTTTCTTCTTATATGGAGTCAGGGAACCAGACTACAGGAAAATGATTGTTTTTCTTGGTTTTTATAGCATTTTAGAACCCAAAACCTCAAAAAAGTCAGTGTAACTATATTTGCTATATATTTCCAACCCCCCAATTCCATCCATTTCTGAAAATTACAGCAAAAGCAAATGATGTATATTCCCTTTAAGAACTTCTTGTAATGACTTCTTACGTGTAAGGACTTCTTACTGTGCTCTTTTTCCATTGTCAAAGTTTTTGTCAATTTTTGTTTCAGGGACTGAGAAATTTCTTGACAACCTGCTTAATCTTATCGACCAAGATCCTAGTTTCTTGCTGACGGCGGTGCGATGTTTGCCCCTTGATAGCACGGTCAGAGATACCATCGGGCACAGCATACAAAGCGCTAAGATCAAAGTAAGTCATGAAACGGGATGGAATTTTAGCTGGTCCCAAAGGGCCAGCCGAGTGTCTTCATTGAAGTTGTCGGACTAGCAGTGCTGTTGTATAGGATAACCCTGTAATGGGCTAAATCCGGCCCATTGTGTACGCTACATGCATGAAAAGGCTTCCAGTGAATAGGTCTCTCTCAAATGACCTCATTTCCTACAGACCAGCCAAAAGCATCGGCATTGTGAGCGTCGTTTTGCTTAAAGCGCATCGGCTGCGTCGTATTTTGAACACCGTTTCGAGCAACAAACGCACGTGTTTGGAACATTTTCAACACATCCCATTGCGTGCTTGATTGCGTAGTCAGTATGCAGTTGCAGTTCTCCTACAGAGATAGCCGTCTTTGAGAAAGACCTATAGCCATGCTGAATCATTTCAATGGGAATTGGTGCACTCTGGAACCAGTTTTACCTGCTTACCTTATCCTCTAAAATGGAATTCAGCTTTTTAATAAAAAACATATAATGTATGAAAGACGATAACATTTCTAGCACAACCGTTTGTTACAGAAATGGTTGAACCAGAAATTATTTCCAGAACTTGAATATCACAGGTTTTTCAAGTTTTCATTACTCCATAACTGTAGTTTCTTGGATAGTTGAAAAGAAAAAGTTGTCCAGTTTGATGAAGAATGGAAAATCTGCCAAAACAATCTTAACACATGGAAATCCACAGCGTACTATTTTTCATTCCTGCATTATAATGTCATGGTGTCCTGTCTTTATTCCAGGATCTCGTATTTGCAATTCTGATAGCTGACAACCAGTTGGTGACGCTGTGCCGAATGAAGAAGTACATACTACACCCTGCTGGTGAGTGGCAATTGGGCAATCGTGTAAAGAGTGCTTCAATTTTTATCATAATTTGAACCCCTGCCACTTCCAAAATACCATACAATTGGTCTGCGAGCTGAACCATCCAGCCGTATAATGGCCGATGGCCTCCTAATGTTGAACTTTTTTATTGGGTGCGTTTGAGTAGCTTACCCGGATTGACTTGGGTAAAGACAGATGGGTTAGCCATGACAGCCGGGCTAATGGAATGCTTAACTGTGGGCCATCACGATCCTCACGTGATGTCCATAGCAACGGCCGTAGCAACGGCACTGACAAAACGCCTGTTTCGCACTGGGTCCTAGTTTGAGATTTTCTGCTTTTCCGTCAATTAAGGCTGCTTCTCATAAAGATCACCGCGTTTTGACCGTTCCGGTCGCCGCATTATTGCCTGGTTCTAATTACCGTACAAAACGCGTTTTCACCGCAGCGAAATCACTCATGCAAAGGCAAGTTAATGAGGCAGGCGTGGAAAGTGCGCCATGTTTATGTTAATGAAGTCATGAATGATGCATTACTATCCGTCCAGAACGCGGTGACCGTGTTGATTATCAATGTTTGAAGAAGTCATGAACCACGGAGGTTTACAAATGTGATTTAGGACGGGGTTATTTATCGACATGTAAAAATTACAGCGAATTTTACATCAAACTTGTTTTACAATTAACTTTTGTGTGTGTGTAAAAAAATACTTGACAAGTGTATCAAATCCATTGACTTTGCGATTGCGATGATACGAATGTCTTGGTCTGCTAAACTTCATTTTTATTCTTTTTCCTCGGCATCCCGTTGCGTTGTACGTGTAAAGCATGTACATGTACATAGATCTGTGATCAATATACGAAGTGCAGTATTCCAGCCAATATCTTTGTGGATGTGTCTTATTACATGTACACGCATATCCTGGGATTGTGTCTTTTAGTATGGCACCTACCCGTTGCCATCATCAAAACTGATCATTGATGTGCGTGTTAGTTCCAACACTGGTCTCCATTTTAATGTACATTGATGTTTTGCTCATAACTAACGATTGGTCAAACTGCGTTGGATCCGGTCAAAACGCATTTTGGTCTTTATGAGAAGCTTCCTAAAATATAAATAACAAAGTTGGGCTGGAATTTTAGCCTCTAACGTCGCAATGAACTCAATATATAACTACCTTTAGACTTCCGTAAAGTTTATGTTTAAGTCCACTTCAGATTTCTGCTGTCAACCGCCATATTTGTCCGTTTCTTGGAATGAACACCACTGAATCCTCCACTTACTCTGCTCTACTAGCAGGGTCTGTGGTGGCTGACCCGGGTGAGCCCTGAGAATGATGCCAGAGCTACTTAAAAGACACGGGGCTAACCCGAATCGACCCAGGTCAGCTACTAGAACCCACCCAATTGTTAATAAAACAAATGCTACAAATTTGACACATAGCAACCAATGAAATTGCAGCGTCTATCTGACCACTTCAACCTCTATCCCATACACCACAGATCTTCATCTAGTCTTCAACCTCTTGAATGCCTCAACCTCCTTCCAAGCGGCCGATTCCTGGATCCCCATCTGCCTACCCAAGTTCGACAGCGCCGGTTTCCTGCACGCACACATCTCCTATCTAGACAACAGCAAGGCATGCCTACTGCTTCTCACTGTGGACAAGATGATGTTCTTTGAGTTGGCCAAGTGCAAGGAAAAGATTGTTGAAGTAAGTCTGTGGCACTGATCTCCATGTAAAGAATCTGCATAGCTTGTTGGCCATTCCGAGCTGTAAAAAAAAAAGTGAAGCTACACACTGGTTCCCGATCCTTCTATTTGAGTGTGGGCAGGGAACCAGTTTTAAACACTCCCATGTTTCCAAATAATTAAAGTAGAGTCGTCTAAAAAGTGTATCAAACTTCTTTTTCTAAAAAAAAATTGTATATAAAATTTATTTCTTGTCGCCATTTTCATTAAAACAAAAACATATTTTTAGTTGTGTGCATGTCAATTAAATTAGACAGCTTTCTTTCAAAATCTGTTGTTATTGGAGTGATAACATGACGGACGGTGACTTCAGTTCTAACAGCAAATTGGCTATGCAGATTTGTATATTGAGATCGGGGATCTATGCACAATTTCTCTCTCCAGCATTCGTTGATAAAGGCACTTTATATTCACCCGTGTCTGACTAGCGTGCCAGAGTCTTGACAAAAACCCAAATTATTCTAAGATTTAAATTAAGGTTGACAATTGAAACAGTAAAAGGCAATGACAAACAAAAAACGAGATGTTGTCATCAGATGTTGTCATCTCATCGACTTTAGGGTTTAGTTGATAGAAATTAGGCCAAGAAAAAAACAAACCAGTTTTTCGCCCCTTTCCTGCTTCCTTTTTTTTTTACATTTGCAATACGTTTTGTCCTTTAAAGGGAATGTACATCATTGGCTTTTGCTGTTATTGTTAAAAATGAACTATTTGAGGGGTTAGTATAATAGATCAAATATTATTACACTGACATGTTTGAAGTTTTGTGTTCGAAAATGCTGGAAAAGCCAAGAAAAACAAATACGTTCAAGTAGTCTGGTTCCCTGACTCCACTAAAGATGAAATGGATCAATTTATAGATGCCGGAAAATTGTTAGGTCAGGGAACCAGCCTAGCTGGCCTGCACCCGTTCATGAACATGTAACCAATAACAAACAAAATTTTGACTGAACAAAATGGTAAATTTGGAGCAGTAGTTGAAAAATAGTTAGGTTTTTCCAACGGTGGTCGGCTGACCACCGTTGGAAATTTATACAAAAATACCATTTTCTTGAAAATGACTTCACACCAAGTGCCATAATTTTACAGGATGCTTTAGACTGTCATTAACCAACATCCTACTGAGGTATTTCGTAAAAACTTGGTAGTTTTATTTGTCGATGTTTGCAAATGTTGTATATTCCCTTTAAGGCCTATATTTTCTAGCAAAAAGGGAGCTATGTATGCATTTAATTTGGTAGAAAAGGTGACGTTTCCTTTGGACAGTATCAGCACTTGAGTCAAGAAAATGGAAGAATCCCTCTGCAATCAAAAAGTGCCGCCTCCTTCCTTTAAAAAAAGCCTGACAAGAAACTAGTTTTTGTTCTTACTTGACATCATCACGCGAGGTTCAACTGTCCAAAACCAAAATCTATTTGGGTCTACCAGAGTTGCTCCACACACCAATTGGTTTTAACGCGACTCTAGAATTCCAGCCTGAACCTAGTGTAAATGACCGTTACTACTTTGCTGTTGGATCACAGAAACTGAAAAAGCACCACTGCATCGAGGCCATCAACAGAGCGGTAGCCGGCGGCGGTTACCGGTGTCTGGAGGTCGGCATCAGTGACCTGAGACACTTCATCTACAAGTCCAAGAGCACCGCGCAGTTCACGGCACCAGAGCTGGAAGCACCGTACCGTGAAAAGGAGGAGAGGGCAAGGTAATTGACCTGGGTCAGGGGTCAGGGAAGTAAGGTCAGTGTGGGATTGTTAACAGTGTTGTAGTCGAAGATTTACCAGTTAGGAACACAAACCATCATGGTTTTCTTGTATTTTGTTTTGATGGCAGGTTATTCAATATGTATCAGTACGTACACCAGAGAGTACATAACGCAGCTAGACCACTCAAGATCATGTTCCACGTGGGATCGAGGGAGGCTATGCTTGGATGGGTAAGCATTCCCTGATCGGAACGTTCACCCTAGAACTTCCTTGATCAAACTTGCATTGGTGATGTTGAGGATTTCTTTGCAAGGGGTCAGTTGAAGGACACTTAGGTACAATCCTCACATGAAGAAGCTATGTATGGTGCACATTCAGTTGAAAACTATTTATAGGTGCTTTTTTGTCTATAGATGTTTGTAAAAAAGCCTGTTCAGGTTATCCTTTACGACGGAGGACTTGGGACAACCTCAGATAGTAACCTCAAGGACCCAAGCCCAAGTCTTTGGTACATGTAGTTGTCATGACTAAAACCTTTTGGAACATGTCAAGAAAAAAGTTTTGGTCCAAACAATAGGGGGAAAAAAAGGGGAACATAGCACAACAGATAGGTGATGGGATTGTGCCTTTGATGATACAAGCATGGCATTTAGCACACAGTCAGAGTATGTCATGAGAAAGATATCTGGCTATAAAGCCATCACAGATTTGTCCTTGGAAAACATATTACAAAATAGGTAGCAATGGCAGCCATTTTGTAAATTTAGAAAATTGCTTGTTATTGTACCTATATTTTAGGACAAAATCTGCGATGGCTCTACAGCCAAATATCTTTCTCATGACATACTCTGACTGTGTGCCAAATGCCATGCTTGTATCATCAAAGGCACCATTCCCCAAATATCTCCCCTATCTGCCCCACTGTACACACATTGTGTTCTACCTTCGCTCTTGTATTAGGTAGGCCAATCATGTGCAGTGCCATGTTTAGACAAATCCGGGCATACTGTCACTTCTTATCACAGAGGCCCCCTCAATGGAGAAAGCGTTTTGCTAGCTGTTGTTCATATGTTGAGAATTTCATTGCTACTTCCTTGCCGCTGATCTGACAGCACATGTACTCTTTCTTAACAATGCTTAAAGGGAAGATACAACATTTGCAAACATCAAAAAACGAAATGATCAAATTATAACAAAATAGCTTACTGGACTGTTAGTGAATGACAATCTAAAGCAAACTGTAAAATCGTGGCTCCTTGTGTGCTGACATTTTCAAGAAAAATGATATTTTTCCAGTGCTGGTCGGCCGACCATCGTTGGAGAAAACTGGCTCTTTTTCAAAAACTGCTCCTACCTTTTCATCTTTTGTATTTTGCATTTTCTTTGCAATTGATTACACATCTGTGAAGGAGTACAAGCCTGCTAGACTGATTCTCTTACCTACAATCTCCAAAGTCTATACATTGCAACGTCTCATCTTAAGTGGGGTCAGAGAACCAGACTATAAGAACATGGTTGTTTTTCTTGGATTTTCCAGCATCTTTGAACTCAAAACGTGAAACAAGTTAGTTTAACAATATTTTCTATAGCACACTAATCCTCCAAATCCATTTATTTCTGAAAATTGCAGCAAAAGCAAATGTTGTATATTCCCTTTAAGTAAAAAAACATACAAAGCATTCTTGTTATATATAGACCCTTCATAATGTTGCACACTAGCATGTAAAATAGTTGCTCCATTGAAGGGGGCCTTGTATATACACAGTGATCACTAAAATCATCCCAGAATACCTTCATTGATTAGTAATAACTCTTACTCTTGCTTCTATTTGTCTAAAGGTTACAACAGGTTTTGAGCTGTATGCTGTATTTGGGCCCTTAGCAACCAAACAAGTCGCCATCTTGGCTGTCAACAAACTACTGAAATGGATCAAGGTATGCGCTCATACACAGCCAACATGGCATTCAGCAGCAATGTTTGTGGCATTTTTTGTTATTTGAATTCAGTAACAATGAATGCACAAGAGTTCTACACTTGCATGTCCCTATGCCACTGAAAAGATTGTTCATGCCCTGATATCATCCCGTTTAGACTTCTGCAACTCACTTCTTTATGATTTACCCAAAACACAGCTTGCCCGATTACAGAAACTCCAGAACACAGCTGCTCGCATAGTTACTCTAACTACATGTAGTTGTAAAACTCACATAACGCCCGTTCTGCGTTCCCTCCATTGGCTGCCAGTACAGTTTCGAATAGTTTTCAAATCACTTTTGCTTGTTTTTCATTGCTTACATGGTTCTGCCCCTGGATATAATTCTGATTTGCTCATTTCTTACAACCCTGCTAGGTACCTCAGGTCTGCAAATTCGTCCCTGCTTGTTGTGCCTAAAACTATTAAATCTTAGGGGGACCGTTCATTTTCTCATGCTGGACCTATGTTATGGAACAAACTTCCTCAAAATATTTGTGATAGTGCTACTTCCCATGAGTTTAAATGTGCTCTGAAGACCCACCTATTCCAAGTAGCATTTCATTAATCATCCAGTTTGATTTCACTCTCATGTGTACTGTTTCATATTCATGTATTTTCATTTGTGCGTACTTTTGTTCCCTGCTGTTTTTGCTGTTCATGTTTATTTGTTTGTTTCTCTGCGCCTTGAGCATCTAATCAAGATGGATTTGGCGCATTATAAATGCTCTTTATTGTTATTATTATTATGGGACAACAACAATCACCTCAAATATGGTTGCAGTGCAGAGGATCTTTTTTGAGAAATGTGACCGCAGTTTCTATGGTAACTTCATTCAGGGAATCAGCTACATCATGTTTTTAAGAAATAAACCCAAACGTTCCTCTTTCCATTTACATGTGGTTAGCAACCTCAAATGACTTGAGTTGAATTTCTCCGTGATCATGTCTCTTGTATCTATGAATATGCAATATACATGTAGAAGTACAGCTTATGCTAGTTTGGTATTCTTTGAAATGAGTTAGTGTATACAAATGTAAAAAAGGTCACATTTTGTTACAATTATTTCTTTTCTTGACAGAAAGAGGAATACCGGCTCTTCATTCTGGATCCTCCGGAGTTTTGAAGACGACGAAATCAAATTTAAGCCATATATATATGTGGTTTGCGGTTGTGTGAATGGACCAAATAAACTATTTGTACAGCTAACATCAGGCAGACATTGATGAATTTGTTCTTTCTGGATTGTTGGATTCCATTGGATTCCGTTGGATTCAGGAAGCCCTGTGACACTTTTGTAAGATTCTGTTGGCATCGGATGGGTTAATAACCCATGACTGTTGATGGGTTCTGTTGGATTCTTTTGGATTTAACAGGAATACACTTTTTACGTTGGATTTGGTTGGCTTTCACGTCGAGTTTGTTGGATTATGTTAGATTCATGTCTTCTCATCTCATTCTGATTCCGTTGGCGTCACGGTCACAACCATGAAAACAATCATCAGAATTTGCTGCCATTTGATTTCATTGGATCCAATTGCCTTCTGTAGGATTCAGAAGGTTTCAACTTTTTCTGTTGGATTTGTTTGCAACGAGCAAGCTCCACAATCCATGCTCTACAAAAAAAGCAAAAAAAAAAACCACACCAAAATGTACTTACGGAGAGGCACTTTATTTGGCAATAAAGAAAAGGCATTCTTAAGGAAAGCTTGACATCCAGTTGTGTATAAAAAGGCTACAAATTTGATCAATCTTTTTTTATGATGCTGCATTTGTGTGTTACTAACTTGACTAAAGCACAGTCTCTTAATAATGTAAAAGTCTTTTTTTATGAATATTAACAAATAAGAGGGAATTTTGGCACCAATTTAGGAATGTCCTTATTGCACATTTGCCCCTTAAACCCTAACTGCGTAGAGGGTGTGAAAAAAAATCATACTCGTGATATATATTCCCTGTTACAATCAGGGAAAATCACAAACTGCAGAATGCTTTAAACCTTCCACTATGGAATACTGGTCGTACTACATGTGGGAACACACACCATTCCAATGGCAACATCGATATTTTTTCTGTATAGAAACGCCCCATTAAAAACTGAAAATCTGACGTTTTGTTCCAAAATAAGGAGTGTTCAAGTTTTTGAGATGGTCTCGGAGGACAACTACACATTTACGCAAAATTGACCAGTGAACATGTTTGTCAAGTTTGTTTTCAAGTCAAGCAGATTCTCCTACACAATTCCAACAGATTCTCTGAAATGAATAGATTGTGGTATTATAATTAGCATGCATGGAATCTATTTTCGACTTTTTAATCTCACAGCAAACAATGTCAAAAGTTGGAATATTTTTTTGGGTACAGTGTTAAATTTGGAGGTAGTGAGAGTTTATAACTCATATTTAAACCAAGCTTTGCTTCGCTCACTTCATGGGGGAGACGGCTTCGCCTGCCATATGTTAAATTTTTGAGAGCCTGCGAGAAAACTCTCGCTTGCAACAGGGGTGTGATTCAAAGTTTTAACTGTGAATGTTATACAAGTAATGAATGTTTACGAGTACAATGGTAAGAATAATGTTATGACAGTTGGAGTGTTCCATTCCATCTGGTGACGGATGGAATATTCAGCTTCACTTTGTGGAATGGAACATTCCATCTGTCGCCGAATGAAATTATTCTTTCCTTTGCACGAATGTGAAATATTCATTATTTGTTTTATAATACAAAGCCTGAATAAATCCTCGTCATAGTGCCACCAAAAGTGTGACCGTGCAATGGAACTCTATTTACTGTGGAATGGAAATTTTCTTCTTTTTAATTCTCACCATAATAATTCAGTGACATGTGATCACCAACCCACCAATCATGATGATGGGCATTTATTCAGGCGTTGTATATGAAATAATTTCACATGCAAAGCCCTTGAACAGCTTTGAACTTGCCTTTTGATATCTATCAAGTTTGAAATGAAGAATATGTAAACTGTTAATATTAATATCAAAAGGCTGTTGGTAAAAACTGAGTGCAAGCAATGTAAATGGAAGTGTATATAATTCCAGAACCAAAAAAGGTGTAAATTTCAATATTTGTGCTTGGAAAGCAATTGTGAATTTAAAATCTGCAAATGTGCAAATTGGACATAGCTTGTGCAGCAAAATGTGTGGAGTCGCATGTATTTAAGGGGAAAAATGTGAACTTTTTAAACTAATGTGAAATTTAATTGTCAGGTCATTTGAATTTGAATTATACATGTACCTGCTTACATTGAAAATGAAATTCATATTTTTTTTTTTGGTCAGAAGTAAATGCAACCCCATGTGAATTACGCATTTCAAAACTGTGAGGCATTCTGACAAAATAAGACAGAACTGGGCCCAGGCCGTAGTGGAGAAAAATGGGGAAAAAAAAAAAAACCAAATGAGGGCAATTTTTTTTAAATTTTTCAGCTATTTGTAATCTCAGATGTGTTTACTACACATATTTTAAAAGAAATACTGTAAAAATCGTGGGGAAAAGGCATTTTAAGGAAAAACAATAGGCATCTTTCATTTTCAACACTCGAAAGTTTAAATCCATTTTTCTCAGTACCGGTATTGTATTTTTTTTTGACATGTGCAAATTTAAACAGCCATAACTTGTCAATGAAATGTCAGATCGAAGTGCAACAAACAGTATTGTAAGGAGAATTTTATTCTCTTTTATAACACCTGCAAACCCTCGCTTCGACCTCTGCCCAGTTCTGTCTCATTTTGGCAGAACGCCTCACGTTTTCAGAGGCATCAAATCGACTGCTGGAAAAAATTATTTTCCATAAATGATACTTTCTAAAAAATAGCAAACACATTGTATTTTGTGGTGATTTGTTTGCCATCTTTAATTTGGTACTCATTTCGAGATTTTATCCTGTACCTAATTTTTTTATGGATGAAAAAATAAATTAAATATGAAAATACTCGAAACGTGGTTGTACAGTTTTTTTCTTAAAGGACCTAAACCAAAATAAATCGGAGTAAAGTGAAAATAACATTATATTGACTGAGACCAACAAAATCTCTTCTATATTCTCTTGTTCCTTTTAATAATAGAAGGCATTCATATATTACAAAATCCAATTACATAAACGTTTACTCATTAATTTTGATATGGTAATGCATTAAAATTCTCGAATATTACAGTCCAAATAGTAAAAAATGAACACTGTTCTTTCAGTATTACTTATCTCAAACATGTCAAAGTGAATCTTTTTTTTTCCAATGGCAAGGGATATTTTAATCCGTTAGTCACTAGCGCCTGAAACCGCCCTGCCTGTTACTCCCTGTAGTACCCAAATCCGAAATTCAATACAATACAATGTAACGCTATGTAATACAATGTAGTACACGTGCTAATTAAAATCCACAGATGTATTGATTGCCATCTGTTGATTTGTGCTCTGTGTACAAGTAACCTCTCAATGTTCTTAATAGATAGAAACATGACAGACACCCAAACACATTGCCACTGTGCATCCGGCACTGAAGGACGCTACCCTTTCGTGCGTAGATTGTACATACTGTATGTACATTGTATTTAGAAACCATACATGCCGAATAGTGCAGTGAGTGGTCACAGTGTCATATTCAGTGCCCGCACCAAGTGTATATATACCATGTTACTGTTAGACGGAAAAAAAAAAAACATGTTTAGCGTCCCCGCCCGCTTCCTCTTTGGAGGCTGCCTCCTTTTTTTTCTTTTTTTTTTACGAAAAATATATAAATTTTTAACAGTTACCTCATTTTGGCCTCTTTATGTGTTGCATCTAGCCCATATAAAGCTGTTATGTCATTTCCTGAGTCCAATGGCGGCCATTTGAAAAGAAAATGGCGGCCATCTTGAAAAATAGCCCGGTCGAAAAAAAGGCCTCCTGCTTCCTTTTTTGTCAAAAAAGCAGGACGCTAAACATGTTTTAAAAAATTTCGCCCAACGTTAGCACCTGACAAGCAACCAAAACAGTTGAACATCTTTTGAATGTTATTTTGCATACAATCACATATCAAGTGACACACATGCAGTGAAGAAGAGAACAGTATGCTGAAATAAAGTTTGTATTACATGGCCGCATGTTCATCCAATTTGTAAACAAATGCCACATTGTCTATGTTTCAAGTGATATGTGCATGTAAAGGATGATAGTTCAGGTTGTGTCATGTAAAAAGGCAGTAAATGAGTATTTACAATGTCCCAAAACGTAATTACATATACAGTTCATCAACAAATTTATATACAAAAAGTGAAAAATATATCTCTAAACAAAAGCCCCAAACATGCCCTGAACAATAACATGCAACCTGTCCAGCAAATCTGACTATTGATCATACATAAAAGACCTCTCCCAAATTAGAATGGAATGGGTACAGTCGCACCGCAAATATGTCTAGAACATTGCGAAAAACAAAATGTTAAGATGGAAGTGATTCCTTGTTGAATCCAAAATAAAGGCCTTCTCCAAATTTGACCATTTCATAACACAATAAATATGCAAATCATCGCACACTTTCCCCTCTTATTCAACTTGATTACAATAAGATAAAAATTATCAATATTAATGGTAACATGCATTTCGGTTACTTTAGTAATGTGCAGTAATTTTTTAGACCTTTATAATAAACATCCTTTTGTATTTAAAGCTGCTTATATTGCATTTTTATTATGAAACACTATATTTTCCGTTCAAACTGACAAATATTTTCAATTCCATGTATGTCTGTAAAAAGGTCAAATACAACTGAATTAAAAAAATTACCCTTTACCATCAAAACATGTAACTTCTTTTTCTCAAACGTTAGGAGTTACTAACGAAGATGAAATCAAACTTTTTAAAAACTGTGTTCCTAAATTTGTACCAGTGTAGTTAACATACAGTTAACATTATTTTTGCATACACAACAGCAACTAATGAAAAATCAGGTTTTGCGTAACAATAAAAAACGAGAGTTTATAGTATTTGATACACTCTAACTCTCTAGGTACAAATCGTTTTAACTTAAGAATTTATTTCATGAAATTAACTCTTTCGCTACGGAATTTAATTTCCCGATTTACTCACGTTTAGACGTAATAAATCGCTGGAAATTCCGCCGTGTGTCGATGTGGACGCCGCCATCTTGAAATGTCTCTCTGTAAACAAACTGCTCACAATAACCTGCAGCAGACCCTGGCGAGACGAAGAGCCGCTGGCAGCGGCTCAAACTAGGGTCAGAGGTTATACGATATAAATTATGTAGATAAGGCACACGTCATGGGGATACCCTGTTTATTCACAGCGACGTCACCGAGCCGCTGCCAGCGGCTTGCCGTACGACATGTACAATTTTTGTGTGCCGCTGTCAGCGGCTCGCCGTAGCGAAAGAGTTAAATTTTCTCAGGTTGCTGTCATTCGTATGAGTTGTTTGTGATGTGAGCTGCACACAGATGCCTTGTTCATGATTGGAGCATTTTTGGGGATTTTACAGAAAATTGTGCACGATAACTGAATGTCAATCCGTAAAAATCTGATGCTTTGTGTTTCCTGATTTGATCGTTTCAAGATGCCACCTGGATTGAGAACAAATATTTGGATACATTTAGGATACAAAAAAACACAAACAAAATAAGGGTACATTGTAAAGTTAAGAGGCAGTGTTACAGCAAAGTTTCTCTTTCATGTTCAATAGCTACACCATGAGAACAAAGCATAGCATACCGGTTTATCAGTGTGGGACATTGAGTGCTGAAAAACATGCAAAACAAAATCAAGCAAAGTTAACTCACTCTTTAGCCAGCAAAAATCTTCAAAATTTTCATTGGGCAAAGAAAAGGTCCTCAGTATTTCAACACCCAAGTTTGAAGACTCAATTCAATTTGTAACAAAAGGAGACTTTTCTTTAATATTTTGCACATGAGAGGGAATTCAAGCGATTTCAAAATGAGGTTAAAGACTAGACTGGTACATGTCCAACCATGGTCCAACTTGTCTGAAAAGACTGACCATTTCATTCATTGTCATTAGTCTGGTAGCTGATTATGGAGAAATGTGTAGAAATAGAGACCAGTACCAGACATGCCAGATGTTTCTTTGGGCACAGTTGATTGATGCAGTACTGAAGGGTTGTTGGACTGGTTGTTTCTTGTATTGCATGCTTTCAATGACTTTGGGACTCTCATACACAGTATCGAGAGTCCCAAACTTTCGGACTAGTCATACATGTACTACAGTTTCTGTCTTTATAATTGTCCATTTTGGAAATGTTAGACAAACTAAAGCAAAATGCATGTTGAGATGAGAATAAAGTTTGTGTGCTTCAGAAAGAGTTCCCCGTTCCAAATAAAGCATTCCAAAATAAACAGTAACCTTCCAAGTTTGGGAACAATCCCTGCAGCAAAAATGCAGCTACGGCACATGCGTGTCTCACAAGAAAGACTTTTGTTATACCTTTTAACCCAAATTGTTCCAGATCCTCAAAAAATTCACCAGGAAGTTTTGGGGATTTGGTAGGATTGAAGACTGTAGAGCCCAGCCACTATTATTGTATTAGAGGCTTGATGACTTGAAACTTGGTAGGTACAAAGAGTGCAGCCATTGGTTTCATACACAGTGGAGGATTTTGGAGGATTGAGGAAGGTTCCTAGCAAGGATATTGTGGCAGTTAAGGTCAGCATTGGCTGGAATAGTTGTGACGTCACTCAGAGGTCAACTCTGGTTATTGGTTCATGCGCACTGCAACGGCCCAGTAAACAACGTGGTTTCTCTGAGGCAGTTGTGATTCCGTTTCATAATTTGCTTGATTTTCCTCTTTGAAGCGCAAATAAGCACAGCTGTGGTTGCAACTGGTGTGGTGACAATCCACTGAAAGGCAGTGAACCATTTTCAGGTTCTCATTTGTGAAAATGTTCTGTAAAAGTAGGATGTAAAATTGCTGTCTGTGATCGTGTGTGTTAAACATACGTGCAATTTGTCGTTATAGAATGGACGTGAACCGTTGTCGAGGAAAAGAGCTTGATCTGGGGAGGAGGTGACGTCACACTATTTCAGCGTATTCTTCTTATTAATAATAAAATGCAGTTGGAAATGAAAATGTCCCATTGGACATACATGTAACCCCCCGGTCAAGTCTTGATTTGCCTTGAAGTTAATGCTCAGTTTTAATAAGTGATGTCGAAGGCTGGCCTGTCTGTGCAATGACTGGCGTGCCAGCCATCAAGCTGGTACTCGGTGCGCTTAATGCGGCCGTGACAGGCAAGCTGGTAACCACCTTCACCTGGACATTGGTCTTCTCAGCAAATTTCAGCAACGACTGGTACTTGGCCTGGACATCTTCAAGCTTCTGCTTCTGGATCTGGTTCTGGCGGTCGAGCACCCGGACTTCTTCGTGCAGTCGCGTCTGCTCTTCCTCCAGGGTCTCCTTCTGGGAGACGCGTTTCTCGCGGCAGTTGGCCGCGTAGCCGCGGTTCTTCAAGGTGCGTCTTCGCTGCTTCAGCATGATGACCTGTTCTTTGGTCAGGCCACGCAGCCGACGGTTCAGCTCCCGCACGGAGAACGTGACAAGGTCATAATCATTGATGACGGTGTCTTGGGGGGTGTCCACCGGCTCCTGTTTCACCTTGGCAACGGGATAGAAATCAAATAGCAACATAAACAAATGTCAGACAACATGTGACCCTCAAACCTCTTGTACATGTAACTGTCAAAAGATGGATGTTGAATAATTTCAAACATCTGAATTTTAAAAAGGCCTCAGTCGATGAAGATTTTCAAAATCAAGGCGCATTTGCTTGAATAGAATCATCTTGTGTTTTCTTTCTAATAAATCTTGCAAGTTTAGTTGAGGCTAAACAAATGCACCTTGATTTCTTTAAAGGTCGGTTGTTACATACGTCTATAATAATAATAATAGGTTCTTATAATAGAACTTTTAACTAAGATCAAAGTGCTTTACATTATTATTACCCCTGCTCATTGGGCCAATTAAACATTCCAAATACCATCTCGGCTCCCTGGGGAGTATACAGCTCGATGCTGCCTGTTAGGCACAATGAAGCTAGAATCAATCACAACCACCATCTCTGCCCTCAGCAATGAGTGAAGAAGTTCAATGCCCCAGACGAGGCCACGGCACTCCAGAGACCATGTTCGCTTGTACCCCCCGCCCTGCAAACAGGATGCTGGGATACTCTGATGAGCTTCACAGAATCTTGTGAAGGAAGTGACCTATGTATAATGCCTATGACCTATGTATAAAGCATCTGGCTGCAGCTGTTCAAGACCGCATTTAGACAATGTGCGCAAATGCTATCCGAAAACTTCCCATAGTATTGCGCACATTCCATACTGGATGAGATTTCTGTTTCATTGCGGACCATGTGGACAAAATTTTGAGCGTCGCATTATGCAATCCGACCGTTCGTGATTCGAAACGGAACCTGAGCAAGTGATGGGAATTGTAAATTTACAACACAGATAAGTTTTACAGAATTTCCTACATTATTACGCTTTTCAACGAGAAAAAAACATCTCTAAACTGGAATAAAAGAGTAATGAATCAGTCTGAACAGCCGTTTCAAACCTTGCAGAGTCATGACCTCGATGACGTGCAGGTCACTGTTCACGCAAAATCCAACCAATCAGAGCGTGAATTCATCAGAGTATCCCAGCGTCCTGTTTGCAGGGCGGGGGGTACGAGCGAAGAGACCATGTGGCTGTAGTCAGCTTCTCAAAAGTCAACACAAGTCAATCACAACTCATCCAATCTTTACCTAATGAACTGTGGAAATGCCATTCCTTTGTCAGTGCCAATCACCTGTTACTAGTGACCTTATTTATCATTTTACTTTAGAGGTGGGTTAATTTCCAATACCTTAATGACGTTGGTTGGTCCTGCCTTCCGCACCATGATGACGTTTACTCCTTGTTTACACCAGATCTGTGAAGAGAATATAAACAAAATACACATAATCATACACATTTCAGGCACATTTAAATTACGACATTGGTGTCAAAAACGAAGACAAAGTGATTGCAAAAACTTGAATCGAAAATGCAAATCAAAGCACTCGCTATCTTCAGGTACATGTATCTTTGGATTTTAGAAAATCATTTACATATGGGCTAGCTCCGTACACAAGTACCCCCTCAACGGTAAGGAAGGGAGAGTGCATTACCCTGATTACTCAGTCATTAAAGGGACACTGCGTCCTGGCGTGATCACAGCCTGTGTGCGTATAGAACATACATTGTACAATGCGCGTGCGCGAGACTAGAGTCCGCATGTGACCATGGCGACTGCAGTTGAATTTCTTTCAATTATTTCTCCCGTGATTGGGTTTCATGTAGAGTGCGCATGACGAGTTGCACTTGCGCGCATTGTACATGTATGTTCTATGTGCCCACAGACTGTTATCACGCCTCTATACAAACCGTTCCGTACACTTTGTACACAAGCTCAGATAAGTCGTTTATCCTTGTGTAGAGGATCCGTGACGTAATACTACTTCAAAATGTGTAGGTCAGTAGGTACCGTACATTGTTTGAAAACGACAGAATAGATGTATCATACTTCGTCGTGTCCGATGTAAACAATCACTGAATCAGATTTTGTTTTCATCTTTTCTCGGGAAGTAGGACAAAACTTAACTTAAGTTATGTCCTACTTCCCGAGAAAAGATGAAAACAAAATAGGTTGGTTTCCTATTCAATTACTAACATGACTAAAATAGGACAAGTAAACAATCCTAAACATGCTAAACATTAATTTTTGGGGGGATTTCAGACTGTTGTCTATAGTCTTGACTCTCATTTCATGGAGAAATAAAACACATCTCATTTGATCGAAACAAAACAGGGGCCCTACACAGACGTGACACTACACTATCATCATGATCATGACGATCGCCCCTTTAATTTTAGGCAGTGTATATTTTGCCGGAGACGGCAAACCTTTAGTAAACGTTAGTTTGCCGGATATGCACTGAACATGCGCAGTTACTGTTTTTTTGTACTTAAACATTTTCCGGTGACAAGTTTTAGTCTGGCTCCATGCCAAAATTATCGTTGTTACCTCGTAATCACAAGATGGGATTCAGACCATTTTATAATTTCGGACTTTATTTCCCTTTTAAAAAAAATCCTCCAGAGCCACAAATCTGAAAAAGAAAATGTAATAGTACTCTGCAAAAAATGTTTGAGACATGTTAAAATAATAAAAGAAGAATATTCTTATTTATTTGGGGATGAGAAAAAAAACCTTAAAAATGTGGTGCGGTCAGAATCGAACGTGAGTCATCCCGCTTACTAGACACAATGCTAGAGCCTTTGCTTAACCAATACACCAAACGTGCTACACAACATTAGGTGGGAATTTAATACATCTTATAATTCAGCCCTATTTTAAAGAGTACAGCGCCCTCTGTTGATATGAATTGCCGCCGGCAAACCTTTAGTAATCGTTAGTTTGCCGTCATTACCTCCGGCAAAATATCCACTATCTTAATTTTATTTAGGGGGACCGTAGCCCCATAAATGTGGCCTATTTACTGGACTGCCTCCGTAAACATAGGCCACACGAATGTCAGACACTTCGCCCCATTTCCACGTCGCCCCATGTCACTTCGCCCCTAACCACTTCGCCCCATCCCCACATCGCCCCATTCCCACATCGCCCCATCCCCGCTTCGCCCCATTCCCACTTCGCCCCATTCCCACTTCGCCCCATCCCCACTTCGCCCCATCCCCACTTCGCCCCAGCCGTTACATGTAAAAAAGAAAATCTCATCTATTTTATTGGCTTAAAAAAACAATTTCAACAGATTCACTAATTGCTAACCAACGGAAAGAATTAGCCCATCACCAAATGAACAATTCATAACCAACCTCTCAAGCTATAGGCTCTCCCCTACCGAGAAAAAAGCTTGAAGTAAAAGATCCAACTTTGTTCCCAACCCGGCTATACCAACCCGTCTCCCACTTATCTGAGAACGACAATACCTTTGACATCCTTATTTCACTCTTGGAGGAACCAATCTCATCTAAATGAGGTTGTAAGTGTCACATATCAGACAAATTTTGACGGAACATTTTCCTCAAGGCAGTGAGTTCCTTTTAACTCACCGACCCATACCTACGGATTCTTTTGAATCCAGCGGCTGATGAGTCCCAGAAGGGACGAATATGCATTCTGCTATTGCCCTCAGGTAAAACCTAACCCACTCCACTGCCTGGGTAAACTTGGCTATGGTCAAAACTACCATTGATTTCTCCTTCTTATTTCTACCCAATTTTTGAGACCCCTTTCATGTGTCTCAATTGAAGAACATAAACCACACAATGTCACACCATCGAATAACTCAATGTGTTGTTCTTACGCACATTTTTTATTCACAAGCCAATAGGAGAGGCGTCTCTGAATGGGATAGAGCCATCATTTCTCTCATCTGTGTCTCGAGCACCTCATTAGAGAGTTTGTATTTTTTTTAAGTTTCTAGAATTGGGAGCATTTATTATCTGGGGTCTTTGGCAGTTTATTTGGTCTGCACCCCTAGCCTTCACCTTTTTCATACTACATGGGGCGAAGTGGGGATGGGGCGAAGTGGGGATGGGGCGAAGCGGGGATGGGGCGAAGTGGGGATGGGGCGAAGCGGAGATGGGGCGATGTGGGGATGGGGCGAAGTGGGGATGGGGCGAAGTGGTTAGGGGCGAAGTGACATGGGGCGACGTGGAAATGGGGCGAAGCGTCCGACACCCGGCCACACATCCACATGTACAAAAATCGTGTCGACTTTGCCAAATTTTGATTTTCACATTTAGGCTTAGTTTGTAGGATTTTTTTGCTTTAGAAGCATACTCACCCTCTTTATAGGCTAGTCAGAAAGTGCTGCCTTTTTCAGATGTCTAATTTTTGTGAAATTTCATGTTGAAATTTTGATACACAAACGTGTAAAAATGAATCTGGAAATTTCACGAAAATTAGACATCTGAAAAAGGCAGCACTTTCTGATTAGCCTATAAAGAGGGTGAGTATGCTTCTAAAGCAAAAAAACCCTACAAACTAAGCCTAAATGTGAAAATCAAAATTTGGCAAAGTCGACACGATTTTTGTACATGTGGATGTGTGGTTGGCCTATGTTTACGGAGGCAGTCCAGTAAATAGGCCACATTTATGGGGCTAGGGCCGGGGGACCGGTGGTACTAGTCGGTACCTGTTTTTCTTGCTCCAATTTTTCCTGATTAAACTTGCTCACTTTGGCGAAGTGCTGCCCTGTAGAGTGATGGACGGTCCAATTCTTCCACTTGTCAGTTTTGCAGTATTCCTGTCTTGGAGTTGGAAACAAATAAACCGGCGCAAACCTTAGCTGAAATTTCTGTTTTGACGTTTCGGAGATCGAGAGGAAGTCAATTCCGGTAGTACAACCTCGATCTCAAACTATGTACCCGGACCCATTCACAGATCCTATGACGCAATGCGTTGTTGCTGTAATCTCTTCGGGGACGAGCATGATCAAAAACTTTTAGGTACCAGTCTAATCTATTCAGAACGTAGGATATTGTGTCATAGAATACTAGGTTCCATTCAGCTTTCGCGGAAATTTTAATCCTCGACCCAAATTCTGGTTAGCTGCTGTGAGTGTTGTTCCTCTTTTTGTACCGAGAATTCTTACTTTGTTCTTTGTTGATTTGTCATTCTGGATGACAAGGCACTATTTGTGTTTACAATCTAGACAACTTAACTGTGAGTCACTCACTGGAAAAAACTGCAGCGTCAGCAAATTTTATCACTTCCGTAGTTCCGACTTTCCGTTGCGCGTTGCGTGCAGTGTCTGCTGATGACATGATGACTCAGCAAATCTTTTTAGTGGCCTGTTTTTTTGTTTTAAAGGGAATATAGCCTTTGCAAACATCAAAAAACAAAACTACCAAATTATTATGAAATACCTCATTGGACTGTTAGTGAATGATACTCTCAACATGGAGGAAAAAAAATATCCTTTAAAATAATGGCAACTGTGACTGTCAGTGTCATTTTCAAGAAAAGTGGTATTTTTGTATCAATTTCCAACGCTGGTCGGCTGACCATCGTTGGAAAAAACTGACTTTCTAGTTTCTTTTTGTACTGCACCCAGTTTACCATATTTAGTGAGTCTGCATTTTATTTCAAGTTTTTTCCAACGCTGGTTTTAGCATCTACAAACACAAAACTTCAGTTCAATGTAACAATTTGTAGAACATTATGTACATGTACCATATGCCAGTATGAAATTAGGCATAGATTTGTGCCCAGCACTCAGCTCAGCAGGCCTGGAGTTTGCTATATTTGCTCAGAAGTTATTTAAGCTCTGTAAAAGCTAGGGTTAGGCCAAATAAAAAAAAAATAGAATGGTCAGTTTCTCGTCAACGTCTGCATCCTTTCCTCCTGCCCCTTTTTTGGTCTTATTTTTTGTTATGGTCTTAATTAATATTGTTTTGGTCTTAATCTTTGTTTCCAACATGAATGAGTGTACTACAGTCATATTGAAGTAAAAAAGCTATAGTCTTAGAAAAGTGATGGTCTATTTTTAGAAAAACAGCATCTGGCGTATATCTTGGAAAAACATCCCATGAAAGCAGTGGTATCATGGTCAAAAAGAAAAGAGCGCCTGCTGCCAGCCTCCTTTTTTTCCTAAAGTTCAGACGAGAAATTATTTTAATTTTTTTTTAGCGTTAACTTGCTCACAACCATATATAGCATTGCTATTTTGCATAAATTCAATTTTGATTTTGCTATTAGTAGTACACAACTGAATAATAATTTCTTTGTTTTTAATTTTTGAATATCTAAACTTCTCCAGTACTTAGGAATAACCCCTTCCTAAATATTTTTATGTTTTAGGTTTTAAAAAAAAAAAAAAGGAGGCGGCCTCCAAAAAGGAAGCAGAAGGGGACGCTAAATATGGTTGTTTTTTAAAATTTTGCCTAAGAGTTCTTAAACTTTCACGTTGTCTCTCCCATTGCAGGATACCTGAGGAATAAAACAACTTTGCCGCCATGTCGCTGTTCAGAGAATTCAACCAGATGGTGACCAACGTTCTGAGTAACATCCCCACTGTGGACTCGTATGCCCGCACTGTCCGCAAAGTGGACAATCCAGCACTGAAGCATCAAGGCTGGCCGGTCATGGCCAGTTTGGACGGAATGCAACTCCTGCACGACGTCAGAGGCAGGAAATATGAATGCCTTCTGCACTTGGATGCATCACACTTGAAATCTTACAGGTTAGTTTCATAATCTTGTGGGTTAATTATCCCCTTCACTCACTGCTGTTCATCAAGGACTTTCAAGGAAAAATTTGCAAGCTGAAGGCCGGTTTAACTTACTTCATGCGAACGTGATGCGAATTTGACGTCACGATTCGCTGCGAAGTTGGCCAGAGTTGAAATGTCCTCACTAGTACAAGTTCAGAAGTGTTCCATATTATTAGCACCAATTCTGTATCTCTCCTCCAGCATGTTCAGGCTAAACGAAGGTGACCAAACCATGGCCGAGTTCAGCAAGCTTTATCAGACGCTGTATCCGTTCTGCAAGGCTGCCCCCGAAGTGCTTGATGCAGAGATCTTGCAGGCGATCGTCAACAGTGCCCGCACCAATCCCACCTGGTCCTCCGCTCACCATGCTGTGGCGGCCAAGTTTGAGAAATGCATAGCTGCACCGGAAATCAGAGAGTAAGGCTAAGCCAGAAATTACTTGGCTGAGGCTTGTATTTACACACGCACCTATGGGAGCGGCTGTAGCCACTTCCCATAGATACGCCTGTAACTGAGCCATAGCCAAGTTATTTAGGTGCAGTCACGCAGCCTTAGATTTTTGAACAAGCGACTTAATGCTTGGCCTGATATCTGAGAGTGGAGCCTTCTATCCATTTTGTGGAAGTGGTAAGCACTAAGCACAGGAGTATGCTAACATCAGGGCCCAATTTCATAACGCTGCTTAACAGCCGACTTTGTGCTTACCAAGCCTCCATCTATTTTATAGGGACCGTTTAGCAGTAATCACAGCAAAAGCACGCTTAACCCCTGAACAAAACTTTGCTGTGATGTAACAAAAGAAATCTCCATGCGCGCGCAACCATTATAGCATGAAATAGTGCTTAAGCAGCAGCAGCATGATTTTCTGCAATAGTAACGCAACTTTTCTGCTTACTGTTAAACAGTACGTGCTATGAAATTGGGCCCAGGAACAGAACTTGCTTAAAAAGGCACGTAGGAACATTTGTGTTTGACCTATCGCCATTAGCTAGTTAGCCACATCCCACAGACAACCCTATGGAACTTGTGTACGTTGAGTTTTGTTTGTATCAGATTTTGCATGTTCCCTGTCTATTCGTGTAATTAGACATAAGCTGCATTGACGCAATTCTACCATGATTGGTCAATTACCCGGAAACTGATTTAACAAGAAACTCCTTGCTTAGAGTGAAGATACATGTAGCTAGACTGGTACCAAATACCGGAAATGATTTCATTTTGATAAAAAAACAATCATTGAGCACATGGATTTTTAAGATTTGCATACAGTAAGACACCTAGGTTTAGCGCAGTTTTCCTGCTAAAGTTCGCACAACTCATTTGCTTAATATGAGCAACTACTTAAACTTGGGTGTTTTGTGTGTTTATGTGGACACAAATACATGTCTATAGCAGTAAAAATTATTTAGTTGTCGTTCGATTATCTCTTCCAGTGGTCCCCCCCACCCATGCCTTTGAGGAGATACTTGTGTATGGAGCCTGTACATTAAATTTTATTCGCCGTGTATGGGGTGCTGTGGTCCACATGGGGTACTGTGGTTCATGGGTTTGAATCCTGACTGTTGGAGCATTGTGCTTGTGCTCTTGAGCAATGCACTAATACCTTTATTGCTTCGTCCTTCGGATGGGACGTAAAGCCGTAGGTCCCGTGTGTTGTGTAATGCACGTTAAAGAACCCAGTAACACTTGTCGCTAAGAGAAGGGGTTTGCCCCGGTGTTTCTGGCAGTGGCTACAATATGCGCCGCAGCACCTAGCAAAAAGGTGCTACATAATGCGTCTCATATGTTCATATACTTCATTTACCTGTCTTTGGTTGCATTCTCCCCTAGCGCTTTGTATCCTTTGGAAAAGGTGCTATTTAAATACGGTTATTATTATTATTATTATTATCTTTTAGACACATCAACAGCCAGGCATGCGATGCAATGAGGACGCCAGTCCATCTGGCAGTCAAGTGGAACAATGCCAGTATGGTGAAAACCCTCATCATTAGTGGGGCCAAGCTGGGTATCGTCGATGCCGAAGGGGAGAATGTGTTTCATTATGTCGCCAGGTTGCTGGGCGATACAGCACCAATGCTGCAGGTGAGGTTGTATCGCTTGTTATTCATATCCTTGCTTTGGAGTAAGCCGGATCACTACTGCTAGCCCAATTGTAGCCCGCATGCTGGCAGTCCCATCGCTGGCTCTTTGCAGTGGCTATGTGATCACATTGGAAATCAAATCATGAGGGTTAGCCTGATCATAACTACTGGCCAGTTGCAACTGGTGTGTCCTCTGTCGATTAAATTAGGGCCGGCCATGCGACCGCACATTGGAAAACCCGGAGCGTGGTGATTCAATATCGATAGACAAACAACACAAAATAAACATTTGCTACACACACATTCTTAAATTTGTATCCTTGTGGAGTCATTTCTTTGTTATCATGTACTAAAATTTTCGAATTTCAAAGTGTACTTTCAAAATGCTCCTATTTTAATCAAAATTAATTTCCTGGGCTGAAATTCAGACTTAATATGCCTGACATAAAATACTTCAATTTGCGACGATCAACACACCACGGAAATTCCTAGTTTTTGAGTAAAATCCATTGTGATAACCTTGTGAAGGCGTATTCACCTATAGAAATTACTCTGTGCAGACATATATACAATCTTTTGTTCCCTATTGTGCAAATGTCTCCACAGGGTACCGTGTACCAGATCACAGTTACACATTTGAGTGGTTTATTGTTATGTTTATACAGCAGACACTTTTAGAACAATACAAGGCTTTTTTTGGATAATTGTTATTCTGTATGTGGTAAACCAAACACAGAGTAATGTGTCGCAACCTGTGCTTTTAAAAGTTCTAATTGTTTATACATGTATGTGAGTAATGCTAAATATTTATCCTGTAATTCAGCAAAATTTAAATGGTAAATTTTTTATTTTTACAAAATCACAGTTTTTGGCAGAAGACACCAGCGGCATCAATGCATGTAACCATCGTCGTTTGACAGCTCTACAGATTGCCTGTCAGCAGGGTAACCTGAACACAGCAGCAGGGCTGGTGACTCTAGGGGCGTCGGTCAATGTGACAGACTCTATGGGCTGTCCTATACACTATGCCTTCAAATATCAGCACTACAAGTTAGTCAATGAGCTACTACTATTATTAATATTATTAAGGGAATAAATGTGTGTTCGGGAGGTATTATAACACTCTGTTTAAGATCGGTGGGAGTCTGGATGGGTGATATTCGCCTCGGGTAATTATCATCCATCCACACTCCCACCGGTCTTAAACAGAGTGTTTAATACTGACCGAACACATATTTATTCCCATTCATAAATACCTTTTCGGTCAAAAAACCAAATCTTTTCGGTCCAAAAATCAAAAAAAGGCAAGAACTAGACGTTGCCAACCATTTTGTTCAACAATTTTACTTCATGTTTTACGAAACACCCCTCTGACTGTAATATGGAATGCCCCTCCACAACTCGTTACCTTATAAGGACATTGGCATGCGCGTCGCGCGTACTGTGCGATGTCACGCAAAACGCAGCTGGGCTGGTGTAGTGTGAATTTCAGACTATGAAGTACTGATTCACTGGTAGTATTGCGCATGCATACGTGAGGAATGTGAACGTTCAACCAATGAAACGTTAAACGGAACCGGATTTCATGGGAGTCCAAATTTCATGTGACACTGGAAAAGTGTTTAAGACCAGCCAGCCATGTCTTTATCATCCGTTTAAGACCGGCCACGTGACAGGCTCTCGACCAATAGGAATGCGTAAACTGTCTTATGTATTCATGAATATTAGTTACTTCTAGTCCTGAACCCAAGGATTCCGCAAAAGCGCCCTAGGCACTGTAGCTCGCAAGCCTGAAGAAACCTCTCAATCTCTCACTTGCAAGATGTATAGATACATGTATTTTTATCTTGTGCACATCATGCTGTTGTAGACAATTCCTCTGATCAAAACCTCACCTTGCATGTTTCTTACGAAGATTTTCAAGTCCATTTGGCTAGTCTTAGTAAATTGACGGAGAGCGTTTTCATTCAAAGCTGTTTCGTTTATTTGTGTTTTCGCCAGGGCTGCTGAAAGTATTCTAGGAGCCCTCGATATTCAACTAGACAGCATGCTGTGTGTCAAGTACGGAGGCTCCGCCTTGCATTATGCCAAATCACCAGCATTTATCAAGCTGGTGACCAAAAGACGGGGGACCTTCGATGTCAACTTGCTGAGCAAGACAGGGCACTCGCCGTTGCACATCATGGTTCAACGCCAGAGGCTGGAATGTGTGCTAGCATTGCTGTGTGCCGGTGCGGACGTTGGTGTTGCATTGCCTGGTGGAGACATGCCATTGCATCAAGCTGTCAGGGTGGGTATGAGGTTCAAGAAATATGAGAGGTGCAATAGTTGAGGTTCTGTGAGGTTCCCTGGATGAGGTTTGTAGAAATGATTGGGTATTACATTGCGTGGTTAAGACATGCCATTGCATCATGTTGTCAGGGTGGGTATGAGGTTCAAGAAATGTGAGAGGTGCAGTAGTTGATGTGCAGTGAGGTTCCCTTGATGAGGTTTGTTGAAGTGATATGGATATTACATTGCATGGTGGAGACACGCCATTGCATCAAGCTGTCAGGGTGGGTATGTTGCTCAAGAAGTATGAGAGGTGCCATGGTTAATGTGCAGTGAGGTTCCCTTGATGAGGTTTGTAGAAGTGATATGGGTATACATTGCCTGGTGGAGACATGCCATTGCATCAAGCTGTCAGGGTGGGTATGCGGTTCAAGAAATGTGAGAGGTGACATGGTTAATGTGCAGTGAGGTTCCCTTGATGAGGTTTGTAGAAGTGATATGGGCATTACATTGCCTGGTGGAGACACCCTGTTGTATCAAGCTGTCAGGGTGGGTATGGGGCTAAGGAAAGGTGAGAGGTGCAACAGTTGATGTGCAGTGAGGTTCCCTTGATGAGGTTTATTGGAGGGGAATAAAGTTAGAAGCTTCATCAACTGGTGACTTGCAGTTATGTGTATAGGCAGCTTACATTCTAGGCATCGTGTAGTTCATGCAGCAAGTTACTTGTAAGTGAGGTATTTACCTTAGGTGCAGTGAGTGAGGTACTTCACCTACTAGTGATTTATAGAAATGTTAAGGTGCTGTAGGTGAGGTACTTTTTTGAGGTGCAGAGAAGTGCTGTTGGGACATGGAGCTGTAGTAAGTGAGGTACAATGAGGTCAGGTAGGTATACACAGTCCTTCTGATTTGAAAATCACAGGCGTGTGGAAAAAGGCACACCTGGATTTTTTTAGGCGTGTGACTTTTCTAGGTGTGTGATTTTTCTAGATGTATGATTTTTTCCAAACTGGGACTGAACAATCTGGTATTTTTTTGCAATATTCATTTTGGTTTACAGTAAAGCCATTTCAATTTTCAGGAGCTCATCTATGTATTTATTATGCCGTAAATGTATACCGAGGTGTGCGGTACAGAGGGATTCAGGCGTGCGATTATTCACACTTCTCAGTAAGCTTTTAGGCGTGCTATGGCATGGGGGTGTGATTGCACGCCTCAAATCAGAAGGACTGTATACAATTAATAAATAGGTAGGTGATTGTAGAGGTTTGTTTTCCAAGATGCAATAGACAAGAATGCAGCTGAGGTGCGGTCAGTGAGGTTCAGTTAGTGAAATACAAATGGTGAGGTTCATGTACACTTGAAAAAGTGCATTGAGGTTTTGTAGCTAAAGGTTACGGGCAGTTGCTCTGCAATTGTGAATTTAAACTTGTGATACTCACTGGTTATAGCATTGTCCATTACATGAAGCATTTTGCTTACTTGTATCGCACTAACAGAAAAATGACCTGGACATGGTGTATGCAATGATCGTATTTGGAGCCGACATCAATGCACTGAACAGCAAGGGGGAATCCCCACGTCACGTAGCTTCTACGCAGCTGTTGTCTTCCCTGGGGGGTTTAGTAGGATCTTCCAATAATGTCATCAGCGCACTCCACCTGGTAGGGGCACAGCGGTGCCCAGTAGGCATGAAGGGGTGCAGTGCTGGGTGCAAGGCAGACGGGACCTATGACGGGAACCCACCGACGTCGATTGAAGTCGCCCAGTCAGAGGGCAACAAAGGTGCGTACATGTATAATGATTGTGAGATTTATATCCAATATTCATAAAATATTGGAAGAGTCAAAGCCTTAGATAGTTGCAGCCCCAGTTATTATATGAATTATCATTGTAAGATACTAATTCCTTCTTTTGTATTGAGACACATTTTACATGGCATGACTTCCACAGCTTACGAGGATTTCTTAAATGTGTGCATCGGCATGATGGCAACCAGGCAGAAGGTTACCACGGCAACAGATGAGACAGATAGTACCGCATCCCCAAGACATAGTGACAACATCCTTAGCTTAGATGGGGGCGGCATCAGGGGATTGATACTAACGCAGATATTACTGGTGAGTATGGAGGGCCTAAACGGCAAATTCACAAGATCCTTAGCTTGGATAGGGGTGGTATCAGGAGCTGATACTGATGCAGTTATTAATTGTAAGTATGGAGGGCCTAACCAACAACATTCATAGAGGTGTTATCAGGTGGCTGATATATGGAGCATCTGAAAAATAAACTTCACCTCCTGAAAACAATTGTTTTTGGAAACGTCATCGTAAAGGACTTGAGACTAAAAAATTAGTCTGCACACTATATGGACAGCTGCACTGCACAGCATGTCAACAGAATTCATAACAAGATTTTCATGTATCAAATGCCATTTATCATTTTAGAATCTTTTTTTTTTTTTTAGAAGCAATTTATTTTGTTGTTTCTGCAGGCTATAGAAGAAGCAGCCGGAAGGCCCATTGCCGATATGTTTGACTGGATTGCAGGCACTAGTACAGGGGGAATTCTAGCTCTGGCTCTCGCAGTTGGTAAGTCTGGCCAAAGTAAATTATCACTTGATTTATTATTTGTATTTGAACTGTCAACAGACATCAAGCTTCATGTGAAATAATGTTGCCTTGACTCTACCTTCCTTAATTATGCAAATGCTCCACAACCATGAAAATCTGACAGATCTTTGTCTGGGAGGCTTAGGGTTAACATTCCCGAATCTAGAATTTTAAGAATCTAGAAATGTTGACAAATTTTAGGAAAAAGTCCAGATTTGTCTTGATTTCTAATAAGTACATGAACTTGCATTTTTTTCGGCATTTATCTTATATAAAATAAAAGTTCCATGAGATTTTTTTGTTCAGTCATTTTTATTTTAAAAATCAGTTTAATATGTTGTAGTTCTATCAGTCTTGAAATAGACAGACCTCACCGGGTATTATAAAAATTAACGAGTTCCTTTTTATTGATCTTCCAGTTTATTGCTGGGTTCCTACTCTCGTCCACTGAGTCAACACAGGGCATGCCTATTGGAAGCCTCAATCTTTCGATTTTTTTTTGCAGGTTATTCTGTGAAGGAAGCCCGCAGTCTGTACTTCACTCTGAAGGACGAGGTGTTTATCGGGTCTCGGCCGTACGCCTCAGAGCCACTAGAGAACTACCTCAGGCACCTCTTTGGAGAGGACACCAAGATGGATTCCATCACCAAACACAAGTAAAAAGCTACTTTTCAGATATCAACTCTCTCATCTGCTAGCAGAGGTTTTTGTCTTAAGGTCATTTTTAGGATAAGTCCTTTCTCATATTCTTGGCACTCCCTTCACAGATATTTGCCAATATTTCTCTCTTAAGCCAGACTTCTGTTATGTAACTGGAACAAGTCGCATAAGCCGTGTAGTAAAATCTCCTCTATTCAGAAACGGTTTCAACAGAGCTATCTTTTGAAAAAAAGAAAGAAAGAGAATTGTTCATTCATTGGATTCAGACTGGGATTCAGTACCTTTTAAGAATACTTCAACATTTTGAACATATTTTCTTTCTCCAAATACTCGGATTCTAGAGTATTACAAACCAAAATACTCATACCATATACTGCCTCGTTATTCAGGCTTAGTTCCTATTATGACACTTATTATTTCATGTTTCTCAGTGGACTCGCAAAGGACTCGACAGTAAGCTCCCAAAATAACAGGGATGTCTAGTTGAGTCCATCACAAGTCCTCCAGTCCCAATTCAACTCACAAGCTATTCAAATGAGCTTTGACAAAGGCATTCCTTTGTTATTGTTCATCCACTATTACTTGTGATGGACTTGTGATGGACTTGCGATGGACGTCTGATGGACTTGTGATGACTTGTGATTTTATTGTGACTGGGCTTGTCATTTACTTGTGATGAACTCGACTACCTCCCTGCCAAAATACCCACATAACATCATGTAGTCTGGTACCTGGTGGCATACATCATTGACTCTCCTATTGTTTTTGTAGGGTTTTGGTGACGGCTACCCTTGGGGACCGCACACCGCCCCCTCTGCATATTTTCCGCACCTACGAGCCCCCTGCCAGCTCTTCGTCTGCCTGTGTCGTCTACAACAAAGATAACTTCATCTCGCCGCCTTTGTACCACGGTAAGATAATTTTTGACCAGTTTCCTTAACAGAGACAACCCAGGGGCCGATTTCACAAAACACTAAGACGCGGCTTAGGGAGGGTAACTCGTCTTATCTCGTGGCTCGTCCTGGATCGATTTCACCAAATTTAAGACGCGTTCAACACGTCTTAACTTCCTCAGCAACACGGCTGAACTTGGCTTAACGTAATATTGGTCTGAGGATTGTCTTATCTTATGAATGCGTGCGTTAATTTGTATATCGTCTGGAAATAATTGCCGTTAAAGACAAGTGTCGGTCTAGAGTTGAAGTTTCTAGGGAAAAATAAGCTGTAGAAACAGATTGGAAAAGATTTCTGATACGTGGGTAGTTTGAATAAAAATGGCTTATTTACACAATTAAATTATACGCCAACACCTAATCGACTTTTAAATAGAGTGATGAAACGGGGAGCAAGAATGACTCTATCGTATCTTGTGTAGAACTACCTTGGGTGTGAAATTTATTAAGAAGAGTAATTGTTCTGGCGACAGTTCGTGTTCTTGGCAGGCACGCGCGGGAGGTTGTTTTGCACATTTCTTTTCAACGACTGTGTCGTCAAGCTGTAAAAACAAACATGAAACAGCCATCAAATGGGAAGTTTTCATCAGTCTTGCTTATTGAGATGGGTTTAGTGAAATTGATCTTAGAATGCGTCTTAGCTAAGATCGATCTTATAGTGGGGACTCTTCTGAAGTCCTACGATGGGTCGCAAGGTAAGACAAGTTTCGTGAAATTGGCCCCAGGTCCCCTATTTCACGGAGCTGCGTGTGGGGAATTATTGCTTGGCAAAACTTATGTGCTAAGCCAAAAGCAGCGGAGGACCGCTTTGAATCGGTAAACATTGGATGATAGTGTGGCTGGTAACTAGTTTTTATCAGTGATTAAAAAAAAAAAAACCCCATTGATTTATTAATCATGATTTAAATCAATGATTTGAATCAAGTGATTTAAACAAAAAAGCTGTTTTCATTTAAGCTGGTAAGCTTAAAAACATCTCAAATCTGTTTGATTAATTGTCTTGAACTTTTATTGATATCAGATCAGCTGATATGGAAAGCTGCCCGGTCTAGCGGTGCAGCACCAAGCTACTTCCAACCCATGGGATGTTTTCTGGACGGTGGCCTGATTGCTAACAATCCAACACTGGACGCCTTGACTGAGCTACAGGAATACTACATGGACAGGCAAATGAAGGTAAGAATAATAATAATAACAACAAGCATTTATAGAGCGCTCTTACACATAAGGTATCCACAGCGCTTAACAGCAGAGTTTTCACTAACTCAAAATTAGTGAAAACAGTGAAAGCAGTTAACGATTGAACAGAAAAGTCTTGAGACAGTTCTTGAACCCTTGAAGTGTTTGTGCTGAGTGGATTTCCCTCGGAAGACTGTTCCAAAGGTACTGAGTGGATCTTCCTATGGAATTTGTGCTCACGTAACCCCTTCCGCTGGCAGTGTTGCAGATTAAGCCCATCTATCATAACTTCAAGACAACTCCGATGTAGAGTGAAATACATTGTATAGACTTCTTTCAATACTGACTCATCGGTTGATAAAGAGGACATGACAGGTCACTCGAGAGGGTTAGAATCCATATAAGGTAAAGAGGCCAGATTTCATAGGAGTACGGATTTCATATGACACCAGTCACAGGTAAAATCACAAGTCCTTTCACAAGTCCTTAGTTCTCATTAAAATTGTGAAGCATTTTGCTAGAAAGCAGCAGCACTGGAAAGACGGGCTGTGGTGGGAGCGGCGCCAGTGATCCCAACTGTGTATAATTTGAGGAGGAGACCACAGGCAAATGCCTATGTCTAACGAATGAATGAATGAATGATGGCACTCCACCAACATACTACAGGGTGACCTGAAAAAAAATGCAACCCTAAAACATTTGCCTTTAAAAAAAAAAAGGATTTTTATGTTTTGGGTATTATATCAGATTAAAGCTGAGAGCTTTTCCTTTCACAGACTGAACAAATGAATAGCACTTTGGGTTGCTGAGAAAATGCCAATTATGGCCTAAAACCCATCAACATTCTACAAAACCAAACGTTTGATTTAGAGGATATAAAAGAGTGGTGAGGGTTAAAGATATAGTCCATCATTTGTAATTTGTGCATTCTGTTCGTTTGAAGCAACAAAAGTGCTCAAAATCTAAAGAAGGGTACTGAACAACTAACCTGATGAAGTTTCAGCTCAGCTTCAGCTGTATATTCCGAGAAAAACAGCATTCTAGGATCTCAATTTCAAATCAAAAGTTGCTGAATCATGTTTTGAATTGCGCCTGAATTCAGCGTCCGAGACACGTTCTCGCTGAGCCAAAGGAAGCTACGCGATGTCGCGCACTGATCCGACGAATTATAGCAACCGGGGGTGCGTGTGCGTCGTGCCAATGCTTGCGCGCGCTTTGCCGAATAACAAAACGAACTACTAATTTAAATTTTCCTGACGGTGCGTCTTAAGAAGCACCGTTGGAAAGGCCTTCTTTCGTTGATTACTTCAAAATGATAGCTTGCCAGAAAGATCAATTTCACAGGGAGTTTAGTCCACTTACTATCTTTCAACCAAGTATGTTTTTCAACAATAATACACCAGTTACTTTTTCGGATGGCTGCAAATGATGGACTAAAGCTTTAAAAGTGTGACATCATATTGATTGATTCTTTCATTTTATTTACGCAGGGTGAACCAACGCGTAATGTAGGAGTGGTTGTGTCGGTGGGAACCGGTAATATTCCAATCAAACCCATGCGGAATATGTCCATCGTTAGACCGTCTGGTATTATGGGCATGGTCAGTGCTGCTAAGGCTGCAGCCGGTCTCGGCGAAATATTTGTGGATCTGGTAAGTTATCCCGTCAAATATTTGTAAAAAGTTGTTGACAACATCGAGAACAATGGAAAGCATATCACAGCTCACGCATATTCACATGTGACATCTAATAAAAATGAAAAGAAAAAAAATTGTTGTAGTGAGGAGACCACAACAATACGTTGAACTGTAATGATGCAAATTTGAGAAAGGATGTCATTTACATGTACGTATATTCAAGTGTTTCCGTTTACAATGCCATAAAACAAGACAGTGACCTTTTTATCGCCCTGGCTGTAAGCTGGAGGGGGATATTGCGATAGCGTATTCCTTCTCTGTGTATGTATGTATGTCCGTCTGTCTGCATTTTTTTATGGTGTAAATCGAGGACACACACGTGCAACATCATCGGTGAATTGAGGACAGGCACCAAATCGAGGACGACCTCGATTAGAAAACATGTGCAAAACCAATGAGAGCTGTTGCAAAAAAAGTTTGAAGTACAAACATCGGGAAAGGGGAGAGGAACAAAAGAAAATCCTCGATTGACACCATAAACAAAGGTGTCTGCGTTTGTTTATGGTGTAAATTGAGGACACACTTGGCAACATCATCGGTGAATCGAGGACGGGAACCAAATCGAGGTCGTTTAGAAAATGTGTACACCACCAATGAGAGCTGTTGCGAAAAAGTTTTGAGTACAAAGGAAAATTAAGGGAAAAGTTTTGAGTACAAAGGAAAATTAAAGGAAAATGAGAAAAAGAAAATCCTCGATTTACACCATAAACAAGCGTGCTAGGGTGTTAGTTTTGGTTAGGTTAACTCTTGTCAGCATGATAACTTGAGAAATACTTTACTTATGAACTTGAAATTTGGTTTGTGGGTTGTTCTTGGTAATCTTAAGAAGCCTATTGCTTTGGGGGCCGACAGGTCAAAGGTCAAGGTCACTATTGCTCAAACAATAGAAATCTTCCATTTTGGTTAGGCACACTGACGTTATAAAAACTGCCACCATGCTAGAGGGATTGCGCAAGTCTCTTGCAGTATTTTGTTGAAGTTTGAATGTTACTGTTTATCTTCATGTATACATTTCTTATTTTCATGTGCAGGTGACTGATGCACGAGGGCGCACTTTGGACCGCGCCCGTTCCTGGTGCAACATGATCGGCGCCCCGTTCTATCGTTTCAGCCCACCCCTGAGTGCGGACATTCCGTTGGATGAGACCAAAGACAGAACCATCCTCAAGATGCTGTGGGAGACACAGGTTTACCTGCATCGCAGGAGAGAGAAAATCCAACATCTTGGGGAACTCCTCAAGTCCATGCATTGAATAATAATATTAATAATAATAATGAAAAATAAATGTCTATAGTGCTGAGTCCATTTAAAAAAATGCCTTCTGGCGCTTTACAATGAACAATTCATGTAAATAAAAGGAATATAATTTTTTTTTAAATGTGATTATTTAAACCCCAAAATGGATAATATAACACTATAGTAAGGCTGAACCACATGTAGACATGCCCGGGCAGAACAGAAAAAACCAATCCCCTCCCCGCTAGCTAGACCAAATAAAAAAATGTTGCAGGTTTGTGTATTTCTTGAAATGCAAAGTGCAAAGTTGCATGTATCCGTTTGCTATATTTAGTCCATTTATTTTGTGCGTGTATTCTTTTTTTTTTTAAGTATGTAGCACTAATCCGCGTTTGACAATCCAGGGCGTATTTCATGCTTTTTTTGTGCAATAGTTGAGGCTTGTTCATTTGTTTCATGGTGTTGCAAAGATCATAATTCATTTGAAGTTTCAAGATAAGACCAGTCACTTTAGTCTGGTTCCCAGACCTGACAATTATTCCCGACGCTCACGTCTTAAATTGTAGGACAGGCAGCCTCCGTGGCTAAAAATAAACATGATGACATTAATGGCCCTTTTTCAAAGCACGGCTTCGTTTCCGATTTCGCTTTAGCACTTGTAGCTTTTAATGTTCTGATCAAATCTTTAAATAAATCACTTGCTTCGTAATATCATACAGTTATGATAATACAGTTTGATGTTTTTGTAAGATAACATTTGAGTAATGTTGATCTGGAATATTCAAAATTACGGAACCAAATAGCACTGTTAGCAGGCGGAGCCGAATGAAGACCGAGTTTTGGAAAATCTTGGTAACGGTCGTCAAATTCAAAATTGTACATGACGCAGCAAAAAGTTCACCCTTACGATCAGAGTATATTTGATGCACAAAATCGTCATTGAATTTCAAATTTTCTAAATGAAAACAATAAATATTAATTATCAACTCATTTAAAATAAAATTAATAAGCAATTAGTAGTTAATTAAACCTATATTATATACTCAGAAATACTCAGGCGCTATCCGATTGTCGACGAAACAACTTCGGCAAACTTCGTATATTTTCAGAAAAAGGAGGAATTCCTCCCGTTTTAGTCACGTGACATAAATTGTAATACATTGTATTACCGGAGGCTACCGGACCTAAGATTCATCAGGAATAGTCGGAATCTTTTGGTCTGGGAACCAGACTACAGTCACTTCTGACTGTGCCGTACACTTCCTGACAAAAAGCCACCATAGCTTTCTCTCCGCTTTCCCTCCCGTTTAATTTTTAAGAAGTATTTTTTTTTTACAGAATGTTCACATACAGTGTGAGATGTTTTATAAGTATACTGTGTTCATCAATTTATAAAAAATATTGTGGGAAACCCTTTAGGTGCATTATAATATTTTTTTATGGTTGAACAAAGAATTTGACAGGAGCGGGGTTTCAACCTGCAACCTTCGGAGGTTGCGGGTTCGAACCCTGCTCTGGTCACTTTCCTTGTTCAACTTTAAAATATAAAGAAATTGAGTACAGTGATAAGAAAGCAGAAGTACAAGTTGAAATATTTTATAAAATATTTATTGACTGGCAATAGCAACTATATTAAAAATATGTATACAATATATCAAAACATGAACAAGTGCTGTATAAATTGTGATAAAAGTTCACTTCTAAAAACTGAAAAGAATGGGTTTCTTTCCCCAAAAATCTTAGTTTGATGTAAAATAATTTGGAGCAGATTGGCGTTTAAGCTTCAAACTTGATAGTGAAGTTCACTTTTTTTTTTTTACAAATCATTTAATCCTGATAATTCACGTTATTTTTGTAAAATATATTCATTATCAGCAGCACCGTTATCAAAATAGTGATTTTTAGCTTGCAGAATTTTGTTTTTCTTGACCTCATTTCCTATCAAAATCCATCACTTAACACTTTTTTTGGTGAACTGAAATTGTGAGATTTATCATAATTGAATAGTGGCTTGGCCCTTGCTACACAGTGCCATGTCCAACAAAACCAAATGTTGAACTTTGGACGATTTTGGATGGTGAGGGTGCCACAATTCTTAATTATTATTATTTATTTTTTTGACTGAAATAACATATAAACAAAGAAACTGAAAAAAAGTTCATGTGTGCATTAAATACCTTCCTACCAGTATTTCCATTCTATAACAATGGTATTTGCATGTATTCAAACTATCATTTACATGAAACCAATAATTTTAACATCTATTAGTAGGCACCTGTGGTCAAATCTGGTTGAGTTTTTGACTTTCAAAGAGCATATTCATGATTTTACATGCACACAATTTCTTTTGTATTACTGTTACTGAAAGCACTCTTTACAATTCATGTTGCTTCCTATTGTACAATTTATGAATGTTTGTATTTTCTGTTGATTTCATTTAACTTTTTATATTTCAAGGTTTACCACTAATAACTACATGCTGGCTTTAGGAATTTTAAGTGTTTTTGTAACTGTGGATCAAACAAAATATAAAGAATGTTCATTAAGTACATTTAAAATGCTAATGTGACTAACACAAGCAAAATAGTCAGTCAGACCAGCTGAATTGTGCCTAATTATTATAAGTACAAGTGTAAAAATATAGATGCATAACATAATTGTGACAGCAGTTTTACAAATTTTTATACAAACGTACAAAATACAGAGATTGAAAATAAAAATTGTATGCTCAAGTATTGTGGTGTTGGCCTGAATTCATTTTAAATGCACAGGTTGAAAATTGTTTAAAAGTATCTTGCTTTACTCTGTATCAGTTGAGGAATGTCATTGCAAAACAGTTATCTTAGTATGTTTTTTTTTTGCATTGCGTTTGTTATACGTTCCATTCACAGCTTGGAATAAGTGTAAAGATACGGAATGTTTCTGAACAGCATTAACAGAACAAAACCTTTTAACCATACTTGAGCAAAATTCATGTCTTGAAACAATTGTAAAATTACCTAAAAGGCAATAAACATGGTAATTTACAATACCTAGCCTACCGGTACTATATGTATACATGTAAAAATATATATTAAAAAAACAGTACATCTTTAAAAATTCACCAATGATAGTTTACAACACGAATGTACGTTTAACACAACTGGTAAAATATCTTTAAAAAACTGAATAGTGCTTTTGCAAAACAATAATAGTACTTTTGATAATATTTCAATATACAAAACATATGATCTGCTCAAAAATATACATGCACGACTATACACCTACAAATTGAAAATAGTATACCTTGCAATAAAAATATGACCACTTCATCATTCAACACTACCAATAGTATTTGTTACTCAGAAACAAAAATAATGATATTTATTCCAAGATCAAAAAAAAAGTATACCAAAAAATGCATGTACAAAAGTAGGGCTATTTAAAAAAAAAAAAAGATGGTTAAAAAAAAAAGATGGTTTAAAGAAGTAACTTCTTCATCATGGGTTGTCCTAGTTGTCACTGTTTTTATTTTACTCACGCCTTCCCAAAATCGGGCTTCAGTTGATTTGAACTCCGCCCCCAAAGGCAGCAGAAGAGTAACATGAAGACGATGATGAGGAAACCGAGGGCGGCCATGATTGCGATCCACATCGGCTCAACCAAGAGGCCGCCGGTGAGAGGGGGACTGGTCGCGCCTGATGCCCCTGGCGCTGAGACAAAAACAAAAATATAACCAGTCATTGTATCATTGTTTATTTGTTTCGAGCGTGCCTGATTTCTGCAGAGTTATAATGATATTAAAAGTTGACCTTGATCTAGGTATCACTACGGATGCATTGTGGACTCAGACATTTGGCCTGGAATTTGAGGTATAAAGAAGTACATGTATACAGGGTGGCCCACAAAAAGTTTTCACTTTTTCAGAGCCAGATTTATCAAAATTGAAGAGACATGTTGAAATTGTTTTAAGATATTCCTTAATTACAAGATCTTGGTGGAATATGGTAAAAACGGCGTTGAAAATAAAGCTCAAAGTGAGAAGTAGCGGCCGTTTACAGAAAAATGGTCAAAAACTTGTTTGTGATTGACTTGCAAAGTGGACTTGTAGATTACAACTTAATCACTTCAAATGATGTATCAACAAGCCGCTGCACAGTGAAATTCAAGAAAGTATACAACCAGACAACTGATAATCTTACCGACGTCACAATTTTTGCCGGAGAATCCTCCGTTGCAGATGCACCAGTACTGGTTAACCTGATTCACACACAGTGCAGAATTCTGGCACGGCTTGGAATCGCACTCGTCAATATCTAAGCATGGCAAACAAACATGGAAAACGTGAAGTAAACTAACATCCATAATATAGTCATCGGTAACTGTTGTTGACTGCTGTGATGTGGGATATGATGTTTTTAACACCTTAGGGGCGCATAGCACCGAGGTGAAGCCGAGGGTGCTATATGTGCCCCATGGGGGTTACAAACGGCATATCCCACATCACAGCAGTCAAAAATTGTTTTGTTATTTCGCACAAATTAAAAAAAATAGATACAAGTTTGTAACACGCCGTGCCAGAAATAAATTAGAACACTACAGTGTTACTTTTGTAATTACTGCCAGACATGAGATTTTAACATGGTGCAGAGCTCTAATGCGCATGAAGACCGTGCGTATATTTAACAATTGTTGACTGGCGTGATGTGGGATATAACACCCTCGGTGCGCATATTTCACCTCGGGTGCTACGCGCCCTGTGGGTGATCAAAACGTCATATCCCACATCACAGCAGTCAACAATTGTTTTGTTATACCTCTGTCTTGGATTCTTTAGATTTTGATGTAAAAATCACAAAAACAAACAGCAGTTAACACAACAATCATTACAATCTAACGGCAACTCACATGCGTGTCGCATGCTCGAACCAGCTGATAGCCTGCAAGTTCTCTGTATTTTTTTTTGTATGAAACATATGTACGTGTACGCACAAAGTCATAGCACACTCCCTGTGGGATATCACGTCACAGTGAGTGAGCTATGACTTTTTATAAACTAAACATGTGATCGTTCTAGGCCAATGAAAATACAGTATTCATGACAGAGGTATAACAAATATATATATACATGGGTACATTTATATGCAACGCGCAGTAAATGAATGAATGGGAGGTTTGCGGTAACACCGTGTGAATGAAAGATATCTCTTAGTGAGTTGAGTGGTTCTGAGAAGAACCAGTTGGTTTAACTCAAAGTTTCGAACAGTATGCTCTACTCGTCAACAGGAGACTGCCGGACCCTTGCTGGCATGGTGGTTTTTAGCACTGTATATTAATTAATTTTTGTATCTGTTGGGAATAAGGCTAGGCCTCCTTACCCATATCACAGAAAGTGCCTTGCCAGCCAGCAAAACAGGTGCACTGGAAGGATGATGCTCCAGTGGTCTGACAGAGACCATTGATGCAGGGATTGTCCGCACACGTCATCACAGCTGCACATTTGTGAATGGAACAAAGACAAGACAATTAGCTTATATTTAAACTGGTACAAAGAGTGCACAGGTTTCAATTCAACTGATTCAGAAAGGCTGAAAACTTTATTGAATAAGTTGAAGTGGTAACGTGATGGAAATAAAAAAATTCACTTTCGCCACTGACATGGGGACTTGACATATTGCCAACACATGTATCATGACAGTACATGAAACAAGTGTCACCAGACTAACGCACAACTATGTTTGTGGTATACACATTCAAATCTTGGACCTTGAACAATGGAGGACAGTAGGGTCCACGGTTGACCAAAAGGTCCACTTTTGAGGTGTGTGTACAAAACATATGGGAGGTCTTCCTAAAAGTTGAGGTATAAACAAAAGAGGGACAATAGGGTCCACGATATTGAAGGTGTTTGCAAAGATGTGCCCGGGTAAACACAAAAGGGACCTAACACAAAAGGGTTAGGGCACAAACAATACGTCCATGATTGACTGAAAGTCCATGATTGAAATTCGCGTACAAAACCAATGAGAGCTGTTGCTAAAGAGTATACGAAGAAATGAGGATTACGGACAATAGGGGGTCCACGATTGCCGGTGTTTTCTAAAAGATGTATGCGCATTTGAGTGTTTTTATGAGAGGGTACTTGTGGGTTACTTTCACAAAGGGAAAAATGGTACTCCACAAGTTGGTCCATACCCACAGGGGAAAGAGGGATAAAAGGAACCCTTGTAAGATTATATAATGCTTACCTTGTTCACAGTTTGTTCCTGTGAATCCTGGCCGACACGTACATTCATACGCACCGCCTCCAACTTCAACGCAGATGCCTTCATTCATACATGGATTACTATGGCAACCAATCTCTGAGAAAAACAACACAGCAACAACAGTGTTGAAACCCCCAAAATGTCATATCATGGAATTACTTTCTTGGAAATGTAGATTTTGACATATTAAGAAAACATCAACGATAATTAACTGATTTGAATTTACAAGAAAATATTTTGGTAGTTTCTCAAACAAATGGCTTTTGTCCTGCCTTGGGGTACAAAATTGCCTCTCTTTGCATAACATATAAAGATTCAAGAAGTTAGTAAAAAAAAAGCTAAGACTTAGTCTTAGGATCAAAGGAGTACAATTGAACTGATTAAACTTACCTGTTCCACAGAATGCTCCCGTAAATCCGCTAGGACAGTTGCATTCAAATGTTGTCAAATCAATAGTAATGCATGTACCACCATTGCGGCATGGTGAGAAACTACACGGATCTGGTGGAACTGTGGAAAAAAAAAACAGAAATGGAAAAAAAGGGGAAAAAGATAGAAAACATTACTCCAGAAGAATCAAGCAAGCAATTTACAAGTTCATTTGAAATTGCAAACACCACTGATATTAATTAAATAGTTACTTGCTCACACAGATGCACCACTTGCAACTTCAATACTCATACTTTAAAACTTGACAAATTTGCACTTTGGCAGTAATCACCAAAAACTGATTTAGTGTTTGGGGGACCCAGTTGTGAAATAACGGCACAAGAATGACTGCACTACTCGAGTTGCAAAAATGGTTAACAATGAAAAACAACAGAACCAGACATTATTTGCGACCATCAAAATACACACCAGCTACGGAAGAATTGTCTCAGCTTATAAGCTCCATGCAAAAGTACCCCCTCAATGGTAAGGGAAGGGAGAGACCAGGTTGGATTGGCATTCGAATGCACTGTCGACGTCTGACGCTCATGCGAAAAAATGCTATGGCTTTGTGCACATTCAAAATAAATTAGTCGTACGTACATGTATGCGCGCTAAGGAAGCCCATAGCAACCAATCCAGATGCACTGAGGCATTTGGTTGACTACATCCATGAGGTCAGGACTCCTGTCTCCTCTATTTTTTACTTCTGTGCTGAGTAGCACCATGAGATTGGCTCCAGACTTACATTTTGTTGCCTCAAAGTTGCCTGTAAAATGTGTGACAGAAATAAATCGAGGTTTGGCAAGCCCGCTACCTACCATTTTCACAGTTGATTCCAGTAATGCCACCTGGGCAGATGCAGCCATACCGGTTGATTGCCTGTAAGCAACTACCACCATTCAGACACGGCTGACTGGCGCACTCATCAATGTCTGCAAACATGACAAACACGTCAAATTAGGTTTTGCCCTTCACCGACGTTTTAAACACTGTATACTCAGTGTGTCTAATGACAAACACTTACAAAGATCAAACAAGTACAAACAAGTACAAAGGTTAATACAAATGCATCAATGTCCATTTACCTCTATGGCCTCTGGATCTCTGGTAAATTTTAAACTGGGCGTTAGAAGAAGAATAGATTTGTGGCTATGACACAAAGCATCTGTTTTTTTTGGATTCATCAATTGACCCCTTCTGCCTGTCAATCCAACAGTGTGCATTGACTTATTAGATCATGCCATTCGGTCATGTGACCACGGTAGCTCAGTTGAGGTCATTCACAAGCACGATGGGAAATGCATACAAACCAAAGGCAGGGATGTGCATGGCCGAATCAAGTGTTCCGTAGGCCCTAGACACCAGTGCTCCGTAGGCCCCACTCCACCCTAGGCACTGACACCAATTTCAGTTGATGCTAATAAGCTATGCTAAGCTGTACTAAGCAAGCCAGGCCAAACTGGTAGCTCTAAAAGCCTGTACAGTGTGACATGTATGGGGTTCACTACCAGTTATTACAGTGTATTACATGTTTCGGGTTTGCTTCCAGTTATTAAAATGTACTGAGTGCACTATCAGTTATTACAATGTATGACCATTCCTCCATGGTATAACACATATTGAGGTTTGAGGTCAGCTATGTACTAGCTAGTTTGAAGCTTTCCCAAAATTGAAAACTCAGAGACACTGAAAGTTTTCTTGTGTCTACGTGGATTTGTGTAGCGGTGTGTTTTACTGCACACTGGCATTTTCGGAGGCCTCAAATTATCGTCGGCCCCAAATATTTTGTAGGCCTAGGCACAGTGCTGACTGTGCCTTGTGAAATAATCTGGCCCTGGAAGAGGGGGGGGGGTGTTGTTTTACCTGTTTCGCACAGGATCCCAGTGAATCCTGGGACACACTGGCAGAAGAACTGCAGAGCTTGATTGGAACAGGTGCCTCCATTCCTGCAGGGATTGCTGACCTGGCACGGATTCACTGATTCTGTGCAAAGTTGACAGAAAGAAAACAATGGTTACGATAATAAAGACATCAAACGTGGGAAAGTGCCCATGACTGAATTAAAATAGATTCATATCCAGTAATTATAGTTGACCCAAAAAACTCAACAATTGTCCACAACAAACAAAGTAAGTTTGGTAGAGATAGATTGAAACTAAAGCAAACATTCTTGTCAATTCACGGCCATATCCAATCTGCAACGGTTCTACTGCTTGGATTAGTTTTGGGAATATTTCACTCTGGTTTAACTGAACTGAACTGAACTAAGACGTTTTTGTTTATTAGCCAAAAAACTGATCAACATTTTTGGCTTTGTATCACTTTTGACATCAAGATGCCAATCGATAGAGTCACAATGAAATACCACGTAATAAAGAAATTTTGTAAAAAATTTTTATAGATCAGAATATTTATACAAATTTCTCACAAATGAAAAAATTGAAGAATAGAATGATGGCGCGATGAACTATGGAAGGATTGGCGAAACACTATGAAAAGACATGTATTAAATAATAAAAATATCTTTCCGAGAAGAAATCGTGAAGGAACACTGGATATTTTGAACGGTGCTGTCAGTTTCGTCTTGAAAATAAAAGCACCCTCATCCAAATGCATTGTTACAGCCACTTTATATAAAATCTTACCGAATACCCCTCAAAAGAGACATATCTTTCCAGCAATATTGCCCTAAACTGTCCGCTTCGTACCTGTTTGACAGAACTGCCCCTGGAAACCCACAGGACATGTGCATGTATACGCCGTGCCACTCGCCACGCAGATACCACCATTCTCACACTGACTGTACATGCACGGATCCGTACCTGTGACACAAACACATTGGAAAAGCTGGCTTAGTACAAATGTTATATCACAAAACACACATTATGTGATTACAAACAAGATTCAAAGATTACATACACGTAACAACAAGTTTGCCTTACTTCCAATATCCATTTTTTTTTGAAACCCTTGATTTTTTTTTTCCACTTTCATGCCAATATACCTCAATATTGTCCATGTTACTTGTGACGTCATGCTAACAGTCAACCGACAAGCAAACCACACATTTAAGAATCTTTTGCATGTTATTTTGCCACATTAAACAGATTGTGTCACCACTTCAACACCAATCACTTTTCAAAGAGATACACATGCAGTGCAAAGAAACAGTGTGCTAAAAAAAAGTTGGCATCACATCACCACAACATCCAATTTTGAAATAAATGTAACACAGACTATATGTTCCTGAATTTTAAAAACAATGAAAATCTAAAGGACTACTAGGAGGATTTTGGACAACTGGGGAAATGGTCGACAAACCGTGTTATCCTGGGCATTAATGCAAAGTTGATTATTTTTATACTAGTGGATTTCTCTTTGCGAGCAAGGAAAATTTTGAGCAAAAAAATGTCAAAATGATAAAGAATTGGCTCCTAACCTCACGACAAATACACAACATCACAAACTCTTGCCTCGCCCATTGTGCCAATTGATCAAAGACCACAATGCCAAATGAATAAATTGTTTATTTTCTAAGGATATTCAGATTTAGGCTGAAGACTCATGTTTGTTTAAAGAACTCAATATTTTACCTGGTTGAAGCGCCAATTGGCAGTTTTCACCATACCAGCCGAAAGCGCAGTAACACCGGTAGTCTTCTAGCTGGTTCACTGTCTCCACACACATTGATCCATGCAAGCAGGGTTCACCACGGCAACCAACTGAAAAGACACAAAGAACACTGACCATCTTTAAAAAGTTTCAAGTTCAGGATACAATTATTCGACCTGGTACTATCTCTGTCAATGACAGGGTTCCCACATAAATCTTAAAATGAAATTCCATGACTTTTCTATAACTTTCTATAATAGCTTTAAAATTCAGGAATTTCCAAGATTTTTGTCATGACTGTGTAATTACCTTATTGGTAACCCTAACTCAAATAAAAAAATAACAGAAAAAGAAATTTCACCAACCTGCCAGAGCGGTATCAATGACTTCCACCAGGAATCCACGGAAACTCCGTCGGAAATCCGTAGTGAATCTCACCCACATCTGATTGCCGGTGGAGTCAAAGTTAGCCGGGATGAGATCGCCCGAGGCTCTGACGACGATTGAGCTCTCATTGTCCGGGTCAAGCCCGTTGCCAGCGTCGAACCAATCAAAGTCCTGCTCTGTGGAGAAGTCGCGGAAGATGAGTCGCATCTGACGATTCTCCGCGGCTGTGATCAGCCATTGGCAGAAACGACGATCGTCGTATTTGTCCGGGTAGTTGGGGGACATCAGCTCAGTTGTGCCGTCGAGAGGCAGCGTGATATCCTTCACGCATGTGTTGACTAAAGGTTTGAAATGAACAAGTACCAGATGTGAGGATAAATTGCCGTGTATGTCTCAAAAATATTTGGTAAGATAAGACAAAGTTAAGTCTGTCCTTAGTCAACATAGCTCATCAGGCCAGCATTTTTCTCTTTTTTGGGGGGGGGGGGATGAAATGATTGAGAACCTTTTTATTCTCCATGATGGGATGCTTATCATTACATGTTACTCCCCAGCTGGTACTCATTTATACTGGCGGCTGGAGAAAGGCAAATGCATGTGGGTGAAGTGGCTTGCCCAAGGACACAACATATGACCAGCAGCTGGATTTGAACCCCTGACCATCTTATCATGAGTCGTGAACCCTAACCACTAGGCCACATTCCCCAAAGCAAAAAGACAACATAGCATTAGTCATCTGAAGGGCATAGTTTAGTTGCAATTTCCGTGACTAATTTCTGGCGTTCCTGGATTGAATCCTATCTGGTATGAAGACAGGTAGAATTTGTGGATTTGGATTGCTTGTGATACCTACACATGCCATTTTCTTTACTATTTTGTCCCAAAAACTTTTGGCCTCGCTTCAGCTCCATATAAAACCCGACTATAGTTGCAGGTCAGTAAATAGGCCCAAAATTGCCTAAGCCGGCCAAATCACGAATTGCATGCCCTCAGTTTTTTGGTAATTAGATCTTTTTGTGGGCCATGAACTTGAGGGTTTGTAAATATGATGGGTGGAAGCTGTGCACAGGACTGCAAGCTTGTATTTCTTCGAAATTCGGATGAAATTGGGCCCTAAATTTGCTCTTTTTTGCAATGGAGCACAGGCATCGTTTTTCAAAATAGCGATGGGCTACAGAACTTTTAGGGGTGGTCATCTTTGAATGGAGTTTTCTCACAAAAGTTGTTGTTAACCCCTCCAAAAATTGAACAGAAAATAAAAGATGATGAAATAAGCTTTAATTTGATGGATGTCTTGAATACCTTGGAGAGTTGTGAGTATTCATCCTGGATTTTGGCATATTTATCACTGGGGTCTATGGCAGTTTATTTACTGGTCTGCAACCATAAGGTTTTCAAATTCTTAAGGTGCTCTGATTGATAAAACATGCGCTAATCATAATAATGGTTCTTTTAAGTTTTGTCTAGGAGAATCTCTCAAGAAAGAGTCATTAAAATAAGTACTTGAATAGGAACTTACCAGCTTCACAGCGTAAACCATAGAATCCTTCAGGACATTGACACAGGAAGCTACCCACTTGAGGTGTGCATGTTCCACCATTGATGCAGGGATTGCTGTCACAGGCATCAGATACTGCAAAGAGAAAGGGGTAGCCGAGGATAGCCAAAGGTCAAATGTCAATGAGTTTTTCAGTCAAAATATCAAGCACGTTGCTTAAAAACTAACATTCATTGCAAAATTTGCCGGAGTGGAAATGCTTTCAACTTTTGTGAATTACATTCTTGCTATAACAACACAATTCACATTTGCAATTACTTTCGTGCCGAGTATGAGCAGCCTTAACTGTTTCAATAATCTTTTTAAATCTATGAAATTCTATGCTTTGGAGTGATTCTGGACTGCCTGTATGAGAAGAGGTGTAAGTTCCCAAAAAATTTTTAAAAATGGCAGCTGGACGTTGGACGTACATAGTTCACAGCGAGCACCGCCGTAGCCTGCAGGACAGAAGCAGATGTATCCATTCAACAGATCGCTGCAGGTGCCGCCATTGTTGCATGGATTGCTGCTGCATTCATTGAAATCTGTAACAAATAAATCACAATATATATACACTTTTCCTAGAACACAGATGCCACCGATATATCAATAAAAAGCCAGAAACACTACTAAAACACCTGAAACTACCCTTAACCCCTTTCAAAAATGCATTTTCTGGATGTTTCAGACCTAATCCAGCACTCTTAATTTGTCACATTTAAAAAAAAATCCCCTGAATTCAGGTTAAAACCTGAAAAGTGGCATCTCTGCCAGAATGTGAAATAATCTTGCTATTGTTACATTTTTGGGAGTTAAATTTCAGTCCAGTTTCGTTAACTGTTTGTTCATTGGATTTTTTTATTATTGAACTAGAAAAGCAATGAAAATAACTTTAAAAAAAAACAATCTCCTTTTTTCCGCAGCTTTGTAAAATATTCGAAAGGAAAGGAGTTCTCTCTGAACCTGTACTGTTCTGCAACAAACAAATGTCCCAAGACTTGTACAACTGAGTGTTAATACGGATATGACCAAAAAAAGGGAATAAATACAGAACAATCCAGTGCAAATGGCAATTCCCACAAAACAGAGACACAATTAAGAACTGAACCAAGAATACTAACCAGTTTCACAGACCAGCCCCGTCCAACCTGGACGACATGAGCAAGTCGCCACGTCACCTCGATTGTTACATGTTCCACCGTTTTCACAAAACAGATTACAAGCAACATCTAGAACACAAGGTTACAACATGTGCAAGTGCAGAGATTATTTAGGAAAGACCTTGTGTTAGCAATAAATGAAACAAACATTACGAGTCGGGGGGGGGGGGGGAGAAGAATAAAATATTATCCAGATTAGGTTTAAGATTTAATAACTCATCATCTGGGGTGTAAGTCAGTTTCCACGAGACGATCTCAATTCATCTAGTTAATGCAAGTCACAAGCTATTCAAATCAACCATGACAAAGGCATGGACCTTATTCACGAGGAAGCCATTTTGGTCGTGTTCCCTGAATGCATATTATAAATTGTGAACTGTTGATGTGATGGTGCTCGACTATTTATTCATTCTATCCTAATTTTCGTTTTTTTTTTTTTTAAATGTGGCTTAAAACATTAGGACATGGTTAATCACAAATTGTAAATTATTCATCTGAGCAGACTGGTATTAATTTGTAATTAGCTTTATGTCAATGCTTTCATTTCTCTTCGCAAGTTCCAAAAATGAAGATATTTACCTCGCTTTCAATTTATGGCCGACTCGTGAATAAGGCCCATTGTGATTGACTTGTGATTTGCATTGTGATATGACCTATGATTTGACTTGTGATTTCATTTGAGAGTTGACTTGTGGTATGACCTCTGACATTACTTGTGACATGACTCGTGATTGACTTGCGATTTGACTCAACAAGATGTCTGTGACAAACAAGCAGTACATCAGTATACAGTTTCTTTTTCTTTCTGGCAATATGATTGTCAGGTTGTTTTACAGGTTCTTCATGCGTCCGACGAGCACGTCGGGCAATAGTAACTGTGCCTTGAGTATAAACTTTGGCAGAAATTTGCCCCTTAATCTGTAATCATGTTAATAAATCATATTATTATCATTAAAAACATGATTTTTAGTTTCAAAGTGTGTGCAGTTTTTCAGGTAGATCGAATGCATGGTCACCAACAAAACCATAGTTTTGAAATTAGCCAAGTAAAGTCACTTACCACCAAAAACTTACCGAGCACTCAATAGTTTGATTGATTCATCAGTGAATAAACACAATGTAATGCAATGTAACACAATGTAACACAATGTAAAACAATGTAATACAATGTAGTACAGTTGCTAACAGGTTAAACAGGAAAGACAACTGTGTTCAATTAATTAGAACTGCACAACACAAAGACCATGTTATTGTTATTAATTTTAAATTTTCCTCAACAGAAACAAACGTGGGTTATTACAACTCGACAACAACTTTGTTCCCACAGAATGCTTGCCCTTATATGAACAAGCTGTTCAGCATTTTGAGTTTAACTTCTGCGGTGCACAAAGGTCTTGATTGATTGTATGTGCATGCTTACTAGTGTTGCAGAACTCTCCAGTGAATGCTGCAGGACAGGTGCATTGGAATGCATTCATGAGATTGTTACACGTGCCTCCATTGACACAAGGGTTGCTGCTACATTCGTCGAAGTCTAGAGTCAAAGGGGACGAGGTAAAATGGGGTTAAATTTTCAGCTGGTAATTAGACGATGTGCGTAAAAGGAAAACAGTGCAAAAATGTTAAGTGAACAAAAGAGTATTGTCCACTTGCTAAAAAAAAAAAAAAATTACCATTAACCATTTCACGTCGGGATTATTTTTGCTGAAAAGGCAAAATTTTCCAGCCAACTTATACAGCCAAATGCCACTAACACTGATTTGCAAGAGTCATGTCAACAGTATTTGTACGATATTTCTTGCCGAAACCTCATCTGTTTCAATACTCAAGGTGTGCACTGGAGCATAAATTGTACAATAGGACGTGCACAGGTCAATTCAAGATCAACACACACAGTCCGCCTCCACAGACTTCACGGATGTGTGCACAAAAGACATGAGGGATTAGCGTGTTTAGACGTCACCCAGAGGCGAGTCGAGGCAATCTTGACGTTTTAACCCATCAGCTGTGCCTGTGTATAACAAAAGCCAGTGCCTGTTATCACGTCCTCCAACGGACTGGTTAAAACCTGACACTGAGCAAAGACATTGACAAATTGGGAATCCACCAACATAAGGCTGGAAAGCTCAGTAAGTAGAGCACCGACACTGCAATCCGGAGGTTGCAGGTTCAAACCCCGCTCCAGTCAATTCCATTGTTCAATTTTATAAGTACTATCCGCTCCGTTCACAAGTGCCCCCTCACCGGCAAAGGAAGTACAGTTGGGGGTGACCGACCGATGCCATCTTGCCTGACTGCAATTTTGCCGCTACGCGCGGCCGTACCACTGCGTGTACATAGTACAAATCCCCTGGTGTCGTGCGTCACACACAACGAACGGTACGCGTCAACCAGCTAAATGTCCCGCCCATGGGACGTCGTTGTTAGGTAAAAGGGCGCCCTCTTTTGTTACCGCACGGAGCTCATGCACCTAGTTAGTTTCCCTTTGTGTTTTATTTGATTAAGTTTTGAGCACAAAATTATTTGCTCTTTCCAAGTTGGCAAAAATGGCTGAGATCTGGAACCCTCATTGTTGAGTGGTTCGTCCTTACCTTGATTGCAGATGGTTCCTATCCAACCGGATGCGCAGTCACATGTGTAGCTGGTGCGGAAATTGTTACACGTTGCTCCGTTCATGCATGGGTTACTGTCGCAAACGTCCACCTCTGAAATCATAGACATTGGGTGACAATTGGACTTCTCGTTATAGCATCATGTTTAAAAAACTTCAAAGTTTGTACAAACACCACAGTTTTGTCAACTATCCTCCCGACCACTCCCAACGACGGCTGCCAAGATATGGATTAAATCTGAACCTTTACCTTCACAAATTTAGCAAACGGAAATTTTTCCAACCTCCACAAATGGGGTAACATTGACTTGTTGACTTTGATTCAGACCAAAAAATGAATTCTGCGGTTTTGTTCTTACGCAGGTGAAATTTGAGGCAGTACAAAAGCCATGTTGAACACTGTGGTCCATTGGTTATGGTTTTCGACTCATGTGCTATGGTATGTGGGTTATGAACCCTAATGAGCAGCATGGCACTTGTGTTCCTAGGCAAGACACTTTACTACAATTGCTTCTCTCCACCTAGGAGTATAAATGGGTACCTGTGAGAGCAGAGACTAGATTGCTTTGATCTCGAGCTGCTGCAGAAAAATCATTGTGAAGTGCTTTGAGACTGTTTGAAGAAGCGCGTTGTAAGCACTACATTGTTATTACTATTGATTAATTTATGCTAAAATTAATATAACAAATATTGATTTTTCAATATGGAAATGCAGATGAAAAACTCTGCCAGAAAAAATTAAACTGATGAAAAGTTAAAGATGGTATGAGGCAAATGTGCAAAACTATAGCTAGATTCGGCAGAGTGAGAAAGATGTTGTCAACGATAAATCTACAATTTGTCGGGGACACTGCCACAGGAGAACAATTTTAATACGACAACCTCAATTTGACTAGGACTGGACTCTGAGATGATTAATTGTATACTTGGGAAAAAAGTACGTTTAACATACCGGTAGGTCTAACTAGTGAATATGAATTGCATGTGGCGATGACAGATTGCAAAATTATCTTACAAAACATGATGAGTAGGTTAAATGCTTAAATACTGTACATTGCCTTTTGAATATCAGATTGGCGCACAAAATTAGCATTCAGATGGGATGGGGGTGGGTGGGGGGAGGGGAGGGGAACAGAAGAGGGATGGGGGATGTTAAGATTATCATTATTATTATTTATAATATAGATGAGGTTAAGAGGAGAGGGAATGATGGGTTAGGCACTGACCTAATTTGCATAAATCTCCTTTGAAACCCGCCTGACAGATACAGAGAAAGCCATTCAGTGTCTCAACGCATACTGCATCATTCCAACATGGGTTGGCATCACAGAATCGGACACCTTCATTGGGGAGGTAAATTACAGGGATTATAACGAAGATTCCAACTTGGGATTTCAATCTCAAGGCATATCGCAGCATTCCAACATGGGCTGGCATCACAGAGTTGGACACCTTCTTTGGGAGGTAAATTATAGGGATTATAATGATGATTCCAAGTTGGGCTCTAAATCAAAATGCAAACTGCATAATTACAACTCGGGTTGGCATCACAGAATCGGACAACTTCATCGGGGAAGTAAATTACAGTGATTATAAAGTAACAATTCCAACCTGGGCCTACATCTCAACGTGGGTTTGCATTGCATGGTATAAATTGTCATGTTCATATGGATAGTGTGTTACAGTACAAGCGTCACTCATTCCAACTTGGGCTTAATTATAGTCATACTGTGCACACCTTTATGTAAATGTACAAGCAAAAAGTGTCATATTTATGCAATGTACCACTTGTGCAATGTGTTTCTCTCATTCAAACATTTCCAATGGTCAACCAGTTGAATATTGTGCACTGCCAGTGAAACAAGAATATTCGCCTGAAAATCATACTTGTTAAGAAATTAAACCTGACACATGCTGTGTAACAAAATGATATTCACGTTCAAAACAATGTCCTCATTTTTCCAATTCCTATCTGGGTAGATGTTTGCAAGTGAGGGTTAGGCAACAAATTGCAGGCCAAACTGGGGTGCATTCCACTTTTTTAAATGACTCCAAACATTGCCTGACATAAGAGTTAGCAGGGCCCAACATTTCCATCGTTGACTCTGATTATTCCGACAGTAACATACAAGCAAAATAACATTGTGTTACTGCTTGTCTGTAACAGTATTCTTTGGCAAGCTAGTGTTTCAGAAAGATTTAGGAATGAAACATCAGGCTGGTAACTTTTATAATTATTTCAAGTTCATCCATAAAGCAAGTAGTTTTAAATGTGCATAATTTATATCCGTATTTGCTAAAACAAATGATGCAATATGCATGGATCATTTTTTAAGTGGAATATAGCCCAGGTGTAAAAGCAATGGTAGCAATAAAGAAAGCTGCAAATAACTACGCCAGATTGTTATGGCAAAAAACAATGGACTGTCTGATTAACAAAGGAAGATGACTTATGCCAATGGCGGTAGTTGTAAGCTTACGTGCTTGGCAGTTGATGCCTTCCCATTCCGGAGGGCACATGCACTCGTAGTAAGTGCGGAAATTTTGGCACGTTCCGCCATTGATGCACGGATTGGAGGCGCACGCGTCCATCTCTGAAAATCAGAAATACCATGCACAAGATAGCATTAGAAACATGACAGGTAATTACAAATGACAGCATTGTACTTTCTAATGCAGCCAGAATTTCCCAATTGATAAAACTGGATTAGGTGATAGAACGAATATAACTTACTCCAACGCTTACTAAAGCCCCAGTCACGCATTCATGGTTGGAGCTACGAATATCCACTGTTTACCAAGAATCAAGTGCTCACGATGAAATTGACTTTCTAAGAATGCACTATGGTTTCAGGACGGATACCCACGACTGTCCTACGGTTTCTCTATGAATGTACCACGGTTGGTCAAGAATATGGACGGATTGTTGAAGAATATCGACGGTATTACTAAGAATAATGACGGTAACGCCATGGTTGTCTGCGATTGGTCCACGAATGACCACGCTTCTCCTACAAATAAAGCATACATATTCATGGTACAATCTTAGCAGAATCTTAGCATATCCGGGCATATCCGTAGGACATTCATAGCGAATTCGTGCAGATTTCTACCACAAATAAGCTACGAATCTCCAAGAATATGTACGAACAGACACGAACAACACTACGAAATAGTACGGTTGTCCTACGGATGTCCCACGGTTGCACTATGGATTGATTTTCATGACGATTCACCACGGAATTTTGGAACAGTTTCAAACTTCCGTAGCCCCTCCACGAATACCCAAGGAAGATGACAGATAACCACGGAGTTACTAAGGATTAATACGGAACTCCCACGGTTTATAACAACTTTTAAACCGTGGATATCTGTAGCTCCAAACCATGAATGTGTGACTGGGGCTTTAAATTTCCTTTTACCTTGTTCACAGTTGGTTCCTAGGAAGCCTTGTGGACAGGTACATATGTAGAAATTGAAGAACTCGTTGCATGTGCCTTCATTCTGGCAAGGCATCGACAGGCACGCTCTCATCTCTGAAAAAAAACAATATATATGTTAAAATATTTAGAATAATTTTAGCAAGGCATTCAGTCAGAGGTCTCCAGTTCTACATTCTACTGTATACAAGTTTGAATCCATCGACAAAACACAGACTCTGCGTAACGCACCTGTTTCACAGTTGACACCTGTCCATCCAGCAGGGCAGATACACCTGTACTGAGTCACCAGGTTATTGCAGGTTGCACCATTCAGGCAGGGGTCGGGATCGCAGGCATTTATAACTTGATGAATAAAACAAGAATTGACACAAATGTTAGCTGACACAATGTTAGCCAACATACAGACACATAAGTATTCCACTCTACGCAACTCCAACTATTTCTTTTTTTTGCCCAGTGCGTGAGAATATGAGATAATATCTTTGATCTCCTTATATTAAAGGGTCTGCATTTCGCCCACTAAATGATACTCGAAGCATGGCCTTGGACATCAACAGACTTTTCATAGAAAACTACTTCCAGGTAGGAGATTGTCAATTTTTTTTTTCAGAGTCTGAATATTTGATGAAAGGTCTAAAAGATGCATTTCTTTCCATACTGATGTCTTTCTCTCAGATTTAAGAAAAGTCTGATCTCTAACTAAAGTCTGAAAAATCTCATGCCTGTTGTTCAGAGTTTTTCTATCCCTAATTCTATGACTATGTTCCTTTCCATGAATAAACCAGTCTACATCATGCATGTCTAATGAGAATCAATTTTTTTTCTGCAATTGCTCTAGTGAAAAATCTCCATAAAGTACATGTACATTCACATTGGAATATGAAATTGTTTTTCAATATATATTTTAAATTTGGTTTTATTCATGAATATGAAGATCAACTTGTAACAACTTCAAAGTTTAAAACACAGATCATAAAACATGTTGGATATCCAATTCAAAGCAAATGACTGAAATCCTACAAATCTGTGCCAAGTTGCATACATTGAAAATAAATACTGAGATATGGGATCACTCAGTTTTAAAACATTTATAAATATGGTTGGTTGTCCTCATTCATCCAAAACAATTTTAGACCAAGTCCTTATCCAAAATGACATGGCTATGGCTTGTCATCACACACGTGCCTATGGAAGTAGCTGTAGCCACTTCTACTGCCAACCGTATAGCCAAGTAATTCAAAGGAGGCCTATCAAAATGGAATGCACAAACATCTCTAACAGTCCTGAATCCTCCAATTTCAATACGATTTTGCATACCCCCTAGGGAGTTAGGGTTAAGTACAAAACAGACGCCCAGCCCATAACACAGACTGACAAACAGACATGCACCCAACCAGCTTAACATAAAGAAGAATAGTTACCCTGGCTACAGTTAGTGCCGGTCCATCCGGATGTACAGGTACACTCATAGCTGACCCGCAGGTTGGTGCACACAGCACCGTTCTGGCACGGGTTAGGGGAACACATGTCCACCTCTGGATAAGCAAAGAAGGCATTGGCAATGCAGGGAAAAGGGAATAAAGGGAAAAGTTAGGCACTGAATGGGTTGCAAAAAGCTGGGGGAATTGGGCTGATTTAATGGGGGTGCTGTACTGCCCCATAGAGCCTGCCAGTTACTCATTATACCGCCCCAAACAGCCCAGGGACTGTATGGGTTTATGAATGCAGCAAGGAGTCAATACAGTGTAGTACAATGCAATACAAGAGATAATGGGTTAATATGCAAGGTAATACAGGTATTATAAAAGGATAACAATTGCTCACAGATAATTCATCAAATGTATGCCATGGATCTAATAGATGAGTTCCATTGTAACACACAGAAAAGATGGGGTTATTATATGCATGTGGCTTAAGGTTAAAGTTTGGGATTAAGAATGTTAGTGGAGTTGAATAGGTTGGATCAGTTCAGTGGACCAACTTACATCAACCAAAATTTGATTACTTGTACCAAGTACAATCTTTGTCAATCATCACGTAGATTGACGCACTTCTGTGGACTTTGTGAACAAGTGATACCCCCTTAACTGTTACAAAGTGAGAGTTGGGGAGATCACTGGGAGAGACATTTGAAGGTTTTGCCAACGATGCCTGACGCTCACGCAAAAATGCTATGGCTTTGTGAACACTCAAAATAAAATTAGTCATGTGTACTTAACGCCACGAGTGCAAAAACCAGTGTCTGCATTTGGTTAGGCTCTCCAATGTGGTCAAAAAGTGGCATCTGTATGATCATGTGCAGAGTCCGTGCCTGAGTAACCACACCAAAGAGAGATGGTACTTATGCGTTAGTCGGTGTCAATAGCTTCCAAGTTGCCCAAGTTGGAATATTACCTTGTTCACAATGTGTCCCAGTATAACCATCAGGGCAGTTACATTGATAGCTATTGGTCAGTTGGACACAGCCGGCACCATTCAGACATGGGTTACTGGCACAACCGCTGTACACTGACAAAAAAGAAAATGAGTAACAAAAAGAGCACTCGTTACTTTGGTATACATTCAAGAGAGAGGACATATAAATGATTTAAGTATACTTCATGTCTGAATTCACTCACTTTCTCTCAGATTCAAAAAGTCTGAAAAATCTCATGCCTGGTAACAATCATGGTTCTTGATTTACCTTTTTTTTAACAACAACATTGTAAATATAACAAAATCTTTGAATATATGCCTATGCACATTTGGATTCCTAGCCATCTTAATACAGAAAATATGTAACTATGAGCGAATTTGTATCAAATCTCTATACTTTTATTAATTCCTTTGAATTCAACTGAGTTCATTTATTCTCCCAGATAGATGCAACACGAGGAGTGACCAAAAATCAACACTTTTCTGGCTGTGGTCCGTTGTCAGACATTGGTCATATGGCAGCTGCCTAAGGTGCCTTTACATTCCTTTGGTTCAACCACGTTATAGCGGTGTCCTTCGCAACTCAGCTTCGAGTAAGGATGATTGGTGCCTCAAATTATCATATACTAAGTTGGAAATGTTGGAAAATCTTTGAAAATTTGGTCAAATCTGAAAATTTGTATAAATCCTTTGATGGTAAAACTGAACTCATTTCTTCAACTAGACAGACAGATAGGTCTTGTAGCATGAACAAAGTAGTTACCTTCACAACGGGGTCCAGTGTAGCCAGTTGGGCATGTACAGGTGTAAAAGTCATAAAAGTTGTTGCAAGTGGCTCCGTTGAGACATGGAGACGACAAACAAACATCAGGACGTTCTTTAATAGAAAAAGAATTAAAATAAATTTGGATTTTACTTTACATGAAGATCCTAGATATTTTGCGTCATAATTAAATAAGCAAATTTTATTTCATCAACATACATGTCTGCAGAATATAGTGCCCCTATTAACGCTACCTTGTTCACAATGTGTCCCAGTATAACCAGCAGGGCAGGTACATTGATAGCTATTGGTCAGTTGAACACAGCCAGCACCATTCAGACATGGGTTACTAGAACAGCCGCCGTACACTGATGACAAAAGAAAAAAGAAAAATATCTTGAAAAAATATCTTGTTGCTTCTGGTTTACATTCAAGAAATGTAATATTTTGATGAAGGATTTAAAATGTAATCAAAACTGCACTTTGTAGTAACATAAACTGCAACAGCTTTACCACATGCCTACATTCACTAACATTAAAATGTGTTTGAAAAGTGTGGCCGAATTTAGGCGGCTTATTAATGAAAAAGGCAATATTTGTGACAAGATTTTCATTGGTGTCTATTCACACAATGTAATTCTTTTACATTACAAATCTTTGGACAAAAACAGCTTGCTAGACACAGACATAGTAAAAAAAAAATATCCCTCCACAGATCAACATTTGAGCAAAGGGATCAGTTGGAAATGTTGTAAGATCTTTGAAAATTCATTCAAAAATCTGAAAATCTGTACAATTCCTTTGAGTAAAACTGAACTGATTTCTTTGTCTAGACAGATAGGACATGTGGAGTGACCAAAGTAGTTACCTTCACAACGGGGTCCAGTGTAGCCAGTTGGGCATGTACAGGTGTAAAAGTCATAAAAGTTGTTGCAAGTGGCTCCGTTCAGACATGGAGACGACAAACAAACATCAGGACGTTCTTCAGTAGAAAAATAAAAAAAACACACAATTTGTGAGAGAAATATTTGTGACTTAATAATAAAAAAAAGAAAGAATCTCATTGGCACTCAAATTGGTTTTTACTTTACTTCCAAGATCCTAGATCTTTTGTGTCATAATTAAATGAGCAAATTATATTTCCTCACATACAGGTGTAACCGAATTCTGTACACATGGAATGATTATATCGGGAAGCACCATCAATTGGGCAGATGCCGATGTAAGTGGCCCAAGTTGGAATGTTACCTTGTTCACAATGTGTCCCAGTATAACCAGCAGGGCAGTTACATTGATAGCTATTGGTCAGTTGGACACAGCCGGCACCATTCAGACATGGGTTACTGGCACAACCGCTGTACACTGTCAAAAGAGAAAAAGAATAACAAAAAGTGCACTCGTTACTTTGGTATCCGCTCCGTTCACAAGTACCCCCTCACCGGCAAAGACAGCACAGTTGTGGGTGACCGACCGACGCCATCTTGCCTGACTGCAATTTTGCCCCGACGCGCGGCCGTACCATGTACCACTGCATGTACATAGTACAAATCCCCTGGTGTATGTGCGTCACACACAAGGAATGGTGCACGTCAACCAGCTAAATGTCCCACCCATGGATGTCATTGCTAGGTAAAAGGGCGCCCTCTTTTGTTGGCGCACAGAGCCCATACATTCAAGAAAGAAGATGTTTGAAGGAAGGATTCAAGTGTAATATCCTACAACAGGTTTAGTTCATGTCTGAAATCACTCACATAGAAAGGTGTTTGGTAGCAAGCAAGGTTCTTGATCAAACTTTTTAATGACAAAATTGTAAATGTAACAAAATCTTTAAATATACACATATGTATATGTATAGAAAAAATGCAACTATGTGCGAATTTGTATCAAATCTCTATATATTTTTATTCGTTCCTTTGAGTTCAAATGAACTCATATCTTTGCCTAGACAGATCGGACATGTGGAGTGACCAAAGTAGTTACCTTCACATCGGGGTCCAGTGTAGCCAGTTGGGCATGTACAGGTGTAAAAGTCATAAAAGTTGGTGCAAGTGGCTCCGTTGAGACATGGAGACGACAAACACACATCAGGACGTTCTTGAATAGGAAAAGAATTAAAATCACAATATTTATAAGAAAAATATTTTTGACTTCGAGAAAGAAAAAAAGAAGGAAAGTCGTTAGCTTTAAATTTGGATTTTACTTTACATGAAGATCCTAGATATTTTGCGTCATAATTAAATAAGCAAATTTTATTTCATCAACATACATGTCTGCAGAATATAGTGGCCCTATTAACGTTACCTTGTTCACAATGTGTCCCAGTATAACCAGCAGGGCAGTTACATTGATAGCTATTGGTCAGTTGGACACAGCCAGCACCATTCAGACATGGGTTACTGGCACAACCGCCGTACACTGACGACAAAAGAAAAAAGAAAAATATCTTGGGTTTACATTAAAGAAATGTAATATTTTGAGGAAGGATTTAAAATGTAATCAAAACTGCAATTTGTAGTAACATAAACTGCAACAGGTTTACCACATGCCTATTCACTAACATTAAAATGTGTTTAAAAAGTGTGGCCGATTTTAGGAGGCTTATTAAAAATGTCCTTCGACAGATCAACATTTGATCTAAGGGATCAGTTGGAAATGTTCTAAAATCTTTGAAAATTCATTCAAAAATCTGAAAATATAATATGTACAATTTCTATAAGAAAAACTGAGCTAATTTCTTTGTCTAGACAGATACGACATGTGTAGTGAACAAAGTAGTTACCTTCACAACGGGGTCCAGTGTAGCCAGTTGGGCATGTACAGGTGTAAAAGTCATAAAAGTTGGTGCAAGTGGCTCCGTTGAGACATGGAGACGACAGACAAACATCAGGACGTTCTTGAACAGGAAAAGAAACAAAATCACAAAATTTGTAAGAGAAATATTTGTGACTTAATAATAAAAAAAGAAAGAATCTCATTGGCACTCAAATTGGTTTTTACTTTACTTCCCAGATCCTAGATCTTTTGTGTCATAATTAAATGAGCAAATTATATTTCATCAACATACAGGTGTGCCCGAATTCTGTACATATAGAAATTTATAACAGGATGCACCATCAATTGGTCAGGCGCAGATGTAAATGGTGAAAGTTAGAATGTTACCTTGTTCGCAATGTGTCCCAGTATAACCAGCAGGGCAGTTACATTGATAGCTATTGGTCAGTTGGACACAGCCGGCACCATTCAGACATGGGTTACTGGCACAACCGCTGTACACTGTCAAATAAGAAAAAGAATAACAAAAAAGCACTTGTTACTTTGGTATTCATTCAAGAAAGAGGATGTTTAAAGGTAGTTTTCAAGTATAATATCCTGTAACAGGTTTAGTTCACTGATATCACTCACACAGAAAGGTGTTTGGTAACAATCAAGGATGAAATTGTGAATTTAATACAGACAAAATGCAAGAATGTGCAAATTTATATCAAATCTCTAAACTTTTATTCATTCCTTAGTAAAACTGAACTTATTTATTTTCCTAGATAGATAGCACATGTGGGCTGAACAAAGTAGTTACCTTCACAACGGGGTCCAGTGTAGCCAGTTGGGCATGTACAGGTGTAAAAGTCATAAAAGTTGTTGCAAGTGGCTCCGTTGAGACATGGAGACGACAAACAAACATCAGGACGTTCTTGAATAAAAACAAAAACAAAAATTCACAAGATTTGTAAATGAAACATTTGTGACTTATCATTCGCAGGAATCTAATTCAAGAACTTTGTACACATTTATGATATATATTAGAAAGCACCATCAATTGGGCAGATGCAGAGGTTAGTGGCCCAAGTTGGAATGTTACCTTGTTCACAATGTGTCCCAGTATAACCATCAGGGCAGTTACATTGATAGCTATTGGTCAGTTGGACACAGCCGGCACCATTCAGACATGGGTTACTGGCACAACCGTTGTAGACTGACACAATGAAAAAGACAAAAGAAAACATTGCTTCCTGTATACATTCAAGAAATGCAATATTTAAAGGAAGAATTTAAATTTAAACAAACCCACACTTGTAGTAACATCAACTGCGACAGATTTACTGCATGCCTACATTCATTAACATTAAAATATGTTTTATAAAGTGTAGCCGAATTTATTTAAAAGTAAAAGGCACTGTTTGAGACTAGATTTTCTTTGGGGGCCAACTTTTTTTTTCCAAATGATCAATTTCTGAGAGTCTGAATTATTTGAAATTTTCACATAATTTTTCATTTACATCACATATCTTTCGGTGCTTCTTAGACACAGACACGGTAAAAATATTCCTCAACAGAAAAAGGGAATAAGTTGGAAAAGTTGTTAAGTCTTTGAAAAATTCATTCAAATCTGAAAGTCTGCAAGAATTTCTTGAAGAAAAACTGAACTCATTTCTTTGCCTAGATAGATAGCACATGTGGGCTGAACAATGAAGTTACCTTCACAACGGGGTCCAGTGTAGCCAGTTGGGCATGTACAGGTGTAAAAGTCATAAAAGTTGGTGCAAGTGGCTCCGTTGAGACATGGAGACGACAAACAAACATCAGGACGTTCTTGAATAGTAAAGAAACAAAATCACAAAATTTGTAAATCAAATATTTGTGACTTCATGATATAATTCGCAGGAATCTTACTGATCTCTTTTTATATAACATTACCTTGAAGATGCTAGAAACTCTCACTTCAAAACATGAAACCTCATTTTTATTTCATTTTTTTTCTTCTTAGGGGGAGGGGAATGCTGGAAGGAAGGGTGGGGGGGGGGGGGGGAGGGGGTGTGGACACATTGCTAATTTTCTCATGCTCCCTTTAAAGTTTTTTTTTTTGTGTTTTAATTCAATAAGGCTAATATATTTCTCCACACATACCAGAATTCTGTACACATAGATTGATATATCGAGGAGCACCAGCAACTGGGCAGACACAGTTGCAAGTGGCCCAAGTTGGAATGTTACCTTGTTCACAATGTGTCCCAGTATAACCAGCAGGGCAGTTACATTGATAGCTATTGGTCAGTTGGACACAGCCGGCACCATTCAAACATGGGTTACTGGCACAACCACCGTACACTGACAAAAAAAAAGGAAAAAGGAAAAGATCACAAGAGAAACTGTTGATTCTGGCTTCTGATTTTTTGGAACTCTTCTTTTTCCCCCCAAATGATCAATTTCTGAGAGTCTGACTTGTTGGAAATATTCACATAATTGTTCATTTACATCACATATCTGTGGAGGAAAAAGTCCCAACTTCCCAGACACAGAAAAAAACCCAAGATGAATACATTGGAAAATATTTGAAAATTCATTCAAATCTCAAATTTCGTACGATTCCTTTGAGTAATAATGAACTCATTTCTTTGCCTAGACAGATAGGACATGTGGAGAGACCAAGGAAGTTACCTTCACAACGGGGTCCAGTGTAGCCAGTTGGGCATGTACAGGTGTAAAAGTCATAAAAGTTGTTGCAAGTGGCTCCGTTGAGACATGGAGACGACAAACAAACATCAGGACGTTCTTGAATAAAAACAAGAAAACGATTCACAAAATGTGTTAGAAATGAAATATTTGCAACTTAGTGATTTTATACTGCCTGTGCCTTCAAGATCCCAGAAACTGTCACATCAAACGTAAACTTCATTTTTTCATTAAAAAATCTCTCCTGAAGACGGTCACAGCATACTGACCGGAACGTCAAGTTTATACCTCTAGTTCTTTTCAGACCCATTTTCTTAGTTGAGAAATTATTCGCACATGGTGTTTCCGCAAACCTTTCATTATTTAGTATCTCCACCATGCAAAGCCTCAAATCTTACTTATTAAAATATTTGTTTGTTTGTTTTGTGTATTGTTGCAGGGGGAGGAGTGTTGTTCATAAAAGAATTCTTAATTTTACAATTGAAACAAAACTATTAGTTTTTAATTTCCTAAGGGAAACATATTTTACCGACATTCACACCATACGTATGGAATGATATATATTGGGAAGCACCATCAATTGGGCAGATGCATATGTAAGTGGCCCAAGTTGGAATGTTACCTTGTTCGCAATGTGTCCCAGTATAACCAGCAGGGCAGTTACATTGATAGCTATTGGTCAGTTGGACACAGCCGGCACCATTCAGACATGGGTTACTGGCACAACCGCCGTACACTGACAAAACAAAGAAAAACAAAAAGTTGTTACTTCTGGTTTACATTCAAGAAATGCAATATAATAAAGGACGGATTTAACAGGTGCTTGTAGTAACATAAACTGAAATAGGTTTACTGAATGCCTACACTCAATAAAATCAACGTGAGTTTAAAAAGTGTAGGGGAATTTAATAAGCTTGAAAGGTATTGTTTGTAATTAAGTTTTCTTTGGAACTCTCTTTTTTCCCCAAATGACCAATTTTCTGAGATTTTTTGGAAATATTCACATAATTGTTCATTTACATCACATATCTGTGGAGGAAAAAGACCTAGCTTCCCAGACACAGAAAAAAACCAAGATGAATACGTTGGAAAATATTTGAAAATTCATTCAAATCTCAAATTTCGTACGATTCCTTTGAGTAATAATGAACTCATTTCTTTGCCTAGACAGATAGGACAGGTGTAGTGAACAAAGCATTTACCTTCACAAGTGGCTCCAGTGTAGCCAGTTGGGCATGTACAGGTGTAAAAGTCATAAAAGTTGTTGCAAGTGGCTCCGTTGAGACATGGAGACGACAAACAAACATCAGGACGTTCTTTAAAAGAAAAGAAAAATAGAAACAACATTTGTAAATGAAATATTTGTGACTTATAATTCGCAGGAATCTAATTCAAGTATTTTGTACACATGGAATGATATATCGAGAAGCACCATCAATTGGGCAGATGCCAACCTAAGTGGCCCAAGTTGGAATGTTACCTTGTTCACAATGTGTCCCAGTATAACCAGCAGGGCAGTTACATTGATAGCTATTGGTCAGTTGGACACAGCCGGCACCATTCAGACATGGGTTACTGGCACAACCGCCGTACACTGACAAAAACAAGAAAAAGAAAGAAAATCAACGAAAGAGAACGTGTTGGTTGTGGCATATATTCAAGACATGAAATCTTAAAGGAAGGATTTACAATTCAATTTAACCGGCACTTTTAGTAACATAAACTGCAACAGGCTTACACCATGCCATCATTGCATTAAAAAAATCTTTGATTAAAAAGTGCAGCCAAATTTAAGAGCCTTATTAAAGTAAAATGCACTGTTTGAGACCAGATTTTCATTGGTGGTCTACTTTTTGTTTCCGAAATGATCAATTTCTGAGTCTGATTTCGTGGAAATATTCACACAATTATTCAGTTACATCACCAATCTGTGGGGAAAAAATGTTTCTTAGACACAGACACTGTCAAAATATTCCTCAACAGAAAATATGAATATGTTGGAAATGTTGTTAAATCTTTAAAAACTTCGTTCAAATCTGAAAATCTGTAACAATTTCTTTAAGAAAAATTAAACTCATTTCTTTGCCTAGACAGATAGGACATGTGGAGTGAACAAAGTAGTTACCTTCACAACGGGGTCCAGTGTAGCCAGTTGGGCATGTACAGGTGTAAAAGTCATAAAAGTTGGTGCAAGTGGCTCCGTTGAGACATGGAGACGACAAACAAACATCAGGACGTTCTTTAATAGAAAAATATAACATTCACAAAATGTAAAATATCTCAGACTTCAAGAAACAAATTGCAGAAATCCCATTGGCACTAAAGTTGATTTGGAAAGAGTTCCATACACTGTAGGCCTGGACATCACTTGACACCCTGTGCCCTATATGAGATTGGTCTGAAAAAATCCAAGTGCTTTCTTAGTAAATGCTGCAATATTTTCCCTGCTAAAGTAGGTTTTTAGGACATGCAATTGCTTTCTGATGTCTGATACGTCACTGCAGGGGAAAAAAGTAGTGATGCCCATCGATGGAATTTTTCCTGTTGATTTTTATACTGCTCTTCCCTGAACATCCTAAATACTCTCACATTAAAACATCAAAATTCATTTTAATTCATTGTTTTTGTATAAAAATCTTTTTATAATCTAAATTTTTTTTTTGAGGGGGGGGGGTGTTATGAGACATATCTCATTTTCCAATATTCCCTTAAAAGTTCTCTTGTGTGTCCTAACATTCATGCTGTAATGAAGAAAACATATTACACCAGCAAATATGCATGCCAGAATTCTGTGCATATAGACAGTAATATCAGAAAGCACCATGAATTCGGCAGAAGCCGGCCCAAGTTGGAATGTTACCTTGTTCACAATGTGTCCCAGTATAACCAGCAGGGCAGTTACATTGATAGCTATTGGTCAGTTGGACACAGCCGGCACCATTCAGACATGGGTTACTGGCACAACCACCGTACACTGTCAAAAAGAAGAAAAAGAAAAAAAATCAACACAAGAGATCTGGTTGGTTCTGGTATATATTCAAGAAATGAAATCTTAAAGGAAGGATTTAAAATTCAATTTAACCGGCACTTTTGGTAACATCTACTGCAACAGGCTTACACCATGCCATCATAGCATTAAATAATTCTTTGTTTAAAAAGTGCAGCCAAATTTTAGAGGCTTATTAAAGTAAAATGCACTGTTTGAGACCAGATTTTCATTGGTGGTCTACTTTTTGTTTCCGAAATGATCAATTTCTGAGTCTGATTTCGTGGAAATATTCACACAATTTTTCATTTACATCACCAATCTGTGGGGAAAAAATGTTTCTTAGACACAGACACAGTCAAAATATTCCTCAACAGAAAATATGAATATGTTGGAAATGTTGTTAAATCTTTAAAAACTTCGTTCAAATCTGAAAGACAGATAGGACAGGTAGCGTGACCAAAGTAATTACCTTCACAAGTGACTCCAGTGTAGCCAGTTGGGCATGTACAGGTGTAAAAGTCATAAAAGTTGGTGCAAGTGGCTCCGTTGAGACATGGAGACGACAAACAAACATCAGGACGTTCTTCATTAGAAAAGGAAAATAGGAACAAAATGTGTACATGAATTATTTTTGACTTATAATTTGCGGGAATCTAATTCAAGAATTTTGTACACGTGGAATGATTATATCAGAAAGCACCATCAATTGGGCAGATGCAGATGTAAGTGGCCCAAGTTGGAATGTTACCTTGTTCACAATGTGTCCCAGTATAACCATCAGGGCAGTTACATTGATAGCTATTGGTCAGTTGGACACAGCCAGCACCATTCAGACATGGGTTACTCGCACAACCGTTGTACACTTACCAAAAAAAGAAAAGAAAAAAAAGAAGAAAAAAAAAGTCATGAAAAGAAAGTAAGAAATTTTAAAGAAATGAAATATTTAAAGGAAGAATTTAACTTAAGCAAACTGGCCCTTGTAGTACCATAAACTGCAACAGATTTGCAACATGCCTACATTAACTAATATTAAAATGTGTTTAAAAAGGGTAGCAGAATTTAAGAGGCTTAAACTGTAAAAGGTGCGGATTTAGACCTGATTTTTTTTAAGAGGTCCATTTTTTCCCCAAATTATCAATTTCTGACAGTCTGAGTTTTTTGGAAAAATTCACGTTTCCTTTACATCATAAATCTTTCTGTAAAAACTGCTTCCTAGACACAGACACAGTAAAAATGTTCCTCAACAGGAAAAAGGTTTGAAATGTTGGTAAGTCTTTGAAAAATTCATTCAAATCTGAAAATCTGTAACAATTTCTTTACACATGTTGTGTGAACGAAGTAGTTACCTTCACAACGGGTTCCAGTGTAGCCAGTTGGGCATGTACAGGTGTAAAAGTCATAAAAGTTGGTGCAAGTGGCTCCGTTGAGACATGGAGACGACAAACAAACATCAGGACGTTCTTGAACAATTTAAAAAAAACAATTAATAAATAAATATTAGTAACTTAATGATTTTCACATTTCTTTACGCTCAAGATCCATGAAACTCTCACATAAAAACATGAAACTTCATTTGTTGTTGAGAAATTTGATGGACAAACATCGTCGGGATGTTCTTCAGTAGAAAAGTATAACATTCACAAAATGTGAAAGTGAAATATTTGGGACTGATCTATTAACACTAAATTTGATTTGATACATGTGTGCTAGAATTCTGTGCCTATGGAATGCTTTATCAGGAAGCACCATCAATTGGGCAGATGCAGATGTAAGTGGCCCAAGTTGGAATGTTACCTTGTTCACAATGTGTCCCAGTATAACCATCAGGGCAGCTACATTGATAGCTATTGGTCAGTTGGACACAGCCGGCACCATTCAGACATGGGTTACTGGCACAACCCTCGTACACTGAAAGGCAAAGCAATTGAGAAAAAAATATATCCGTGGCGTAAAACTTATATGCAATGTTGATATGAAATATTTGAAAATCCATATTTTATTTAATAAAACTGTGCAACAATTTCAGCGAAGACAAAAAAAAACACGGGGGGGGGGGGCCTTATTTCTTGGCCAAAAAAATCCTCATTTTGTCAAAGAAGAAAAAACCCTGTTATTTCTTTGCACGTATTTCGTAAGACTTTACCTCCACAACGGGTTCCAGTGTAGCCAGTTGGGCATGTACAGGTGTAAAAGTCATAAAAGTTGGTGCAAGTGGCTCCGTTGAGACATGGAGACGACAAACAAACATCAGGACGTTCTTTGAGAAAACGAAAACAAATTATATGCCAACACATTGGGTAAATTATTTGAAGAAAAACGTTCATAATGATGAAATGAGTGCCGAAAAACTTGAGCAGTCATTGTCTTAAGTAATACAGCCTTTACAAAATGATGTTAGTCAGTGAGTTGGACTGGAGAAAGCCTGATTTATAATTTCAATCTGATGAATGAATGAAACCTTTACCCATATCACAGAGACTTCCTTGCCATGCTGATGTACACTGACACTGGAAACCAGACAGCATATCAATACAAGTGGCTCCATTCAGGCATGGAGTACTTGCACAGGCGATGGCTGAAAAAAATAAAAACAAAAATGATTTTTTTTATTGGCTTCTCTCCATTTTGGGACTGGACATGTCCTTGATAGAAAACTTGCATCTTTTGTCAACGTTAAGGTTGATAGAAAACTTGCCGGCTGTCGGTCGGTCTGACTGAGTGATATAATGCCCTAAACAGCCTTAACTGCTTTCAAAATTTATGGTACCGCTAGATACTAGACAATGTTATGGGGGGGGGGGTTCAAGTGATTAGGATACATGACTCATGATCAGTCAAAACAAAACAAAACAAGAAACGACAACACTTGAATTTGCCAAGCCTCGGTAGAAGGTTGTACTTACATGTTTCACACAAGGTGCCAGCGAACTGCGCCGGGCATTCACACCGATATCCCCCTGGGATTGACATGCACGTTGCTCCATTCAAACAGCCATGAATGTCACAGTTGTCAGGCATGACTGAAACAAAATAAATACAAATACTCTTGAATTTAAGACTGACACGTTTTAAGAATAGGAACTTTCAAAACTTTCTGTGCATATAGAAAGTAATACCAGAAAGCACAATCAATCCAGCAGTAAGCGGTCCAAGTTGGAATGTTACCATTTAAAGAACATATTTAAAGAGGTTGTGGAATGCTCGAAGACATTTCCGTCATTTTCGGGTATATGTAGCCTAAGGTGTGATGAAATAAAAACGACTATAGTTTCTGTCATAAAATGAGTACAAAAGGTACTTTTGAGAGCTGTTTTTTCAAGTCCTGTCGTGCCTGTTTCGACCCGAACGTGCAATTTGTGTAAAAGTCATCGTTGCGGGCAGCAAACAAAACACAGTAAATCGTGACGTAATAACCAGGACTCCCGATGCAGAGTAGCATATACGAGTCCTGTTTATTACGTCACGATTTACTGTGTTTTGTTTGCTGCCCGCAACGACGACTTTTATACCAATTGCACGTTCGGGTCGAAACAGGACCTGAAAAACAGCTCTCAAAAGTACCTTTTGTACTCATTTCATGACAGAAACAATAGTCGTTTTTATTTCATCACACCTTAGGCTACATATACCCAAAAAATGACGGAAATGTCTTCGAGCATTCCACAACCTCTTTAACAGGTGCTTGTAGTAACGTTAACTGTAGGTTTACTGAATGCCTACAATCATTAACATTAACTTGTATTTAAAAAGTCTGGCGAAATTTAACACAATTGAGCGGTATTGTCTGTGATTAAGTTTCCTTTGAAACCTTTTTTTTTTCACAAATGACCAAATTCTGAGAGTCTGATTTGTGGAAATATTCACATAATTGTTCATATGTATCACACACCTTTGGAGGAAAATGACCCAGCTTCCCATAAACAAAAAAAAACCCAGATAATAATGTTGGAAAATGTTTGAAAATTCATTCAAATCTGAATGTGAGTACAATTTCTTTAAATAAAACTGAAGAGATAACTTTGCGTAGATATAGATAGCACATGTGGAGTGACCAAAGTAGTTACCTTCACAACGGGGTCCAGTGTAGCCAGTTGGGCATGTACAGGTGTAAAAGTCATAAAAGTTGTTGCAAGTGGCTCCGTTGAGACATGGAGACGACAAACAAACATCAGGACGTTCTTGAATACACATGTAGAAAAGAAAAATAGGAACAAAATTTATAAATAAAATATCTGTGACTGATAATTAGCAGGAATCTAATACAAAAAATGTTGTACACATGAAATGATATTAAGAAGCACCATCAATTGGGCAGATGCAGATGTAAGTGGCCCAAGTTGGAATGTTACCTTGTTCACAATGTGTCCCAGTATAACCATCAGGGCAGTTACATTGATAGCTATTGGTCAGTTGGACACAGCCAGCACCATTCAGACATGGGTTACTGGCACAACCGCTGTACACTGTCAAAGAAAAAACCCACGAAAACATTAATGAAAACATAACATAGTGCCTCTGTTATACATTTAAGAGATAATATCTTTAAAGGAAGGATTCAAAATGTCCAGCGCATGTGCAACATAAACTACAATAGATTTATACATGCCTACATTCACACATTTTCTTAAATGGCCAACTTCTGAGATCCTGATTTTTTTTTTAGAAATCTTCAAATACATTTCATTTACATCACAATAAACAGCTTCCTAGAACAGACACAGTCAAAATATCCCTCCAGAGATGAAAAGGATAAGTTGGAAATGTTGTGAAATCTTTGAAAATTCATTCAAAACTCTGAAATCCGTACAATTTCTTTCCGTAAAACTGATCTCATTTCTTTGTCTAGACAGATAGGACTTGTAGCGTGAACAAAGTAGTTACCTTCACAACGGGGTCCAGTGTAGCCAGTTGGGCATGTACAGGTGTAAAAGTCATAAAAGTTGGTGCAAGTGGCTCCGTTGAGACATGGAGACGACAAACAAACATCAGGACGTTCTTGAATTAAAAAAATATAGACAAAATTCACAAAATTTGTAAATGAGATATTTGTGACAAAGTGATTTTCATATTTCTTTACTATATCTTTCAGATCCCAGAAAGTCTCACATCAAAACACAGAAATTCACTTTTGTTCAAGAATGTGTTTGTTTGTGGGGGTTTTCGGTAGGAGGGGAGGGGCGAGGAGGGGGCGGGGGGGGGGGGAGGATGTTGTTCATAAAACACAGCTTAATATTCCCATGCAAACCAAACCATTTGTGCTTTAATTACATTTGAGAAACGCGTTTCACCAACACTCATGTATGCCAGAATTTTGTACATTTGGAATGATATATTGGAAAGCACTTTCTACTGGCAGTAAGTGGTCCAAGTTGGAATGTTACCTTGTTCACAATGTGTCCCAGTATAACCATCAAGGCAGCTACATTGATAGCTATTGGTCAGTTGGACACAGACTGCACCATTCAGACACGGGTTACTGGCACAACCCTCGTACACTGAAAGGCAAAGCAAGTAAGAAAAGATATATCCCTGGCCTAACACTTGGATACAACATTGAAATGAAATGTTTGGAAATCCATATTTCATTTAATACAACTGTATAATAATTTGAGTGAAGAAAACAAAATATAGGAAAACCTTATTTCTTGCCACAGAAATCCATGTTTTGTTCAACAAAAATGTACAACCATTTGCACAATTCTAACACAATGAAAATGTTACTGACCACAAAAAAAATGATTATTCGGTCGTGACAACCCCACAACCCTTGTCTAGCAACGCCTGTGGTTCATGTACAACCATCACCCCTTTGCAAATTTCATAAATACTTTCACTGCGGTACCTTCTTCCTTACCTGATTCGAACCAGCCAGCCAATTCCGGCAAGCTCAGTTGTCAAGCGGTAAAGACGTCTGCACTAATAGCAGGCAGTCATGGGTTCGAGTCCCACACAATTTATTTTTTCTCACAATCGCTCAGGGGCAAAACTGAATATACAGTTTTTATTAAAGGCAAAACCCATTATTGAATTTACAACCATTTCAATAAAAAAATGGGTTTTTTTCTTGGCTTATATAATAAGTAGTTACCTTCACAAGTGGCACCAGTGTATCCAGTTGGGCATGTACAGGTGTAAAAGTCATAAAAGTTGTTGCAAGTGGCTCCGTTGAGACATGGAGATGACAAACAAACATCAGGACGTTCTTTGAGAAAACATTTCACATAGGAAAGCAGAAAATCAATTATTTGTCAACAAAATGGGTAAATTATTTGAAGAAAATGTCATGACGAAATGAGTGCCGAAAAACTTGAGCAGTCATTGTCTTAAGTAATACAGCCTTCACAAAATGATGTTAGTTGGTGAGGTTGGCTGGAGAAAGCCTGATTTATAATTTCAATCTGATGAATGAATGAAACCTTTACCCATATCACAGAGAGTTCCTTGCCATGCTGATGTACACTGACACTGGAAACCAGAAGGCATATCAATACAAGTGGCTCCATTCAGGCATGGAGTACTTGCACAGGCGATGGCTGAAAAAAATTTAAAAGTAAAATATTTTTTATTGGCTTTTCTGCACAGATTTTGGGACTGGACACAAAGGTCCAGCCTACTGACCTCCTGACCGACCGACCTCCTGACCGACCGATTGACCGACCGACTGGTTAGGAAACATGACTCATGATCAGAGGGTCATGGGCTTGAATCCAGCTGCTTGCCATATGTTGAGTCCTTGGGCAAGCCACTTCATTCCAACTTGCCTCTTTCCACCCAGGAGTACAGATGGGAACTGGCATTATCCGAGGAGTAACCTTGTCATCAGGCCAGTGTTAATCTCCGGTTTCGTGTTAAGGAAACCATCGATAAACGCCGACCTGATGGGCTACTTGGCTTACACATGTGACAGAGTTAATTTTTTTAACTTTCAATGATGAAGTCCTACGCTGGTTTGGCATCTTAGGAGCTTATTTTACACTACACTAGCCAGTCAAAAAAAAAAGAAGAAAAAAGACAACACTTCTTGAATTTACCAAGACTCGGTAGAAGGTTGTACTTACATGTTTCACACAAGGTGCCAGCGAACTGCGCCGGGCATTCACAACGATATCCCCCTGGGATGGATATGCACGTTGCTCCATTCAAACAGCCATGGTTGGCACAGTTGTCAGGTATGACTGAAACAAAATAAATACAAATACTCTCGAATTTGGGACTGAGACTTTTATGAATAGGAACTTTGAATTCTTTCGAAACTTAATACGTAAAGTTGGTTACGGGTACCCAATCCTATAATCTGGAACCTGTTCCTGACATCAATTGTCGGGTGGTCTGGTACCCGGCTCTGATGCACACCCCAATGCTAAATCACACCAGTCGGGGAGTCAGTCAGTCAGTTAGTCAGATAGGGCTGGCCCGCAGAAGCAAAGAAAGCTTAAATGGAAATTAAGTGAGTATGTAAACATTTTGGAGGAAATCTTTAAACACGTCATATTTCACATTTTCACACTGAACATGTAGATGATGTACGATGCAATGTACATTGAAAGCAAAATTTCTTACTTTCACAGTTGAGACCGCTGTACCCAAGTACACAGGTACATGTGTAAAACTGGAAGTCATTGTTGTTGCATGTGGCTCCGTTCATGCAAGGCGACGAATCACATGGATTGGGTCGTGCTGCAGAAGAAAAGGAGAAAAACCAAAATAATTTTCTTTGACAAACAATTCGGCAATATCAAATTAAATGAAAGCAGACAAGAGGAACAGAGTTTGCATTTTCCAAGAACCTTCTGCTTCGCAATCAGAAAATTCTGAGAAGCAACATTGATAAATAGTCAACAGATTTGTTGACTACAAATTAAAAGTTTTGAAATTAAAAACATCTGATGAAACGTAGAAATGGGATTGTCAATTAAAAAAAAAAAGGGTCTCAACATTGGATGAAAAAACAGTCTGAAAGATGTATTTCTTTCTATACTAATGTCTTTCTCTCGGTGTCAAAAGGTCTGATTTGAGACAAAAGTATGAAACATCTCATGACTGCAAAGGTTTGTAGAAAAATATGAAGGTTCGATAAGTAACCAAATGAATTGAATTCTTTTTCAATTTTTTTACAAAATTTGTATTTTGTTGAAAAATAAATGGGGTCTGCTTTCACATGACAGCAAGGAAAAACTAGGATTTTTGGATATAACATGATGAGCAGAATAACAGCCTTTACATGAAATGTACAAATTTAAAACTCTAATCACAAGAACTGAATAATTCAAAGCATTCAATTCAAAATCGTAAACATGGAGAGTTTACTCAAAATCTGTGGGAGCAAATTACAGAAAATCCCCGAAACAAATAGAAAGTTAGTATGGAACCACATTAAAATTGGTTGGAGATTACGGATATTATTGCCCCAAAAGTGGCACAAACGTACACAACTCCCTGTATTACCATGTCAAAAAAAAACACCACCTTGAAATAATACATTTGAAAGAATAAGCAGTGGTACAATTATTCCTGTGTAAAACATTATGATTATACACACAAGAAACAAAAACCATACAAATATGTTACACAGCTAAGCACAAGACCTCTAATCTGGAGAAGAGGTCTATTATTAAAAACAAAGACAATTATTCAACTTAACAGAACTGAATTGAATCTTCATCAGCCATAAATTGTTAATCAACCCTTGATGCTGCTCTATAACAAAAGTTTCGGAAAAATCAAGGATAACAACAAAACAAAACAAACAGTTAATCAACATCGAAATCAACACCAAGGAAGGGGAATCATACGCAACACAAAAATTACCAAAATCATGACATCCTTCTTGTTAAAATAACAAAACAAATACACAAGTATGCCACAGTATATTTAAAGTCAAACAAAACAACACAGACTATTACGTAAATGAGTGTTAAAAGCAGTAGCAGTTCTTGCACCAATGGTAACAAAACAGCTGCAATGGAAGAACAAAACAAGTTTATTATTCAATGCACCAACTGTAAAAATGAAATAAATGAAATGTGTTTAGCAGATGAACGGTAATAATTAATATACTCCAATATCCACGAAATCATTAATGTGTTATTGTCATATGAAACACAGATGATACTTTTAACAAATGTTGTTATTGTTTTTCCTTCACCTTTAACAATGTTTTTCGATGATCTTCAACTTTTAAAAGGCCAGAGCACATTCAAAGTTATGCAAGAATTTGAGTGTTAACATCAATTTTGTTATCATTTTGGTTATCAAGTAAGAACCCCCAGATGAATGATTTGGGATAGTCCACAGCATAAACCAATCAGAACACAAATGTCAAAAATGGAGAAAGGTGATTGGTTGAAAGGGGATGAAAGCTAGTGGCTGGTGATGGATGAAGGCTGGTGCCGTGATTCAAGAATGGATGATGTTTACCGGTCTGGCATTGGTCTCCCTCATACCCAGCCGGGCACTGGCAAATGAAACCGCCCTGTATGTTAACGCAGGTAGCTCCATTCAGGCAGAGACCCAACGAACAGTCAGAAATGGCTGAAATTAGAAGAACATGCGAATTCGCAAAAGTTTAACACATTTCAACTCGGGCGAATTTCGCAGTGAATGTTTCATGACGTCAAATTCGCTTCGCATTCGCATTCGCATTCGCATAAATTTGCATGAAGTATGAACCGGGCTTTAGAGAGAAATAAAAGCAATGGTTTTGAGTTTGTTCCCAACAACAACAACTCAGTGATAAAACTGTAAGACAAGTATGCAACCGAGAAAAACGCTTGAATGCCATATAGCCGCTTGGCAATATTATCTTATAGGCTTATAAAAAAAATATAAACCTGAAAAAACAACTTGAAGATGTAAGCTACCTTGATCGCAATGTGTTCCTGTCCAGCCCTGGGTACATGTGCAGGTATAGCCTGCAATAAGGTCATTACATGTCGCTCCATTCCGACATGGATTAGAGACACATTCATTGACGTCTGAAAGAAAAGAACCAGGCTAGCTATCAGCTGAGATAACAGACATGCTTTTGCATAGTATTACATTATATTCATAAATACCTAAGACATGTTTGCCTATTCCTGTTGGTCCAGAGCCAGTCACAATAAAACACCGGCTGGCTAATTTTAAATACTTTCCTGGTGTCACATGAAATTTGGACTTCTATGAAATCTGGTCCCTTTTACCCTTTTATTGGTTGATTGTTCATAATCTTTATTTAGGCATGCACAATACTATCTATGAGTCCGTATTTCACACAGTCCAAAATTCCTTCTTGTCAAAAATAAAGGAAATGCAGAATTTTGAGTTTTTAAAATGAATCACTACCCTAACTAATCTTTTCAACCATTTCGCATTATGGACCAATCAGAGCACAGCGCTCAAAAATCAAGAAATGTGATTGGATGGGAAGAATGAAGGTTGGATAAATGAAGACTGGTGTCGTGATTCCAGAATGGATGATGTTTACCAGTCTGGCATCGGTCTCCCTCATACCCAGCCGGGCACTGGCAGATGAAACCGCCCTGTACCGGTATGTCAACGCAGGTAGCTCCATTCTGACAGAGACCCAACGAACAATCAGAAATGGCTGAAATGTATAGAAAAAAAATTGACAAAGTTAAGCCAAAAAGTTAATGAAGAAAATTAGGTCATATCTCTATGAAACAATCTGAGAGAACAATCTTGAATGGTGTTAAAAAAAACTGCAAGCATTTAAAGGTCATTTTGACACTATTTGGAACTGTTACTGAATATCTCTTGCTGCAACGTCATGCTCAAGCACTTCCCTGTCAAGCAAAGTCACTTTGGTGGGGCTTTTTTTTAATTGTAAATTAAAAAACAGGTGTCACACACTCAATGCTTAATTGATATGCAAGATTCACATACACAAAATATTTCTATGCTTAGTGTGTAGAGCTCACATCAATACATTTTGCATACAAGTCAATTGGCAATTCCAGCATTATGTAATGTGCGTGCCAAGCTTTTAAGAGCTCAGTGAATAAACCTGAAAATGTATTTTTCAAATCTTATGCATTCATCATCTTGAAATGGTCAAGGAGATTACAGACTAGGAGTTTTGGATCATTTCTCTGAATCATGAATTAGATATCTTGGTGAATTGGTTCTGTCACTTCCTTTCCTAACCATGGAATTATTTTATTTATTTTATTTTATATCTTCCGACATTAAAAATTGTGATAAAATGTACAGGGGATGGCAAGGAAAAACAAAAATTTAAAACTATCATCAAAATAATGTGTTCAACCAGACCCCTGTCCAAAAGAAAAAAAGGTAAAAAGATAATTGTACAGTATACAAAATACAAATTAATTTTAAAACATGAACCAATCAAACATCCAACACGCAATTATACAATTATACATCATGATTGGTCCAGCCTTTCAAGCTGAAAGTTACAAAGTAAAACCAAAAAACGTATAAATACATTTTTAAAATAATAAACATAACCTGACCTGTTTGACACAGGATTCCAGTAAACTGACTTGTGCATTGACATCTGTAACCGCCGCTTATGGGCATGCATGTAGCACCATTCATGCAGTTGTGGCTTACGCAGAAGTCCATCTCTACGGGAAATATACATAATTTTAAATTTTAAGACCAACAACACTCAGACTTGCACAAATAACACTTTGAATAAAGAGCAGAGCTTCAGTGTATGTAATACTGGCCAAAGAGTGCAATTACGCACAGGTAATGTATTGAAGTTTTACCTTTCAATTTAACGAAGAAATACGAGTAAAATGATGAACACCACATGTTGCTGTTGAAAAGTTAGCAGAAAAGTTGTGCATAGTCAATAAGTATAGCAGAAAATTGTACTAACCTATGGTTATTTTCACGTCACTGATTTTTAGCAACTTGTTCCTTTAGAGTTAAGCATGATGTTGCTGTGCTTAATTAGGGCAGTGCATCGGAACCGGGTACCCGAGTACCCGACCGTTTATGTCAGGAAAGGGTTCTAGATTATTGAATCGGGTACCCAAACCAACTTTACAATTACTTACCAGTAGTTACTTCTCAGACAATGAAAGAGAAAGGTTTTGAAGTCATTTGTGGGGAATTTTCAAAATTTAAACCAGGCCGCATAGGATAACAAAACGTATTTCACATTAAGACGCTCGCAAAAGCTGTACTTGTCACCGTAAAGCTATTTTTTTTCAGTCGAGAACCCGGTTCCTGTACTACCCGTAAATTCACAGCCCTAGTGCTTCCTGCTTACAGTCTTCATGAAATAGAGAAAGGCTCTACTAGCCGGCAATAAATTGAGGGCTTAGCAGCGCTATGAAATTTGGCGAAGTCAGTATTGGCATAAAACACTTGAACTCTTAAAATATTTCTCCCATGAATTTTTTCTTGATTTTTTTTATAACGATTTGCACAAAATTCTTTTGATTCAATATGGGTGATATACATGTACAGGGTGTGCCAAAAAATGTGCAACATTCAGAATACAAATATTTCAAACTTTTTCATGTTTTTTTCTTCAATGACATATCAGCATGACTATTTCTCAATCCACTCCTTTCTACCCCATTCCATTTGGGTTCCTAGATCCAGAAATACAATCAATTAAGTGAGAGGGTGTAAAATTGACTTTGGCCACTCTAGGGACTAAATGGTATGTGGTAGAAAGGAGTGGATTGAGAAATAGTCAGGCTTGAAGGAAAAAAACACATTACACAGTTTTAATTATTTGTTTTCTGAATGTTGAATTTTTTTACAAGACAAAAAAGTTTCTTGGAAGGCAAATGCAAAGATCGAATGTACAACATTTTTGTCCATTTACCAAAACAATATTAATGTGTTTTACGTAGTTATTTAACAAAGGATAAAAAAAGGAATCAATTATTTCATACCAGTTTCGCATCTGGAGCCTGAATAGTCATCAAGGCAAATGCATTGGTACCCACTGACTAAATCAACGCAAGTACCCCCATTGAAGCATGGATCACTCAGACATTCATCAGATTCTACAACGAAAGAAAAAAGAAAAAAAATACCAACAAAAGTTTGGCAACACAAGCACATTTTCAAAACACACCAATTTGGTTTTGCTGTTTGGCACATTCAAAGCAAGCATTAAAATCCCCACTTCACAATCAATACCTGTGACATAGTTATTATGGGGACCGAAGATGCTTTTTTATTATTTTTATGAATGGTTTATTTTAATTGTACGCCAGTGGCAGAATTGCGAATACAATTTACATGAAAAAATACACATATGCTATGGGGACATTAGTATCATGCACATACAGTCATGTTTTTATGCAACACAAAACTAACAAGTTCACTGATGTTAGTAGGAAAAAAAATGTTTCTTAAACTGCACAAAGTTTTTTTTTTTTTTTGCTTAAGTGTTTTTTGGCTTTTCACGAAATGCAAAAAAGCCTTTGTTTTGGTTCTGATTTTGTTTTCTTCTTCTTGTTCTTCTATCCCCAGTCCCATGGACTTTGTACATATTTCATTCTCGGTGCAACTTTGACATTAAACAGAATTATATCTTGATGAAACTTAGCATATGCTGAGACCCTATAGTAAAGTCATGCATATGGATGTGACGTCATGATGACGTCATCATGTGTCACGTGACGTCATCACGTGTCACATGACGTCATCTTAGTGGGCAGCTAGTTACTTGGATGCATAATTTGATATTACATCACAATGACGTCATCAGTTGAATATTTATTAAATGTACACACTTTAAATTGTATTCCACTAACAAAATTTGACATTATCTGTAATCCGATCAGCCCCAACCTTGATCTGTTCTGCGAACAGACGGAGACCTCTAGTTTTTTTTCCTTTTGCGCCTTCCTTATCGTTTGAGTACTAATGGGCAATTCCACGGTTACTCACGTTACATTTTTGATGTACTTTTGAGTTTCCTTGGGCTGTAATTACCTCACCGAAAAGGTTTAACAACTGTTATCCCCATGGTAGATAGAGTAGACCTAGACCTACCTAAGCACCAAAGATGACATCCAGAAAAATGTGTTATGTATGATAAACAAGATAAACAAGACACACAAATCGGTTACTCACTTTACGATAATGTAACGTGAGTAACCCACTTTGTGCGTCTTGTTTATCATACATAACGCATTTTCTGGATGTCATCTTTGGTGCTTAGGTAGGTCTAGCTAGGTCTACTCTATCTACCATGGGGATAACAGTTATTAAACCTTTTCAGTAAGGTAATTACAGCCCAAGCAAACTCAGAAGTACATCAAAAATGTAACGTGAGTAACCATGGAATTGTCCTAATGTACCTTGATTGCAAAGTTCTCCAATCCAGCCTGGCAAACAGATACATGTAAGGCCAGTGATAAAGTAGTCGCAAAAACCTTCATTCTGGCATGGATTGGGAACACATTCATTGACTTCTGTAAGAGAAGAACAGGCTAGCTTGAGCAGAAAGCACAGATAAATGACCTTCCATCGGCTACTTCAAGCTAGCCACACACTATCAGTGTTGAAGTACTCAAACTCACACTCCTTTTTGTACTCATATTCATACTCGAGTACATTTTACTACATCGGTGTATCAATGTAGAAAGATACAAGTGTGTGTAGTGTGCTTTATACATGCAGCTTTAAAGTGTTAACTGCAACTTTCGCGAGCGTCACAAACGTGAAATATGTTTTGTTTTCCAATGCAGCCCGGATTTCATTTTGAATATTCCCCACAAATGGCATTGGAAAACTTTCTTTTGTCTGAGAAGTTAATAAGTTATTTGTAATGTTGGGTACCAGATCCCATAATCCAGACCGGTTTTTGACATCAACAGTCGGGTGCTGGGGTACCCAGTTCCGATGCACAAAGCCCTAAAATGTACTTCGCTACAAAACTGCACACTAGAGGCTGTAATAGACAATGAATTACAGGAAAAATATTCTTGGAGAAGAAATTCTTACAATACTGCTCCATCTAGTGATTGTCTTGCTACTTTTCAACTTCGCTATCAATTGGGGAATTGTTTCCGACAGTGAGTCAGAAATCCTTAATTGTTACTGTATATTCCCACACAAAGACATTTCCAGGATTCATCAATAAAAATGTTCACTGAAGACTGTTGGTAGCGTAAGGGTATGTGCGTGCATTACATTTTTTTCTCATGAATGAGATCAATATCCAATTAAAAAAAATAGTAACATTTGATCACTTTGACTGTTAACCTGTTGTTCTTCCTATAAAATGTCTCAGAATATCAACAACGAAATAATATAAGTTATTGGAAGCACAAAATACCTGTTTCACATTGGTTTCCTGTGAATCCTGCAGCACACTGACACTGGTATCCATTCACCATCTCAAGACACGTTGCTCCATTCATACAAGGTGAGCTGGAACATTCAACAACATCTAACAAGAGACAAACATTGGAGCAAATATTGAATGTCCAAGTATTAGATATAAGAGTATTTAATGTTTACTTGACATAGTGATAATTGATTGAGTCACCTACCTGTGGCACACAAGGGCCCTGTGTATCCCGTGGGACACACGCACTGGAAACTGTTGACTAAATCCAGACAGGTTGCTCCATTCAAACAAGGCATGCTGGCACACTCATTGATATCTGTCAATACACAAACAAAACACAGAAACAAATAAATAGTAATGTGCCAACAAAGTATTTTTTTCAAAGATAGTCTTAAAATTATTTAACAAATGAGCTAACTTGTTTGAAATACCACATTCTAAGAATATTAATTTCAAGCCACCTAAGAACCAAACAATTCAAGAATGACAAAGAACATGTAAGGAAGGAAGGAAATATGTCAAAAGTAAAGATAAGAAATCTATTTCTTTAAAACAAATGATACATTATATTAAAATCAGAACAAACTATATTTACCATTTCCGCATAATGTTCCTTCATAGCCTGGAGCACAATCACATCGGTAGCCAGGAGTAAGACTAACACAAGTTGCTCCATTCTCACACAAATGTGACTCGCAATAGTCGATTTCTGTAAAAAGAGAAGAAAATATAATCATTTTTACTTTCATATATCCCTGAAGACAAAACTCTGGAAATTATCAATTAACGATGCTCAGTTATTCAAATTCTTGGAAAAAATTATTACCATTTTCACATTGGGTTCCTGTGAATCCTGCAGCACACTGACACCGGTATCCATTGACCATCTCAAGACACGTTGCTCCATTCATACAAGGTGAACTGGAACATTCAACAACATCTAGCAAGAGACAACCATTGGAGCAAATATTGAATGTTCAAATATGAGATACAAGTGAAACTACTTGACATGACAAGTGTTTGTCACATGCACAAACACAGGGCTGTTACAGTTTTTATTTCCTCGTATGGATATTTACTGCAGATGTATTGGAAAATGACAAGTTTCGAGCAACATTGACGCCCTAAATATAGTTCTCTAATTAGATGCCTTTAATGGGACATCACCTGACATGTGATGACAACATCAAGACTTCACTTGAATATTCCAAGTTAAAACCAAATCGGACACACAATTCTATAGGTATAGGGCCTAGTAAAATACACATTTAATGTGATGTCACATATAACATATGCTGATGTCATAGTAGCGTCAATGTCAGGCACAGATCTAAAGTAACTGGTTGATGACCCAACCAAGTTCAAAGTCAGTCAGATTGATAAAAGTGCCCCATGTGCAAGTCATACAGAAAACAATTACAAATGCTATGGACACTACAGGAATCTGAAAAGAAGAAAAAAGAAAGAAACAAAAATCTTAATGAAAACAAAAGTTGTTTCGGAAGTATGTTTGACTTTACACTGTGATAATTGATTGATTCACCTACCTGTGGCACACAAGGGCCCTGTGTATCCCGTTGGACACACACACTGGAAACTGTTGACTAAATCCAGACAGGTTGCTCCGTTCAAACAAGGCGTGCTGGCACATTCATTGATATCTGTTAAAAAAGAAATGAACACTTTTAAAATCGTAGCCAATACATTTTGTACTTGACATTGTGATAATTGATTGATTTACCTACCTGTGGCACACAAGGGCCCTGTGTATCCCGTTGGACACACGCACTGGAAACTGTTGACTAAATCCAGACAGGTTGCTCCATTCAAACAAGGCATGCTGGCACATTCATCGGTATCTGTGGATACAAAAACATGTATTGTGGAATGTCATTATCAGGCACTTTGGGGCAAGAGGTCAATTTTCAGTTATTGCAATATTAGTAAAATATAGAGCTTGCTCTTTCAAAATGCCGCTGTTTTTTTTTTATCTGATACTCCAAAGCAAAGTTATTACATTTTGAAATCTGTCTGAAACGTCATAAAGAAATGAGAAATAGACCTTCAAAAGTTTGAGTTTAGCGAAAAAAATTCTTTGCTGATGAAATTTCAATATGAAACTTGTACAGAACTTTAGCAGCATCACAAATTTCAAAAATCTCAAAATCGCTGAAAAAATCACCCCCATGTCATTTTGCGGCTGTGCTCCATTCGTAGCTCTGCATGATTCCACCTGGTTTTGACACACCATGTCACCCGTTTCAAACCCATGGTTAATACATTGCTGTTGAAACACCAATGGGCAGGGCCTAAGGGGTTGGCATTTTACAGAGCTGGTTGCTTTACTTAAGCACATCAGTAGACGTTAGTCATTTCACACACGTGCAAAGTTGTTCACACACGGTTTGTGCTGCTTTTGCAATTTCCCTTTTTTGGTGCAATAAAAAAAAATGGCCATATAAGCAGCTCACGCTAGCAAAGATTACATCTTCAGTCACGTTATGATGTGACTGATCTTTAACACTGAGCAAAACACAGAGACCAACAAAGACTACAAAGTAACATTGTCAGACATGATTGCGGCTCAACAAGCAGCATTTATCAAATAACGTTACTGATGACAAAACAAGGACATAACGAGGTACAAGTAACACTGCGCTGCTACAAGCGAAGAAGCTGATTGGGCGCTGACAGGATTGGTTCTTACACTCTTCACAGAGGATACCCTGATAGCCAACAGGGCATATACAGCGATATCCGTTGGCCAAGTCCTCGCAAGTGGCTCCATTCTGACATGAATGGAACCTACACTCATCCACGGCTAGAAGGATGAACATTAACAGTTAATGTGCATTAAGAGTCAGGTAAGATTAGTAACAATGCATTACTGCATAATCCTTTTAAAGGTATAGTCCATCATTTGTAATTTGTGCATTTTGTTCGTTTGAAGCAACAAAAGTGTTCAAAATCTAATGAAGGATACTGAACAACTAGCCTGATGAAGTTTCAGCTCAGCTTCAGCTGTATATTCCAAGAAAAACAGCATTCTAAGATCTCAATTTCAAATGAAAAGTTGCTGAATCATGTTTTGAATTAGGCCTGAATTCAGCGTCCGAGACACATTCTCACTGAGCCGATTGCAGCTATACGTGATGTCGCGCACTGATCCAACAAATTATAGCAACCATGCGTGTGCGTTGTGCCAATGCTTGCGCGCGCTTCGCCAATAACAAACCGATTGAACTACTAATCTAAATTTTCCTACGGTGTGTCTTAAGACGCACCGTTGGAAAGGCCTTCTTTCATTGATTACTTCAAAATGACAGCTTGCAGAACGAATATTTTCACAGGGAGTTTAGTCCCCTTACTATCTTTCAACCAAGTATGTTTTTCAACAATAATTACGCCAGTTGCTTTTTGGATTGCTTCAAATGATGGACTATAGCATTAAAGAAATCTCTATCCTCTTTCAACAAAATAAGGGACGTTTACAAATTATCTCTTAAAAAAGTATCTTGAAACTACAGGGTGAGTCAAAATAAGCGGAACCCAAAAACAAAGAAATATACAGGGTGAGTAAAAAAAAAGAAACCCAAATGTCGGGACTATTGTTTTAGTGAAGTTCTTCATGTAGCACAAATCTAGGATATGAAAGCCCAATTCATAAAGCTTTCTTTTAGTACAAGAATCATTCAAATCACCTCTGTACTTTTCAAGTTACGGAATTTTTAACACAACCACCGTTTTAAAGTTCTGTCCACGGATCACAAAAAAGTGTGCATTCTTTCAGCAAAACGAAAACAATTCACACACCCATATGTAATTTGTTTTAATATTATTAGAATTTAGTGTTTTTGTGATGGCATTGTTATTTTTAGGGTTTGAAATTTGTAAAAGTTAATTTTGTTCGTAGCAGCGAGCAAACATAATTTTGTTGATGGATCATTAAGGTATTTCAATTCAATTCAAATTGCTCCATTCTCACATGAATTTGTCACACACTCATCTATGTCTGATTACAAAAGAAAAATATAATCACTTTAACAATTTATAATTGGGGAAAAAAAAATCTGTGAAGATATCAATATACATGCAGCATGCACAGTTATGTCTCTTGTTAGATGTTACTGGAAGCAATAAATACCTGTTTCACATTGGTTTCCTGTGAATCCTGCAGCACACTGACACTGGTATCCATTGACCATCTCAAGACACGTTGCTCCATTCATACAAGGTGAACTGGAACATTCAACAACATCTAACAAGAGACAAACATTGGAGCAAATATTGAATGTCCAAACTGTTGAGTGAGCAAATTGAATCTCTCTTCGATTGCACAAAAAATTACAGATAATGTAGATTTGGTTACCACGTCCCTCATAGCCTTGTGTGCATTTGTCTGCCATGTTTATCCGGGAAAAAAAATAGTCAAATATTTTTGTGCACCAGGCTTTCTTGGAATAACAAACTGGCTCATTGACAACTGTGCAGTGATGCCTGACTGAAATTAAATGAAACTCATAAGGGTCGAGGCCAAGACTTAGGAGTATCTGCACAACCAAATATTTTCAAAATTAATTTCATAATTTTGTACTTATTTTGGGAACATACTGTAAAGTTCTGTAGATATACATGTAGATCCTGGAAAAATGAACATTTAATGTGGTGTCACATGACACATGATGATGTCAATGTGTGACACACATCTACAGTAGCTGATTGTTGTCCAAACCAAGTTTAACCCTAACTCCCAGCATAATTTACTAGGAACCGTGTTACAACTGATAATGTAGTAACTAACTGATAACGTGTCACTAACCGATAATGTCACACAAATTGACCGATATTGTATCACTAACCGATAATGTGACAAAAAATGACGGATACTGTAGTAAATGTTACTGCACTATCAGTCAATTTTAGTGACGTTATCGGTTAGGACTGATAATGTAACAACAATTGACTGATAGTGTAGTACATTTTACTACACTATCGGTCAATTTTGTGTTACATTATCAGTTAGTGATACAGTATGGGTTAATTTATGTGACATTATCCGTTGGTGATACATAATCCATTGGTTACTACATTATCAGTTGTAACAGAACCGTACCCATTCAGGCAAATTCCAACACCTACACATGCCACATGGGAAATTGTACACACTACGATTGGACTTAGTTTCTGGAGGTATGCCAAACCCAGTGTTAAAGACCCTCAGTTTAGGAGTACCGGTACTGTACCTATCCCAAAAGATTTTAACAAAACCTGCTGTTGAACTTTGATGGTTTGAGTTCGGTTAGGGTTAAAACGGATTGATTAAAAGAGTCAAATGTGCGGTAATAAAGAAAATGTGTACAAATGCTATGGACAGGAATCTGAAAAAGATGTAAAAAAAGAAATGAACAAAAATCTTAATGAAAACTAAGACTGCTCAAAAAAGTATTCTGCAACAGCCAATACATTTTGTACTTGACATTGTGATAATTGATTGATTGACCTACCTGTGGCACACAAGGGCCCTGTGTATCCCGTTGGACACACACACTGGAAACTGTTGACTAAATCCAGACAGGTTGCTCCATTCAAACAAGGCGTGCTGGCACATTCATTGATATCTGTCAATTTACAGGTACAATACCAAGAAAAAAATAATAAATAGTAATGTGCCTGCAAAGTACCTTTTCAATGATAGTCTTAAAATTATTGAACAAATGAGCTAACCTGTTTGACAGTCTGTTCCAGTGTATCCAGGCACACAATCACAGCGGTAGGCAGCCACTAGATCCACACAGGTACCTCCATTCCTACAGGGATTACTGGAACACTCCAAGATCGCTAGATAATACAAAATATTATCATAATATTTACAAAAGTCTGAAAAACGAACTTCTCAGATTACCCATTTCAAGCCACCTACAAACCTAGCATTTCAAGAAAGGCAAAGTACAACTCAAGGAAGGAAGGAAATATGTCAAAAGTAAAGATAAGAAACCTAGTTCTTCAGAAAAAAGGATATATCATATCAAAAATCAGAACAAAACATATTTACTATTTTGGCACAATGTTCCTTCATAGCCTGGAGCACATTCACATCGGTAGGCAGGAGTAAGACTAACACAAGTTGCTCCATTCTCACACAAATGTGACTCACAATAGTCAATTTCTGATTAAGAGAAAAGGAAATATTATCACTTTTAATACTTCGATATCACTGAAGAAAAATGTCTGGAAATTATCCATAAAGGATGCTCAGTTAGTCAAATTCTTGGAAGATATTATTACCATTTTCACATTGGTTTCCTGTGAATCCTGCAGCACACTGACACTGGTATCCATTGACCATCTCAAGACACGTTGCTCCATTCATACAAGGTGAACTGGAACATTCAACAACATCTAGCAAGAGACAACCATTGGAGCAAATAATGAATGTTCAAATATGAGATATAAGAGAAACAAGTGTTTGTCACACGGACAAACACAAGGCTGTTACAGTTTTCATATTCTCGTATGGATATTTACTGCAGATGTATTGGAAAATGACAAGTTTCAAGCAAAATTGACGACCTAAATATAGTTCTCTAACTAGATGCCTTTAATGTGACATCACCCGACACGTGATGACAACATCTAGACTTCACTTGAATATTCCAAGTTAAAACCAAATCGGACACACAGTTCTATAGGTATAGGGCCTAGTAAAATACACATTTAATGTGATGTCACATATGACAAATGCTGATGTCATAGTAGCGTCAATGTCCGGCACAGATCTAAAGTAGCTGGTTGATGACCCAACCAAGTTCAAAGTCAGTCAGATTGATAAAAGTGCCCCATGTGCAAGTAATACAGAAAACAATTACAAATGCTATGGACACTGCAGGAATCTGAAAAGAAGAAAAAAAAAGAAACAAAAATCTTAATGAAAACAAAAGTTGTTTCTGAAGTATGTTTGACTTTACATAGTGATAATTGACTGATTCACCTACCTGTGGCACACAAGGGCCCTGTGTATCCCGTTGGACACACACACTGGAAACTGTTGACTAAATCCAGACAGGTTGCTCCATTCAAACAAGGCATGCTGGCACATTCATTGATATCTGTTAAAAAAGGAAATGAATACTTTTAAAATTGTAGCCAATACATTTTGTACTTGACATTGTGATAATTGATTGATTGACCTACCTGTGGCACACAAGGGCCCTGTGTATCCCGTTGGACACACACACTGGAAACTGTTGACTAAATCCAGACAGGTTGCTCCATTCAAACAAGGCATGCTGGCACATTCATCGGTATCTATGGATATAAAAACATGTAATGGGATATGTCATTATCAGGCACTTTTGGGCAAGAGGTCATTTTCAGTTTTTGCAATATTAGTAAAATATAGAGCTTGCTCTTTCAAAATTCTGCTGTTTTTTCCTTTTTTAATTGGATACTCCAAAGCAAAGTTATTACATTTTGAAATGTGCCTGTCTGAAACGTCATAAAGAAATGAGAAATAGACCTTCAAAAGTTTGAGTTTAGCGAAAAAAATTCTTTGCTGATGAAATTTCAATATGAAACTTGTACAGAAATTTAGCAGCATCACAAATTTCAAAAAATCTCAAAATCGCTGAAAAATCACCCCCATGTCATTTTGCAGCTGTACTCCATTCGAAGCTCTGCCCGATTCCACCTAGTTTTGACACACCATGTCACCTGTTTCTAACCCATGGTTAATAAATTGCTGTTTAAACACCAATGGGCAGGACCTAAGGGGTTGGCATTTTACAGAGCTGGTTGCTTTACTTAAGCACATCAGTAGACGTTAGTCATTTTCACACACGTGCAAAGTTGTTCACACGTGGTTTGTGCTGCTTTTGCAATTTTCCTTTTTTGGTGCAATTTAAAAAAAAAAGGCCCATATAAGAAGCTCACGCTAGCAAAGATTACATCTTCAGTCACGTTATGATGTGACTGATCTTTAACACTGAACAAAACACAGAGACCAACAAAGACTACAAAGTAACATTGCCAGACATGATTGCGGCTCAACAAGCAGCATTTATCAATTAAACTTTACTGATGACAAAACAAGGACATAACGAGGTACAAGTAACACTGCGCTGCTACAAGCGAAGAAGCTGATAGGGCGTTGACAGGATTGATTCTTACAGTCTTCACAGAAGATACCCAGATAGCCAACAGGGCATATACAGCGATATCCGTTGGCCAAGTCCTCGCAAGTGGCTCCATTCTGACATGAATGGAACCTACACTCATCCACGGCTAGAAGGATGAACATTAACATTTAATGTGCATTAAGAGTCAGGTAAGATTAGTAACAATGCATAACTGCATAATTCTTTTAAAGGTATAGTCCATCATTTGTAATTTGTGCATTTTGTTCGTTTGAAGCAACAAAAGTGTTCAAAATCTAATGAAGGATACTGAACAACTAGCCTGATGAAGTTTCAGCTCAGCTTCAGCTGTATATTCCAAGAAAAACAGCATTCCAGGATCTCAATTTTCAAATGAAAAGTTGCTTAATCATGTTTTGAATTGGGCCTGAATTCAGTGTCCGAGACACTTTCTCACTGAGCCGATTGCAGCTATATGTGATGTCGCGCACTGATCCAACAAATTATAGCAACCGTGCGCGTGTGCATTGTGCCAATGCTTGCGCGCTTCGCTGAATAACAAAACAAACTACTAATTTAAATTTTCCTACGGTGCGTCTTAAGACGCACTGTTGGAAAGGCCTTCTTTCGTTGATTACTTCAAAATGACAGCTTGCCAGAAAAAAATAATTTCACAGGGAGTTTAGTCCACTTACTATCTTTCAACAAAGTATGTTTTTTCAACAATAATTACGCCAGTTGCTTTTTGGATTGCTGCAAATGATGGACTATAGCTTTAAAGAAATCTCTATCCTCTTTCAACAAAATAAGGGACGTTTACAAATTCTCTCTTAAAAAAGTATCTTGAAACTACAGGGTGAGTCAAAAAATGCGGAACCCAAAAACAAAGAAATATATAGGGCGAGTAAAAAAAAAGAAACCCAAATGTCAGGACTATTGTTTTAGTGAAGTTCTTCATGTAGCACAAATCTAGGATATGAAAGCCCAATTCATTAGCTTTCTTTTAGTACAAGAATCATTCAAATCACTCATGTACTTTTCAAGTTACAGAATTTTAAACACAACCATCGTTTTAAACAATTGACACACCCATATGTGATTTGTTTTAATATTATTACAATTTAGTGTTTTTGTGATGGCATTGTAATCTTTAGGGCTTTTTGAAATTTGTAAATGTTAATTTTTTTCATACCAGCGAGAAAACGCAATTTTGTTGATGGATCAATAAGGTATTTCAATTCAATTCAAATTGCTCCATTCTCACATGAATTTGTCACACACTCATCTATGTCTGATTACAAAAGAAAAATATAATCACTTTAACCTTTTATAATTGGGGAACAAAATCTTTGAAGATATCAATATACATGCAGCATGCACAGTTATGTCTCTTGTTAGATGTTACTGGAAGCAATAAATACCTATTTCACATTGGTTTCCTGTGAATCCTTCAGCACACCGACACTGGTATCCATTGACCATCTCAAGACACGTTGCTCCATTCATACAAGGTGAACTGGAACATTCAACAACATCTAACAAGAGACAACCATTGGAGCAAATATTGAATGTCCAAGTATTAGATATAAGAGTATTTAATGTTTACTTGACATAGTGATAATTGATTGATTGACCTACCTGTGGCACACAAGGGCCCTGTGTATCCCGTTGGACACACACACTGGAAACTGTTGACTAAATCCAGACAGGTTGCTCCATTCAAACACGGCGTGCTGGCACATTCATTGATATCTGTCAATTTGCAGGTACAGTACCAAGAAAAAAACAATAAATAGTAATGTGCCTGCAAAGTACCATTTCAATGATAGTCTTAAAATTATTGAACAAATGAGCTAACCTGTTTCACACTCTGTTCCAGTGTATCCAGGCACACAATCACAGCGGTAGGCAGCCACTAGATCCACACAGGTACCTCCATTCCTACAGGGATTACTGGAACACTCCAAGATCGCTAGATAATACAAAATATTATCATAATATTTACAAAAGTCTGAAAAACGAACTTCTCAGATTACCCATTTCAAGCCACCTACAAACCTAGCATTTCAAGAAAGGCAAAGTACAACTCAAGGAAGGAAGGAAATATGTCAAAAGTAAAGATAAGAAACCTAGTTCTTCAGAAAAAAGGATATATCATATCAAAAATCAGAACAAAACATATTTACTATTTTGGCACAATGTTCCTTCATAGCCTGGAGCACATTCACATCGGTAGGCAGGAGTAAGACTAACACAAGTTGCTCCATTCTCACACAAATGTGACTCACAATAGTCAATTTCTGATTAAGAGAAAAGGAAATATTATCACTTTTAATACTTCGATATCACTGAAGAAAAATGTCTGGAAATTATCCATAAAGGATGCTCAGTTAGTCAAATTCTTGGAAGATATTATTACCATTTTCACATTGGTTTCCTGTGAATCCTGCAGCACACTGACACTGGTATCCATTGACCATCTCAAGACACGTTGCTCCATTCATACAAGGTGAACTGGAACATTCAACAACATCTAGCAAGAGACAACCATTGGAGCAAATATTGAATGTTCAAATATGAGATATAAGAGAAACAAGTGTTTGTCACACGGACAAACACAAGGCTGTTACAGTTTTCATATTCTCGTATGGATATTTACTGCAGATGTATTGAAAAATGACAAGTTTCAAGCAAAATTGACGACCTAAATATAGTTCTCTAACTAGATGCCTTTAATGTGACATCACCCGACACGTGATGACAACATCTAGACTTCACTTGAATATTCCAAGTTAAAACCAAATCGGACACACAGTTCTATAGGCATAGGGCCTAGTAAAATACACATTTAATGTGATGTCACATATGACACATGCTGATGTCATAGTAGCGTCAATGTCCGGCACAGATTTAAAGTAGCTGGTTGATGACCCAACCAAGTTCAAAGTCAGTTAGATTGATAAAAGTGCCCCATGTGCAAGTAATAAAGAAAACAATTACAAATGCTATGGACACTGCAGAAATCTGAAAAGAAGAAAAAAAAAAAAAAAAAAATCTTAATGAAAACAGAAGTTGTTTCGGAAGTATGTTTGATTTACACTGTAGTAATTGATTGATTGACCTACCTGTGGCACACAAGGGCCCTGTGTATCCCGTTGGACACACACACTGGAAACTGTTGACTAAATCCAGACAGAATGCTCCATTCAAACAAGGCATGCTGGCACATTCATCGGTATCTGTTAAAAAAGAAATAAATATTTTTAAAATTGTAGCCAATACATTTTGTACTTGACACTGTGATAATTGATTGATCCACCTACCTGTGGCACACAAGGGCCCTGTGTATCCCGTTGGACACACACACTGGAAACTGTTGACTAAATCCTGACAGGTTGCTCCATTCAAACAAGGCGTGCTGGCACATTCATCGATATCTGTGGATATAAAAACATGTAATGTGGTATGTCATTATCAGGTACATTTGGGCAAGAGGTCAATTTTCAGTTATTGCAATATTAGTAAAATATAGAGCTTGCTCTTTCGAAATGCCGCTGGTTTTTTTTAATTGGATACTTCAAAGCAAAGTTATTACATTTTGAAATCTGACTGGCTGAAATGTCATAAAGAAATGAAAATAGACCTTCAAAAATTTGAAATTAGCGAAAAAAATTCTTTGCTGATGAAATTTCAATATGAAACTTGTACAGAACTTTAGCAGCATCACAAATTTCAAAAATATCAAAATCGCTGAAAAATCACCCCCATGTCATTTTGCAGCTGTGATCCATTCGTAGCACTGCCCGATTCCGCCTGGTTTTGACACTCCATGTCACCTGTTTCAAACCCATGGTTAATACATTGCTGTTGAAACACCAATCGGCAGGACCTAAGGGTTGGCATTTTACAGAGCTGGTTGCTTTACTTAAGTAAGATTTGAGGCTTTGCATGGTGGAGATACTAAATAATGAAAGGTTTGCAGAAACACCATGTGTGAATAATTTCTCAACTAAGAGAAAGGTTCTGAAAAAAACCCCAGAGGTATAAACTCGACGTTCCGGTCAGTATGCTCTGACCGTCTGTCCTGAAGACGGTCAGAGCATACTGACCGGAACGTCGAGTTTATACCTCTGGTACTTTTCAGAAACATTCTCTTAGTTGAGAAATTATTCGCAGATGGTGTTTCCGCAAACCTTTCATTTTTTGCTTTACTTAAGCACATCAGTAGACATTAGTCATTTTCACACACGTGCAAAGTTGTTCACATGCGGTTTGTGCTGCTTTTGCAATTTCCCTTTTTTGGTGCAATTTAAAAAAAAAAAGGCCCATATAAGCAGCTCACGCTAGCAGATATTACATCTTCAGTCATGCTATGATGTTACTGATCTTTAACACTGAGCAAACACAGAGACCAACAAAGACTACAAAGTAACATTGCCAGACATGACTGCGGCTCAACAAGCAAATAAACTTTACTGATGACAAAACAGGGACATAACGAGGAACAAGTAACACAGCACTGCTACAAGCGAAGAAGCTGATTGGGCGTTGACAGATTTGATTCTTACAGTCTTCACAGAGGATACCCTGATAGCCAACAGGGCATATACAGCGATATCCGTTGGCCAAGTCCTCACAAGTGGCTCCATTCTGACATAAATGGAACCTACACTCATCCACGGCTAGAAGGATGAACATTAACAGTTAATGTTCATTAAGAGTCAGGTAAGATTAGTAACAATGCATTACTGCATAATCCTTTTAAAGGTATAGTCCATCATTTGTAACTTGTGCATTTTGTTCGTTTGAAGCAACAAAAGTGTTCAAAATCTAATGAAGGATACTGAACAACTAGCCTGATGAAGTTTCAGCTCAGCTTCAGCTGTATATTCCAAGAAAAACAGCATTCCAGGATCTCAATTTTCAAATGAAAAGTTGCTTAATCATGTTTTGAATTGGGCCTGAATTCAGTGTCCGAGACACTTTCTCACTGAGCCGATTGCAGCTATATGTGATGTCGCGCACTGATCCAACAAATTATAGCAACCGTGCGCGTGTGCATTGTGCCAATGCTTGCGCGCTTCGCTGAATAACAAAACGAACTACTAATTTAAATTTTCCTACGGTGCGTCTTAAGACGCACTGTTGGAAAGGCCTTCTTTCGTTGATTACTTCAAAATGACAGCTTGCCAGAAAAAAATAATTTCACAGGGAGTTTAGTCCACTTACTATCTTTCAACAAAGTATGTTTTTTCAACAATAATTACGCCAGTTGCTTTTTGGATTGCTGCAAATGATGGACTATAGCTTTAAAGAAATCTCTATCCTCTTTCAACAAAATAAGGGACATTTACAAATTCTCTCTTAAAAAAGTATCTTGAAACTACAGGGCGAGTCAAAAAATGCGGAACCCAAAAACAAAGAAATATATAGGGTGAGTAAAAAAAAAAGAAACCCAAATGTCAGGACTATTGTTTTAGTGAAGTTCTTCATGAAGCACAAATCTAGGATATGAAAGCCCAATTCATTAGCTTTCTTTTAGTACAAGAATCATTCAAATCACTCATGTACTTTTCAAGTTACAGAATTTTAAACACAACCATCGTTTTAAAGTTCTGTCCACGGATCACACAAAGTGTGCGTTCTTTCAGCAAAACAAAAACAATTGACACACCCATATGTGATTTGTTTTAATATTATTAAAATTTAGTGTTTTTGTGATGGCATTGTAATCTTTAGGGCTTTTTGAAATTTGTAAATGTTAATTTTTTTCATACCAGCGAGAAAACGCAATTTTGTTGATGGATCAATAAGGTATTTCAATTCAATTCAAATTGCTCCATTCTCACATGAATTTGTCACACACTCATCTATGTCTGATTACAAAAGAAAAATATAATCACTTTAACCTTTTATAATTGGGGAACAAAATCTTTGAAGATATCAATATACATGCAGCATGCACAGTTATGTCTCTTGTTAGATGTTACTGGAAGCAATAAATACCTATTTCACATTGGTTTCCTGTGAATCCTGCAGCACACTGACACTGGTATCCATTGACCATCTCAAGACACGTTGCTCCATTCATACAAGGTGAACTGGAACATTCAACAACATCTAACAAGAGACAACCATTGGAGCAAATATTGAATGTCCAAGTATTAGATATAAGAGTATTTAATGTTTACTTGACATAGTGATAATTGATTGATTGACCTACCTGTGGCACACAAGGGCCCTGTGTATCCCGTTGGACACACGCACTGGAAACTGTTGACTAAATCCAGACAGGTTGCTCCATTCAAACAAGACGTGCTGGCACATTCATTGATATCTGTCAATTTACAGGTACAATACCAAGAAAAAACAATAAATAGTAATGCGCCTGCAAAGTACCTTTTCAATGATAGTCTTAAAATTATTGAACAAATGAGCTAACCTGTTTGACAGTCGGTTCCAGTGTATCCAGGCACACAATCACAGCGGTAGGCAGCCACTAGATCCACACAGGTACCTCCATTCCTACAGGGATTACTGGAACACTCCAAGATCGCTAGATAGTACAAAATATTATCGGAATATTAACAAAACGTTGAAAAAACCAAATCCTCAGAATACCCATTTCAAGCCACCTACAAACCTAGCATTTCAAGAAAGACAAAGTACAACCTGACAACTCAAGGAAGGAAGGAAATATGTCAAAAGTAAAGATAAGAAACCTAGTTCTTCATAAAAAAGGATGCATCATATCAAAAATCAGAACAAAACATATTTACTATCTTGGCATAATGTTCCTCCATAGCCTGGAGCACATAGACATCGGTAGGCAGGAGTAAGACTAACACAAGTTGCTCCATTCTCACACGCATGTGACTCACAAAAGTCGATTTCTGATTAAAAGAAAAGAAAATATAATCACTTTTAATACTTCGATATCCCTGAAGAAAATGTCTGGAAATTATCAATAAAGGATGCTCAGTTATTCAAATTCTTGGAAGAAATTATTACCATTTTCACATTGATTTCCTGTGAATCCTGCAGCACACTCACACTGGTATCCATTGACCATCTCAAGACACGTTGCTCCATTCATACAAGGTGAACTGGAACATTCAACAACATCTAACAAGAGACAAACATTGGAGCAAATATTGAATATCCAAGTATTAGATATAAGAGAAACTACTTGACATGACACCTGTTTGTCACATGGACAAACACAAGGCTGTTACAGTTTTCATATTCTCTTATGGATATTTACTGCATATGTATTGGAAAATGACAAGTTTCAAGCAAAATTGACGACCTATATATAGTTCTCTAACTAGAGACCTATATATAGTTCTCTAACTAGAGACCTATATATAGTTCTCTAACTAGAGACCTTTAATGTGACATCACCCAACATGTGATGACATCATCATGACTTCACTTGAATATTCCAAGTTAAAACCAAATTGGACACACAGTTCTGTAGGTATAGGGCCTAGTAAAATACACATTTAATGTGATGTCACATATGACACATGCTGATGTCATAGTAGCGTCACTGTCCGGCACAGATCTAAAGTAGCTGGTTGATGACCAACCAAGTTCAAAGTCAGTCAGATTGATTAAAGTGCCCCATGTGCAAGTAATACAGAAAACAATTTCAAATGCTACGGACACTGCAGGAATCTGAAAAGAAGAAAAAAAGAAACAAAAATCTTAATGAAAACAAAAGTTGTTTCGGAAGTATGTTACAATATGATAATTGATTGATTCACCTACCTGTGGCACACAAGCGTCCTGTGTATCCCGCTGGACACACACACTGGAAACTGTTGACTAAATCCCGACAGAATGCTCCATTCAAACACGGAATGCTGGCACATTCATTGATATCTGTTAAAAAAGAAATGAATACTTTTAAAATGGTAGCCAATACATTTTGTACTTGACATAGTGATAATTGATTGATTCACCTACCTGTGGCACACAAGGGCCCTGTGTATCCCGTTGGACACACACACTGGAAACTGTTGACTAAATCCAGACATGTTGCTCCATTCAAACAAGGCGTGCTGGCACATTCATTGATATCTGTCAATTTACAGGTACAATACCAAGAAAAAAAAAAAAATAGTAATGTGCCTGCAAAGTACCTTTTCAATGATAGTCTTAAAATTATTGAACAAATGAGCTAACCTGTTTGACAGTCGGTTCCAGTGTATCCAGGCACACAATCACAGCGGTAGGCAGCCACTAGATCCACACAGGTACCTCCATTCCTACAGGGATTACTGGAACACTCCAAGATCACTAGATAATACAAAATATTATCGGAATATTTACAAAAGTCTGAAAAAATGAACTAAGAATACCCATTTCAAGAAACCTACAAACCTAGCATTTCAAGAAAGACAAAGTACAACTCAAGGAAGGAAGGAAATATGTCAAAAGTAAAGATAAGAAACCTAGTTCTTCAGAAAAAGGATATATCATATCAAAAATCAGAACGAAACATACTTACTATTTTGGCACAATGTTCCTCCATAGCCTGGAGCACATTCACATCGGTAGGCAGGAGTAAGACTAACACAAGTTGCTCCATTCTCACACAAATGTGACTCACAATAGTCAATTTCTGATTAAGAGAAAAGGAAATATTATCACTTTTAATACTTCGATATCCCTGAAGAAAAATGTCCGGAAATTATCCATAAAGGATGCTCAGTTAGTCAAATTCTTGGAAGATATTATTACCATTTTCACATTGGTTTCCTGTGAATCCTGCAGCACACTGACACTGGTATCCATTGACCATCTCAAGACACGTTGCTCCATTCATACAAGGTGAACTGGAACATTCAACAACATCTAGCAAGAGACAACCATTGGAGCAAATATTGAATGTTCAAATATGAGATATAAGAGAAACAAGTGTTTGTCACACGGACAAACACAAGGCTGTTACAGTTTTCATATTCTCGTATGGATATTTACTGCAGATGTATTGGAAAATGACAAGTTTCAAGCAAAATTGACGACCTAAATATAGTTCTCTAACTAGATGCCTTTAATGTGACATCACCCGACACGTGATGACAACATCTAGACTTCACTTGAATATTCCAAGTTAAAACCAAATTGGACACACAGTTCTGTAGGTATAGGGCCTAGTAAAATACACATTTAATGTGATGTCACATATGACACATGCTGATGTCATAGTAGCGTCAATGTCCGGCACAGATCTAAAGTAGCTGGTTGATGACCCAACCAAGTTCAAAGTCAGTCAGATTGATAAAAGTGCCCCATGTGCAAGTAATACAGAAAACAGTTACAAATGCTATGGACACTGCAGGAATCTGAAAAAGAAGAAAAAAAAAGAAACAAAAATCTTAATGAAAACAAAAGTTGTTTCTGAAGTATGTTTGACTTTACATAGTGATAATTGACTGATTCACCTACCTGTGGCACACAAGGGCCCTGTGTATCCCGTTGGACACACACACTGGAAACTGTTGACTAAATCCAGACAGGTTGCTCCATTCAAACAAGGCGTGCTGGCACATTCATTGATATCTGTTAAAAAAGGAAATGAATACTTTTAAAATTGTAGCCAATACATTTTGTACTTGACATTGTGATAATTGATTGATTGACCTACCTGTGGCACACAAGGGCCCTGTGTATCCCGTTGGACACACACACTGGAAACTGTTGACTAAATCCAGACAGGTTGCTCCATTCAAACAAGGCATGCTGGCACATTCATCGGTATCTATGGATATAAAAACATGTAATGGGATATGTCATTATCAGGCACTTTTGGGCAAGAGGTCAATTTTCAGTTTTTGCAATATTAGTAAAATATAGAGCTTGCTCTTTCAAAATTCTGCTGTTTTTTCCTTTTTTAATTGGATACTCCAAAGCAAAGTTATTACTTTTTGAAATGTGCCTGTCTGAAACATCATAAAGAAATGAGAAATAGACCTTCAAAAGTTTGAGTTTAGCGAAAAAAATTCTTTGCTGATGAAATTTCAATATGAAACTTGTACAGAAATTTAGCAGCATCACAAATTTCAAAAAATCTCAAAATCGCTGAAAAATCACCCCCATGTCATTTTGCAGCTGTACTCCATTCGAAGCTCTGCCCAATTCCACCTGGTTTTGACACTCCATGTCACCTGTTTCTAACCCATGGTTAATACATTGCTGTTTAAACACCAATCGGCAGGACCTAAGGGGTTGGCATTTTACAGAGCTGGTTGCTTTACTTAGCAAATCAGTAGACGTTAGTCATTTTCACACACGTGCAAAGTTGTTCACACACGGTTTGTGCTGCTTTTGCAATTTCCCTTTTTTGGTGCAATTTAAAAAAAAAAGGTCCATATAAGCAGCTCACGCTAGCAAATATTACATCTTCAGTCACGTTATGATGTGACTGATCTTTAACACTGAGCAAAACACAGAGACCAACAAAGACTACAAAGTAACATTGCCAGACATGACTGCAGCTCAACAAGCAGCATTTATCAAATAAACGTTACTGATGACAAAACAAGGACATAACGAGGAACAAGTAACACAGCACTGCTACAAGCGAAGAAGCTGATTGGGCGTTGACAGATTTGATTCTTACAGTCTTCACAGAGGATACCCTGATAGCCAACAGGGCATATACAGCGATATCCGTTGGCCAAGTCCTCGCAAGTGGCTCCATTCTGACATGAATGGAACCTACACTCATCCACGGCTAGAAGAATGAACATTAACAGTTCGTGAACATTAAAAGTTTATGTGCATTAAGAGTCAGGTAAGATTAGTAACAATGCATTACTGCATAATCCTTTTAAAGGTATAGTCCATCATTTGTAATTTGTGCATTTTGTTTGTTTGAAGCAACAAAAGTGTTCAAAATCTAATGAAGGATACTGAACAACTAGCCTGATGAAGTTTCAGCTCAGCTTCAGCTGTATATTCCAAGAAAAACAACATTCTAGGATCTCAATTTCAAATGAAAAGTTGCTGAATCATGTTTTGAATTGGGCCTGATTTCAGTGTCCGAGACACATTCTCACTGAGCCGATTGCAGCTATACGTGATGTCGTGCACTGATCCAACAAATTATAGCAACCGCGCGCACATGTGCGTCCTGCCAATGCTTGCGCGCGCTTCGCCGAATAACAAAACGAACTAATTTTCCTACCGTGCGTCTTAAGACGAACCGTTGGAAAGGCCTTCTTTCGTTGATTACTTCAAAATGACAGCTTGCCGGAAAGAATAATTTCACAGGGAGTTTAGTCCCCTTACTATCTTTCAACCAAGTATGTTTTTCAACAATAATTACGCCAGTTGCTTTTTGGATTGCTGCAAATGATGGACTGTAGCATTAAAGAAATCTCTATCCTCTTTCAACAAAATAAGGGACGTTTACAAATTCTCTCTTAAAAAAGTATCTTGAAACTACAGGGTGAGTCAAAATATGCGGAACCCAAAAACAAAGAAATCTACAGGGTGAGTACAAAAAGAAAAAAAAAGAAACCCAAATGTCGGGACTTTTGTTTTAGTGAAGTTCTTCATGTAGCACAAATGTAGGATATGAAAGCCCAATTCATAAGCTTTCTTTTAGTACAAGAATCATTCAAATCACTCATGTACTTTTCAAGTTACGGAATTTTAAACACAACCACCGTTTCAAAGTTCTGTCCACGGATCACAAAAAAGTGTGCATTCTTTCAGCTAAACAAAAACATTTCACACACCCATACGTGATTTGTTTTAAAATTATTATAATTTAGTGTTTTTGTGATGGCATTGTAATTTTTAGGGTTTTTTTTTAATTTGTAATTGTTAATTTTTTTCGTACCAACGAGCAAACATGATTTTGTTGATGGATCAATAAGGTATTTCAATTCAATTCCAAATTGCTCCATTCTCACATCAATTTGTCACACACTCATCTATGTCTGATTACAAAAGAAAAATATAATCACTTTAACCATTTATAATTGGGGAAAAAAAAATCTTTGAAGATATCAATATACATGCAGCATGCACAGTTATGTCTCTTGTTAGATTTTACTGGAAGCAATAAATACCTATTTCACATCGGTTTCCTGTGAATCCTGCAGCACACTGACACCGGTATCCATTGACCATCTCAAGACACGTTGCTCCATTCATACAAGGTGAACTGGAACATTCAACAACATCTAACAAGAGACAAACATTGGAGCAAATATTGAATATCCAAACTGTTGAGTGATCAAATTGAATCTCTCTTCGATTGCACAAAAAATTACAGATAATGCAGATTTGGTTACCACATCCCCCATAGCCTTGTGTGCATTTATCTGCCATGTTTATCCGAGAAAAAAAAATAGTCAAATCTTTTTGTGCACCAGGCTTTCTTGGAATACCAAACTGGCTTATTGACAACTGTGCAGTGATGCTTGACTGAAATTAAATGAAACTCATAGGGACTGAGGCCCAACCAAAACTTTTCAAAGTTGATTTCATGATTTTGTAGTTATTTTAAAAACAGCCAGGGGGACACTGTTTAGGGGACATACTATAAAGTTCTACAGATATAAATGTTGACCCTAGAAAATCCACGTTCAATGTGGCGTCACATGACATGTGATGATGTCAATGTATGGCATTTTCTACAGTAGCTGGTTGTTGTCCCTACCAAGTTTGAAGTCAATTGGATCGATTAAAAGAGCCCAAAGAGGTAATAAAGAAAACATGTACAAATGCTGTGGACAGGAATCTGAAAAAGATGTAAAAAAAGAAATGAACAAAAATCTTAATGAAAACTAAGACTGCTCAAAAAAGTATTCTGCAACAGCCAATACATTTTGTACTTTACATAGTGATAATTGATTGATTCACCTACCTGTGGCACACAAGGGCCCTGTGTATCCCGTTGGACACACACACTGGAAACTGTTGACTAAATCCAGACAGGTTGCTCCATTCAAACAAGGCATGCTGGCACATTCATTGATATCTGTCAATATACAAACAATACCCAGAAAAAAATAAATAGTAATGTGCCAGTAGAGTATTTTTCAAAGAAATTTCAAAATTATTGAACAAATGAGCTAACCTGTTTGACAGTCTGTTCCAGTGTATCCAGGCACACAATCACAGCGGTAGGCAGCCACTAGATCCACACAGGTACCTCCATTCCTACAGGGATTACTGGAACACTCCAAGATCACTACATAATACAAAATATTATCAGAATATTTACAAAAGTCTGGAAAAAACGAACTTCTAAGATTACCCATTTAAAGCCACCTACAAACTTAGCATTTCAAGAAAGGCAAAGTACAACTCAAGGAAGGAAGGAAATATGTCAAAAGTAAAGATAAGAAACCTAGTTCTTCAGAAAAAAGGATATATCATATCAAAAATCAGAACAAAACATATTTACTATTTTGGCACAATGTTCCTTCATAGCCTGGAGCACATAGACATCGGTAGGCAGGAGTAAGACTAACACAAGTTGCTCCATTCTCACACAAATGTGACTCACAATAGTCAATTTCTGATTAAGAGAAAAGGAAATATTATCACTTTTAATACTTCGATATCCCTGAAGAAAATGTCTGGAAATTATCAATAAAGGATGCTCAGTTAGTCAAATTCTTGGAAGAAATTATTACCATTTTCACATTGATTTCCTGTGAATCCTGCAGCACACCGACACTGGTATCCATTGACCATCTCAAGACACGTTGCTCCATTCATACAAGGTGAACTGGAACATTCAACAACATCTAACAAGAGACAAACATTGGAGCAAATATTGAATGTCCAAACATTAGATATAAGAGAAAGTACTTGACATGTCATGTGTTTGTCACGTGCACAAACACAGGGCTGTTACAGTTACCTTTTTCTCGTATGCATGCTTATTGCAGATATAATGAAAAATGACAAGTTTTAAGCAAAAATGAACCTACAAATAGTTCTCTAACTACAAGCCTTTAATGTGACATCACACGACATGTGATGAAAACAAAAGACTTCACTTGAATATTCAGCTATAACACAACCTGGTCGAGGTACGTTCCAAATTAAAACCAAATTCTATAGGTGTAGGGCCCAGAAGAATGCACATTAATGTGACGTCACATGACACATGATGATGTCATAATGACATCAATGTCAGGCAAGCATCTACACTAGCTGCTTTATGTCTCTGCTAAGTTTGTAGTTGATCGGATTAATAAAAGTGGCCAATGTGCCAGTTATAAAGAAAACATCTACAGATGTTATTGGCTATAGAAGGAATCTGAAATAGAAGGGGGACAAGATGAAGAAAAAAAGGAGAAAATAAATCTTTAAGAAACAAAATGCAGTTTAAGAAAGTTTTCTGAAATAGGGAATACATTTTTACTTTAACTTATGATAATTGATTGATTCACCTACCTGTAGCACACAAGGGCCCTGTGTATCCCGTTGGACATACACACTGGAAACTGTTGACTAAATCCAGACAGGTTGCTCCATTCAAACAAGGCGAGCTGGCACATTCATTGATATCTGTCAATAGACAAACAATACCCACAAAAAAATATATACTCAGGTGCCAGTAAGGTACATTTAAAAGATAGTCTTCAAATTATAAAACAAATGAGCTAACCTGTTTGACAGTCTGTTCCAGTGTATCCAGGCACACAATCACAGCGGTAGGCAGCCACTAAATCCACACAGGTACCTCCATTCCTACAGGGATTACTGGAACACTCCAAGATCACTAGACAAAATATGACAATAGTAACAAAAGTTTTAAGCCACGTACAAAACAAACATTCCAAGAAAGACAAAGCACAAAGTAAGAAGGAAGGAATTATGCAAAAAGTAAAGATTAGAAATCTATTTCTTCAAACCAAATGATACATTATGATATCAAAAACAATACTAAAGTATATTTACTATTTTGGCACAATAATCCTTCATAGCCTGGGGCACAATCACATCGGTAGCCAGGAGTTAGATCAACACAAGTTGCTCCATTCTCACATGAATTGGACACACAACCATCTATGTCTGATAAAAAAAAGAAAAAGAAAAGTATTAAACTACCTTGAAAAAAAAATTAATAACAATATATACAATGATCTCTACCCCAACACATTTGGACACCCCAGTCTAGAGATACAGCTAATTAAATGAAAGGACTCGAATTCCAAGTTAGGCCAGTCGGGATCTAATGAAAGGCATTTACATACCAAGAAGGTGAAGAAAGCAGCCCAAACAGATTTAGGCAGTCTTTACAAGCTTTGTGGTGACTTTTAAACAAACGGTATGAAATCACGTAGAGGGTAAAGAAATACTCTTTCATCTCATTGTGATTGTTTTTTACAAATAAAAAACTGATTTAGTTTACTTATTTTTTTAGACACCCTGTATAATGAAAAGTGACAAATTTCAGACAAAAAAGGACCTACCGGTAAACATAGTTCTTTAAATCTAGGTCTTTAATGCCTTTAATGTGACGTCGCAAGACGTTTGATGACGTCAATGATCATCTATAATGAGTCCCGGTCTAGGCACATACCAAAGTAGAGCCAAATTTGACACAATGGCCTAGTTCTACTATTATAGGCCCTAGAAAAATACACATTTAATGAGACCTCACATCATATATGATGATGTAATAATGAAATCAATGTCCGGCACATATAGCTGGTTCATGTCACTACCAAGTTTAAAGTCCTACTGATTGATAAAAGTGCCAACTGTGCCAGTAATATGGCAAATGAGTACAAATGCTACGGACAGGAATCAGGGGGAAAAAAAAGAACCAAAAATCTTGATGTCCATAGCGACAGCAATCTGAAAAAGATGGGGGGGGGGGAAACTTCAACAAAAACAAAGGCCGTTTCGAAAAGTGTCATGAAACAGCCAATACATTTTGTACTTGACATTGTGATAATTGATTGATCCACCTACCTGTGGCACACAAGGGCCCTGTGTATCCCGTTGGACACACACACTGGAAACTGTTGACTAAATCCAGACAGAATGCTCCATTCAAACAAGGCGTGCTGGCACATTCATTGCTATCTGTCAATACACAAACAATACCCAGAAAAAAATAAATAGTAATGTACCAGTAGAGTATTTTTCAAAGAAATTTCAAAATTACTGAACAAACATGCTAACCTGTTTGACAGTCTATTCCAATGTATCCAGGCACACAATCACAGCGGTAGGCAGCCACTAGATCCACACAGGTACCTCCATTCCTACAGGGATTACTGGAACACTCCAAGATCACTACATAGTACAAAATATTATCAGAATATTTACAAAACGTTGAAAAATCAAATCCTCAGAATACCCATTTCAAGCCACTTAAAAACCAAAAATTGCAAGCATGACAAAGAAAATATGGTACGAATGAAGGAAATTTGTCAAAAATAAAGTTAAGCAATCTTAACTTCAGAACAATTAACACATTATATCAAAAATCAGAACAAAATATATTTACCATTTTCGCATAATGTTCCTTCATAGCCTGGAGCACATAGACATCGGTAGGCAGGAGTAAGACTAACACAAGTTGCTCCATTCTCACACAAATGTGACTCACAATAGTCGATTTCTGTAAAAAGAGAAGAAAATATAATCACTAACAGTTTGATATCCCTGAAGAAAAAATATCTGGAAATCATCCATAAAGGATGCTTAGTAATCCAAAATCTTGGAAGCAGTAAATACCATTTTCACATTGGTTTCCTGTGAATCCTGCAGCACACTGACACTGGTATCCGTTCACCATCTCAAGACACGTTGCTCCATTCATACAAGGTGAACTGGAACATTCAACAACATCTAACAAGAGACAAACATTGGAGCAAATATTGAAAGTTCAAATATGAGTTATACTGACTACTAGACACGTCATGTGTTTGTCGCATGGACAAACACAGGGTTGTTACAGCGTTCTTTTTCTTGTACGCATCTTAACTGCAGATATAATGAAAACTGACACGTTTCAAGCAAAAATTGACCCATATATAGTTCTCTGACTAGAGGCCTTTAATGTGACGTCACACGACATGTGATGACATCATCATGACTTCAATTGAATATTCAGCTACAACACATCCCAGTCTAGGCACCTTCCAGATCAAAAACAAAGTTGGGCCCACAGTTCTATAGGAAAGGGCCCAGAAAATTCACATTAAATTTGAAATCACATAATGATGTCATGATGATGTCAATGTCCGGCACACATCTACAGTAGCTGGTTTATGTCTCTGCCAAGTTTAAAGTCAATCGGATTGATAAAAGTGGCCAATATGCCAGTTATAAAGAAAACTTGTACAAATGTTATGGAAAAGGAATCTGAAAAAGAAGAGGGGGGGGAGAAGAAATAAGAGAAAACAAATCTTTAGGAAACCAAATGCTGTTCTACAAAGTTTTCTGAAATAGGGAATACATTTTTACTTTAACTTATGATAATTGATTGATTGACCTACCTGTGGCACACAAGGGCCCTGTGTATCCCGTTGGACACACACACTGGAAACTGTTGACTAAATCCAGACAGGTTGCTCCACTCAAACACGGCGTGCTGGCACATTCATTGATATCTGTCAATAGACAAACAATACACAGAGAAAATAAATAGTAATGTACCAGTTAAGTATTATCAAAGATAATTTCAAAATTATTGAACAAATGAGCTAACCTATTTGACAGTCGGTTCCAGTGTATCCAGGCACACAATCACAGCGGTAGGCAGCCACTAGATCCACACAGGTACCTCCATTCCTACAGGGATTACTGGAACACTCCAAGATCGCTAGATAATACAAAATATTATCAGAATATTAACAAAAGTTATCTACAAAAGGCAAATTCTATGAACAACCATTTCAGGCCACCTACAAACTAAACAATTCAAGAATGACAAAGAACAAGGTGAGAAAGAAAGAAATATGTCAAAAGTAAAGATAAGAAATCTATTTCTTCAGAACAAATGATCTTTTATGATACAAAATTCAGGAAAAAGTATATTTACTATTTTGGCATAATGTTCCTTCATAGCCTGGAGCACAATCACATCGGTAGCCAGGAGTTAGATCAACACAAGTGGCTCCATTCTCACATGAATGGGACACACAACCATCTATGTCTGATAAAAAAAAAAAAAAAAAACATAATCAAACTTTGCATTCTGAAAAAAAAAACACCACTGGAACTTTCAATATAGTGTACTCAGTTATTCACGTTTTTTGAAAAGAAATATATACCTATTTATAAGATGGACATGTTTTTTTTGTATTGGGGTGATGTAAATCAATGTTAGGTTTTGCCTTTTACTGATGTATAACCACTGCAAGCTCGGTGGTTGAGTAGTAAGATGTCTGCACTAGAAAGCAGGAGGTCGTGGGTTCGAGTCCCCCCCCCCCCCCCCCCCCCCCCCCCCCCCGAGTGATTTTTTCCAACTTCCACTTGGAAGCTGAAACACTGAGTATACAGTGTTAAACACCTGTGAAGGCCAAAACTCTAATTGAAATAAATATTTGTTTTACATTTTCTTTTTGTAATATGCATGTTAACTGCAAATACATAATGAGACCTTAAATAATGAACACTCTAATAAAGACGTCATCATGACATCAATTCAATTTTCATCTACAACACATCCCGGTCTAGGTACAACCAAATCAGACACACAGTTCTATACATACAGGCCCTAGAAAAATGCACATTAATTAATGTGACATCACACGACACATGATGTTGTCATAATGAGATCAATGTTCGTCACACAGTTACAGCAGCAGGTCGTTGTCCCTACCAAGTTTAAAGTCAATCAGATTGATAAAAGTAACCAATGTATTGGTAATAAATGCAAACGCAATGGACAGAAATCTGAGAAAGAAGGAATTTACAGAAAAGAACAAAAAAATTCATGAAAACAAATGTTGTTTCGGAAGGTTGTTTGCCTTGACACTGTGATAATTGATTGATTCACCAACCTGTGGCACACAAGGGCCCTGTGTATCCCGTTGGACACACACACTGGAAACTGTTGACTAAATCCAGACAGGTTGCTCCACTCAAACAAGGCATGCTGGCACATTCATTGATATCTGTCAATAGACAAACAATACCCAGAAAGAATAACACCGAGTAGTGTGCCAGTGAAATATTTTTCCAAGTTAGTCTTAAAATTATAAAACAAATGAGCTGACCTATTTGACACTCTGTTCCAGTGTATCCAGGCACACAATCACAGCGGTAGGCAGCCACTAGATCCACACAGGTACCTCCATTCCTACAGGGATTACTGGAACACTCCAAGATCACTAGACAAAATATCATGAAAATGTTCACAAAAAGTTCTTTACAAGAAGCAAATCCTAAGCACTATCATCCCAAGCCACTTACAAATCGAACATTAGAAGAAAGAACAATGTAAGAAGAAGGGAAATATGTCAAAAGTTAAGTGTTCTATAACAGCCAATAATGGGTCATTTGGTGCTTCGGACTGCTTGCCAAACTCAATTTGAGTAGCTAAATGGTTCTAAAATGCCATGCAATCGCATGCCAAATTCAAGAGAGTCCAAGTAGTTGAGTTTGGCACAGCAGTAGCACAGCACTTCAAAAAGGCCTCAATCCAAACCGCTATAGCAAAGTGTCTGTACATGATTATCCAAACAGCTGGCTTGTGCAAAATCATATTGAAATTGGAGGATTCAGGACTGTTAGGGCTATTCTGAGTCAGTTACTGAACATTAATGACAATGAATGAAAGCACACTCTCAGCTTTGATGAGAGACATTAAGGTATAGTTCCTCACTTAAAAGAAGGCAAAATTCATAATCCGAACGCCACCTTTGAAGCTTAGAATGGCATGCCAAAGGCTGGAAAATTTCTACAAGGAACGATCACTAATGAATGTGGATCCCATAAGTCTACCGTTTAAGTAAAGATAAGACCTTCGTTTCTGCAAAACGAAAAAAACCATTTCTTTAAAAACAGGGGAAAAAAGTATTCTTACTGTTTTGGCAGAATGTTCCTTCATAGCCTGGAGCACAATCACATCGGTAGCCAAGAGTTAGATCAACACAAGTGGCTCCATTCTCACATGAATGGGACACACAACCATCTATGTCTGATTATAAAACAGAAGAATTTGTTCTCTTTAACACTTGTTCTTTCTAAAAATGTCTTGGAATGTGAACATAGAAATTATTCAAGTTATTGGGAGTGATACATACCTATTTCACACCGGTTTCCTGTGAATCCTGCAGCACACCGACACTGGAATCCATTCACCATCTCAAGACACGTTGCTCCATTCATACAAGGTGAACTGGAACATTCAATAATATCTGAAATCGACACAAATTGTAAGAAATATTGAATATTATTCAATAGGACATTCGAATTGTTGCTTGTGATCTTGGTAATTGATTGATTGACCTACCTGTGGCACACAAGGGCCCTGTGTATCCCGTTGGACACACACACTGGAAACTGTTGACTAAATCCAGACAGGTTGCTCCATTCAAACAAGGCGTGCTGGCACATTCATTGATATCTGTTTAAAAAAGGAATACTTTTGTTGCAGTAAAATACAGAACATTGTTTACAATGACATTTCATCCTGTACCAACTGCACTTTTAAGCATGTTCGTCTATTCAAACAGTGGACGAAAAATACCAGAGAACAAAAGAGTCCACGATTCCCAGCATACGTCTGCGATTGGAGTCGTGTACAAAACATATGGGAGTACAACAAAAGATGGACAATAGGACGTCCACGATTGACGGTGAACACGAATTGGTGTGCCTGTAAATGGTTTAATTGATAAATGAATCCTCTTTTGTGAAAGTTTCTAGTTTTGGGGACATACTTTTCCTGTCACCATGAAATGAGCATCTTATCGGAAATTGCCATTTTGCAATACAGTCGGGCAAAGCCAAAATTCGAAAATAAAAGTACCTCAACCAGTCTGTACTCGAGGCAGGGGAAGGAATTCAGCTTTTTATAGGGGAGAAAAGGTAATAACTTCAGAGATTTTGTTGAACAAACCAATTTCACAGAGGTCTCCCGTGTAGCCTTGCGCGCACCGACACTGGAAGCCGTTCACCAGATCAAAGCACGTTGCTCCGTTCTGGCAGGGAAGGCTGGCACACTCCAGAATTGCTGTGACGCAAACAGAAAAACTAGTTTACACAAAGAATTTACAACAAACAGAATTGCATAAATTCACAATTCATGGCACGAGTTGGGTGCCCAGTGGACTCTTTCTCTTCCAATTTGTGTTAATGCCAAATTTTGGTTTCAGCAATGTACACATTCAGATAAAAAAACAAATTCACTGTTTTTGTTTTCTAGAAACTTCATAATTTTCTCAAGAAACTGGATCAAAAATGTGCAACCTTTTGACATTTTTAAATCATGAGTGTTTTCTGTTCACATATTTTTTTGGTCTAGTTATGTCAAATATCTGAATATATTAAGATCAAATTTAGAAAGTTCTAGTCTGTGAATGTGGCTGGGATTACACATACAGATGCACTTGTCACAATATTGCACCATCTTATAAACCCATTAGCACTTATATCACTTTGTACTTGACTATAATAACTCTTAAATGAAACCATAAGTCTGGGGCAGTTTGGGGCAGTATGCAGAGTTACAGGCAGGGTAGTTTGGGCAGCACAGGGACCGATGAGTGAATGGCAAATTCAATATCTACATCTAGGGACAGCAGTTAGTTGCATTTTGTTTTTTTAACTTAAAAGATTATATTTAACTTTTGACAGTTGGGATCTTTGGCAAGTGAAAAACAGCACATAAAAAATGACAAAATGTTAGATTTGGGCATATTAACATATTAATATTGTGTGAGTTTTCTAAAACAAAATGTAGCATTCATGTTAACAAATAGCCATTTTATGCATCAAGTCATGTTTTGTGCATTAGCAACATGTAAAAAACACTGTGTTGTACAATGCTGCTTTATCACCCACGTTGCCTGCAGTGTCATGCATGCTTCTTGCTTTATCAGGCTAAATATTCCACCATTATAATCACAGTTTAATAAGTACAATTTAATCAATTAGCGCCTGTACCGCATTGTATTACACTGTAATAATTTCATTGAAAAGTTTAGTATCTTATAATTTGGCAAAAATTGGTTAGTTAGTGAGTCAAACCTACACTACGTACGTCCAACTTTAATTCCACGTTCAGAAGTACAAAGGTACACACTGTTGTTCTCATGAAAAAAAAAAGAAAATTGTATGAAGTCTTCTTCATGTGATCCAAATTTAGTGATTTTCCTGGTGAGGATCTTGACTGTCAAGAGAAATGTTATCAGTCGATTTTTCTAATTTTAAGACCGAGTAAACTAAATAAAAGTTAGTCACTATATAATTTCAAATTGCACATTACGTTTTCCAATTGCTTACCAACATGCTTTGACAATTGCGCTGTATCTCCAACTATGTGCATAACTACGTATCAGCATAAAGCAGCATTTAAATAAGTTGGAAATTGACTGATTCATTGCGGCCCGACCACTTCGTACATGTACAAGTGTATCAGTGTGTCCAACGCATGTGTACGCATGTTGGGCAGTAACAATGGCTGTGATTCAGTGATGACTTGGAGTGCTGTGGCCTCGTGGTTAAGGGCATTGGATTCGTGGTCTGCGGGTAAAGCTGCAGGTTGTGGGTTCGAGTCCAGCCTGGGTCATGGTGTGTGCCCTTGAGCAAGGCACTTTGTCACTCATTGCTTCTCTCCACCCAGGAGTAAATGGGTACCTGTGAGGGCAGAGATGGTTATTGTGATTGAATTAGCTTGCTTGCGCCTAACAGGCAGCATCGAGCGGTATACTCCCCAGGGAGCTGAGATGGTATTTAAAATGTTTAATTGGCCCAATGATCGGGGTAATAATAATACTGTAAGCGCTGTGATTTAGTTTACTAATAAGAGCATTCTTAAATGCCGATTATTGTTGATGACTTGGTGTCTTTCGGATGCCCTGACGGTTATTTTGGAAACCCTATTTTGTGACACAAATGTATGTTCAAGTATGGACTTTTAGCAACACGGACAGCCTGTTGCAAATGAAGTCTAAAACATTGCTGTGATTGGTCAACACAACAAGGGGGCGGGGCTTAATGGCTCAGTCTGTTAAGGTGCTGGGCCCAATTTCATTACGCTGCTGAACTCACGATTTCCTGCTAACAGAGCCTTTGTCTATTTCATGGAGACTGTAAGCAGTAAGCACAGCAAAAGGCATGCTTTCCTCAGAGGAAAAAGTCACTTACTTCAGTGACGTAACAATAGAAATCTTCACATGTAGGCAAACGTTAGCACATCCACGCCCTGAAATATTGCCTAAGGTTGGCACATGATTTCCTCCAGTATAGCTGCGTCATGAAATTGGGCCCTGGTTTCTTAACTAGGCAAATCAGTAGACATTAATCATTTTCACACAGGTGCAAAATTGTTATATTCACACAAGGTTGGTGCTGCTTTTGCAAATTTTCTATGGTGCAATTAGGCAGCTCATATTGGCAGCTCACATTAGCAAACGTTAGGCATAAATCTTCAACACTGACTGAGCAAAATGCAGAGACTGACAAAGACTACACAGTAACATTGCCAGACGTGACTGCAGCATTACAAGCAATATTAATCAAATCGACGTCATTGTTGACAAAACAAGGACACAACGAGCGTGCACTGCGCTACTGCTACAAGCGAAGAAGCTGATTGGACGCTGCCAGGATTTATTCTTACAGTCTTGACAGAAGATGCCGTCATAGCCCATAGGGCAATCACAGCGATATCCGTTAAGTAGGTTGACGCACGTGGCTCCGTTCTCACACAAATTGGACCTACACCAATCCACAGCTGGAGGGGTGAACATGCACAGGTTTATGAGTATTAAGGGTGAGAGTTGAGTGAGATTAGTAACAATTCATAACACTACTCCTCCGTTCGAAATACTATACTAATTGAAAAAAAACAAGTCAGGTGTGTTTACAAACACAAATGCCCCGCAACCGTGACTGATCCCATGACATAACACCACTCTTTTAACATCAACTTACATGTACCTTGGTCACATGGAACGTTCATTGACAGCATTAGTGTCTTCTGTAGGTTTTATATGAATTAATCCCTAATCCCTATGATCTCAGAATAAATAGAAGATTTCTTTTGTTTTAGCCACTATGACCTTGACCCTTGACCTTTTGGCCTCAAATGCAATAGGCCAAGGACAATCCACAAACCAAATTTGAAGCTCATATGTAAAGTATTTCTGAAGTTATCGCGCTAACAAAATTTCTATTGTTTCAGCCAGTGTGACCTTGACCCTTGACCTTTCGGCCCCAAATGCTATAGGCTTCTTAGGATTACCAAGAACAATACACAAACCAAATTTGAAGTTCATATGTAAAGTATTTATCAAGTTATCGCGCTGACAAAATTTCTTTTGTTTTAGTCACTGTGACCTTGACCCTGGACCTTTCGGCCCCAAATGCAATAGGCTTCTTAGGATTACCAACAACAATACACAAACCAAATTTCAAGTTCATATGTTAAGTATTTCTCAAGTTATTGCGCTGACAAGATTTGTCCGGACACACACACACACACCGTCGTTTTTTGCTATGCTTCCGAGGATTGGCTTTGTGTTTTCCTTTGTCCCTGTAATATAACACTCTCCCATAGACTAAGCACACAAACCTGCGTTCGAGGACAATAGGCACCTTCCTTCGAGGATCAATGGCCCCTTTGTGCTCCTTTTGTTGTCTGTCCTCAGGCGTAATGCCATGCAGGAACACACACACAGTCGTTTTTTGCTATGCTTCCGAGGATTGGCTTTGTGTTTTCCTTTGTCCCTGTAATATAACACTCTCCCATAGACTAAGCACACAAACCTGCGTTCGAGGACAATAGGCACCTTCCTTCGAGGATCAATGGCCCCTTTGTGCTCCTTTTGTTGTCTGTCCTCAGGCGTAATGCCATGCAGGAACACCCACACCCCCACCCACCCACCTGCCCACGGAAGGACAAGGCGGAAACAGTATGCCCCTTCGGCTTCGCCGCATTTTTCTCCACTACGGCCTGTACCCAATTCCGACTCATTTTGCCAGAACGCCTCACAAATGATCTTTAACCTGTTTAAGACTTGTGTCCTACAGTTTTGCAAAATGTCTATGTACATAATTTTATATCTACTTGACCAAAAATAAAATTGTGTTCCAGACAAGCAAACTTTATGTACTTGTTTTCCATTGACTGAACTCTGGGATGGTTCAGACAGACTGCAAGAGTCAATATTTCATGTGTTGTCATTGCTAATTGTTTCAAATGTTGAAATGAATTCTTCGTTTAGTTCAACATGTCAACAGGACTCTTGAACACCATTTTGAAATGGTGTGAACCATATTGGGTCAATCAAAACACAGACCTCAACCTCATATGTTGAAGGTTCATCAAGTTTAGACATTATTTTTGAAAGGTAACACTTCTTTCTAAAAACAGCAAATTAAACTAATAGTTCAGCACTCACTCTGTTCACAGTTGGGACCAGTGTAACCAGATGAACAGTGACAATCATAGCCATTGGTCATATCGACGCAGATACCTCCGTTCTGGCAAGGCTGACTAATACACTCGGAGATTCCTACAAAACACAATTTAAAAACAGGCACCTTATTAAAAAAAAGTTAATTTATTACCTTGAAACAAAGTTCTAGGCAACTTTTTGCCAGACAAAGGAGGAAATGTATATGATTAAAGGTTTGACTGAACTATGACAAAATTAAATTATTTATATATAGGATTATTAGGTTTTCATGAATTCTGATTTTTAACACCACTCAAAATCCAAAGAAGAACGTTCAAAAACCTAACTTGTTGAAGTTTCAGCTCAGTGGATATTACCCTTTTTGAGAAAACAGTGAAAAACCATGCACAACCTTTTGATCACGGAACACGATTTCGTCAATAGCACTCTGTACTTGCAAAGATCACTCAATTAACTGATCATTAAAAATCACCTACATGTACTTCCACATACTTTTTATTGTCAAAAGTCTAAGACAATGGTTATAGACACACATACACCCAAGAATTATTTGTAAATTTCAAACTCACCAGTGGAACAGTCGGCCCCTGTGAAGCCAGGCCTGCACTGACATCGGTAACCATTGATTAAATCAATGCACATTCCTCTGTTCATACAGGGCGTGCTGCTGCACTCGTCAATATCTGCAGATTCACACGATCAAGATACATAACACAGAGATACACAATTTGTAGAATTGAAATATAACTAAAAGTACAAGGGAAATGTTCGTTTTTCTCATGATCTGATACATCCTTTTACTGGAAACAGTCCTGATTTATATACATTCCTCCACCGTCTTAAAAAAATGGCACAGTGTTTAGACTTTCATTTTCAAAGGGGCATGAAGCCACCATGACTTACATATTTTACATGTAAGTCATGGTGGCTGGGCTCTACCTTCCTCAATCCTGCAAAATCCTCCACAATCCTCCACAATCTAATAAGTTTTGAAGGTTCCCAGAGAATTAGGCTAATAATAATAAATTCTTTTTTTTGGAGGAGGGAGGGGGAGAAGTCTAATCAACCTTACAATGAACTTGCAGCTGAGAAGCTTAATTACAAGGGACGCAGCTACAACGTGGTCGAGCTGATGGCTTGTAAGGCACATCAGGCATCTGCCATACCACCTATTCCTGATCACGGAGCGCAGCCAGATCACAGGTGTCGAAGTATGCAAATATTACAGCTCTAGCTCTGTGGTTTCCATGCACCAGTACCCCATCAACGGCCAGAAAAGGAGAGTAGGGGTGACCTAGACTGGTTTCCGATCCATCCACTGCGTATTTCCAATGTATCAAAAGTTATTAGAGCCAGGGATTAGTCTCAGAGACCATCGCAACTTAAATTTGAACATATTCGCGCACCGACAACACCTGATGCTCACATGAAGACGCGGTGGCTGTAGCTTTTGCACTTTTTTTAACCAGGAAGTCGTGCGTATTTCGCGCATGAACTAGTACAACACAGTACGTGCACGCAGTGTCCCGTCCACGGAGCTCTCAAAAGAGGTAAAAACATGCCCTCTTTTGTTGGCACACGGAACCCATAGTTTTCAGACTCATACAGTAATAAGTAGCTTACCTGTTTGACAGACGATCCCTTCGTAACCTGCTGGACAGTCACACCGAAACGCATCAATCAAATCTTGACAAATTCCTCCGTTCTGACAAGGAAAGCTCGCACACTCATTGATTTCTACGGAAGAAAACAAATCCCAACAAACACTGAACAAAGTCTTTTCAGCTGAGCATCAACAGTATGCACCTTTCACTGCCTGGGGCAACATTCAGCACAGAAATTTGTGAAGCCAAAGCAAAAGCATCTCCTCAACTGCCAGCCAAAAGGTAATGGGATTTCTTAACAATTGCGACAGATTCAAAGCTGATTCCTTCGAAAATCATAAATCTACTGGGCACTATTTTCTGCCGAGATATTGATATATCTCGGACAAGCTGCAGTACTGAATTCCCAGAATCTTCCTGCAATGAATTTGGCTTATGACTTGTGGGAAGACGGGTGTTTCACAAAACCTGAAGTAAACTTGTTGAACAAAATCATCGGAAATTTATAATTTTTGACTTGTTTGGACTTTTTGATCGAATGGCATTTATGAATAGGATGTCCTTGGCTGGTATTAAAATTTTTTTTTTTTTTTTGATTTGCATAATGACCCTCGGCGATTGGCTCAGGCCATTATCAGCCTCCAGGGCCCAATTTCACGGCGCTGCTAAGCACATAAATTTGCTTAGTACAAAAAAAGTCTGGCTTATAAAAGAAGTTTACCAGCCAAAACTCCTTGTGAATTTCATGCTAAGCAAACAACAGCTGAATACTAATCACAAGCAATATACATCACATGGAGTTTTGGCTGGTAACCTGCTTTTATAAGCCAGCCTTTTTTTGTGCTAAGCAAATTTTTGTGCTAGCAGCGCCGTGATTTTGGCCGCAGGTCCCTAGCCAGTTTTAAACATACTTGTTTTAAACTCGCCAAGCAAATATTTATTTCCTTCTTTATTCCTTGATAAATCCATAAAACCATAGAGTGCTGGGGCGGTTCTGGGCAGTATAAGGAGTTAACAGGCAGGGCAGTTTGGGGCGGTACAGAGACAAATAGCTTTGGTCCAGTATACACGTACATACCGATCTCACAGTGTATTCCATTGTAGCCTGCACGACACTGGCATACATAGAAGCCCAGTCTGTCTACACATGAGCCACCATTCAGGCATGGATTGCTGCCGCACTCATTGGTCTCTGCAATCAAGTTGGAATGTTCAATCTTATAATGTGCAAAATTACTGCTGAGCAACCCATGCACATACATCTGGAGACACTACTGTGAGATTGAGCAGTTATGCTGAAAATAGCTGCGACAATATTTCTACCATTCATGAGGTGTCCAAGGAGGGACAGTGTGCACGGATTTGTCAAAAAAGCTCTGCCTATTCAAGTCCATCACAAGTCCATCACATGTAAGTCACGAGCCCCATCACAAGTAAATCACAAGTCCATCACAAGTCAATCACAAGTCCATCACATGTCAATTACAAGCTCCATCGCAAGTCCATCACAAGTCAATCGCAAGTCCATCTGAAGTCCATCTAAAGTCCATCTTAAGTCCATCTTAAGTCAATCAAAAGTCAATCACAAGTCAATCACAACTAAATTATAAGTCATTCAGTCGCAAGTCATAAGCTATTCAAATGAGCTGTGACAAAGACATTCCTTTGTCATTTGTCATTCCGCGTGGCTTACAACTGGTAAGACATATGCGGTTTGCCTTGTGATGCACTTGTGACTTGACTAATATGACTTGAAATGTGTCTTGTCTTCAACTCTAGCATCTTCCAATATCTAATCACTGCACATCTCTATGCTACTTTCTCAACTAAGCTGTGGAACTAAATCTGCAATGAGAAGTGCTATGTAACTGAGAAACTTTCAATAAGAAAGTATTGGCAAAATTGTACATCATGTACGTGCAAAGCAATAGAACAAGTAAGATTTTCACAACACTACCAATCACTTACACGGATGTAAAAAAAAATTAAAAGGATTCCTTTCACCAATACAAAAGCAGGAAAAAACTGTTGGGTTTGATCACATCACAGCCTTTTTACACAGCAGCCATCTTTGTATGGTTTCAAAGATGCATACAGCATAAAAGCACTGTAATAAACTATGTGACTAGCACCAGGCTGAAAAGCTTAGCCACTGGTTTTTTTCAACGCTGGTTCTTAAGTTTGAAAAAGTTGGTTGATTTAAATGATAAATATGGTCAAATGAAATCACCCCACCACTATGCAGAAATGCAAAGTACAAAATCTGGTAAAATACTACACTGTATAACTAAAAGTTGCAGTAGAAGAACAAACATATAACTTACCACATTGTTTGTTCAAGATGTCCTTTGATTAAATGTAACTGATGAATATTAATGATCATGATGGTCACAATGTTAGAATGACACCAGCTTACGAAGTGTTAACGGGCACAAAAACATCAAAGACCAAGAATGTTAGGCATGAACACAACAACAAAATCGCCCAAAACCAACATTTCCACATAAACAAAGTTAGCAATACAATCAGGTACTGGAAACAATACATTGTACAAAGACACATCTCAATGTCATGAAAATAATCAGAGGAAAAAAGTTCATTAAAAAGCCTCATACTGGATGAAATTTGCTGAAACAAATGTTGATACAAAGAGTTACAAACAGTCACGGTATTATTGAAAAATCACAGTTCTTTTCTTACTACATTTCCAAATACTACATCACTTCACCATGTTCACCCAAAAGACTCACAAAAGAATGGAATTTGAAGGGTCAAGAAATCTGTTGAGAAACAATTCCATCAATTAACAACATATATAGAACTGTTGTTCCTAAATGCAAGAATTTGATTGGATCATCCTCGTACTGTTGTTCCTAAATGCAAGAATTTGATTGGTTCATCCTCGTACTGTTGTTCCTAAATGCAAGAATTTGATTGGTTCATCCTGGAGGGCACCTCCTATCCACACCTTGAAAGCTGTAAGACTGTTGTGAATGACAATGATTCCAAAAAGTACATGTACAACAAAAACTTAAAATAGGTGTTGCAGAAATGGTAGACTGGCTGTTGGCTTGAATGCTCGAGCTCTGCTGGTAAAGTTAAGGGTAAAAGGGTAAACGGAGTTAACTGTTACAAACGGCACAGGATTCAAGGACGGAAGCACCTGTAAAACACCACACACCTTCTGCTTTAACATGTACAGAGACAAGTCAAAAAATAAAACCTGCAAAACATACAAGATAATGCATGCATTATGCTGGTGCAAACGACGTTAAGATATCCGTGCAATCCAACCATGTCTAAGGTTAATATACAACCTGTTGGAGTAACTAATGCACCGATACCAGGCCCAATTTTACAGATCCGGTAGGTAGGCTGTGCTTATTTTCTGGCTGAGCTAGAAACACATTTGCTGGTATGCGCCCATAAGCTGGAAAAAATTGCTTTGTACAAAACCATTAGCAAAAAATCTGCTTATCCGTTTTGGCTACAAAAGCAAAATCATTTTTTGCCCAACAACTCCATAAAACTGGTTCCACATGTTCACAATTCTTGGACAATCGAAACATTCAAGGTCCCAAACACCGACTCAAACAGACAAATATCACATTAACGTAAGGGAGGGAATGTTAAGATCACTGTGATAAATACCACGTAATGTATTAAACACTGACATTAATGGATGTTTGTATTAACACTCACCGATATCGCACAGTGGCCCCTGCCAACCGAATGTACACATACAATGGTAGGCGTTGATCAGGTCAAGGCATGTAGCTCCGTTCCTGCAGGGTGTGCTAGTGCACTCATTGATGTCTGTATAAGAAAAAAGATTATTACGACGACAATTTAAAAACTTCTGTCATTTTTACAGTGAGAAATAGGCTTTACTCCAGAGTAGTTCCTTTGCACTGTAGCCATCTTTATTAACCAGTTCACGCCGGGATTATTTTGACAAGAATGGAACGAGGCGCGGGATTACTATTCACTCAAACTCAAGCCAGGCGGGTTGAAGCCATTACCCTCGGGCAGCACACTCATATTTCCGGCCTCGATCACTCGCTGCGAGCGGGTCGCTGACAGATATTTCCGGCCTCGCTCCCTGCGTGTTTATCTGTCGTCCTTTCCGTCTTGTTCAACCCATCTTCGACGGAGATTAATTATTTTATGAAAAATTAATCCAAAATCTTATTATATCATCGACCCCAGATAAAATTATCAAAGACACAAGGAAAATATAACAAATTCTAGAAGATAAAAGTTACCTGTGTTGCACGTATCGCCAGTCCAGCCAGGAGCACACATACAATTGTAGGCACCGATTTCATCCAGACATGTTGCATTGTTCCTACATGGACTGCTGGAACACTCATTGATCTCTGCATTGGGACGCAAATGTGGGGTCAACTCATGAAATTCTTTAAAGGAAATTTGTATATGAAGACTTAAAAACTTTCCAACTTTCAGATTAAAAACACAAAGCTCTTTTTTTCACTTACAATTTTCATATTTGGCTAAGGTTAAGCAACACGATAAAATGTGACATAATGTGACTTTATTTCAGTGCAAACTTATAATTCATATCAACTTTACCATAATTCATTTATCCCATATTTTGAACAGGCATACAACCGGGAATTTAGGACAAACGACAAAACGCCAAACCACAAAAGAATTTGTACAGTATTTGTTAATTTGTACTGGCATTCAAGAGAAGTAAAAAACGAGGAAATCAGCGGATCCGAGGAAGAGTTGCATGACTGTATAATTCCTACAAAATCTTAATTCTTTAAGTCACAACATAATTGATACCCTACTTGACTAATTACTCACCAATTTCACAGTGTATTCCTGTGAAGCCAAGAGCACAGCTACATGTGTAGACAGTAAACATGTTGTTACATGTTGCTCCGTTCTGGCAAGGGTCAGAAATGCAAGGATTGAGCGCTGAAAAAGGTGAGAGAAAATGTAAAGTATAAGAAAAAAGGCAGCTGTTAGGGAAAAAAACCTTCAAACTTTGAAAAAATTAACAGATATCATATGATGTAACTATGGGAGAATCTTACTGCAAGCGCAAGTAGTATCTGTGAAAAGCAGGCATGTTAAAATTGAATTAAAATACTAATTACAAAGTAACTAAGATTTTCTATTTTTTCTTAAGTAAAAATTATGACAAAACAAACAAGCTTGTTATGATAAAATGTAATAATGTCAAGCAAGAAAAGAACCTGAAAAACAAGGTCCCCTGACTATGTTGTACACTGGATGGGTTCAAATGGCGCTTGAGGCAAAGACGACTATGCCGTTTCCCACTATTATCACAACAAATAACGATTCTTTTGTTATGCAATGGATTCTTTATTTATATATATATTTTTTTAGTCTTGCGAAGTAACATTATAATTAAACTGTCCTTTTGGTAGAGAGAGGGAGTCTGATCTGTTTTGACACTTCCATGCATTTTCATTCTAGAGTCCAATGCTTTAGTTTTTGAAAAAATTTAAGCTCATCTATTTACACGTGTCATTTAGACATGCATTGGCATGCGCACGCCTGAGGTACAGCACCTTCCCTGTGCCCAGGGTCTATTCTAACTGTGTAGTGCAAAGCAGTGGGGACAACAATTTTCAAAATTCTTTGAGAACAATGAGATGTAATGTAGCTGGGTAATCACGAGGTGATTTCCCCCACGGAGTTCATCAGGGCACCATGCATGAACTGTTTCCGTGAATAGTTCTCAAGAAATGAAATGACACAATGCCATGGTTTAACAAGTCTGATTGTTTCATTGTATGTCTCAGATCTCACCTGTTTCACAGTTGACGCCAGCGTGGGACACAGGACAATCACACCTGTAGTCATTCAGCAGATCTATGCAGGTGCCGTTATTCAGACAGGTATTGGTAGCGCACTCATTAATGTCTGAAATATGTATAGAAATTACAACAGTAATAGTTTATGGGATAGAAAACAAAAACACTGGGAATGGCTAAAACTGAAGATCACAAGATTTGTAAGGTGGGATTTGTTTTCATGAGAAAATCAATTTTGTATACTGCTTGTTTACCAAATTGTTTTCTATTTTCTGAAAGCAAAGATAAACTTTTGGCAGTTTTGTTTGTTTCAATTTTCTAACAATATAGTCTGACATAAACTTTGTTCAGTCATTATTTTAGTTAACATCTGCTACATGACACGTATGAAGAAGTGGGAACATTTTTTGAGACAAAATTTAGGATTTCCTGAAACGGAACACAGATTTTTGAAACACAAAACTAGTGGAGCTAGAACCAGCCATTTGGCATGAAAAACAGACTCTACATTAACAAAAAAAAAAGTTGAAGACGAGATAATCAGGTATAAATAAAGGCACTATCAGACACTCACCGTTGTCACAGTTAGTTCCGGTGAAGCCCGCTATGCACTGACACACATACTGTGAGGGCAGGTTAATGCAAGTAGCGCCGTTCTTACAAGGACTGGGGGAACAGTGATCAATTTCTGTAAAACGAAAACACCCAAAACCATGTGAAAAATTCTTGTTTTGTTCAGCATTTGAGGCCTGTACATGTACCATGTGATGAAGAAAATACTTGGTTACAAATGTGACTTTTGAGGAAATCTGTCACAGCCGAGGGGGTGATAGGGCGAGGGGTGGAGTGAGGGGTCAGGGGGTTAGGGCTTGAGAAGGAGAGCGGCAAGGGGAATGAGGGTGGTGATTAAGAGGCATAGGGTGGGGGGTTGGGGGGTTGGAGGGGTGGGCGTTTAGGGGTATAGGTGGGGTGGGTAGGGTTGGGTTGGTGGTGAGGGCTGGGGGTGGGTGGTGAGGAGTGGGGGTGGGGTGAGGGTTAGGGGTGGGGGTCAGGGGGTGACGGGTGAAGGGTGAGGGGGTGAGGGGTGGGGAAGGGGCTGGGGAGTGAGGGGGGTGGGGCAATGTCTTTCGTCTTACCTGTTTGACACTGTGGCCCCGTGAAACCGTCAGGGCATACACATTGATAGCTGTTCAGCAAATTGTTACAAGTTGCTCCATTGGCACATGGGTTACTCTGGCATTCGTCAACATCTGCAGAGATACAACCAGGACAAAACCTTCAACAACAAAATTCAGCCAATTGTCTTGAGAAACCTCCTGTGTATTAACAGTTCTAAGTGCTTCAATTTTCTGCATATATTTTCATTATACAATGTACAGGGATTCCAGTGGGTTTTTGCTCCAGGGCCTGAAAAATGTGAAAGAAGGCAGGCATGCACAAAACGATTGCAATACGCCATAAACACACTGCAATTGCACATGTAAATAATTGACCTATCGCTGTTTGCGAGTTAGCCACGCCCCTTAGACAACCCTATGGAATTTTGTAGTTAAGTTTTGTTGTCGCAGATTTTGCGCATTGCGCGTCCACTTGTATATCATGTAATTGAATATCATGCAAAGCCAAAACACTATTTCTTCACATTGAGGAGATGACAACTAGGAGTTTTGGATCATCTCTCTAAATGTTTAATTAGATATCATGGTTAATTGGCTCTGTAATGGACATTACACCTTCCTTTCATTACACTGGAAATGCCAAGTTCAGTGATTTAATAAGGACTTACCTTGAGTGCACATGGTTCCCGTCCAACCCGGTACACAAGAACAGCTGTATCCATTTGCTAGGTTTAAGCATGTCCCTCCATTCAGACACGGAGTGCTCATACACTCATTGATATCTGTAAGGAAATCATTCCATATACTTCAGAATCACATGACATGGGGCAGACTCGGGGTCAAAGTTAATGAAACTCAATACACAAATCAAGTTTCAATTTGTGCTGAAGTTCAAATCAGGTAACTTAGTGAAGTTAGTTGCTTAAGCAAACAATAAACAAGGGACTAGACAAAAGGAAATATACCACATGTAATAAAAGTTGGTTTTTAAAATGACTTGTACTAAGCAAACTCCTTTCAGCTACGCATCCTTTGTAAGGCGCGCCATGACAGTGGGCAGGTTTTGTTATTTAAATTCAGTTACAATGAAATTACAATGAAAGTACGTAATCAAGTGTATCACACAGGAACAAGGACCTGCCCACTGACATGGCCACCGTATGTTGAAAAGACGACAAAGTTTTTTTTTTTTAATCAGCTGAAAACTGATACAGAACCAATACATATCACTGTTATTTCTGTGGTGACCCTTTTCTGCTATGCGAAACTGTTTTTTTTTTTTGTGCCGTACTAGGGTGTATTCCACTTGTACAAACAATGCCGACGTTGACAAGGTCGTGAAAGTGGGACCATCTGTTTGCGGCGAAACTTGGCAATTGTCAACAACCAAGGCAAACGGTCTTTCAGAGTCGTTTGCTATGTTTTCCAAAATTGCCGACAAACACAAAGAATGGCATGATCTTGACAGGGCTGAGATTTTCTCTTTTCTACATGCCAAGTTATTAGTTTATAAATACTGGCAACATTTTACTTCAAGTCAATATATTTTTTGAGGATTTTGAAAGCTATTATCCAAACACTGTCACTTGTAGAATTGGCATACAGGGCGCATGACATTATCATTTCATTTGGGTTGGAACATTCGCATTGGCCTAACTTACAGATGGCAACATGTCCATGTAACTGCAACACATCCCTGAAGTGCCCAGAAAGTAAACAATATTTGGCACAGTGTCAATATACAGGGTGAGTAAAAAAAAGCGGAACCCAAACCCCCAAAAATATTTCATATTTAAAAAAATAGGTAGCACCAAACATAATAATGACTGGAAAGCCAATTTCATAAGCTACTTTTATATGAAAAAACTACTGAAATTGCTCAATCCGCTCAAAGAATATCACCATTTAAACGCAATGACCTAAAACCCGTTTCGTCCAAAAAAATTGATATTTTTTTAAATATGAAATATAATTTTGGGGGTTTGGGTTCTGCTTTTTTGACTCACCCTGTACATTCATAGTTTTCACAAGGTGACAAATTTTAGTGTAAATATTTGTCTTTTCTTGAAAACTATGACGATACTATTGATAAAATTCAATTGTTAAATATTGAGTAGTTGGTAAAATCTACCTTGCCCGCAATATTGGCCAGTATAGCCAGCTTTGCACTGGCAGATGACAAAGTCATATTGATTCAGGCAGGTAGCATTGTTCTTGCAAGGATCACCGATGCACGCATCTTTAGCTGTGAAACGGAGGAAAAACATGCAAGAACACACTTCAGTTATATTAGTTTACACTTTCAAACTCTTTTATCACAAAATGTCGACAATTTTTTGTTTTTACCTATTGATTGGGTTCTTTGGATTAATTAGGACACATAAAATTATATTTGTGTTTTTTATTTACTAGCAAATAGGGTAAATACTTGAAAAATGATCTCTGGGTAATAGTTTTTTCCAGAGATGGTGTTGAGTTTATGTGAGATGAGAGAATTTGGTTCACAAATTAACCCAAACCCTCTAAGGGCTCTTTGGTGGTCAAGTACCAAGTACCACCGAATACTACATGTGCTGTGCACACTTGTACGGAAAGAAATGCATACTACAGGTTACTACTCAGTTGTATTTTGTAGCTTTAGGTGTAGCAAATAATTTGTCTCATCCTGTCTCTCTGATTGACCTGGAAGGCCTTATAACAAAAAGACCAAAGTACCTGTTATTATTTATCAAATATGAAATACATGAGTGAATGTGCCATTCCGAAAAAAAAACCCCAAAAATAACAACTCAAAATGTATCAAACTGACCAGTTTGGCATCTGAGGCCCGTCCACTGTATGGTGCACTCACACACATAGCCGCCCTGTGCTGTGTGCTTACAGAAGCCTCCGTTCAAACAGGGAGACGACATACAACCTGTCAGAGCTGAAAACAAGGAATCAAATAGTTGGAGAAAGGGTCAGAGGACTCAAATCAGAGAGTTTCATCCATAAGAAGCCAAAGTACCATAGCAACGGCACAATTGAGAGTTTGAAACGCATCCCTAAATTGAAGTACTGGAATATAAGGTAGGACAGTGCCTTTTACTCCCTGCAGCGCCCTAAACCGCCCGAGAACAAAAGCAAGCCAGGAATGTAAACATTTTTGCAGAACTTCTGAGTACCGTGGCTGTTACCCTGGCCAGCCTGCATGAGAACGACAGACTGTAGGAGTAAGACATTTTCATGTACCTGTTTCACAGAGAGAGCCTGTGTAATTTGCTGGACATTCACACCGGAAACTTCCCGAAACGGAAACACAATTCGCACCATTCATGCAGGTGTTGTTTATGCAGTAGTCAATCTCTGAAAAACATAACAAAAGTAATTTGATGAGTGATTAATATTCATGAAAAAGGAGGGGCTGGCCTTCATAATCTAAACCAGGGGTGTGGAAACAATGTTTGTGATGTATTAATATTCATGAGGAAGGAGGGGCTAGCCTTCAGCATGTAAAATATGGTTAATGCTCATAAATATTCATGAGGGAGGGCAGTTGGCCTTTAGAATCCAAACCAGGGATGTGGAACGATATTAAGGAAGCATTTATTCATGAGGAGGGAGGGGCAGCTATCTTAAGAATTGATGGGGGGGGGGAATGATTTTTGGCCGTTTTTGTCGAGTTCCCTGAATGTATTTCATAACTCGACTGTTGAATGGGATGGAATCAGACTATTTATGCAGCCTTATTTTACTGTCATTTTATTTTAAATCTGGTTTAAAACATTAGGGAATGTTTAATTACAAATCTTAAATTATTAATTGAAGCAGACTTGAATTAATTATTAATATTCTTGCTTTCTCTTCGCAAGTTTCAAAAATGAAGATTTCACCTCACGTTCAATTCAATATGGCTGACCCGTGCATAAGGGTCATACTGCACCATTTTGCATGCAACGCGTACACCAGTACACCACGTCCTTCAATCGGTTCACATAAGCGGCTCAAACAGCGCCATCAATAATACTTGCGCATATCGTTTACCTGTCTGACATCTATCCCCAGCCCAGCCGGTCACGCAATGGCATTGGTACGAGGACGCGCTCTCCTCACACACACCCCCGTTGAGGCAAGGGGACGATGCACAAGGGTTGATGAATTGCTCACAGGTTGCACCACTCCAGCCGTTGACGCAGTCGCAGATGTACAGAAACATACTGGGATGCTCGCTGCACTTGCCGCCGTTCTTACACGGATCGCTGGCACATGCCTCAATTTCTGTCAACGGTGAAAAAAAGAAACATGAATGAAGAAAAAAAGACCAAGGTAGTCTGATGATTTAAAAGAGGGACAAACCTATGTTAACAGGAACGGAGTGCCCATCTCTCTTTCTTTAGCGATTGGGTCAGACTCATATGCTGCTGTGGGGGGATCAACACACCTCCTCCACAACGACTCTGTTACCTTCCCAGCATTGAATAATGCCAGTACCAATTTAACACCTGGGTTGAGAGGAGTAATTGAGGTTAAGCGCCTTACTCAAGGGCACAACACGCATGGCCACGGCAGGGCTCGAACCCACAATCCAACGGCCTTGAATCCTGTGCTCCACCACTAGACCACACATACACGCGTTAAACATTGCATTGACTCACTAGTTGAATAAAGTTACTATTACATGTAGGGATTATAATAACTTTGGGTATATGGACCAATTAGTGTACATGTATATCAGATCCGTGCTGGGGTTTCCAATGGCAATTTCAAACACAATAATCAATGGCAATTTCAAACACAATAATCATCGCCATCAGTACAGAGGCTTATAAGATTAAAGGGGAAATCGATTTGTGACTTACGAGTTTGGCAGACAACTCCAACATATCCGTCCCTGCACTGGCATGTGTAGGCGGTTTGGTTGCCTGTGCAATTACCTCCATTCTGACAAGGATTCGAGTCACACACATTGACGGCAATGTCACAGATGTTTCCAGTCCATTCGGAAGGACACTGGCATGTAAAGAATGTCTGACCATTCACACACGTGGCTCCGTTTAGACAGGGGTTAGGCGCGCATGTGTTGATTGCTGTTTCACATCTTTGTCCGGACCACCCAGCCGAGCACTCACAGGTGTAGGATGTTTGGTCGTTGATACACAAGCCTCCGTTCCGGCAGGGGTTGGACATGCATGGGTTGATGGTGGTTTCGCAGTTCGGTCCCGTGAAACCTGTCGGACACTGACACGTGTAGGATGTCTGTTGGTTGAGGCATGTTCCTCCATTGAAGCAGGGGTTGGATACGCAGACATCAACGAGGATTTCGCAGTTTCGACCCATCCATCCCGCTACACACTGACATGTGTATGACGTCTGTTGGTTGATGCAGGTGGCCCCGTTAATGCACGGATCAGGCACGCATGCATTGATTGGAGTTTGGCACTCAGTTCCAGACCAGCCATCGGTACACAGGCAGACGTACCCGAACATACTGCCAGACCCTTCCATGCACTGTGCTCCGTTCTGGCACGGTTGGCTTCCGCAACTCAAAATACCTGAAACAAAGGCATTAACAGGCTCAGTTTGTTGTATTGAAAATAGTATCAAATGGATATTGCAAAATTGCAAATACACGTACATGAACAAGACTGTAATTTTAGGTATCCACATTCAGGCATGCAACTAGGAATTTAGAAAAAACGAGGAAATTCCAAACCACGCAAGACTTTGTACAGTGTTTTTGAAGTTGTAATGGCATTCATGAGAAGTAAAAAACAAGGAAATCAGCAGATCCGAGGAAAAGTTGCATGCCTGCACATTGTTTTTATTAAAAAGTGAGCACATTTTAAACGGCGACTTAGACAACTTTTATTCAGCGACAAGTTTAGCTTACGGATTTGGCAGTTTTGTCCAGTCCAGCCAGGCAAACACTGACAAGTATAGGACGTCTGTTGGTTGTTACAAGTTGCTCCGTTCAAACAAGGATCTGGAACACAGAGATTAATGGGAGTTCCACAGTTCTGTCCAGTCCAACCGGCGGCACACTGACAAGTATAGAACGTCTGTTGGTTGTTACAAACTGCTCCGTTCAAACAAGGATCTGGAACACAGAGATTGATGGGAGTTCCACAGTTCTGTCCAGTCCAACCGGCGGCACACTGACAAGTATAGAACGTCTGTTGGTTGTTACAAACTGCTCCGTTCAAACAAGGATCTGGAGCACAGAGATTGGTGGGAATTCCACAGTTCTGTCCAGTCCAACCGGCGGCACACTGACAAGTATAGAACGTCTGTTGGTTGTTACAAACTGCTCCGTTCAAACAAGGATCTGGAACACAGAGATTGATGGGAATTCCACAGTTCTGTCCAGTCCAACCGGCGGCACACTGACAAGTATAGAACGTCTGTTGGTTGTTACAAACTGCTCCGTTCAAACAAGGATCTGGAGCACAGAGATTGGTGGGAATTCCACAGTTCTGTCCAGTCCAACCGGCGGCACACTGACAAGTATAGAACGTCTGTTGGTTGTTACAAACTGCTCCGTTCAAACAAGGATCTGGAACACAGAGATTGATGGGAATTCCACAGTTCTGTCCAGTCCAACCGGCGGCACACTGACAAGTATAGAACGTCTGTTGGTTGTTACAAACTGCTCCGTTCAAACAAGGATCTGGAACACAGAGATTGGTGGGAATTCCACAGTTCTGTCCAGTCCAACCAGCAGCGCACTGACAGCTAAACGTTGCCTGCCTATTCAAACACGTTGCAGCATTCAGGCACGGATCAGGGCTGCAGAAGTCTACATCTAATTCACACAATGTCCCAGTCCAACCATCCATACATTGACAGAAGAAGCTGAAGGAGTTAGCAGCTTCCAAACACTGCCCGCCATTCTGGCAAGGTTGACTCGCGCAGCTTAAGATCTCTGTACGCAAACAATATAAGATGAAACAGACCAAACTGTAATATCAAAATTCAACATTGCAACATTTTTTTGCAAGGGCATCACCTTGAACCTATCCACAAGCCACAACTCATCTAAATCATCATGATACATTCATTTTCATTCCCTGGCAAATTTGGGAAAATTGTGTCCTAGATACATGTACATAGAGTGCAATATTCTGCAATCTATTGGTGTGAGTTCGTCCATGAGAAACGCAGAGACTAGAGAAACAATCAATCGGATTAAATACGGTTCAACTATTTTGATTAACGTCGCTCTGACACAGGTCCAACCGCTTCAGAATTGAATTGAATAAAGAATCAAACATTCTAATAATAATATTTACAATATAATCCTACAACTTAAGGTAGCGCGTAAAGTCTATGATGTTGGGTTTGTGTTGGCGAGAACAAGGCATTATATGCATGTAATGGACAAATCTGGGGTGTGTTTTCACGACCGTGACCAGAAACATGTTTTGGCTTTGGTCATTGTTTGAGCATTTTCATGACTTCGGTTGGCTGGAGTGACGTCACTGTTCCGACCGAAACCAAACCAAGGCCAAGAGTTGGTAATGCAGTGCATTTCAAGATGGCGGAAAGATAAGTACAGACATGTAACAAAACAGTGTTGGGGGAAAATAAGCTTGTAATGCTTACCGGTATTTTTAATACGTACATCGTAAGTTTGTACATTTTAAGTGGCCTGTAATAAAATGTCTATACAACTTACAAGCCCACAAGGTTTTATCCCGAATTTTGCTGGGACTGGTCGCGAACACCTACAAATTATCGATGTTGTGCAAATGTCCGACATGTTTGTTTACAACTTTTTGACAAGGTTTTGACATAGGTAAACGTGTTTCTGGTTATCCATTTGACGTCACAAACATGTTGCTGGTCGCGGTCGCGAAAACACGCCCCAGAAGATGTCAAGCTTGTTCTACTTGAGAGAAAAACGTTTTTGTGTCCAGCCTATATCTCAGCTTTAATTCAATTTTTAAACTTACGTGTTTCACACCGCTGTCCAGTCCAACCCAGAGGGCACACACAGATGTAAGCAATACTGCTGGAGTCCTCAAAGCAGGTAGCTCCATTCAGGCATGGCTGGCTGACACAGGCTTCCGAAGCTGTTAACAAACATAAACAATCAAGATACTACTCCAGATATTTTTAGGTGTTTTAAAACCTAGGCTTGGGCTTTAGGAGATCTCAGACCCCTTACTTGGAAGTTCCTGGCTCAATCAGCTCTGTTCACAAGTACCCCCTCACCGGCAAAGAAAGTACAGTTGGGGTGACCGAACGACGCCATCTTGCCTGACTGCAATATTTTGCCGCAAAGCCCAGCCACTGCATGTACATAGTACAAATCCCCTGGTGTGCGTGCGTCACACACAAGGAACGGTGCGCGCGCGTCAACCAGCGAAATGTATGTGTCCCGCACATGGGACGTCGTTGCTAGATAAAAGGGCACCCTCTTTTGTTGGCGCACGGAGCCCATAGAGCTCTCCGACTGACCCTTGGATAGGGGTACCAGAAAGTCAGTATTTCCATTGTAGTAGGCAAGTTAATTATCCCATAGCATCGCGTGCAGCAGTTAGCAGGCAAGCTTTCAAAACCGTGATGGATGGATGGCAAAAACTGACAAAAGTCAAGTGGGAAACTTTTTCATGCCTTTTCACGCAAGAGGGAAACATTTTCACGCAAGTGGAAAACATTTTCACGCCTTTTCACGCAAGTGGGAAACATTTTCATACCTTTTCACACAAGTGGGAAAACATTTTCACGCCTTTTCACGCAAGTGGGAACATATTTTCATGACTTTTCACGCAAGTGGGAAACATTTTTACGCCTTTTCGCGCAAGTGGGAAACATTTTCACACCTTTTCACACAAGTGGGAAAACATTTTCACGTCTTTTCACACAAGTTGGAAAACATGTTCACGCCTTTTCACACAAGTGGGAAAACATTTTCACGCCTTTTCACGAAAGTGGGAAAATATTTTCACGCCTTTTCACGCAAGTGGGAACATATTTTCATGACTTTTCACACGAGTGGGAAAACATTTTCACAGAAGTGGGAAAACACTTTTTCATGAAATGGGAAATGTGAAAGCGAACTTAAATTCTTTTCACAAAATTTCCCATTCCCCTTCACAGTTTTAACTTTCAATTGCAATGTACTGTGTTGTGCAGGATTCCATGACTTTCCATGATAGCTTTAAATTCCAGGGTTTTCAAGGATTTTTCCTGGGGCAGCCGGAAAAAAACAGTTATCCTGCTAAAATTATGATAACAGACTGAAGCTGGGTTTGAACTGACTTAGTTTGGGGTTATATTGACAGCGAGTTAAAATACCGGCAAGAGGCAAACTTACGTATGTGGCAGTTCACCCCGGTCCAGCCTACTACACACTGGCATGTGTAGAATGTCTGACGGTTGAGGCACGTTGCTCCGTTTACGCAGGGATCCGACTCGCATTTATCGCTGGGTGTCTCGCAGTGTATGCCCTCCCAACCCGGCCTGCACTGACAGATGTAGGCGTACTCGTCAAACGCGTCTTTGCAGAAGGCTTCATTTTGGCAGGGATCACTGTCACAAGCGTTCAGTCCTTTTGAATAATTAAACAACAAAATACATTCGGTGATTTTTAACACATGATGGTGATATCTGTATCTGTATATTATAGTCGGTAAAGCATCCCAGGGGAAACATCACACCAACTTAGAGAGAAGACAATGAAAAGAAATTACAGTTTTAGAGGTGGGAGGAAAAGCTTAGATGTTCTGGGGAAAACCCACAGAATCAGGTAGGGACTGAAAACCCAATCCACATATTGGCCCAGGCGGGATTCGAACCCGGGTCACAGCGGTGGAAGGCGGGAAAAGTACCGCTACGCCAACCTGACTCCCCTGTGATTTGGAGAAACCCCTTCACTTGTTAACAACTGGGAAAATTGTTTTTCCTCAAACGTTACCATCAGGGCACATTGAATTTGCTAGGAACCCTCCAACTAATCCTCAGACTTTTTAGACTTGGAGGCTGCTTCTGGATGCGTTCAAATCATACAAGCTTCAGTGTTACCATTAGCTAATCCCCTGCAAATGTGACACCAACTAATATGAAAATGCATGTTACAAAAATGTTGTCAAAATGGCGGTGCCTGGTGCTACAAGTGTCAATGTGTAGAAAGCAGCTTTTCAAATCTTCACAAATTTAGTGCGACTTCACTGGAGATTTTCGATGTCGAAAATGGCAAATTTCAGCTCTGACAGAGTAAACGACTCAGAAAGATGGTTAGCTTGTGTTGACAACTTGATTGCAAACATTGTCCCCCAAACTTACGTGTTTCACAAAGGCTTCCAACCCATCCCAACACACACTCGCATGTATAGGAAGCCTGCTGGTTCAAGCATGTTGCTCCATTGAGGCACGTGACGAATGCGCACGCATCCCTAATCTCGCAGTTTGTCCCCATCCAGCCAGCTGGGCACGTGCATATGTAGTTGGTGTTGTCAACTGAATTGAGGCATGTCCCCCCATTACTGCACGGTTGACTGGTGCACGGAAGTATTCCTGTGAATAAAAAAATTATAAGGTCACGTGATCCACAAGGTCAAATTCAAGGTCAAAAGGTCACCATATTTGGAATTGTTCGATATAACCAATAATGGTAAATTTGGATTCCATATGTTACCTTTCCAAAGACACCAATATCAACAAATTTGGCCCACAGATTATGGAGATACATGTACATAATTGGCAGCCACACCCATTTCGGTCAAAATCGCAAAAAAAAAATGGCGGGCAGTAACACGAAAACCATTAGAATTTTAAAACTAAAAATAACAGCTCTTGCAGCCTCAGTTACCCCATACACTATTATGAACCAATTTGAAGGGGGCGGGGTGTTAAATTCCAATTTTATGGGGTGATTTGACACGGAATGACCCTGTTCTAATCTTTTTCAATTGTTAAACTGAATTCCAATGTAAACATCTTTTCAAAATTATCAAACAGTTAGCTAAAAATGATAATAAATCATAATAAATCTGAAGTTAGCGTGAGGAACACCCATCCTCATCTTTTTTGGTATTAATTTCTTAATTTCTGTCCAAAAGTATTTTGACAGAGCAAGTCACGCAAGTTTTTGACTTACTCAATTCACAGTTGTCTCCACCCCAGCCGTCAGGGCACTGGCAAAAGTAACTGAACTGGTTGAAGTTTTCCAAGCACGTTCCATCGTTCTGGCAAGGCTGACTTGCACAACTCAGAATACCTACAAAATGATAAAAACAATATTTATGTCCAATTGCCAATATTCCACATTAATTCATTCATCCACATTATTATAAAACTGCCTGTACGGCCCAACTGATCAGAAAATTAAAGAGTTGCTTCAAAATAATAACATTGTGAAATAAACAAACAATTAATTTGACAAATAGACCAGAATGTTGTTCAAATTAGTACCAATGATTCCCCGTCACTAGTTACCAGACTTGTGATCAAGTTGTGACAGACTCGATTAATTACCACACTGATTGTTATCAAGAGCTTACGTGCTTCACAGGTCTGTCCAACCCAGCCTTCAGCACACTGACAAGTAAAGGACGTCTGTTGGTTGAAACACGTGGCTCCGTTCAAACAAGGATCTGGATCACAGAGATTGATGGGAGTTCCACAATTCTGTCCAGTCCAACCAGCAGCACACTGACAAGTGTAGAACGTCTGTTGGTTGTTACAAATTGCTCCGTTCAAACAAGGATCTGGAACACAGAGGTTGATGGGAGTTCCACAGTTCTGTCCAGTCCAACCAGCAGCACACTGACAAGTGTAGAACGTCTGTTGGTTGTTACAAATTGCTCCGTTCAAACAAGGATCTGGATCACAGAGATTGATGGGAGTTCCACAGTTCTGTCCAGTCCAACCAGCAGCACACTGACAAGTGTAGAACGTCTGTTGGTTGTTACAAACTGCTCCGTTCAAACAAGGATCTGGATCACAGAGATTGATGGGAGTTCCACAGTTCTGTCCAGTCCAACCGGCAGCACACTGACAAGTGTAGAACGTCTGTTGGTTGTTACAAGTTGCTCCGTTCAAACAAGGATCTGGATCACAGAGATTGGTGGGAATTCCACAATTCTGTCCAGTCCAACCGGCGGCGCACTGACAAGTGTAGAACGTCTGTTGGTTGTTACAAACTGCTCCGTTCAAACAAGGATCTGGAACACAGAGATTGATGGGAATTCCACAGTTCTGTCCAGTCCAACCGGCGGCACACTGACAAGTGTAGAACGTCTGTTGGTTGTTACAAGTTGCTCCGTTCAAACAAGGATCTGGAGCACAGAGATTGGTGGGAATTCCACAGTTCTGTCCAGTCCAACCGGCGGCACACTGACAAGTATAGAACGTCTGTTGGTTGTTACAAACTGCTGCGTTCAAACAAGGATCTGGAGCACAGAGATTGATGGGAATTCCACAGTTTTGTCCAGTCCAACCGGCAGCGCACTGACAAGTATAGAACGTCTGTTGGTTGTTACATGTGGCTCCATTCTGGCATAGGTTGGGCACGCAGGCATTGACAGCGATATCACAGTCGTTTCCCTCCCATCCGTCCTGGCATTGACATACGTAGTTCCCTCCGTTGCTGTTTTCAAAGCACGAGCCATTATTCTGACATGGCTGGCTGAAGCAAGTCAGCAATTCTGTGTTAAAATAAATGAAAATGAGAAATTTACAGCTACATGTGGTTTAAGAAAGAACTAACCAATTTCATTTTTACCCACTCCAATTGACCTTGGTACGGTCGACTATTCAAGACCAGCCTACCGGTAAATGTTGTTGCATAGCTGGTTACCAATAGCTGTGCGCATCATAATGCACAAGAGAGAACCAGGAAAATGAAGTCTTGTGATGGCATTTTGACCATTGTTTGACGAGACATGCAAGAGACAGTCACTAACAGTGCCAAAGCAGAAGTCAAGGTTCGACTTTAGCGGTAGCCCACTAGCCAAATGCTAGTCAACACAGCAGAATGCTAGTCAACACAGCGGCGGGCTAGTCAAACTATTCCTTAAGTAGCCCGGCTGGCGAGTCAACAATTATTGTTACACAGCAAAGATGAAAGGAAATGAAGAAATAAATCATTAAATTCAGAAAGCAAACCTGTATCCATTTTATGAACTGGTTTAGGATTAAATTATTAGATCTGTTTATTAAAAACACTGACAAGATTACCTCAGGATACGCATTTTATTACAAGAGTCTGTTTTAGTAGCCCGGCTGGCTAGTGAAAAAAAGCTAAGGTCAAACCCTGCAGAAGTTATGTCGTAAATGGACTCCTAGTCGTTACTGTCATAAATAGGCATGTAAGAACACATAGCTTGCAGTAATTTTCAAACATGTGTTAGCGGTGCAGATACATTAGAGAGGTTTGACAAGCAAATAGATTGGGTTATCATGCCGGAAAGGTCATCAGTTTGTGTACATGGTCCTGTGATGTCATACGCAACTTGCTATCCAATACGAATGTACATAGCACGGACAAGTCGCACACAACATGACAGTGCAAAATGTGTAGTAAATTGCAGATTTTCTGCCGTATTTAAAACAATTTATTAAATCATGGATGATTTGATTAAAAGAGGATGAATTCCTGAACAACTATGTACCATTTTTGTGTGTTTCAAATGCAGGATTAGCTGTAGATAGGAGGCTTTCATTGAAGGCTGCCATTTTGGTTTTGTATGCGTTTGCGTACACGATGCAAAACATTGAAATGATCGATAACTCTTTAAGGATAAAATGTATGCATGCACGCCTCTAATCGGATGCGAAACCTAGAATCTTCAAAAACAGCCACTTTCATATGCGAGGCGTTATGGCAAAATGAGACAGAACTGGACAGCGATCAAAATGAGGGTTTGTATGTATTAGGAAGGAGAATACAATTCTCCTTATAATACTGTTTGTTGCACTTCAATCAGACATTCCGTTGACAAGCCTTAGCTGTTTAAAGTTTGCATTTATCGACATGTCAAAAAAGTAACATACTGAGAAAAAGGCCTCTAAAGTTTTGAATTTTTAAGCGTGAAAATAAAAGATGCCAATTGTTTTTTCCCTCCTAAAAAAACTGTTCCATAGTTTTATCTTATGTCTTTAAAGTATGTGAAGCAGACATATCAAAGAATACAAATATCACTAAATCTCAAAAAAAAATTTAAAAATTACCCCATTCCATATTTTGCATTTAGAGGCTGTGCCAAGTTCTCACATATGTGACCTGTTCTGTCAAAAGCAGACGCTTCTGGGCAGAGGTTGAAATTAAGATAAAGCCAAAAACGCTGTGGGGGGTGATGTTTTTTCGATTTTCTAATTTTTGCTGATTTGTAATCCTGAACATGTCTAAAATATACTATAAAAGTTTGAAACTCTAATTTGAACTCTAAATATAGTATTTTTGATGATTTGTTGAGGTATATCAGTTAAAGAAATTACTGTTTTGTGACTTTCCTTTTCTACTTTTCGACACAATGAACTTCAAAATAGCATAACTTTGCCCAGGAAATACAGGTTTCAAAATTAAACCACGTATTAAAAGGAAAATGTACATATTTTAACAATATGCAAAAATCTCATTTTCGACCTTATGCCCAGAAAAGTCTGATGTTGACAGAACAGGTCACATATATATCCTCACCATTAGTTAGGAATTGCTAATGTTGAAAAAAAGAAAGAAAGGAATATTTGAAGTTTTAAATGAAAGCAGTAACATACGCAGGCCACAGTCGGTCCCCGTCCAACCAGCTGGGCAGACACACAAATAACCACCAGACTCAAACGATTCATAGCATGTGCCTCCATTCTCACATGGTTGACTTGGGCAAGAGAATGCCACTACAAGATAAAAATAAAAATTATCGTTGATAATTATTAGTTTGCCATGAACGCTTCAGTAAATACAATGGATATTCATAAATACCTAAGACAGTTTAACCATTCCTATTGGTTGAGAGCCCGTCACGTGGCCGATTTTAAACGGTTGATAAAGACCGGCTGGCCGGTCTTAAACACTTTTCCAGTGTCACATGAAATTTGGACTCCCTTGAAATCCGGTGCCTTTTAGTTACCGTTTTATTGGTTGAATGTTCACAATGCACACGTAGGCATGCGCAACACTACCAGTGAGTCAGTATTTCATAGTCCTAAATTCACAATATACACTGGCACACCTGTGTTCTGTTCATGAAGATATACGAGGTATGGTAATATGGAATACCGTCACAAATATGAGAAAAAAAAACATAATTTAATAAAATCCTAAGTTTCAAGCTTTTCATAAGCTTGTTTGCCTTTTTTATAGCTCTAGGATTCAAAAGAAAAAGTTTGGAGAATTTTTTTAAAAATTTGGTAGGTGTGTTCTATCCATCCTTATGGGGTAACCACGGTAATAGTTGACATACCTTCATTACAGTTTAATCCTGTCCATCCAATGGTACAGACGCATTGATAGGCCTGCTGATTGGCTGCTTCGAAACACCTGCCACCATTCAGGCACGGTTGACTTGTACAGGCTTGAATGACTGTCAACAAAAGAAACTTTTGAAAATGACACCTTTGTGTTGCCAGAGGCAAGACTAGGGAGATTTTTTTTTTTTAATTAAAAAAAAAAATACTTTGACGAGCCCCTTCAGCAAGGCAAAATTCATCTATGCTACATGTATGCATTTGCCGAAAGAGGCACTCCTAAAAACTGCCCTCTGCAATGTTTCATATTAACATTTTGACCCATAATGAAACTAGAAATCACTCAGAGAACCCTATCCTCAGAGAGCCTAAGGCTGAGCAATATTCACCCATATTGCCAGTACAGTGAAACACCGCTTTAACAAACACCACTATAACGAACGTTTGGTTATAACGAACGTCCCCACAGGTTCCCAAAATAGTGAATTCTACTATAATGACAATCATTATAACTAACAACCACTATAGCAAACACTTTCTGTGGACCCCGTTGTGTTCGTTATAGCGGCGCGTCACTGTACACCAAAAAGAAAGACTCACATATCCACTGGACTCCCATGTTTTTTTGCACATTTAAAATGTCAACAGTGCTGCTCATATTCTGAATTATCGAAAAATAACAATGTTGGTGCTTCATATCGTTTGTTATTCAATACAACAAATCCTTCAACTCAAACATTTTGTAGTCTACATGTATATGGCGGGTGTAAGAAGAGTATACGTTTTGAAAGCCTCAGTAATCTAGTTTTTCCTAGGACTTACCATTATTACAGGTTGGTCCACTATATCCCGATGGACAGATACAGTCAAACGACGTCTGGAGATTAGTGCATGTTGCTCCATTCTGACATGGGTTGGGTTCACACCTGTTTGTAGGGACGGTACAAGTTGTCCCCTCCCACCCGTTAGCACAGGCACAGGTGAATAAGTTACCCTGGGGTGAGCAGGTGCCTCCGTTCATGCAGGGGTCGTTGTCACAGGCACGAATCACTGTTAGGGCGAATCAAATTAACATCGACATTATGATGGTGATAGCGAATAATAATCTCTCCTAGGGTGCATTTGACTCACACAAACAACGCAAACTTTGCCAATATTATACAATTGGCTGTGCACAAAAGATTGCGTACGTTTGCAACGATTTCTGGAGTGGAATGCACTCGTGTTTAGTGTAAATAAAAACAAGTCTGTCACGAGCCAATGTGGCCCATCAGGCTGAGGTTTATCCCCGGTTTCAGAAGCATGAAACCACTGAGAATATTTCTATTCCCCCTGGACGGGATGCTACTCCATCGCAGGTTACTCCCCAGCTAATGCCGGTACCCATTTATACTCCTGCATAGCTGCCAACATTTCAAAATCCCAATTAGTAATCAACCCGCGCAGTCATTTTCAACTTCTCGTTTTATCAAAAGCTTTACCAACATCGAGTACAGGTACATGGTTTACATGTACACATACATGTGCATACCCTTCTTCTTGTGAATAATAATGTAATGTAGGCCAAAAGATAATTTTAAAAAAAAAAAAAAATTTTTTTTTTAATTAATTTTTTTTAATGTCTGTATTTGTTTGTTGGAGTCAAATAAATAATAACAATAATAAAATATGCGCATATTTTTTTGGAGATGCATGCTATCGATGTGGAGTTTCGAGTTCGTATCAATGTTTTTACACACAATGATTTAGGGCCACCGTCATGACCGTATGCAATAGAAATATCCCGCCAACATACCTTGCAAACGCATGCTGATTTATCTTTTCTGGACGTTGTGACAAACTCAAACTGTAATACCAATTATTCCAACCATACTCTTATTAAATTCCATGATTAAATTGTCGCACTGATGGGTCTCAACCCGGCAAAAAGCGACCAAATGTGCTCACGATCGTCACTGAAAAGTACTCACATACAGTACACACAACCACACATCCACGAGATGCACACAAATGACACACCATTGAAAAATAGTTTTAGTCTGGTCCTCAAGTACTCCACTGCGCACACTGCATTGTTGTCTATCAGGTGCTTGACTGCATTCTTATTAGACTTGTCACCAGTCCATCCATTATCGCGACATTTCGCCAGAAGTTTTCGGTCAAAACGATACTTTACAAGTATTTTTTTTTTTTCATTAGGTAGAAAATGGGAAATTCGTAATGTTTTAGTGGCAAATCGTATTTTCGTAATTTAACAAATAATTCGTAATAATTACGAAAAATTAGTAACAGTTGGCAGCTATGCTCCTGGGTGGAGAGAGTTAAGTGGGGGTGAAGTGGCTTGCCCAGGGACACAACATATGACCAGCAGCTGGATTCGAACCCCTGACCCTCTGATCATGAGACACAAACCCTAACTACAAGGCCACACTCCCGTGTTTAGTGGCCATACCAACTACCTAAAAGATAAAAGATATCGCATCCGATGCGTTACAGCACTGCAATGGATCATAATTAAGTTGCGATGATGTTAATGTAAATCGGGTGCTGCACATTGGTTTATACCTATTAAAATTGTTCAAGAATGTACTCATTCATGTACATATTCAAACTGACAGCCTTTTGGAATAGGAGCGATTCAAAATACGGTGCACCTCAAACGTTTATCCCCCAAAAGGTTTATTTCCAGCGGGTCAACATCGGTACTAACTAAGCGATGCGTTACCGCGCTTTGAATATGGCAGACATCCAGCGAATGCCGAGATCAATGCGATGTGAGTTGTAAACAATTTAGTTTTTTCTTCTTGTCTTGGGAATGGTAAGACATTAGGTTTAGTTTCCTATCAGAGACCTAAGAAATAGGATAAGTAAACTTTCCAAAACTACAATTTTCGAGGAAATTCAAGCCGTTATGCTCCTTTAAGCAGGTCAGTGAGTCAGTCTGTCTCTGGCTGTCTTTGAGACTAGCAAAAAACATTAAGATCTATTTTACCCAGTCCACAGTTCAGTCCAGTGAAGCCTGAGGCACACATACAGGTGTAGAGTGTCTGGGAGTTGTTACACTGTGCTCCGTTCAAGCAGGGATTGGAGGCGCAGGCATCCAATGGCTGGTCACAGTACATCCCCTCCCACCCTGGCGCACAGCGGCAGAAATGACCCAGAGGGTCATCGTAAGCCTGGAAGCAGGTGGCGCCGTTCCGGCATGGCGACTGGGAGCAAGCGGTTATGGCTGGAAGATGAAGATGGCAATTGACAAATTAAAATATTTACTTATGGCCGCGTCCGGATTACATGGCTACGGCTTTTAATTACACACACGGCTATGAAAGCGGCTGCAGCCATTTCCCATAAACCCGTGTGTTTCTCCTAGCCGTAGCCGTTAGTAATTTGGACACGGCATAATAACATGCACTGAGATCATGCTGAAGTCATGATACAAGTCTGGTGTCTTGAAGGCAAGATATTACAATGAATAAGCAAAGAAAAGGGTGACCAGACTAGTGTTACTGATTTCTATCCGACAAATGGAAAGACCTGATATCCATTTTGAAAAATGGACACAGATTTTTTTTTCAGAAAAAGTGAAAGCAAAAGAAACTTTTAAACAATCCTGAATTAATCCATACTGGAATGAACAATTTCTGCATAGTGAGAGGAAAAACAGGCTATAACAAGTAAAGCTGCAACTCTAAACAAACACAAGTTTCAATAGATAAGCAAGCACTTTTTTAAAACTAAAAACAGCAAAGACAGAAAAACAGGCAAACTGAGAATTTGTCAGTATTTACATACAGCCACTTGTAAACAAAAGCAACAGCTGGAAATTGAAGGATACGGAAATGCACACACGGTTGAGGGCGCTGTGCAATCTGCTACAGGGAACCAATGGAGGGCAGTCTGCTAACGCCTTAAACTGGTTTCCGCGTGTATAACTACATATTGTAACATGCAAACACACATACAATGCTTACATTCCCGCACCCACACAAAAAAATTACTTTGCTTTTTGCACTGTGCAGGCGGCTTTGTTACCTATCGGCTGCTTCACAGGTGCTTCGCAGGTGATCAGCTCACAAATGAATAACCTGTGAACACACACATTCTTGTTCCGTAATTATGGGGACTTGCACTCGTCTGTGCAAGGTATTTGTGGGGACCGAAAATGCTATGGGGACAGCAGAAAGTCCCCATCACTCGGTCCTAATTTGCCTAACAATAAAAAACTTCCCCATAACGCGGTGTATGCCTACCCACAGGTACTTGCATTCTATTCTTGACACTCAGTACATGGATAGCAGTGGTGAAACATGAGAGCTCTCACTGAATGGCAAATTACCGATAAGCAGAAATGAACACCCTTGTATGCATATATGTTCACCCGTGAAATGATTTTAATGTACAGAGTCACTATATAGTCGTGTTCCCTAACGTGGCGCACTTCGAAGCTTACCCAACTTTCCTCGTGTAGTGTTGCCAAACCTCTTTGTTGACAAACCTCAAATTCATGCAGTGAAATACTGGTACTTTTACCTTTTTAATGCTTGCTATTTAACCTCTGTGAACAATTTCGGTTTCATAAAATTTAATCCGAAATGCAAAAACGGTCGCGTCCGGAAATTGGGCACAAATTGGCGGAGTGTTCCCTAACGTGGCGCACTTGAATAAATCTTGGAAAATTCCAAATTAACACTTACGAATTCCTGTAAACTTGATAAATTCTGATAAATAATTAATATCTTTACTTACATACCCAGCCAAATGTTTGTCAGAAAATTATTATCTTATTTTTCAGGGCATTTTCTAAGGGTTCCCTTTGCACTTGAAAATAAAATCGGAAAATCACGCCAAAATAGCTTTTCCTTCTAACTTTGTTACGGGTAAATAAACTCGCGATTTATGAACAGGACCGTTTAGAACTTGATGAAATTTCACTTTCTGTGAAATTTCAGTTTAAAATTTTGCTCTAGGTAGGCGCTACCGGCGAAAAATCCAAGTGCGCCACGTTAGGGGCCGCGCCACGTTAGGGTACATCAACAATACACACAAAACTGAAATGGAAAACATTCAATCATTTTGTACTTTAGATGAACAATGAACACAACCTGTTAAACAAAATGTTTGCAACATTTGACTCGCTTTCGATTCAAGATGGCCAACTTAGGCGAGCCCTCAAATTAGAATCCCTCCCTGGACCGTTCGGGGTTGAGCCCGCCCAGTATGTTGAAGGGATTGGGACCTTGCATGGAACCGATCGGCCTGGATTAACTCCACCAGGCTTCTGCACCATGGCTCTGGCTCATCACAAAGATACCAATTTGCGACGCGCTAATCCTCCAGTAGGCAACAATGACTGTGATGAGCAGTCATCACCACTACTATCCCAGCAGGCCGAATAATCCTCCAACAATGGCCAGACTTCAATTTATGTTGCCTATTGTGAAACCCTGAGTCACTAGTTTGGACCGATTGGGGCGTCACGCTTCAGTGACCGGGTGGTTTCTGGCTTCGTACCGATTGGGGTGAAAGAAATTAGCATACCGGACCCGGTACCCGAACGGTCTGTTATCTGATGGCTCGCCTTAGGAGAAAGTATGCGTATTTAAATGACAGCCACTAGACAAATAGCAACTTCAAACAACCATAAATGAAAGAAAAAAAATGAAACAAACGACAAAAAAATGTAAGGGTGCACTGCTATAAACAGTGACCAAGCAACACAGTTCCCTGATGAAATGTGCAATGCTGGAAATAATCTGCAAAGAAATGTTGGATGTCCCTTCATGGCCATCTTACTTATGAGGTGAAGTGGTGCACATCTACCTCAAAATGAAAATTATTGCAAAGCACATACAGTGTATTCTATTTGAAGCAGAAGCCACTGACAGGACAGTCTACAGTGCTTATTACCTTTGAGTTAATCTGGAAGAAAACTGCTCACAGCATACCCAAGAGACAAGAAAAAGTAAACACTTGAAGAATTGTTACTTTTTACTTAGTGTTAGCTTTTATATTTAAATTAAAAAGTAGAAAGCATATCGGCATTACAATCAATTGATAACACTACAGTGACAGCAGAGTACATGTACGTTGAATAGTTTTCTTTTTTCCAGTTTAATATTCCTCATGGAAGCGTTCAAGTCATTCGCGAAAGTGGCTTTCAACAAAAGTATTGCATTTGACAAACTTACGGAATTAAAACAACATTGTGTTTTTTTTCCCAATCTTCTCTTTGATACTGCTCACATTTCTTGAATATTTGAATCAAAAATTTCTTTTTGGATATTTCCATTGATGATCAAATATTCAAATATTTGGTATACGGTATTTGGCACAGCTTTATCTGCCAAGAAAAACAAAGGGTCTACCTATGTCTACAGAGAAATAAAGAATGCATTCAGATGCACAACTTCTTTAGACCTTACCAAAGCAGCCATCTTAAAGGGCAATGCTTTAATTCTGCTGACATAGGCCCAGTTTGTCTTCATTAAATTTTAAAATGCCCTCTAACTTAAGATGGCCATTTTACATAAGATCCCTACTTCTTGGAGCGAACAGATTCCTGTTAATACACATCATGAAACAATGTTAAAAAGCACACCACGGGATCCACACAGACCCAGTTTACAGTACAGAAACTCAGACTGGAGAGAAGGCTATACATGGAACCAAACTTTGTAATGAATAAATACACCTGCCACTTACGCAGCTCACAATAGAAGCCGGTGAAGGCATTTGTGCACTGACAGATAAATGAATCAGGTCGGTTACCGCTGACACAGGTACCAGCATTCTGACAAGGCCTTTGGTTACAAGTAATGGCTGAATTGTGACAAAAATAAACACAGAGATTTACTTCTGAAATATGGAAAATGAAAGATCTCAGTAACTGCAGAAAATGGGGACAGGACTTTTTTTTCACATGAAGCTTTTTTTTTTACAAAACTGAAGAATTTGAGAAAAAGGTTACGGTCAAGAAAATATTTTCTTCTTTTGGACTGTCAACTGATTAGTTTCAAATTTTAAAGGCAAACAGGCAACACCATTCAATAACTCATTTCAATAATCAAACCCAATATTGATTCTTTTTGGACTGAGAATCACAGAAATAATTTTCAATACAAAGCTTTTGGACTATGATGGTTTCAGCAAGATGGAGTCAGGTTGGCGTAGCGGTACTTTCCTCGCCTTCCACCGCTGTGACCCGGGTTCGAATCCCGCCTGGGCCAACATGTGGATTGGGTTTTCAGTCCCTACCTGATTCCGTGGGTTTTTCCCAGAATATCCTTTTGGGGTTTTCCTCCCACCTCTAAAACTGTAATTTCTTCTCATCGTCTTCTCTCCACAGGTTTCTTTAAGCTTGCGAGCTTACAGTGCCTAGGGCGCTCTTGAGGATTCCTTGGTTTCATTACCAGAAATAAAATATTAATTTTAATGATAATTCACTCTTTTCCATATTGGAAAATCCTCTCAAATGTCCGAGTGGATTTTTTAATATCTCAGAGGGATGGGGTTTAGATTGAGATATCTTCATGATAAAAAATAATCATCTTCTCAGCTCAGTCTGATCAAAACCTCTGTTAAATAAATCTTAAGAATTGTTGCTAATAAAAAAACTGAAACGAAGCACTTTGGCCATTGTGTTATAGATAGTTGTTTGGGACTGGGAGTGTTAATTACGTGGAGTTTTACAAGTAAGGGAGGGAGGATACGGAGACACTTGTGTCTCACTGAAGTCCTGTGTGTACCCCCCCCCCCCCTTCCCTTGTGTCCTCTCCCAGATTTTGGGAGAGAAAAACATTAACTTTTCTTGTTAAAACCTCTTGAGTTCCCCCTCCCGAAAATGAAGCCATTTAAGTTCCCAACCCCTTGCAATCTGTGCCCCACTTCTGCTAGTGTCAAGGATCAAGATCTAAGAAGTTTAAATTAATGCACTCTCGTCATTGTGTACAAAGAGTTGATGATGGATCAAGAATAAATAAACACAACTTACGTATGTTACACTCAGCACCAGTGTGGGTCGGAGGGCACCGGCAGGCAAAAGCTTCAGGAGTGTTACCAGGGAAACAGACTCCTCCATTGTTGCACGGCCGACTATCGCAACCTACCCCCGCCGCTGAGAATGACAAAGTGAGAAGTGTCTGTGATATGGGTCTTTCCTTGAAGCGGGAAAATGCTTCGCGACAAGTTGACATATTTGGGGCCATTCAGTGAAACTTCATAGTTTTGAAAGTGTTTGTTTAGACTGAATTGTTTCAGAATTTCTATCAGTCACCAGAAAAAATGAGGCAAAATGAGATACTTACTTTGCCCACAGTTTGTGCCGATGTAACCAGGTGGACACTGACAGGAGTACACGCTCAACGTGGTGCCTTGGAAACACAGGCCGCCATTTTGGCAGGGCTCGACGTAGCATCCCAGAGCTAAAAAGCAGAGGAAAAAACAATTTCTTATAAAAAAAACAACATGAGACTGGATTTCTATCACAGAAGCCACAAATTCTGTTGCAAATCTCATTTCATTGTTCAAGTATAAGCTAGTCAGCTACCTCAAGGGGAAAAACCAACAAACAAAAAAACAAGCATACACAATGTTTCAATATATTAAATTTTCAACTGGCAGACATAAATCTGGATTGGCAGCCCATTTAATTTTTTTGAATGGCGCATTCAATGAGGCTTGCGTCTGGCATAAAAAAAACGTTACATCCCTTGGAGCCAAGCTAGCTTAATGGTGTGATTGACATTTGGCATAGAAAAGGAACACATACCTCTGTATTCACAGTGAGTTCCGGTGAATTCTTCAGGACAGGCACATGTGTAGGATGCTGTCGTTGCGTTAGTGTTGCATGTACCTCCGTTCATACATGGATTCATATCACAAGAGTTAGATACGATCACTTAAAGAAAGAAAAGAAAACAAATAAAAACTTTTAAATGTAAGACTTTTTGGCCAAAAATTTGCTTGATTTTGGCACGGATGTTACACGGGGGCACTGATAGGTGGTAAGTCTTCATGTGGACTTTCAAACTTACATGCTTCACAGTTGAGTCCGGTGTAAGGCGAAGGACATTGACAGATATATGGATTGCCTAACGAGGATGAGAAGCAGCCGCCTGAGTTCAGGCATGGGTTGTCAGCGCACGTCACTCCTGTAGATTATCAAAGAAATAGAGTTGCAACATAGAATTGTTTTTGCCCTTCATCAACGTTACTGCATAAATATTGCATGATACGTTAAAATCTCAAGAGAAAATGGCTGGGGAAAAAAGTTCTCTCAAACAACTTTGACACGAGTATATGAATCCGTTGAAAAGCTGCGTTTTGCTCAACAAATTGACAAAATTGTGGACCAAATTCTTTCCTCCTTGTTTCAGCTCAGCATTTGGATAAGCAGCATTCAGATATCCATTCTTTTCTTGTTAACTGCTATATTTGTACCAGGTTCTGAAACATGTATTCCTACAGCAAAACTTTCCCATTTGATCTAAATGTCACACTTATTGTCACCATTTTCAGAAACTCAGTAACTCCCCCCCACAGAAGTGTGGTTGGGGTCTACGAGCGAATACTTACCTGTAGAGCGAATACTACATATGCATTGTTCCCTATGCCGGCAGGCAATTTGCTAAGAGTTTTACATACAATAGCGCCCTCACGTGTCCTACCCACGACGCCCTGTGACATGCGCACCACGTTAGCGTCCTCTTTTTCTCAAGTGTTACTTGCGTAAGCACTCAAGGAATCAAGTATAGTGGGGAAGGAGGGAGGGGTGCTCTACAGGTAAGTATTCGCTCGTAGACCCCAACCACACTTCTGTGGGGGGGAGTCTACATCACTCTACTTACCTGTAGAGCGAATACTACATATGCATAGACTCGCACCGAGTAAGGCGGTGGGTATACGCAAATTACCGTATGTCTACAGGGGTGTAGGACATGAGGCGTGTCCAAAGGCAAACAACACCAAACCAAAAACCTACATCCCAGACGCTCTAGGTTTCACCTCGTCAGGGGAACCCAAAGAGCTCGTGCGCAAAAAGTCAGGGGGGTGTAACCATTATGGGAATGAACACATGATAGATACACCTAAGTAAACTTAATGCCCATACCAATATATATATGTATATTTATATGCTCACCCGTTAGTGCTTCTGTGAGGCTCGACTGGCCGCTAGCAGCACTTCTCTTCCAGCCTTGCCATCTGCCTGGAGGACATCCTTCAGGTAGCATTCGGAGAACGTGTTAGGGTTCTTCCAGCAGGCTGCCTTGACGATGTCACCTAGGGGGACACCCTTAAAAAAGGCCCACGAGGTGGACACTCCCCTGACCTCATGCGCTCGAATGGGTCCCTGGGTCGCTGGCCAGCCGCCCGGTACGGACCGGATAGCCGTCACGATCCAGCGAGTGATTGTATCGCGGGACGCCGGCCCATGGGGCGGGGTCGTCGTGATGAACAATTTTTCGTGTCCCGTACGAAGTGACTTCGTACGGTTGACATACCACTTAAGTGCTCGAACTGGGCACCAAAGTTTGTCGTTTGCCTCGTTCGAAAAAGACTTGATGTCCGGGACAAAGATGTCCGGGGGCATAAAGGTCTCCGACTGGTTCTTTGCGAGAAAACCGGCCGTAGGGATCAGGCGGACACCCCCCGGTTCCCACCGGATGTGTCCTGTCTGTATCGATAACGAGTGTAGTTCGCTACGTCGTCGGGACGTAGCAACAGCCAATAGAAAAGCTACTTTGATGGAGAGCTGTAACAAAGTTGAGCAATTCATTGGTTCAAAGGGAGCCTTCGCCAGTGTAGATAATACACCGAAGAGGTCCCAAGATGGGATTAATGTGCGTACTGGGGGACGAGTATTAAACATCCCCTTGATCAGTTGGCTAATTGCAGGGTTGTCGGAAACGGAGGAACCGTCCGAAAATCCCTGATGGATCGCGGCAACGGCCGATCGATAATTTTTAACTGTGGCCGTCGTGAGCCCACTGTCAAAAAGGTATAGGAGGAAATCCCCCACTTCCCCTACAGAAGTATTGGGGGGATGAATGGATTGTCGTCTACACCATTTAAAGAAATGGCGTAGTCGGCTATCGTACACCTTTCTGGTTGAGGCTCTACGGGACTGGGCTGCAATTGTTGCAGCTCGTCGCGAAAGGCCTGCTGAGCAGAGGGATCGCGTGACAATACCCAGCACGTCAGGTGAAGATCCCCCGGAGCCCGGTGATTGATTCCCGAGCTGGGCTGATAAAGAAGATCGGCCCTCTTCGGTAGAATTACCGGGCGGTGAACCAAGAGTCGGACGAGCCGGGGAAACCACGGCTGGCGGGGCCAGAACGGGGCTATGAGGAGAATTCGGCAATCCTCCTGCTCGATCTTGGTCAGCACTCGAGAAACGAGGGAGATGGGTGGGAAGGCATAGGCCAGTAGGCCGTCCCACCGCACCGACAGTGCATCGGTCTGCCACGCGTTGGGATCTGGGCCCCTCGCGCAGTAGATCGGTAGTTGATTGTTCATTCGCGACGCGAATAGGTCCACATGCGGCCGGTCGATTAGTCTGAAGATCGACTGAGCCACCTGTGGGAGCAGTGACCACTCTGTCGGGGCGATCCAGCCTCTGGAGAGAGCGTCGGCCGTGACGTTCTCTTCCCCCGGGATGTGGACTGCCGACAGGGCTATCCCGTGATGTATGCACCAGAGGGTGAGATCCCACGTTAGTGCACACAGATGGCCTGACCGAGTGCCACCCTGGTGATTGATGTATGCCACCACTGTGGCGTTGTCGCATCGGACCAGGACTGCTTGCCCTCTGACGTCCGACTGGAAATGTTTTAGTGCGTTGGTGACTGCCAGCATTTCCAGGACGTTGATGTGAGATGACTGATGTGCGGGGCCCCATACGCCCGCGACCTGTCGCGGGTGGAGGGTAGCCCCCCAGCCGTACCCTGAGGCGTCGGTTGTGATAAGTACCGACGGGCGGGGCGGGCGGAAAACACGGCCCTGCGTTATATTGGCCTCGACTAGCCACCAACGAAGGTGGGGGACTAGCCAAGACGTAGTGGGCACCGGATGGTCGATCGGGTGCCAGCGGGGTCTGTAGAAAGACAGCAGGTGAAGTTGAATTGGCCTCATCCTCAGCCTGCAAAAATCCACCAAGTCCACCAGACTGGCCATAAGGCCCAACAGCCTGAGCCAGGCTCGGGCCGGAGCCACTACCGTCGGGAGGAAGAGGGACACGCACTGCCGAAGGTTCAGCAGGCGGTCCTCCGATGGCCGGGCCAGTCCCCTGCGAAGATCGAGGGATGCACCCAGAAAGGTGGGAACCTGAGAGGGGACTGGATGGGATTTCTTGGTGTTGATGAGAAATCCCAGGTCGGAAGCAAGTTGCCACGTTAGTTGGAGCGCCGCTTCCGTCTCCCCTCGAGAACGGCCCACTACTAGCCAATCGTCGAGGTACATGAATATCATGACCCCTCGACGCCGCAGTGCCGCCCCGATCGTCTTCCGATCGCCCCGATCCGGGTGAACACCCGCGGAGAAGTGGATAGCCCGAACGGGAGCACCACAAATTCGTACAGTGTATTTTTGTATTGGAAACGTAGGAATTTGCGATGTTCCGGCCTGATCGGTACGTGAAAGTACGCGTCTTTCAAGTCTATACTGGCCGCCCACGCTGGTGTCATGATCGATGCAAGAATGGTCCGTAACGTTTCCATGCGGAAACGTTTCGGACGTATGAACTTGTTGAGGGGTTTTAAGTTCAGTATTGGACGCCACACGCCGGTTTCCTTCTTGGGGGCCAAGAAGAAGGTTGACATGAAACCTGCCCGGGTCCCCCCTTGGGGGACAACACGAACTGCTCTCTTCAGAAGGAGGGCGTCGATCTCCTCCTCGAGGGAGCGGCGTTTTGCTGTGTCGGGCGGTACGGGCGTTGTCCGAATTAGCATGTCCGACGGGGGGGTCCTCGTAAACTCGAGCGCGTAACCGCTGCTGATTGTTTCGAGGACCCACCGGTCGGAAGTCACCTGCACCCAGGACCCCACGAACTCCTGAAGGCGGCCTCCCACGGGTCCAGCGGTGGGAGGCCACCTGGAGACGCATAAGTCACTTGCGCCACGCCCCGGTGTACCGGGGAGTGGGCGCACGGAAACCGCGTCCCGACTGGGGACGCTGTTGTCCGATATGTGGTTGTGAATAGCGCGGGCCGACCGCCTTATCGGCGCGCCCACGAAATCCACCACGGGCCGCTCTGACCGGGGGGCGGCGCCGGGGAATGACAAAAGATGGCTGTTTCTTCTTGTCCGCGGTTTTCGGCTCGACCGGTTTCTTGAGATTTATTTTCTCCGTGGCCTTGAGGCGCTTTGCTTCAGCCTCCATGGCCTCCTGGAACTTACCAGAAAATAAGTCCGGGCCTGAGAGCGGGAGATCGTCGAGACGCTTTCGTGCTCCCGGTGAAGGGAGGAAAAGCGCATCTAGCACATTGGCGCGGCGTGACGATGTTGCTAAGGTCGACACTCTAGCAAACTGGTCGAGAGTGGAGCACAGGCCGCGATCGAGGCAATGGAGAGCAGCCACCATCATGTCGGCTGGTATCACCGAATCTTCTTCATATCCCAGTGCCAGGTACTCTGACAGGAGAAGAAGAAAGGACGTCGCACGCATACCACTGCGTGCCGCCGAGTCCATTCTGCGGGTGACATCTTCCAGCTTTCCACGGGTCTTGTCTGTAAAAGGAACCTTGGATGAAGCTGTCCCTCGGTCAGCGGCGAGCTTGTCAATGGCCGAGTCCGGCAGGACCGGAGTTGAGAAATATTTCTCAAAATCTCCTGGGGGGAAATGATAATATGAGTCTACGCGTTTAGCGTAGGCACTCAAGTCTTTGCGTGCATTATACCGTCGATGTGGTCAACGCACACGCGGTCCAAGGGCATTGTGGGAAAAGCCCGGACCGGTTCTGCCGTCGGTCCCGATCGCTTCTTGAACGACTGACGCTCAGGAGGAGGAGGAGGTTCGGTACCAGCAGGAAGATTTAGAACTCTGATCATATCCCGTTGGACCAAGCGGAGTTCGGTCTCAGCCACCGATAGGCGTTGCATGGTGCGGGTCAGTTCGCTCTCGTCCGCCGAATTGTCAGAGTCCGGGGGGCGAGTTGCCACCGGGGAATGGGAACCAGGCCCCGGGGGCGAAGCAGCGCCGTCACGGCGTCCCGGTATCGAGCCCCGCTCAGAGTCCAGTGACGCCGATGGGTGTAAACTAATACCGGGCGGGGACGCCGGTGCACGGCCCTCCGTGCACGGCATTGTCCGCTGGTCTGTAGTCACCCCACCACGGCCGTGATGACCGGCGTGTGGGGGCTGTAATTCTGGAGGGGACTCCGGCGCACGGCTAACCGTGTGCGGTATGTCCCTTTGGCCCGGAGTCGGCCAACTGTGACCGTAATCTCCCTGTCGGCCCGACAATGAGGCCGCGAGGGAGTGAAAGGCCTCCAAAAAATCATCGCGTGAGATCGGGTCGCCACCCTTGTGGCGTTTCCCACGGTGCGATCGGCCGGATGACTCGCTGGAACTCGTCGAAGAACGGCGGGAACGGCGGCTCTTTTTTGATTTTTTCTTCTTTGAGGAGCGACTCCGAGTAGTTGCCGAGGATTGCGGGGACACGGGGATGCCCGAACAACGAATGAAATCCGATGTGGAGGCAGGGCCCTCCGAGCGTAGCGTTAAATCTCTGGGGGAATCCCAGGGATTCGGTTCTACGCTATCAATAGCCCGGGCGGCCGACAGCGCCCCCACGCCGGTAACATAGGCGGGTGCTGTACGGTCAATCAACCGGCCATATAACAGCCCATCCCCAGGCATCGTGGTAATCACGGGGCTGGGTGGGCCTGGGTGCACTGAGCCATGGAGGAGTACTTCCTCCGGCTGCGTGTGCCCCGTAGACGGGCCAGGGACAGGCACGGTGCGCCCCGTAGCGGGGCCACCTTTTGCCGTACGTCCCTTTTTGGGTATTGCCCCGGCGTTAGACAATTTCTTTGTCTTGCCGGTGCGTTTCCCCTTCAGTTTCTGTTTCTGTTTCTGTTCCATAAACGTACAAACACCTAGAAGGTTGTCGACGTACGTTGGTCAGGGTCAGGTGTGCAGCAACTAAATTCTTGATTGGGTTTTGGAAGCCAGGTCTTGAATGTTGATGTTGTCCAGTGCCAGTTTGAAAGTCTTAATGTCAGGTGAAGAGCGGATGTTAGGGTGAAGTTGATTCCATTCTAGGATGGTCTTTGGGTACATTGAGTAACGAAAGCAGTCCTTATTTGTGGTGATGACTCTATATGAGAAAGGTCCGGTCTGTCTAGTAGAAACCCCCCTTGATGAGTTGACGATGTTCAGATAATCTTCCATATTACTCGGTGTAAGCCCATGGGTTTCTTTGTAGAGTGTGACTAATCGAACTTTGGTCCTTCGATCTTGAAGAGTGTCCCATTTGAGTGTATTCATCATTGCTGAGATGCTTGACTCCCTGCTGTAGTCTTGCATAACAAATCTAGCTGCTCTGTGTTGAATGCTTTCTAATTTCTTTTTATCCGACGCATGATGAGGATCCCAAATGGCGGAACAATATTCTAGCCTTGGTCTGACTAGTGTCTGATACGCAATGGACTTGGTATTACTGTTGCAGTGGTGGATGTTTCTCTTGAGTAGCCCGAGCATACGATTGGCTTTAGAGATGATCTGATCAATGTGAGTGGACCACTTGAGATCATTACTGAGTTCAACCCCCAGGTAGGGATGGTGTTTAACCTCTAGTAGTTTGGCATTACCCATGTGATAACTGGAGTCGACTGAGTTCTTCTTGTGGGTGATCTTCATGGTGTGACACTTGGAGGCATTGAATGACATGTGCCAATCTTTTCCCCATTTTTCAAGTGTGTTGATGTCCTGTTGAAGAATGCAAGGGTCTGCTGCAGTTTTTATTTCCCGGTACATGACACAGTCATCTGCAAAGAGTCTCACATGCGATTTGATGTTCTGTGGCAGATCGTTAATGTATACTAAAAACAGGAGAGGACCCAGCACTGTCCCCTGTGGAACCCCAGAAATGACCTTCGACTTGTTTGAAGAAGTGCCCTCCAAAACAACTTGCTGGTGACGTTGAGTGAGAAATGAGTCAATCCATTTCAGAGCATTGTTCCATGTTGGGCGGACCCGCGAACATTGACCGAAGACGGTGGGGTTGTACGGCCCCCCGCTTGGTCAACGGGTCCGTCAGCTCCGACAGCCGGCAGTGGCTGAAGGGGCCGACTAGGGGACTGCTGCCGCGGTGACGTACCATCACCGGTGCAGTCCCCCGAGAACTCGGGCTTGTCTGGTGGGATGTACGTCCCTCCATTATCGACACACCCGGTCCTCCCCAACTTCCTATTACTCATTTCTTTCACTTTCACTCAAATCCTTCACTAGAACAACTCTACAATACTTCACTAGAACAACTCTACAATACTTTCTTTTCGAAATAGCTTTCTCTAAGCAAAAGAGGTACCAATAAAATAGCGAAATTCAGGTCGTTGAAATTTCACGTGTACCTCGTCCTGCGGCTAAGAGAAAAAGAGGACGCTAACGTGGTGCGCATGTCACAGGGCGTCGTGGGTAGGACACGTGAGGGCGCTATTGTATGTAAAACTCTTAGCAAATTGCCTGCCGGCATAGGGAACAATGCATATGTAGTATTCGCTCTACAGGTAAGTAGAGTGATGTAGACATGACAGTTTGAAAGTACATGTAAGTACATGTAATGAAAGTGACAAGACTTACGAGTTTCACAGTTCTTGTCTGTAAAGCCGTGGGGACACTGACACATATAGGCCTCCGGGGTTTCTCCCTGCAGACAGGCGCCATTGTTCTGGCAAGGTAGTGCAGCACATGCAGAAGCTAATGTACCAAAAAAACAATTTCATAAGTTTGGAAAAGTAGAATTTAAGGCAGCTGAAAGTAACTACTCATTCAAAATGGTTATTTAGTTCTTTAACTGATTGAATAGTTGGTTAGCTGGTAACGTTTTTAATTGAAAAATCACTTTGTGGAAATGAAAGCTCCCTTCCATCACAAGTGTGTAAGTCCAATCAAAAGTCCAACCAGGGCCTAATTTCATGGCCCTGCTAACCACAGAATTCCATGCCTACAATCACCATTATGTGCTAATCGCGCTTGCAGAAAAATTCTGGGAAAAAATGTTGCAACCTGACGCCACTTCAGGGGTTGTGTACAAAGTCTATGGAGAGTCAAGAAATATTTTCCTAAAAGTATTTCCTAACAAAATTGGAAATGTTTCTCAGTCCCAGATTCATGTCTTATCGTCATTTTTGCAATGAATCACCTTCATTGAGATGATATATGAAGAAAAAAGTGACGTCAGGCTGCAATATTTTTTCCAAATTCTGTGTTAACCCTGTAGGCACACTATCCTTAGCTAGAGATGTACACATGCGCATAACCCAAAATTCCTTGCTAATCCGTGAAATACGCTTACTGTAAGCACACAATTTTCTGCTACAGTAAGCAGGGACTTTTCGCTAACGGTGAGCAGAGCCAAGAAATTGGGCCCAGGTTACAAGTAACATGGGAGGAACAATTTCAAAGGAATGTCTTTGTCTCAGTTCACTGGAGTAGCTTTATGACCCAACTTGACACTGGATGACTTGTGATGTCTTGTGATATCTTGTGATGACTTGTGATATCTTGTGATGACTTGTGATATCTTGTGATGACTTGTGATATCTTGTGATGACTTGTGATATCTTGTGATGACTTGTGATATCTTGTGATGACTTGTGATATCTTGTGATCACTTGTGATGACTTGTGATATCTTGTGATCACTTGTGATGACTTATGATGACTTGTGATATCTTGTGATGACTTGTGATGACTTGTGATATCTTGTGATGACTTGTGATGACTTGTGATGACTTGTGATATCTTGTGATCACTTGATTATCAATCTGTCTTGTGAAGTCATACAGACCGGCAACCCAAACATCATGCGACCACACTGTGACCACACCGTGACCACACCAACTCACCGTTCTGTTTGCATGCGAGTCCTATGAAACCTTCGAAGCAGGTGCAAGCGAACAGATTAGTACCCACAACATCACATCTGCCATTCACACAGGGATTGGGGTCACATTGAGTGGTGTTAATACTTGCTGCAGTGGGAAAAAGAGAAAAAGTCATGTCAAAACCATCAACACGTGAGAGTTAAGTCCTTTTCACACTATGGTCTTGCCTACCAATGTTTAAATGAAAACAGGTCCACCGTTAGTGAGTACATGTAGGCAAGGCAAATCGTTCACACTCACACCGGTGTGTACAGGGGTTGGTTGTAGATTTGGTGTATTCTAGCCGAGTTCAGCCTCTCTACCCCAGTCCCGACAAGGGTTGGATCTTACCCAGTGAAGAGCAATGGAGTTGTGTGAAAGGGGCTACTTAAATCTCTGTTTTGGACCCAGGTCAAACACAGTGACTTAGGATAGTGTGAAAAACCGGTGATACACTGTGTACAAACATGACTGGTAACGTACTAGTGTGTCATTCATATAGCGCTTTCCAACAAAGCTAGGTCTCAAAGCACTTCACAATTATTACCCCTGTTCAACAGGTCACGGCATCACTTTCTGCAACCGAGGTCGGTGTAATCTGGTCTCTACCCTCACAGTTACCCATTTATACTCCTGGGTGGAGAGAGGCAATTGTAGTAAAGTGTCTTGCCCAAGGACACAATCACCATGTTCCCGATCGGGGTTTGAACCCACGTACCACAGCACATGGATTGCACGCCGTAACCCATTGTCAGAAATAAACGTTTACCAAACTAAACATGGTTTCAAATCTTAAACCTAATGCAAGTTTCAAAGACACGTACCTGTACTATCGACGAGAATGCTTGTTGATTTTGTGTCGAGCCAGAACACATTTGTCGATGATACCATTGTGGCTCTGTTGATCAGAAACAAAAGAGAAATTAGCTGATATTAAATACCTTCATTTGTGTTCAGTGTTTTTATGTTCAACATAGAATACAGAATCACATTATATGTATATCGAGATGCCAGTGTTATTATGTACGAAAATCTCTATCCTACATATCTTAATGCAAAGACTGAGTTTATTGAAAATAACATTCCTGGTACTCACACTACAGCACAAATAAGTGGCCTTCATTCTTGGCAGTGAATATTTGGCCAGCGCCGTTTTTTTTTATAGTTTTAGTAAACAATATCAAAGACGGAACGGCCATGAAAATGCGTACCAGTAGTGATCGACTGGGTTTTTTTTACTTAGAAATTTTTACCATAACAAATTTTAGTCTGGTTCAACGCCAACATTGCTCGTTTTTTCTTTTTAGTGGTGCCTTTTAAAACCTGACTTTTGTTTTTTAACTCTTTGTCTTAGCAACACAAGTTTTAATTTCATGGCAACTCACACAAACTCCACTTGTTCCGTGCCGATGTTTGGCGCATACCACGACAGCGTCATTGGCAGCGTTTTCAAGCTGTTGATGGAGTTTGTGACGGCGTTTCCCGTCTCGCATTGAAGTACTCTCAGTCCAGGTGGGAACGGCCCCATCCATTGGCCAATTGGCTCCCTGCTGCCGACTCGCTGCGCCTTGATCAACAGCCCTCGGAGAGGATAGGCTCCACTTAGAGTCACTGCAAAATTAAAAAGGAAGACAACGTTTCAGGATCTTTTCTACGAGTTTCTAAAGTTATTTCAACCATGGGGCTAAAAAGAATGACGGCCTTCATAACTGTTGATAACATAACTTCAAGAGCATTAGAATTTCACAAAAAATTGGCTCAATGACAAAAGTAGCTGGCAATATTAAGCCTTTTTATATACTGATTATGTCACACTTTGACTTTGTTTACTTGTGCGCTTTTCTATGGATTATTAAAACAAAGCGTTCGTGACATCATCAGTACAGAGGCTTATTTACATTAATATTTGTTGCTTTGTGAAATTATCAATAGGCCTAATGTAAGGGCCTAATTTAGTCATTAAAATACTACGTATTAACTGCTTGGTTAACAATAGCATGGTTAAAATGTGTGACTGCACTTAAATTAAAAGCATAACTGCAAAAATGATAACCAATTCAAAAGAAAGTGCGAAACGTTCAAGGTCGCCCGCACATTCCTGGCACTGCCATAGGGAAAGATTCCTATCATATCTGGCCATCACTAATTTTTCCCTTCAGTGACCTTTCAGCCATCAGAAAGTGATACAAGTCCTAAAAAAAGTCAAATTTAGCAGGGAAAATATTGAAGTATTTACCCCTACTGGACTGAGAAAACACTTAGAATTTTCAGAATTACAGACCAGTCTCATACTAGTCATACGGTTTGTGCACAGGGTGAAAAGTGATGGCCAGATATGGGAATGGTCATAGTTCTACTAGGGGTAGGGTCCTACCAATTCCCCTACCTATGGCCCCACGACGCCCCGCCCCTTCCACAATGCCTAAGTTAATATGTTCAATGGGTAACTGCGCACTGATGATGACGGTGCCTTGATTGGCAAGTAAGTAGGCTTATACAGTCACCACATTAAACTGGCAAACATTCGTTTCTTCCATCGCATTTACCAAATCGTTCATATTTCTCTGACTAATCTAGTGACAAGGAATAAGAAGCACAATGTCACGACAGAATCGTCCATTTCAATCAGTCTCAAAATTCCCGCACGGTGAGAAAAACACACGAGTCAGCTCGGATTATAATCCAAGAGAGGGCGCCCTTCAGACCACGGTTGGGCCCAAATGGGTTACCTTTTACCTATTAGTCAATGTCCCCCTACTTTTCTCGTCCATTTCTTCTGTTTGATGTGGTTATAAAAGTGTACATTGTACTAAGAAAAATGCAAAAAGGAGCTAATAATTTCTGAGGATCATCCAGAAAAGTCGCTTGCCTGCAGTATACCGCGCCGCGGCGCTGACAGCTCGCTCCGGCACTCAGGTAAAAAAAATATGCAATTAAACTTTTATTTTTGGATCAGGAAACGATGATATTAAGTCATCCGTCATGTCAATCGTAATGGGGAAGTAAACTTTGGGCACAAAACAGTTTAGGTATAAATTCCGTCGGCCGGCGGGCTTACTTTGGACTCATTTTGTATAGGTTAAAAGGCCGGCTACCTCATATCTTTGTGCCATATGATACGTGCAACAACATCTGCATCTGCTGTATTTACATGATGATCACAAAAAAACTCATTTGTATGTGGGAAGCTTTTTTCAGGGGAAATACATCCGGATCATGTCGGGGTTCTTCGCCGAAAAAGTTTAGCGCCCCTCCACACACCGTTATGCAGCCTGCGTGGAGGGGCTAAACTTTTCTGGCGGCGAACCCCGACGTGATCCGGATGTTGTCCTGAGTATGGTTATACATGTATACCAAATAGTGTATACATGTATAACTTTAACTGGAGGAGGCTTATAATTCTCCACGCCTCAGTGCACACGGAAAAGGTCGTGTGAATCATGATATGAACTAGGCCCTATATTATTAAATCGAGGTAGGTGAACTTCGTGCATAAAGTCACGTAAGTACAGATGAACTGTGAGAACATGGCCTAGGCCTAGATAAAACCGAAAAATGTCTACGAGCAACTTACACAAAAGGTCATGTACTATTATTATTATTATTTTGGTATAATTACAGTACGTAGGCCTATGAGGAGGCAGGACAGTTTTATCCAATTTTTTTTTACTTTCTAAATATTTTCCGTTTCTCTATAATTTTTTATTTTGTTAGCTTAGGCTGGTACCTTTCTAGATTTAAACACGGAGGAAGAACAAAAATAGACTTCCATCATTTATGTAACGTTCATCTTAATCTGGAAGCCAGGCAAGGGCGGATCCAGGGGGGGGGGGGGCCAAAGGGGGCCATGCCCCCCCCCCCAAAACGAAACCATTTTTTGTTTTGTTTTATGTGACATCGCAATAAAGGCAGGCAATGAGTACACCACCATCTTTTCCTCAAAAAAAAACATTGGTTAAAGTGGTCAGAAATTGCCTCAGATCGCACCACAGAGCATCTAGAATCCAAAAAAATTTCGGGGCCCTTAAGCGGGCCCATGAACCCCACGCCGTAATTTTTTTGACCCACTTTTTGGGGGACCAAATTTTTTTTTTGGCCCCCCCCCCCAAATTGTGTTCTGGATCCGCCCCTGAAGCCAGGCCGTGTTTGGGAGTAACTATGCTATAGACCTTTGGCCTTTATAATGCCGACAGATTACATTTTCATATGCCGACATCATGTAAAATGAAATTGGACAACTATAGTATAGCAGTATAGCAATTATAAGTAACATGGAACTGGGGTATGTGAGAAGGCTGTTAATGCCGTCACAAAATGACAACACCCCCAGCACTATACCTCTTACCGGTCGGACCGCCTTAACTGCCGCTGATGGTCATTTTGCTTCAGCGTTATTGGATTAATGGCATACTGTGAATCCCTAATAATGTTTAACTTTATTATGTATGTGGTCTTCAGGCTGGCGTTTGTGCGCGGTTATTACCCAAACAGCCAAAAATTGACACATTTTCCCCTCATGTATGCTTATATAGTTTGCGAGTACAGCTATGTGTGGATGGTATAACATCGTTAACAGGTTTTGTGTTCAGGTATAGCATTGGCCGACAAGACCTTTTTAGGTATATCCAATTTCAAACTAGCATTGAAACCGTGGTTGTCAGTGCTATATACGTCATAAGATGTTTTGAGGACATTTTCTTGTTCTAACCTCTCAACTAAAAGACAGCATTAACGCGCTCTCGGTTTCAGTGCCAATTTGAATTTTGTCTTTCACCTGTCGGGATGTTTGTTTTGATTCTTTCGTAAACACTTTATTGTGGAGCGTTATTAGAACGCATCATTATAAACAATAACACGTTAGTTTTCTTATAGTGTTCAAACATTACATGTGATGGACAGTTCAGCCAATTTAACGGATTATTTTCTGTCTGGTTTGTGTAATTTCCTTCGCGCCAATACTCTACCTTAAGCTTTGTAAAATCCTTCATGTTGTGAAAAAGGGCTGATGTAGTTGGGGATTGGAATCATTAATCTTGAAACTGAGGTCTTTTGCCATGATGAGAGACTGATTGTTGTTATTTCAAAAATATTTAGATGGACACTGGTTTTTTTTTTTGGGGGGGGACATACTGTGTGTCATAAGCAGACTTGCATATAGTCTGTACTGGAATTCGTAGACGGATTATCTTGCAACGAATTATTTCCAAATAAACGACAATGAAAAAATATAATCTGCCGTCAACAGACTTCAGTCATGCATTTGACGGGAACAAAAGGTCTCTCTTTCGCTGCCACGCCATTGAACCGATTATTGAACGTTAAAAAGAGTGTACGTGTTGGTTGACTTAAAATGACCCTGCAAACCAGCACCTTTTTATGATAAAGGAATACGGATTTACCGTCACAACCAATCAAACGTTTGATATAAATGATAAGGCTAGTTAGCGTTCATTTCCCCGGTGTACTGATCTTTTTGCTTTGTTCCATTTCAAGACCCAAGTTCTGGGTGGAATTTGACTGTGGAATAGTTTTTGTTTTGTTTTTTGTTTACATGAAGATGAAGTTATTGAGTTTGTCAATAGCAGAACGGGGGCGTGACATTGTGCCCATGCCCACTCAGGGCCTGTGCAACATGCGCTCCAACTCCGATCAGGAATTGAACTTAGGAAATAAGAGTTTCGTTATCAATTTTCATCTTCAGGTCATTTATAGAAATTCTTCCTCGTTACCCCCCCCCCCCCCGGCCACGCCACTGGTTGGCAGTGATGTAGTATAGACCTTGACTATACCTTTACAGAGATCTCACACTTATGCTCATATTAATGCGCCTATTAACGTTGATCCCCCTTCCCCCTCCCCTTCCCCCTCCCCCGCGCTGCCCCAGGTCCGATGTCGGGATTTGGTCACGTTTTTCATGCCGCAGGCTGGGGATTTAATTCTAGCTGGTTATCACTCAATAACATTGTTACCATAAATGGAGTACTGTTGGAAAGGAAATCATCAGTACGCCCCACGTACATATATGCATGTCGGAGATTGTCACTTAAATGTGCCCGAGGGGTGGGGATTTTGTCACTTCAAAAGTGACAGTCCCCATGTCTGGGGTGGGAAAGCCCGGTGGGAACAATATGCGCGCAATGTTCGTATTAATGGAACATTCTGAATTGATGTGTCCAACATGATCGAGCAAAGACTGTCAATGCTCAGAGTTTGACTATCAATCGTTGAGCAAAGGATGCATGTTGGCTGGTATCAAGATCGAGTTGTGTCTATTTGGAGAGTTGAATGCATTTTAAAGTGTTTCCTAACAAAGTTGGAAATGTTTCTCTGTCCAAGATTCGTGTCTTTTCAACATTTTTGTAATGACTGACCTATGTTCATTGAGATTTATATGATGAAAGAAAAGTGGCGTTAGGATACCACGTTCCTTCCACTAAAATGGTCTGGAGAAGGTCTCGTTAAACTTGGACCGGAAAAAACCCGCACTGATCTGTATATCTATGTGTTTACGTTAACAAAGTTGGCATAAACGTGACATTTTTACCCAATAATGAAATTTGAATCAAATATTGGTATCTTCTCATCAAAATAATGGAACACAAGCTCTACATGTAAGTACTTCCAGAACTGTAAGGCTTGTGAAAGCCTTACAGTTCTGGAAGTAACATGTAAGCATGTCATTTAACTCTTACATTTTAAATAATTGATTACAAGAAAGACATTTGAAAGGTCTCGGTAATGACACGACCAGGCAGCACTATATGTTACCAGGACATTGACCGATACCTTTTTTAATCAAAATGTCGTACTTACCTTGGACAATTTCTCCAGGCCTGTACGTCGTTCTGTTTGTGTTGTATAATCCAACTGTAAAGGGGTTTGTTTCCACCGGCGAGGGTATGGCTGTGCCGTGTACAGGAAGCATATCCAGGCATGATGTAACCGGTGCACCGCTGTTGTAGGCAGACGTTTGGTAAAATATTGAAATGAAAACGAGGAGGATACACATCCACGTACGAGCCATCATCAGTATCGTCAGGTGTCCACGTTCAACGTGGTGGGCCGACGTGAATTTACAATAACCCAACCATGGTCATTGCTGGTATAACAAGTAGAGTGGTACCACACCCCTGCACCAGGAACTCAGTACTAGTTATATGGTGGTCTCCCAAGCTTTGAACTGATTACTTCAGAAGATGTGATCATACACGATGATAGATCTTCTTCGATGTTGCAAAACAAAACTACCAAAATGAAAACTTCCAAATAAACAAGCCCCTCACGGTTCGAAAATGGCTCTTCACTTCGAGCGTACATGTACGTTGTGTTCATGGGAGAGAGTAAATCGGAACCACTTATGTATTGTACGCAACGACGTCCTTTACATTGGGTAATTATTGTTATGCTAATGATGTACACAAAGGAACTCACTCAGGTGTGTGCGGAACCTCTGCCCTCGTTTTGATGACTGTGTGGTAAAACTTTCCTTCCGCGCAGTAGAGCGCATCACAGGAATTAAAAATAAATACGTTTCGCAATGGTTCTTTGAGACGAAACAAATGCGGCCTATTTCTGCACATTGTTCAGGTTTAGTTTTTTTTTCAGTGCAAGCTTTTCGATAGACAGGAGTGGCCAATCACTATTACAGAGAAAATAGTAATTGAGTAAGTGAAGATAAACGACCCAACAAAAACGTCAGTTTTATCTCGGTCGTTCTTTTTTCCGAAAAGAGTTGAAGTTTTCGCATCGGGAACTAGTTTGTCAACTTCCAGTACCTCTGGGAGCTAATGGAATATCACCTCTTAAACCATTATTTTGATTTGCAGACTATTGCGAAACTTTTTTTCACACTTCGTATGATACGTGTTACCGGTAGGCCTATGATAGGCCTATATCTGCTTTTATGACAAAGGTCAAGTTACTTTCACGCATAAATGTTTGGAATTTGTGAAGCTGATTGTGTCTTTTGTTACGAGTTTCAATGAAAAGGCATTTTGGCATATAGCCGAAGGCCACCTTCATTTTTAATAATAGTGTACGGTTTGGTGTTTGCAATTCACGGTAATGCATCTTTGTGTACAACACATAATGATTCACACTGGATTCTAAAGAGTAATGTAAGTACTGATTGATGTTTGTCCCGTTCGATGTTTGCTTTTGTCAATAAAAAATAGGTAGCTTATATCAGTATTAGGGAAAATATTTCCGGTATTTCTGTGACGGCTCCAGATAATTTCAAGCACTGTAAAACGGAAATGATGAAAAAGGATATTTTCGAAACGATCAATTTGTTTCTGACCAAATATTCACACCATAGGCCCTATCTTCCAGAAATGAATCCCAATTCTGCCCTAAAAGGAGAACCAATTCCACTTTTAAATCAAAATTTGATTTTGAATTAAAAGTTCAAACCACTAGACAGGGAAATAAAGCGCTGTATTGTGTGATATATCGCATAGGGCCTACATATTTCTGACATAAAAACGGCCATGCATCTAGCGTCAAATTTGTTTCCATCTCGGCTTTCCAATTTCCTATTGATACGACCCGAGAATTTCATTATTCTCCTGTCGTTTACCCCATGTCGCCGACACAAATAAACGTCTTGGATGTGGGAGAGGATCACTATAGGGCAGTGCCATTGCCGGGGGGGGGGGGGGGCGACAGCCCCCATGAAACCTTGTCGCCCCCCAGTCGGCCCCCCCCCCCCCCCCCCCCACTGAGATTTTGAGTTTCTAAAAAAATTATCATTGATCTACATGAAGCCCCCCATGAAATGTTCCAGCCCCCCCCCCCCCCCCCACTGAAAAATTCCTGGCTACGCCACTGCTATAGGGGCAATTCCACGGTTACTCACGTGACATTTTTGATGTACTTTTGAGTTTCCTTGTGCTGTAATTACTTAACTGAAAAGGTTTAATAACCGTTATCCCCATGGTAGATAGAGTACACCTAGACCTACCTAAGCACCAAAGATGACATCCAGAAAAATGTGTTATGATAAACAAGACACACACAATCGGTTCCTTACGTTACATTTTCGTAACGTGAGTAACCGATTGTGTGTCTTGTTTATCATACTTTACACATTTTTCTGGATGTCATCTTTGGTGCTTAGGTAGGTCTAGGTCTACTCTATCTACCATGGGGATAACAGTTATTAAACCTTTTAAGTAAGGTAATTACAGCCCAAGGAAACTCAAAAGTACATCAAAAATGTAACGTGAGTAACTGTGGAATTGCCCACATATACATGTACTTGATTTTTTTGCCATACATTTGAGCTCGTAGAGTTTTTATTATTAGAAATTTAGCAGAATGTTGTATACAATTCAAAAGGGAGAATAATCGATAGACGTGCGTTCAGCTCTTTGACGAAAACTTGCATTAATAAGGCATGAAGAATCATTTGCATTTATCCCAAAAGTAACCAATCTACTTACATGTACATGTAGGCCTATTATCAAAAAAGCTAGTACTTCGATTAAAGACTTGCTGTGATTTAGAAGAAAACTAGAAATGTAGGTGACTTCCAACAATCAATCAGAAACTGATTTTTTGAATAAAAGGTGCTTGTAACGAAATCGTACGTGTTTTGTGATCGAATTAAAGGTTGTGCATGTTTTTTTTTCCCACAGTTTCCTGGGAAAGTGTGATTCCCACACCGGGCTGAAATCAACAGGTTAGGTTTTGAACACTCTTCTTTGGAGTTTGAGTGGTGTTATTATTGGAAGCCAAAAAATGCATGGAAAGTAAATTAATGATCCTATATGCCTTATAATGCGCCTGCTGGCTCTGACGCCTCGCTGTTTTGCCGTCATGCACGGTCAGTGAACGCAAACAGCAACATTTTTTTTTTAAATTTATTTCCATTAATTACAATATTGCAAATAATTATTACAATGTTAGTTATTACAATGTTTAGAAAGTATACATATAACAATCATAAATGATATACACAACATTGGTTTTGATGTACTACATGTATGTAATGTATGTTAGAACCATAGGTTATAATATATCTGGTGTTATCACTTTGAATATAAATTTATAAGTGTGAACAGCAGTAGGCATATTAATTAAAGAAATATACAGTTAAGTCATAAAATGTTGCCAGAAGTCTTTGTTTTCTTTTGAAACTTTGCTCTGAATAATAGCTCTGTAATAAATACATTAAAAATATTTATCCTTTTATTTTCCATACTCATTTTGATTCTTGCTTTACGTATCGAAAACATTGCTATCGTAATTATTAAATTAACCTCAGGTCTTCTATCAAGACCTGTTAATAGGTTTGACAATGTTGGTGTGATAAAACTACTTTTTGTTTTTTCTTGGTAGTAAACTTTTAATTGATTCCAAAATTCAATTGTTTGTAAACAGGTTAAGAATGCGTGTTTATAGTCGTCAATCATGTCACACATTGAGCACAACGGGCTATTCTCGATTTTCCATTTATACAATAAATCTTTCTTTGTTATTAAACGATGCATGAGTCTGTAATTGAAGTTTCTCAACTTAATTTCTTTAATGTCGACTATTTTCTTTTTCCATGTGGAAGTCCAATTAATCTTTTCACCAAGTACGTTTTCCCACCACGTTTCAATCTGAGGTGTTTTACTTCTTTCGTCTATCAATATAATATAAATATTTCTAGTTGTAATGTTTTCTAGATTACCTAGACTAGGATTAACATGAAGTTTAAAATCAACACCGATCTTTTCTTTACTGTCTACTATAATTGATAACCAGTCTTTTGGTAAGGCCCTTTTCAACATAAATATTTCGACTAACCAATTCCGTTTTGTGGTCAGCTTTGTTTTAAGATAGTTTATAGAAAATTCCCCTTTTTCGTTAAACAGATCATTTACATAAATAATGTTAGATTTTATCCAATTACGGAAAAATAGTATTTTACCATTGAAAGTTATAAGTTGGTTACCCCATAGCAGTTGTGTTTTTATTTCAGTGGGACTAAATCGTTTCAAAAATATCAGGTTGTGGATGTAGTTCCTGCCAACACAGAATTAGTTCTTTGTAAAATTGTGGTAACGACTGTGTTATAGTTGACCCATATTTTGTTTTCCCAAAGTTCATGTTCAAAACTGTAAGGTTGGGACTACAGGAATCTAGGAAATATTTAAAAAGGGTTTTCCATTTACCGCTTGTGTTGTTTAGTAGTTTAACAATCCAGTTGCATTTTAATGCCATGTTATGGGTTTCCATGTCGATGAGGTTCAAACCGCCTTCATCAAGCCTCCGTATGATAGTTTTTCTTGCAATTTTGTCTGTGCGTCCATTCCAAATAAAAGGAAAGACACATTTGTTAATTTTTGAGATATACTTTTGTGGCGTTGGGATTACGGATGCCAGAAAGGTAAATATAGGTTACGCTAGACTGTTTAATATAGTTACTTTGCCGGGAAGTGTTAATGCCCTTCTCTTCCATTGGTTTATTAAAACTGTACATGTTTTAATTTTTTCTTCCCAAATTAATTCGTAACATTGACTCATGTTTTTTCCAAAATAAACTCCAAGAGTTTTAATTGGTTCTTCTTGCCAATTTATCAATTCAAGCAAACGTGTATCAATGATCAAATTGCCGATAATAAGCCCTTTTGTTTTTTGAAGATTCAGTTTAGGTCCAGCAATTTGCCCAAAGTTTGATACAATACTTATAGTATTTTTTGTGGATGTGGGATCTGACACCAAAGTTGTCGTATCATCTGCATACATTGTGATACGCAAATTTGATGTTTCTGATAATTCAATTCCATTTATGTCTTTGTTACTTCTAATTCTATTAGCTAGTACCTCAGCAACGAGTAAGAATAAGAGGGCTGAAAGCGGACATCCTTGCCTAAGGCCTCGATTTAATGTAAAGAATCCGGACATGTATCCGTTGTTAATAATAGTGCTTTGTATGTTTGTATACAATGTTTTTATCCATTGAATGAAACTATTTCCAAAGTTAAATTTGTTGAGTGTTTCTTGTAGGAAGTTCCATTCAACTGTATCAAAAGCTTTTTCATAATCCAGAAAGAGGATAGCAGCATTTTTGTTATTACTGCGTAAAAAGTGGATGGTGTCATCAATCAATCTCATGTCAAATGTTACAGCAACATTTGACTTCTCGTCCTTGACAAACCGTTGCTGAAGAGCAAAACTGCACTTTTCCATTCATTATAAACCGACCAAATTCAATGCACCATCAAAACAGAGAGTCCCTAAAATGGATATGCAAAGAAATGAAATCGCCTGGGTTTAACCTATAGCTAAACCAGCCTGTTGCAGTCACAACTATCATTTTCGTGAGCGGCGATCTAAAACGTTCTGTGCGTCAATGCACGAGAAATTGT